TTTTTTTTTTTTTTTGTGACAAGACATCCATTCTAAGTGCATCATAAGCAGACCTTCTCTTTCTAAATTATCGTAAAGGATATCAAGAGATCACTAACAACATACGCCTATGCATCATATTGCGTCAGTCCATACAGTATCGGCTTATAGCCGCCCCTCGTTGTACAGGTGTAAGATCTTCCACATTCATGATATAATGGCAATCGTACTGCTACTGATTAGAAAAGCTGGATAATCCGAGTATAGCGTTTCCGTGCTTTACAAATTCGGATGGATTGTGTCTATGCTACAATGCTTAGCTGGTTGCCGTGGTAGTTGTCTGTGTATACTTTTGATGTTAACCAAATATCTTATCTGATGATGTCTTTGGACAGTGTAATAGTGTGTTTGCGCTCTGTATTCTCTTTTGAAAAACTAGCAACGAAGGTATTCTAGCGAAATGCATGCACACCACAGCTAGTGCTTATACAGTATGTAGTTAATAGGACTTGACGTATACGTATTGTAACGGTGCATATTTTATTCGGTGTAAGTAGTTTCAATCAATTGCTCCATAGTGTTGGGATACAGTAGTAGGGTGATAAACGTAGGTTGAAAGAAGTTGAAGATATAAAAAAGTGTCAAACCGTTATAAATTGCGCTGATGAAACTGTGAGCGGTCATTGCTTGATCGTGAACTATATAGAGAAGAAGGGCATATCGAATATCAATAGTATTGCTGGGTACGCTTCACTTATAATAATCATCTTTCATAAAAGAGAATGTCAAACCGTTATAAACGTATCAGTGTTTTGACCACCATCATCTCCATCACAACAACAACAACAACAACAACAACAACCACAGCAGCAGCAGCAGCAGCAACGCTGGTGAGCAAGAACAGGATTAGAAAGAGCGAGCAACAATAACACCCGCATCTCAGACAGTAGAGCTCGCACAACATAGTGCTGAGCCTTTCGACGTGGATGTCTGATTAGCAGAGGGTTTCGGCGGTTCGTCGAACTGATTTTCTTTTTCTTTTTAAATGTCTTATCTTATGGTCGACGGAAGAGTATTGCGCTGTTTGCTGTAATGGAGAGATCATCAACAGGGTTGAGCAGCCCGCAGCGGCACTGTAACCTGACAACAGCTCAAAGCTAAGATTCCCGATTTTTGTGTGAAATTCAAAGAGGTGTGAGAATTGACGGATCCTGCATTTAATTAAACTGTCAACTCCTATGTATTAAGTACATAAAAATAAGCACTGGCTATGGTGTGCTTGCATATCGGTAGAATACCTTCGCCACAGATTTTATTATACTATAAAAGAGAATACAGAGCGCAAACACATATATAAATACACTGTGGTAAAACACATCATTACACTACCTAAATCATCATCGGAATAAGGTACTCGGCTAAAAATCAAGCAAAAGCATACACAGCAATTACCATGGCAATAAGCTAAGCACTGTCGCATAGAGACATTCCCACCGAGTTGTGTAAAGCACGTAAACATTATACTCGGATGATCCAGCATATGTAAGGCTATTATAACCCGATATGGACTGACGCGATATGATGCATAGACGTATGTCATTTGTGATCTCTTAATCCCTTATACGATTATTTACCAAGAAAAGGGAGCCGATGATGCACTCAGAACGGAAGTTTTGTCACCACAAGTTATATTGACGAATTCAAATCAGAAGAAAGGATATCTTATCACCAGCATGACTGAGCGTGTATTGGATTGGGTTGGAGTAAATGTGTGCTGAACGCCGTAGCCAGCGTCTTCTCATACGAGTATATGCCCACGGCAATCAGCGATTGCCGATCGTCCAAGCCCGCAATGATGGATGTGGGCAGCTTTAAACAAATTGTCAAATTATAGACCAGCATGGCTGTTTTCGGTTAATCAAGGGGTTGAAAGGGGCGTGGCGAGCGAAACAAACCATTAAACTGGTTCTCTCAGTTTAGAACAGCTTGCCTTAAGCGCCGTTGTTGCTGGAGTCCATACCCTCCCAACAAATTCTTTCCTTTCGATTATTTCGCGAGCAGAACTACGCGACCACTGAAATGTAAAAAAAAGAAAGGTGCAAAGTGCATTCCAAAGTGTGATAAAGCGCATTGTGATCGCGTTACTATCGTCTGTCATTGTTCCCCGCTTTGTTTAGCACGAAGTTGTGGGTGGGCAAAAAAATAAGGAACTTGTCAAGCACATGAAAAAAAGGCAAAGCAAAAAAATAAATAAAGCGGCAAAACGTTTATGAGAAGAGTGCGAAAAGAAAAAGATTGTTTTATTTTGTTTATCATTTTCTTATTTGTGTGTAATAATGTGTGTAATAAATAATAGTAATAATAATCTGTTCGTTCCTCACCCTCCACTGACCCGCACTGGTACATTGCAGTCATCTCTTCATGGCGGACCACTGAAGCCCATCCAATCATCAGAAAACTCTGAACAATCGCCAGCACTGGCACGGAACTGATCATAGCACAGACAGTGACTCCTGCGCATACAGCCCAACGCCTTTCCAAAACGAACTAAAGTTAAGAAAAAGAAAAAGAAAGGAAAAGCGAAATTGCTCGCTTTATATAGACGTTTTTTGACTGTCACGCTCGGAACTTCAAAAAGTTCCACCAAGTTCCATGGATTTTCATTGGCTCTTGCTTAATAGTATGGCTTTAGCATATGGCTCAAAGGGACTATCAAGAAAGGAAAGGAAAGGGGGTGTGCTTGGTGGTCATCCAAACAAATGTGCTGCGGCGGTAGTGGTACGTGTCTCTCACCATGGGCAGCTGTACCTCCGATGCTGTCGCCGCTTGGTTGTGAGAGGTCCGTGCACGGCACCGTGTCAAGCGAAAACAAAGACACGAATGCGAATGAGCAAGTACATTCACGGAAGAAATGCTTTTCTGTGAGCAGTAAATGCCGGAATTAGGCGTGACTGACAAGGTAGACAATTTAACATCAGTGAACAGTGAGAACACAATCCACCCAGCAGCCAGTTTACATTCCTTCAGCCAACAGGGCAAACAGCGTGTGTATATAGCGTACTTCACAGACAAATCCACAGTACTTTAATATTGTCTTTTGACTGTGTGTGTGGTACGTAATGTTATGTGTGTGCGGAAAAAGATGCCCCCATCGCTGCACTATATAAAACAGACCCGTTATCTTTTATGTTTAACCGTGCTCGTCAAACTGTTGCTTTACCATTTCGCTATCCGCCAACAGTTCTCTGAACCACGCCGTGTAACCTCCTCCCTCCATCCTCCATCCCGGTTGATGCTACTACTAAAGTTCTATCCTCCATCCCAAGTATATGCTGCTGCAGATAAGTTGGCCCGCTCATAGATAAGTATCCGCTGCCGCTAGTGAATTCGACTCATCCTTCATTGTTTTCCATTGCTGCCGATAAAGTAAATCGGTTCGTTTGTTTTCGTGCGGTTCTACGTTCTTTTAAAGCAGCGTTTAAGTTCCTTTGGGACGATCAGAAGAATAACACTACAAACGATGACTTCCTCCAACGTTTGACACTTTTGCGCATATTGTTGCTCCATTGATCACCTTGTTCACTCGCCATCCCTTTGTGCATGAAAATTTCGAGTGCGAAGTCAAATGGCCAAATCGCTGCGTCACAATGCGCATAGTTTTCGTTTCAGGGGAAAGCTGTTGGAACGTTCAAGGTTTGGCACACGCGTAACTTCGTCACTATCCAAAAAGAAGATATGTGTTGCGCTCTTCCTGAATTCCTCATTCCTAGACTACCTTTGCTTCCTTGATTATTTGCGTACGTGATCGGAGCCTTCGTTATGTGATAATAAAAAAAGAAAAGAGAGACGCTGCGAGTTTACCCCTACTGTTGCCTGTTTTCACAGCAAAATTCACATCATGTGGGCTTGTGTCTCTGACCGGCTCTTTGCACACTTCTTGCCGTTGCCGAATCAATGATGTCATAATAAACCCCGAGAGAAAAGTCCTGCTCTTTTGCGGTTGCTTTTTCTATACGTTAAGAGCACCGTTTACTGTGCATTACGTCCCACTTAGCTTAATATATAGTCCCTTTTGGTATAAATTACGATCCGCTTATTTTTACTATGCCTTGTCTTTAGATGCCACAGAAAAGTTTGTTGGGGACGAGTAGCTTCTTCACTACAAGACTTCTTACAGCAGTAATCCTATTCACGACTGGTGCATTGATTGGTGGCAAGATGGCATATCAATTAAAGTTGGTAGGGATAGTAATGTGTGTTTGCTCTTGGACTACATGCGTTTGCTTTAAACCATGTAGGATTTCCCGTATAATGAACGCTCCAAGGCTACGTTTTTGGTTTGAGCCACTGATCCGGTCAGTGTACGGAAATGTTCACGAAGCTCATGTCACCTTTACCAATAGGTCAAGAAGGACGTAGTCTATGGATCGCTTTCAACGGCATTGCATACCGTGGGCGACTACTGATAATGAGCGCCGAAATGACTATCTGTCCCTCCAATAGGGATCGTCGCTTAGCAGAAATAATCATAATTCCTGGATTTCAATGGAGTTTTCCCAACAGTGGATTATGATGTTGGGGAATCGTTTGGTCAAAATATGTTTTTTTATACATGCTTTTTAAATAATTCAAAGATCAAAAAATGTCCAGTTGTCGTTTCCATACTAAAGACCACAGCAATGTTTCGAATTGCACTTCCGGCCGCCAAATGCGTTTGTCTTTCTGCCAACATCTGAAATTGCACCGCTATTGTGATTTTTGCCTCCCCCCAGTCATGAAAATTATACTGCCAACCACGAAAGTTACACCGGCCAACAGAAAATATGAACCCCGGCGCCTAAATGAAAAAATAGCCCCGCCTATCATTAGGAAAAATCCTGTATGTCTGCAGATGATGTCTTGCTTTATCCGACGACGGCTTAGGTACTTGAAAGATAATGGATATACAAGTAGCTGTGGAGATATTTTTTAAATGTTGCAAAATGGTGCATAGCCCAATTGTTGGGTGCAAAACAGAAGCTGATTTATTTACACCCTGATAAGCCTGTTTTGATGACGCCATTTCTCTAGCAACATAGCTTTCATCAGAATACCCAATGCTTTTGATGCCTTCTGTTCAATCAATCGAATCTCAACACCTTTGAACCATGACCCAGAATTGTCCTAAATCCCGATCCCCACGGTAATGTGACATAAAATTACCGTGTTTTCCTTTGTGTGTATAGCCAAGTATAGTAATTACAGATACTGTGATCTCCCGCAATTTTACACCGCCACTACGTGCACCCTGCATCAACCTTTCAAAACTGAGCGGCATCAACTTTCAGTGTTTGCCTGGATATTGTACCCCGCCTTCTTGCGAATTCTCGGTTCTTGCAAAAAATGGATTTCTTAGAACTTTCCATTGGTGCAAAAGACGGATCGTTTTGTCCAAATCAGCGTATGTATATCATTGTGAAATCATAAACGTGTATAAACGCTGCTATGATAGGGCATTTATTCTATCAGCACATTGCCTCTTCATCTTTCGTTGTGTGTCAGTATGCGCTCAGAAAAGCAACTTTGCGTATAGATCAGTATTACTACCAAACTATTGCGGATAATGTAATACAAATGTTGACAGAATCGTCACAAATACCGTACGATACCGCAACACTTATGAGGAGACGTAACACACATCGAAGAAAAGGAAAAGGAGAAGAAGAATATAAGGTTTAGGCACTAGCACGTCGAGGCAGCAGCATCACTTGGACTCTATATAATGGTCCTTTTAATCTATTTTAGGGGTAGTGGGAGAAAAGAGAATCGTGATGGCACTTTTTGGGATGAAACAGTCATTGATCATCCTGCAGAAGAGTATTATTCCCAAGCGATGAAATATGTAATTTCGATATTATATAAGCCTAGGTGAGAGAAAGCGACCTGATCATACTGAGGAAAAAGAGACGGATCGAGATAAATAAGGGGTAGTTCCTTTGTGACACCATGACACAAGTGGTTTTGGTCAAAAAATACAAAAAAAAGAGCGGATCACTCTTTAACAGTAGTAGGACAGTGTGGAACACCCAAACAGTCGATGAGAGTCGAAGCCTTTATATATAAAAGGACAAATCATTAAATATCTTTATACCATATAACACAGGCTCCCACACACGCTTCTCGACCCTTTCCTATATTCTATACGTACTATCGTGTATGTTATAATGGAGGGAGTTCAACAGCGGCAACAAGCAGAGAATGCAGAAGCTCCGTCTCAAACAAGTAGTCAGAATAATGCACCTATTGAGCTGACACCTCATGAACTTGAAGTTCAAAAGAAACTGGTTCGTAAACTCGACTTGCGATTCATGATTTGGGCGTAAGTACTTGATTGTGAACAGAACTTGTCACTGTTTGCTTTTCTTCTTTTATTTTAAGTCGTTAGAGCTAATAAATACTAATGATAATGAAAACAGCTTCTTCGCTTACTGGGCCAATGGTCTCGATCGAAACAACATGCGTAAGTATATTACTGCCGAATAAAATTCCTCTATTTTGGCGTGTTGCTGATACCATCCATTCTGTTTATTAGCTAACGCATACACAAACGGTATGAAGGAAGAGCTGAATCTCGAGTCTGCTGCTTATAACTGGGCTGTTACCATGTTCTTTATCGGCTATGTCTGGTATGTCTGCAGTCATGCTATATTTAGTAGTGGGAGGTGCTTGGAATGATGCATGCGCAATGCTTATACAGACTAATGTTTGCTATTGCTGTTTCTTATAGTCTCCAAATTCCTTCGAACATGATCATCACCAAAGTACGACCTAGTCTCATGTTGCCTGCTGCTGTGACTACTTGGGGTGGTGTTGTATGCTTTATGGCACTTGTGCGGACACACAGTGCTCTTTACGGCTTGCGTATCTTGCTCGGTTTTGCTGAAGCTCCTTTCTACCCTGGTATGGTCTTTCTACTTGGTAACTGGTACACCCGTCAAGAACTTGGTACCCGTACTGCCTTCTTCGTTGCGGGCTCACAGTGTAAGTATATTTTTTATAACCGATGGTTTCTATAAGGCTGTAAGAATAATTTTACTCGCTTAATATCTACTGATTTTTTTTCTTGTTATGCAAACAATAGTTTCTGGTGCTTTCAGTGGCTTGATTTCGGGCGCCATCGCTGATACCCTTGACGGTGCTCATGGTATGCGTGGCTGGAAATGGCTTTTCATTATCGAAGGACTTATCGGTGTTGCTATTGGCGTCGTCGGCTTCTTTTTAATTCCTGATTATCCTCACAACACTCGTTGGATCGTGGGTGAGGAGCGTGAGCTTGCCGTCAAGCGCCTGGAGCTCCAGGGCAAAAAGGTCATTGCTACTGGTCTCAACCTTACTACTTTACGCAACGTGTGCACCACACCATATATCTACCTCTTTATTATAATTTTCACTTGCATGCAACTTGGTATGGGTATCCTTCAAAATTTCGCCATTATTCTCCGTGAGTCCGGGTACGAGGCTTCCTTCTCCAATTACATGACAGTACCCTATTGGTGTTTGGCTGCGTAAGTGTTCTTTCTGACGTTTTTCCCCTTGTGATCATGGAGCTAAACAGCCTTCTTCTATTTTTATTCAAAAAATTATAGCGTTGTGATTGTTGCTCAAGGCTGGCTTTCCGATCACTATGGCAAGCGCCACTGGCATATCCAAGCCGGTGCTCTCTGGACTCTGGTCTTTTATGTCCTCCTTGTTGCCGTCAACCATGGAAATGTTCCCATCCCACTCTTGTATGTCTGTACTTACATGGTTGTCCCTGTGCTCGGTATTTCGCCCATTATGATGACTTGGAACAACGAAATCCATCAATGCGATCCCGAGACTCGTGCCTTGGCCATTGCCATAGTGAACGCTATTGGAAACCTCGCCCCTAACTTTATCAATGTCGTAGCTTGGACAGGCTAGTATCATCTTCAATTGCTGTTACACTAGTGCGTTTTATGTTTGAGGCATGCTAACATATAAAGAAATCTATAGTTACCCAAGCTCCGGCCTTCCGTACTGGTAAAATTGTTTCAACCTCTACGACAGCTTTAATGATGGTGGTATGCCTCCTAGTCTACTATTTGGAAGAAAAAAAGATCGCATTGCCTAAAGCTAAGGATACCATCAAAGCTGAAAGCGTTAATGAGAAGAAAGAAGTCGAAGAAGTCTGAATAGTACTAAAACTAAGCTTACTCTCCATAAATACGTATATATTATTACATGTCTCATTGTGTGCTATTTTAATTCTGTAAATATTCCTTCTGGACATTATAAAAAATAACAAATTGATATTGTTTACTTAATGGATGGTACGCTGTCTACAATGACAGTAACACTTTAAAGGTGATCTTCAGGTTTTCCTATTTTTGCCATTCTTCGTTATAGTGTAAATAATAATACCGCCGAGTTCCAGCCAACATGTCATAAGACTGAAAAGTGGGAAACCACTGTACTGGGCACATTTTACCGTTTAGGATTGGTAGTTCCCTTTCACCTGAACAACTTTAAAGAAACCAGGATTAATAATCAAATCAAGGGTTTCCTTTAAATACCTTGAAGCGAAATGAGTCAGTTGTACAAAAACTAAAAGAAATCTCCCGTGATTCTTCACTTTCCAAACGACTACTACCTTGGTTAATATCGGCGAGCTCCAAGTCTTTACGTCATCATTTTCTCCTGCTTGCAAGGACTTGATTCCGTTGGCTGCTTCAATATTCATTTCATTTTGATTATAAAAGGCAGGAGATATCCAGCGTCACCATTTACAATAGTAGATATCCAGATTTGTATGGCACAGAGCCTATTATTATAAGCCATCCTAATTTTGACTGCTAATTTCCTACAAACCACTATTATTCTCAGGTCAGAACAAAAACTATCCATTTACGTGAGCGTATAGAAGGGAAGTACGCGTCACGTTTGCGTGTGTATGCTTAATATCTGCTTGATATGGACTATCCAGATAGATATTAGGATGGTTCGAATCATCGGCTTTATAATAACATGCTCAATGTCCATTCTTAACTCTTAGTAAAGACTTCTCAAAGTTGTACAGTATACTGAAAACGGATTTAGTGCGTTAAACACTCTAAATAAATGTATGCCAGTCTCACAATCTCACAGTCGTTGTAAACGATGGTATAGCATGCTGTAATTTTTATAACTAGCACAATTTCATGCCAGTATCTCTACAGCTGAAGTGATGCTTTATGTATATGCTGAGCGCTCTTCCTCAAAACTTACTGCTGCGCCCAATCACGAGCAACACTGTGCTGCTATAGACAGGAAGACCTACCCTTAAAAACCACATTAAGCTTACGATGATAGGCCGTCAAACGTTGTTCTCCATATAACTTCTTTTATGATTGCTACATTTAGGTCACTACCCGCTTTATCCTGTTATCATTTGCATACATTAGTAGATACAACATTCTTTCAGGTTCGTCATATACACATATTGCTAAAGCTAGTTATTTTCTTGCAGTAACAAAGTTTGCTTATGACTTCAATTTTCATCTGTGTGTAGTGCTAATAATCATGTTGGTGGTTATACGGCCGAGCCTGCTGACTCCAGTGTGCGATCATTTTGAGCTTAATGTAACACATAATACGACAAATTTGGCAGTATGCGCTCGTCACATTCCTACATCTGCCAGTTAATACAGGCGCACGAGGCAGGAGAGTAAAATATGATGTTGCGACCTGCAACAACCAACAACATCAAGATCCCACAATTGGGACTTTCTATTCTTTGGTGGGGAAGGGTCATGGTGTAACATTCATTCTGAGTTGATGAGAGAGCGAGAGATAAATACTCGATTTGGCACACTATGCACATAAACCACTCTGTCGGTGCATTAGAAATAAAGCGTGTGTATTTACTCACACTCACACATACACTTACAGCCGCGGTTAACTCTTTCTGACATCAATCATGTTATATTGCTGTTACTTCTTCTGGTGATCCAGTGCCTTTCTCAATGACTAAATGAAATTGCGATTAACGTAAAACATAGGGGAAATGGAGTTTATGATACCAACAAATGCGATAGTAATAGTTAAGCCTTAAGGTATTCCATAAAGGAAAATATAAATTTTAATGATGAAACAAGATGCAACAGATATTAAAATGTTATTGATGGTAGTGATTGTGGTTGTGGTAAGAGGACTATAGTACATTTCATATAAGAAAGGGTATATCTAAATTCTAATCTACAATAAATAAAATGGGGACTTCACTCAGTTAATTGTTTCAATCCGTCATTTCTACAAAATTTTAGGAGGCCGTGAATTAGTGAAAAGAGACATAGTATGATAGGATAGAGTAATGGTAATACATACCGATATCATTCATGTTTAACGTTACCACTTCATCCCATGGTATATCTTCGTTTTCTGCTGGTATCGTGATAGATTTGTCGTTGGGATCTGCTGTATCGTCATTATTATCATGACTGCTCGCTCCTAATCCAGATACTTCCAAGGGATACAGATCGTCCTCAGAACCATTGGAGGAAACAACGCCGTCGGATGAAAGCGAGGGCGGATAATTTGACTGGTCAGCGTTAAAGTTGTTGAAAATATCCGGATCTTCAAAATAGTTGGCCATTGTGGAAGGCAATAGCCCAGTCGCCAGTTCGTTGCTTGGAAATACGCTTGCTCCGACATGTGATGGTGATGATTCGCCTGCAAATGACACCACTTCTTCCAGTAATTTATCCGTATTCTCTTTGCTCAATCCTGGCCATCGTGTTTTGATTTCTTCTGCACTGTAGTCGTGCGTCAAAAACCAAAACTTCTCGTAGAACTCCACAGGAAACTTCCAGCTCGACGCCTTTAATGGATCGCCTGCTTCATAGACCATCCCATCCAAAAGACACCGGAAGCAGTCGTCGACATCGTACAAATTGTGGAATAAGATCATGCGGTCGCGCATCGAGGCGATGGGTATCAAATCAATCCGCAGGTCGTGAGGTACTGTAAGCTGTTGGTTTGAATGAGCCGTAAGTACATGATGTGCCACTTATCCCGTCCAGTTCTCTCGCCGCGCACTTTTTAAAACAAAATCCGTGAAGAACTTTACCTGCAGTACAGTGGACTCTAGCTCAAATGCTCCATCACCCATTTTGTCGCATACTGCTTGAAGCTGTAACCTTAACCGCATTGTCTGGAAACTAGCCAAGTTGAAAGATGGTATCGGCTCGCGCGTCAACATGATTGGCCGTGCGCTAAATGTTGGTGACTTGCGACCATCCTCGTTATCGCTTTGATCATCGTCATCCTCGACCGTTTCCATAGATGATGTTGTGGCAGCAGATGATCGTCGGCGTGCTGCTGCAGTTTGCAGCTGTTGTTGCTGTTGTTGTCGCGGCGGTTGGGGTGGGGGCGTAGCTCGAATCCGTGTGGAGATTCTATTTCCGATCACCGTTCGCACACTGTCGCGGCCGACTATGATCACACCTGTCGAAAGGTAGCGACCCCGTTGTGGTGACGCCATAGACGGTGGCGGTCTGGGTTGCTTGTCCTTGTCCACTGACGGTAAACCGTGCAACTCCTTGGCCTTGCAGTAAGCCGAAATGATCTCGGGCGTCGACGTATTCACCAAGGAATCGCGCAAGTATTTGGTCTCCAAATAGGGGGTATGGTTGGGTATACTCACGTTCTGCATCATGCAAACAAGCTGCAGGCTCAATACAATGCCCTTGAGATGCCAACCTTCGTAGCCGAGGACGCCAACATTGCTGCGGAGCTCCTTGTTCTCGGACAATAGCTTGTCACGCTGCTCACGCAAGACTTTGCTCGTCTCCTCGAGTTCCAGGATATGGCGCTCTTTCCGTTCGCGAAACGCACGTTGAGCTGCTCGATTCTGCGCTTTTCGTAATGCGGGCGATGCTGGATTGGGTTTGCGGCCGGGTTTCTTTTTAAGTGTATTCGTGTCACTGCTGCTGCTTCCACTGGACAAAGTCTCCATCATCGTGAATATATCAAGAAAGAATTGAAGAGAGAGCAAGTAGTAGAGGGGAAATAAAGCGTTTGCTTGTTGACAAGACAGACAACGGTAAGAAAAAAGACCTGAGAAGAAGGTGGAAGGGGATAGCTATTTATATGTTTTTGGTAAACAGTCCGGTAGTTTTTCCGAATCAAAGAAGGGTGTGGAGAAGAAAGGTGGGGGGAAGGTGAGGGGAAGCGAACCCAGAATAGGCCGCGGAAGGAACGGTTGGAAACGCGTGAACTCTGTATTCAATTTGTTTCATTGTCGATCCAGTTTGGGTTGTGACGTTGTAATCTCGTTAAGTGCATCTATCTTGAGCTTCTAACCTTTAGCTATGTGGAAATTGTGCGGGGTAACGCACAGTCCTGCGCTCTACCCCGCATAAAGCTCGCTCATTTAAACGCGTAGTATAATCGACCTCATGTCTGCTCCATCACAGTGTCTCGTAGTAAAGATCTCCTGTCCATAGCCAGGAAGTTTACGGAGGAAACGTCTGTTCGAAAACGGTGATTGGCGGGCGATGATACAGATTAACTGTGTGTGTTAAAAATGATGCGGATGGGCCACACGCTTCAGTTTGTTCAAGATCGTCGACAAAAGGCTCGCGTTTATGTACTCTTTCTCGACATCACGTAATGACAAAGCAGGGGAAAAGCTTTTCCCAGTGCCTAGACAGTGTAGTTAGGTTTAGCCAGCAAATACCCTTTTAGTCAAATCCAAAGTAACAGAGAAAAGCTGGATCGAGATCTTGCTGTTTGTAACACCTGCCGTTATCCCTTTATTCTTGTCCCAGCTCGTCCTCCTTCCGCTCCCCCACAAATTTTGGTTTCCACCCCGCGCACCTAATCCACTTCTATGTAGCTCTACCACGGTTAGCTAAAGGGAAAGTCCTATTACAGGAGCTTTGTTAGTTCTGTCCGTTCTCCGGATAGTTCGGAGTTGTCCTGAAAAGGCCTAGTTTCACAAACAAGTGAGATGCTTTGGTGGTACAAGCAGCCTCAAAACGGTATCTTCTCACACCAGCACACACACACACAGAGCCAAGAGTGATAGGCTTCAACCGAAACGCAAAATTTCATTTCAATGTTTATTCTAATTGAAACCGTTGATCAAAAGTACATTCACTTCTCAGGATAGAATTTGTACTTGGCCAGCTAATTCTCCTATGCGACGATGGCCGTAGCTTAGAGTTTCTGTTGGCATTCTCACGATGTAATCCACCCAGTTTATTTATCCGGAGTATATATGCCAAAGCTCTCAAGCTCCTAATTTACTTTTTCTTCTTAGCATGCATTTAGTTGAGGAGCCACTTTGCTCTCACATACACAGTGAAGTGATCAAGCAGAGACGACCCTTTCCCATGTGAAATGGATATTTTCTAGATACACCGCCGCTCTACTACTGCTCCATGGCTCAATCATCATTACACCGAGCACACACTTACTTGTACGCACCAACTGACTTGTTCCTCCTGAATAACTAGGAACCTTCCATGGTAATCATGATGATGGATGGGGTAACATATGAACCCAACAACACAAAGAATCTCTTTAGGTGCTGTAGTATCCTATACTAACAACAAGTGATAGTATGGACGCCCCATCATACATTACTCCTATAAGGTATACTAATACTACGCATTGAATGCATAGATTGACACCTTGCACTTTTTTGAAAAGGTAATGAGCTGCAATCCTAACACCACTATTACAGAAACCTTTCCCAACTCCTTTGATACGACTTCGTCTGTTTTTCTAAGATTTCATTTGGCTCGTCCCTAGCCGATGTTATAGACTGTTTACAAATCAAATGGCTGAAGTGCGTAGCTCCATACTACATGCCCTTGTGTACAGGACCCCGAATGGCTTTTTTCCCACCCTTTGAAAAGGTGGCTCCCCCAACCCTTCAATAATTCAATCATCTTTCTCTTTATTTGCTGCAACCCCCCACTCCTCCCCTCCCCCAAACAAAAGGTGTATTGATCGTACCCCGCAATTTGGATAGTTTCCGAAACTTTAGCCGCTCAACAGGTGAGCCCTCTAAATCATCCTGCGTTCTCCCTTATACAATAATAAGTATTACCTTCTCTTGAAGAAGGACAAATATCATTAGTACTACATATATCATGCAGGAAGGGCTTTTCGATTGTGGTTTGTGCAAACGTCTTAGTAAGCTTTCGCGGCTGATCTAGATAAGTCGCTCTCCCGTTGCACTCCATCGAATCGAAGTTTGAGTACATATAGGAACAGAGTGAATTAGTTGTGGCTGAGAAAAGGTGTCGTAGAACATGTAGTGTCTCGGTACTCTTGATACTGGATATGCGCTCATGATAAGGTGGTATAAGTATCTTGCAAAATCAAAGGCTATATGCTCATATTTGACAAGATATAAATAGTCATTTAAATCATCTTCATTGATAGACAACGACTTAACATCACATCTTTCAGTTGATTTTCATTGAAACAGATTCCCACGAGTCCTATACTATATATTTTGGGAACTACAGCACTGATTTGTCGCTTTCTCGTAATCCTCCTTTAGATAGAGCTCATTATCTGCCTGCGCTTCATGGCCGACTAACTCAAGTCATTTTAGTACCTTGAGTAATAGTGACACTGCCTGTTTATACTTGGCATATTTTACCACAGTATCAAATAAACAATAAATCATCGGAATATACGGCTATACTTTGAGGAGAGAAGTCCAAGGCATGCACTTTCTTGTTACGAAGCGCGATCGACCGCACATGAATGATCATCAGCTGGGACGTCCGCAGAGCACTTGCTTGTTCTTTTTCTTCTAGCCTTCGGCCTTTTTCGGTCTTTTTGCCGGCGCTCTTGGACATGATAACCGTGGCGGTCAGAGAAGCTCACAAACGAGCTTCCAACAATGAGTACAGCTCCGTTACTTCTTCATCTCCAAATTTACGCTTTAATAGATCAATATCCCGTCATTGAAAATCGACATATTTATGTGTCAGTCGTGTAAGCTACTATATCAATAAGCTCTGATGTCTTGTGGTTGATATCGATGACAACAAATAAGAAACAGGAGCATCAGCTACTGAGGTTGATTACGACAATGTGATGCTAGCACGTACCACTTTACTGAATTCGATTTTCAACGCCATTGTCGTTTACATTAAATTCATATGAGTATGGCCACCTGTTACATCTTATTTGTTGTCTCCATCTTAGAGCGAGCAGCCTCGGTTTCTGTACCTTATCGCAGGTGATATAGGATAATGAACGATAATTGGCCGCAATTTGCTCTACCCTCGTTAATATTTTGCTATTCCTATGTGGTTTTATGTGTTAAGCTTGAATGCAGCCCACTTCATGGATTTTTTAATTTATTGCTATAATTACAGATAATAAATCCTTACTGTCTCTTTTAGTGCGTCGCAACGAGCAACACCATTACAGAAAGCGACTGATCCACTAATAGTACATTATATTTTGTGATTTCAGCAACGAAATACGAATACCAATGGCTCCCTTTTGTGTACCAGTTTTATTTAACTTTAATCTTGTTTGTTTGCTTGCTGTCTTCAGTGTACAGTAAGAATGGACGAGTATTACTACTTAATTGTAGCAGCTGCTGTGGTGAGTGCATATACACTTATTAGATACAGCAATATAAATATTTGTATCATTTTAGCACGTATCTGTTGGGTATATTATTTAGTTTTAGCAGAGAGGAGGACTGAATAAAAATGTGCGACCGAGCACTAGTGTATGATAAGCACCAAATCCGATACGCACAAGTCTTCAGATATATACGGCCACCTCTTGTTCACTATACTCAAACATCTCCAGATGCTATATATTTGCGAATGTCAACAATTTGAATTGAAAGATAGCATTTGTTTGCTATTACTACAACCTAACTGACATAACAATAGGTTAGATATGAAAGCTGCGGAGATCCCCCCGGAACACCAATGTGCTTTTAATCTTGAACTCTATTCCCGACAACGACCTGTGAAAAAAAAACACATGCTATTTGGCGCACTCGGCTCTCGTCCGGTTTCCACGCTCTTACTTTCTCGTTTTTTTCGGCCACCTCCTACACGTTTATTTACAACAAGGATGCCAGCCACTGTCATTGATGGAAAAGCCGTTGCGCAGTAATGTTTCGACACGTCATTGTTGCCGTCATTTTAATTTCGTGAATTAACAATGACATTACATCCCGACACACCCACTCCTAACCCTTTTGTCTTTTGACATGACTTGATTTGCTTACAGGTCTGTGCGCAGCGATGTAAAGACCAAAATTGCAGAAACCAAAGCAAAGTATCCTCACTTCAAACCCCACCTCGCCATCGTGCAAGTCGGTGGACGCGATGACTCGTCGGTCTATATCCGTATGAAAGAACGCGCTGCCAAGGAGGTAAACAAGGAATGAGGAACACGACAATCGCATCGTGGGAGAAGTGGACTGAATATGATCAGAACTCTGGATTGGACCTTCTTTTGCTGATCAAATAGTACAATCTAAATATCAAACATAACAATATATAGGCCGGCATCGATTTCACTTTACAAAAGTTGCCCGAAACTGTGTCGCAAGCTGAATTATTGGAGAAGGTGCGCGTATTGAACGACGACTATCGTATCCATGGCATTTTGGTCCAAATGCCTTTGCCTTCGCATATCGATGAAACATCCGTTGTCGAGGCGATTGATTATCAAAAGGACGTCGATGGGTAAGACTTGATTAAACAGGACAGAAACAAGGATATCGTATCAGAGAGAAAAAGTTTCACACGGGTGAAAGGACGGTGTGATCAATCATAGACAAAAAAAGGGGCATCATCGTTAAAACCACCTGATCTGTTGTGTATCTTCAGCTTCCATACCATCAACATTGGCAACATGGCCAAGAAATCCGCCGAACCATTGTTCTTGCCTTGCACACCAAAGGGTATCATTACGTTGCTCCGTTCCACCGGTATTGAACTTGGTGGCAAGCGTGCTGTTGTCTTGGGGCGTAGTGACATCGTGGTAAGTGTATGCGTGTGCGCGTATGCTCTCGGACTTGGATCGGTTATGCACAATGCTCCCCCTTTAATTCTTTTACTGCTTTGCTGATGCATGATCTATTTATAAAACGTAGGGCGCGCCTGTTGCAACACTTCTCACGGCGGAGAACGCCACTGTGACCTTGTGTCATTCCAAGACGCAGGATGTGGAGAGCATAGTAAGGAAACCCCAAACCATATACAACGCATCAGGATGGCTAGGCGCTTAATTGTTGTGCTAGGTTCGCGAAGCAGATATTGTTGTCGTGGCTATCGGTAAAACCGAATTTGTCAAGGGTAATTGGATCAAACCTGGTGCTGTTGTCATTGACGTGGGCACCAACGGTGTTCCTGGTTAGTATAATTTTTTTTTTCAAAGACCTTTTTTCTAGATGAACAAGGATGCTCACCCAGTTGGATTCATTGGCTAGACTCTACCAAGAAGTCTGGTATGCGTTGGGTAGGTGATGTGGAATACAGCAAGGCTGCTGAAAAAGCAAGCGCTATCACGCCCGTTCCTGGCGGTGTCGGTCCCATGACCGTTGCCATGCTAATGGAGAACACATTCGCCAGCGCTAAGCGGTGGTTCGAGTTGAGCCGTGAACGCAAGATCTCACCTCTGTCACTCGAGCTGAAGACGCCTGTGCCCAAGGATATTGAAATTGCCATGCAACAAACTCCCAAGCACATGGAAGTCTTGTGCCGTGAGCTTGGTCTGAGCCCCGGAGAGTACGAATTATACGGTGCTACCAAGGCCAAGATTGGATTGGATGTGCTTAAGCGTCTTGAGCACCGCAAGGATGGCCGTTATATCGTCGTGACAGGTATTACCCCTACTCCCTTGGGTGAAGGCAAGTCCACTACTACCATTGGTCTGGTCCAAGCATTGGGCGCCCATTTGAACAAGGTTGCCTTCGCCTGCGTCCGCCAGCCTTCCCAGGGCCCCACCTTTGGCATCAAGGGCGGCGCTGCAGGTGGTGGCTACTCCCAAGTAATTCCTATGGATGAATTCAACTTGCACTTGACTGGCGATATCCACGCCGTCACTGCTGCCAACAACTTGCTTGGTAAGTCTAAGTTTATATCTTTGCTCAATTGGTCATATATTGTATCTCTATGCCTGTGTGGTGATTATAAAATGAACGGAAAATAACATAACTTTGGGATAAACATCACAGCTGCTGCTATTGATGCACGCATGTTCCACGAAAACACTCAAACAAACAAGGCGCTGTTCAACCGTCTGTGTCCCGCTCAAAAGGGTGTAAGAAAGTTCGCTCCTGTCATGTTGAAGCGCCTCCAGGTGAGTACTCGGATCAAAAAAAGGCACTTAAGACTTCATTCCTTTGCTCACTCGATATATTCACCAGAAATTGGGCATCAACAAAACCCAACCCGAAGAACTTACTGAAGAAGAAGTTGCACATTTCGCACGCCTCGACATTGATCCCGAAACCATCACCTGGCAACGTGTTGTCGACATTAACGACCGTTTCCTGCGCAAGATCACTGTCGGCCAGAACCCTACTGAAAAGGGACAGGAACGTACGACTGGTTACGATATTGCCGTCGCTAGTGAAGTCATGGCCGTATTGGCCCTCGCTACAGATCTTAAGGACATGCGCCAGCGTCTCGGCAACATGGTCATTGCAAGCTCCAAGAGCGGTGAGCCCATCACTGCCGACGACATTGGTATCGGTGGTGCCTTGACTGTGCTTATGAAGGATGCCATCAAGCCCAACTTGATGCAAACATTGGAGGGCACACCCGTGCTTGTCCATGCGGGTCCTTTCGCCAACATTGCTCACGGAAACTCTTCGATTCTCGCCGACAAGATCGCACTTAAGCTCGCAGGTACCGAGCCTGAAATGGAACCTGGTTACGTTGTCACCGAAGCTGGTTTCGGTGCTGACATGGGTATGGAGAAATTCTTTGATATCAAATGCCGCGTTTCCGGCTTGGTGCCTGATGCTGTGGTGATTGTTGCCACTGTCCGAGCCCTCAAGATGCACGGCGGTGCTCCCGACGTCGTTGCTGGCAAGCCTCTCCCTGATGCTTACACCGAAGAAAACCTCGAGTTCTTGGAGAAGGGCTGCGCCAACTTGAGCAAGCATATCGAAAACGCAAAGAAGTTTGGCATTTCTGTTATCGTTGCCATCAATCGATTCACGTAAGTTACACATTCTCGTACCATATGCACAACACAAAGGAGAAAACAATAGCTAGCACGATTGCTAATAATCAAATTTGCACATGTAGCTCGGATACTGACGCCGAAATGGAATTGATCCGCAAGCTCTCCTTGGCTGCTGGAGCTGATGACGCTGTTGCATGTGATCACTGGGCCCGTGGTGGTCTGGGCGCTGTCGATCTCGGCAAAGCTGTGGTCACCGCATGCGAGAAGGACAAGGAGTTCAAGTTCTTGTACGATCTCGACCAGCCTATCGAGAAGAAAATCGAAACCATCTGCAAGGAAATCTATGGCGCCGATGGTGTTGAGCTCAGCGACCTTGCCAAGAGCAAGATCGAGACGTATACCAAGCAAGGATTTGGCTCGCTCCCCATCTGTATGGCCAAGACGCAGTACAGCTTCAGTCATGATGGTGCATTGAAGGGAGTGCCCACAGGTTTCACTGTGCCAATTCGTGATATCCGAGCCTCGGTCGGTGCTGGCTTCCTTTACCCATTGGTGGGCTCGATGCAGACTATGCCTGGCTTGCCTACTCGCCCTTGCTTCTTTGACGTTGATCTTGATGATGAAGGAAAGGTTGTTGGTCTTTTCTAAACCAATAGACAATTGTTATTTTGATATGATGGGTATAGCTTCTATTGTACATACAGTCGAGGAAGTAAAAGTTAATCATACTAAATAAAGATCGGTCACAACTCTCGAGTACTGGTTATCCTTTAGCGGCGGAAATGGAATGGTTACGCTGTATTTGACTCAAGAGACGTACATGCAGCAACTTTATGAGCTTTGAGCAAAAGCGTATAAAAATATAGGATGATTCCATATAACGTACAGCGGTTTCTGGTCAAGATCATTGACTATCATAGGAGAGATTTAGAGGCATGAACTCAATAAAGCTATATAGAATTTGATTGTGATGACAATGAATGTGTTTTCAAAGAAGTCTGCTATACAACAAAAAACAGGCCAGAACAACTGTTAAGTGGCACAAGAATATCATGAGCTATGGTCGTAGTAAACTGCATGCTTTGGTTATGCTTGTCTGTACATAAGAGATATGGTTTTATTATGAAGGAACTTTTTTAAAGAAAAAACAAATGCAAAAAAGTAAAACGAAATGTATACAAAAGAAAAAGGATGTTGAGAGATAGATATGCGGTAGGATGTTCTTGGATATGTAGAAATTATGTGTACGAATGGAAGAGCTGATGAGGGAGGAGCAATGCGTGATAAAAAGAAGTGAGGGAAGGAAATGATGGTTGTTGAGGTGGTCTCTTTAAGCAGCTGCCGTTGCGATCTCCAACTGATCAGGGGTTTCAATACCGCGCAAAATGTCAATGTGCTCGGAAGTCTTCTTGGCGCCATGGTATCTTCGTATCAACATGTCAACGTTATCCAGGTTCAGTGGTCGGATATCTGCTAATTCTTTAATCTTTTGTGTGATTGCCTTGGCGTCATCGTCGTTCAATTCGGACAGTTGGAGTTGTTCTATCCGATTCTTGACAGCGTTCCAGCCGGTGAGTCGGTGACCGATGCTGACGTAGCGGGAGACACCGAAATCTTCAGGCTTCAAGATTTCATATGTGGATGGGTTGTTGAGGATAGCCTTGGCATGGATACCTGCCTTGTGGGTAAAGGCACAGAAACCAGTAATGTAATTGTTGAATGGCACGTTCACGTCGACATTGTCTGCAACCAAATTTTCGACTTCGCGGATGCTGGGCAGGTTGTACTTGTTCGTGACATAGGCGCGGTCGGCAGTGTACATACGTGCAAGCAAGCCACCAAGAGGCGTAATACCGTTTCGCTCACCAATACCGAGAACGGTAGTGTCGATGTGAGTGGCGCCGGCTTCCAGGGCAGTGTATGCGTTGGCAATAGCGCAGCCAGTATCGTTATGGAAGTGGCACTCGATATCACAGCTGACGACACTGCGCAAGGTTTTGACGAATTCATAAACTTGACGAGGATCGGCACAGCCGACGGTATCAGCGATACCAACACGGTGGACGCCGACCTTGTCAACAGCCTTGTAAATGGCGAGCAAATCGACCAAGTCAGAACGGAAGGAATCCTCGGTGGAGAAACGGACCTCAAGACCCTTGCTCTTGACGAACTGGATAACTTCGATGGCACGTTGGGTAATGTATTCCATGCTCTTGCCATGCGAGAACTCACGGAGATAGCTTGAGGTACCCATCACGACGTTGACGCCATCAACGCCAGTATCAATGGCAAGCTTGACATCGTCCATGTGGCAGCGTACGTGGGTCAAGACCTTGGCCTTCAAACCAAGGCTGGAGATGACGCGACAGTCGTTGCGCGATTGCTCGGAGGCTGCAGGCGAGGTGAGTTCAAGGTAGTCGACACCGATGGCATCCAAAGCCTTGGCAATCTCCACTTTGGTCTTGGTATCAAAGAAGGCATTAGCAAATTGCTCACCCTCTACATGGACAAAGAGATAGGATAAGTAAACTGTACAGAATACATTCGCTTTCAGAAAACAATTATTGCTCTTCTTTCTTACCTCTTAAGGTGGTCTCGATGATCTTGAAGTTGGAAATGTTGGACATAGGGTCAGGATATCTGGGCATGTATGGCGAAGCGATAGGTTCCCGTGCACGATCAGGGCTATTTTCAGTCATGGATGAAGGCATATCTCTTGGTGGGACCATTTTTGAATTGCTGTTGTAGTAGTTGTAGATGATGAGTTCGGTGCTGTTGTAGTTGTTGTCGGTAGGTGTTTTCACGTAATGTGATTAAAAAAGATATCGAAGGGAAGTAGAGACTGTAAAAACTGGGAGAAGCGTCCCTCCCTTTTATAATTGATTTTTTCAGCCATTCCCTGGTCTCAAAGATTATCTCTGCGCAACCAAGAGCGAAAAACTAGATGTCGTTTCCATATCGGTGTTTGAGCTTTCTGCTGATTGACAACCTTTTATTTCAATCATCGATCAATTTTATCTGTCGTAAGTTCTTCTTCATAAAGAGTACCCGACTGTATCAAAATACTCTTGTGGCGACTATTGTATACAGCAAGAGCGAATAATTTGTAGCAACACGTTTTCAGCCCACTGACACATCCAAAACCCTAGTCCATCTCGTTGGCTTGGTGATAGTGAGAATTAAAGTAGGCCATTTGCTTCCATCAGTAATGTGTTGAACACCATCTCGAATGCATTGCCATATTTGGGAAACATGTAGAGATTCGGAGATTTTAATTTACCCCTCAAAAAAGAAGATCAGCATGACTTTCCCTCCTCTCTGAGCCTAATTTGACAAACCCACTTTTCTCTCTCTCTCTCTCTGCAGATTACGTATCTGACCATCCTTTAGTCAGCTGCGACTCCCGATCGCTGCCTTCTCTGTTGACATTCAATGGTATGCTGAAAAAGCAATTGGCTGCTTTTTTGCGCTTGATACATATCCCTAGCAAGATCTATCGTGTGATTGCTAAAAACAGCACAAACTGTTGCTGCACTTTTCCATCAAGTCTTTGTTAGACAAAGAATACCTTGCCATTGAAGCGGCAACACATCAATAAGTGATAAACGCAAGATAACAGAAAATCTGGGGTATTTGTACCCCTTTGATGTCACGCTCTTTTAGCAAAAAAAAGTTTATTTTATGTTCTAATGACGACGACGATCTATCATTGCCATAATAGTAGGAAATCTTCTGCTAGATTTCTTTTTTAGTACAGTATTGATTTTGAGATTTGACAGCACTAAAAATACCAAGATACTATACACATCTATTGGCTATTACAAGCGTGCTGTCATCTGCTGATGGGGTCTATGCGCTGGATTTGTTTTTGAGGTCAAATCTTCAAGTGTGCACTGCTTTATTCAAAACGTAGCATGACATAGCTGTTGCTAGAAAGAACAGCTTACACTGAAAGATCCTCGCTAATACACCTGTTGTCACAGTGCATACAGTAAGCGATACTGATTTCCAAAAGTTGCCCAATAAATGTAATATTTATGAACAACTGCATATGAGTAGTGATTGTTTGATACGTAATTTCTACCCCTTAATAAAGCACTAAGGAAACAGTCTTTCAATCAACCGAGAATCGGTCGCCGACGAGGATAATGTCCTTTGAAATAAAGTGGTCGTTTTGTGTGCGGACATCGATAACGTTGTCAGTTGAAACATTAGAATAGCACACACTAAATGGAAGGCAGTTCACAAAATTAAAAAAATTATACTGTTGAAAGCATTTTCCGGAACATATGGCATATATGTTCTGGTCTTCCTCGTGCATGTTGATGTGAAATTTGGTACATACTAATCCCTTATTCTTCAACTGCCGATGCAGTCCAGACACATAAATCAATGTAGATTTTAAAGGCGACTTTGTTGCATAATCAAGCTACAGGAGAGCAGACATTTACGCGAAAAAGAGAATGATCAGGTAGAAAACGTCTCCCACTGAGAATGTTGATAGCCGCTAGAAAGTTATAGCACACTTGACTGGTAGGTATACAGCCTTATCGTGTTATTCTCAAGTGAACATGAACACATACATGTTCTTTGCTCTGTTCTTCTTCTTGCAGTTGCTACGTTTCAAGACAGATTACTTTCCGTCCGCAATCGGCTCAGCACGTGACCTGTGACCTGCGGTGCGCTGGGCTCGACCATTTCTGCTGACTTTATTTCGATGGCAGTGATGGTCGCAGTCGTCACGAGTATTTCTTCTTCCACACACAATTCTTATATAATTTACTTCACTCACCATGAAGGTGCTCATCAAAGGCGGCATATGGAAAAACACTGAAGACGAAATTTTAAAAGCTGCCGTTAGCAAATACGGTAAAAACCAATGGGCACGCATTTCATCGTTGCTTGTCAGAAAAACACCCAAACAGTGTAAAGCTCGATGGTACGAATGGCTTGATCCTAGCATTAAGAAGGTAAATCATTGTATAAAAAATATGGAAAGCATTTGGTGACGTTTTGCTCACAATTATGTAACGATTCTTGATAACGTTAATACTCAAACTTACATCTCATGATATTCTTTCAAAATAGACGGAATGGTCAAAAGAAGAAGACGAAAAATTACTTCATCTTGCCAAACTCATGCCAACGCAATGGCGTACGATTGCACCCATTGTCGGCCGTACACCTGCTCAATGTCTTGAACGATATCAACGATTGTTAGACGAAGCCGAAGCAAAAGAAGCCGGAGCTGATCTTGGACTGACGGGATCATTAGGTCCAGAGAGTGGACCGAGTGCAGACGATGTGCGACGCCTTCGACCAGGTGAAGTTGATCCTGAACCTGAAACTAAGCCTGCACGACCGGATCCTGTTGACATGGACGAAGACGAAAAAGAAATGTTATCAGAAGCTCGAGCAAGATTGGCTAACACACAAGGTAAAAAGGCTAAGCGAAAGGCAAGAGAACGACAGTTGGAAGAAGCAAGACGTTTGGCGTCCTTGCAGAAACGACGTGAATTGAAGGCAGCAGGCATCCAGTAAGTTTTTTACTTTCTTCGACTTCCTTTATGTGTATGCGTTTACTGTACTGCTGCTGATGCATAATCTTTTATGTACTAAACAATATCAATTTAAAAACCATAGTTTAAGAATGAAGCGAAAGAAAGGTGATATGGACTACAACGCCGATATTCCGTTCGAAAAGCCAGTGCCACTTGGATTTTACGATAACACAGAAGAAAAGAGCCGACCTGTCGACCCTGGAAAATTGACCAACGTACATCTGTCAAAACTGAACCGTCGACGTGCTGACATTGAAGAGGAGAAGCAGCGTGAAAAGAAGAGGAAGGCAAAGCAGGCGGGCAACAAAGGTGGTGAACAGCCTGAAGGAAACCAAGGCCGCTTCGTTCCAGCAAAGAATGCCAAACTCATCAAAGCTCAAGAGCAAGAACAAATCTTCAAGCGACGGAAACTGGTCTTGCCTGCACCGCAAGTGGGTGAATCCGAGTTGGAAGACATTGTCAAGCAGGGCACCAATACTGAGAATGCACGCTCACTTGTGGATGATGACGAGGGTGGCATGACTAGTGGTCTCATGGGTGAATACACATCTACGCCAAAGAACTTGCCCACACGTACACCGAGAGCGCCTCCAAGTGGTAAGGATTGGTACACTTGAAAAGAAGAGAGAGAGGACTGCTGTTCAATTCGTCTTCTAGTCAACTAACTCTTTCGTGTATCTAATTTATTAGCCGACAACCTTGTCATGGAAGCACGAAATCTGCGAGCATTGACGGAGACACAAACGCCCTTGCTTGGTGGAGAAAATACACCCATGCGTGCATCGCAAGGCACAGGTTTCGATGGCGTGACGCCCAGATCTAATGATATCCAGACACCCAACCCTCTCCTCACACCACGCACTGACAACTCGGTACTTTCAACACCACGATCACAAGTTTCAGAACCTGCTATCAAACGCGCTGTGAAAGAAGCATTGGCTGGTCTTCCTGCCCCTCGCAACGAATATGAAATCCGTCTTCCCGAGCTGGAGAGCCAACAAGAGAAATCAGAAGGCAAAGATGGAAAGAAGGAAGAAGACATGTACGATGTCGATAAACGAAACAAGGAAAAGGCCGCCGCCCAAGGTAAATAGAAAAGAGCTGCGTTGTGCTATCAAGTTCTCAATTTGGAACGTTGAGTTAGTCTGCTAATACTTTTGTAATCATGCCATATTACTCCCTTAGAAAAAGACGCTTTAGAACGACGATCATCGGTCCTTCAACGCGGATTACCTCGGCCAACACGATCACCTGCAAATTTTTGGAATGTCACCTCGCAAATCGAATCCCTTATCCAAGAAGAATACTTACGCTTAATAACGCACGACATGGTGAAGTATCCAGCAATGGGTAGCAAAGTGACACCTGGCACAGCTGCTTTAGGTGATTTGGAGCAGGTTGAGCAAGAATTTACCCCTCAAGAACTTGCAGCTGCTCGTCTCGAAATGGAAAATGCTGTCAAGGAGGATCTGGGCCTGGATCAAGAAGCAGATGAGGCATCTGTGAAACAAGCGATGCAACAGCATGCATCCCAAGACGAGTTCAAGAGCGTTTGGACCCGGGAGCACGAAGATGTGGTACTTTCTGCACAGATGAACCGATACTTGAAGCTGGACGATATCAAGGAGACCAAAGATATTCTTCAGGGATATGCAAAGGTCATTGATGTAAGTCAAAAGAAAAAAAAAGCATACTGGGAGTAGCAACCGTTATAAATTCTCGTTGTCATGTTAATTGACTAATATACTGGAACGATTTGTATAGAATAATCGTCGCACCATGATCCGCCAAGCAGCTGAAGCCGGAAAGTTGGAAAAGAAGCTCGATATCCGAATGGGTGGCTACATGGGTCGATCTACTACTCTTATGAAACAGATCAACGAAGCATACGACGAATTGGAGACGGCCATGGACGAATACGTCAACTACTCTAATTTACAGGCTATGGAGTCAGCAGCTGTGCGCGTTCGTGTTGATAATGCACAGATCGAGGTCGACCGCTTGCAAAGTCGAAATAGCATGCTCCAGCAAAGATACAAGGATTTGACAAACGAAAAGCAAAATTTGATTGCTAGTATTCAGAATTTAATGGCCTAAATAAAAAAAAAGTTCTGTTTTCTTATGTGGGTGAATACATTTTCTTGGAACGAACGAATCACCATGCGGGTAGCACGCACTCACTGCTATGCCGCCTTTCGTCTGTTGTTATCGCACGCGGATGCGTGAAAGAGGACGGACCCAAAGGTCTGCCAGTCAGCAAAGATAAATAACTATCATACTTGCGTGTAGGTTGTAGTATAGCTTTATATGTAGCCTTGCATGATTGTTGACGAGCCTAGGCCATGCTTTTTGCAAAGCAACTGTTGAAGCGGCTGATCATACTGATGGTATCTCAATGATAAAGAGCACAGTTTCGGGTATGCTTTAATGAGATAAAAAGTTGGGGGCAGACCTTCCTGACTCGATAGCCAAGAGTCGGTACGTTGCAATCTTTTTTTCCCCTCTACCAGTCAAGAGATGCGCTATGTTATGAACAAAGAAGTGAAATTTAACATGAAGGAGGTTTCTTTGCAGACTGGTCCCAGCTTTTAAGATCGAATATGGATCCTTCGCGGTCACGCTGTACTTGGCCGACGAGGCGTGTGTGCAGGTACCATGACACTATTGTTTTTATATACGTCGAGCGAGCACGATAGACACTGGTTTATGTCCATCTCTATCTATGTTACAGGTGGGGCAGCGTCACCGCAAACGTGGTCGATGGACGTAACAGATATCAGGGTGAGCTACCCGTCATGACTCGCGTTTCCTGTGTTGAAATCATTACTGACGAGTCCGGATATGTTATACAGGCCTCCCATCTTTCCATCTGCTTTTTCATCCAGGTGTAGAAGGATGAAGGAAATTAAACGTATCCACCATCCATCACCACAACAACTCTCGATCGGTCTCAGAACATAGCCCATTACTCCTCTACACACATATTCAATCGCAATACCACCGCCCATATAAGTATTAAATCTCTGAGAATATTAAACTTCTATCTTCCCGCGATAGGATTGCGCGTGAGTACCACCCTGTAAAATAGTCGAGTTTCCTGTACCTGTTTCAATTTCTGTGTATGTTATTGTTTGTATTTCTGTTCGATTGTCTTGTAACTAATAGTGTATACATAGTTTGGATGGCTTTCTGAGGTATTGTTGTTGTTTGTGCCCTATTTATGGCTCACATGGCAACGCTCTCTTTTGGATCTGTCGCTGTTGATTCTTCGACCTCGAGATCATACAAGCCTAATATTTATGCTCATAAAACATAACCTTTCCACACACACACAAGATATACACAATGAACGAACCTACACTCGTATGGGATGTGATCTACCAGATTCTCGACGAATGCATATCCTTAGAGCTCGCTGAAAGCAGGCAGCTGCTTGATCAGTCCACAAAGAAAACCTGCTGGAGCTCCCAGCTTATTTTGATCAATCGCCAATGCCGAAATTACATTCTACAAAATGCCCTGTTCCATCGACTCCAAGTATTTTATTCGCTTGGACGGACAACACGATGGCGCGATCCAGTCATTGTAGGCGTCGACAAGGGCAACAATAGCAACGAGTGGACCATGCTCCATGTCAGTCTTGTGGAGGACAGACAAGTTGAAATGTTTTCCTTACTTGAAGTCCGGCCACCACGCCAATCGGCTCCATCACTCTTGCTGGACAAGAAACCAACACGTTCCTGGAATCGTCACGATACGAGTCGGGTCGTCTTGAGCGGTGACGGCAGAGTTGTGCCCTTGTTTTGCTACGATCGCATGGTTAAAGATATCGAGGAGTTTGCGACACTCAATTCTGCGTCGATCTGGGTCTGGCGGTCCCCGTCCAACGCATGGCTTTATCGTCACCGGCCAACATACAAGCTGTATTTGGATTATCCAGAAAACGAGTTGTTGATATGGGAATTAGGGAAATCTGCTTTGCATAACAATGTGCCAGTTTTCGCGAGTTTGGCTCAACCTGGTGCCGCTACACAGATGTTATTAAGATGACCCCTGGATACCGCCCCTCTTTGATTCCCTTTATCTGCCATTGCTGCTATTGTTATTTACTTGTAATTGGTGTGATGATTAATTTAATGATAATAAAGTGAGATAAACACACGAACTAAATGTCTAATTGCTCGTCCAATTGTTCTGCTAGTGTTTCGACTTCTTCCCGGGCAGCCTGGACCTTGGCTACTTCTTCTACAGCATGTGCAATCATCTGCTGCTCCCGAGTTTCTGCTTTTGCTTTGGCATCTGCTACCCTAAATATTGAAAGAAATGGAGTTATATAGTCAGCGAAATATGCCCGTACAAGGCGTCAGAAGAAAGGAAGGGGGAAAGGCATCACATACGTAAGCTTGAGTTCCTGCTCGCGCTTTTCATGCATATACAATTCTTCTTTCGTTTCGCGTCTGATGTTCTTGACCGATTGCTCTTTCTGTGCTAGCTCTGCATTTGTCTTTTCCACATCTCGGAAGAAGCGCTATCGCAATGACAAGGTTAGGCTTCTCTGTAGTAGAGTTAGAAATAAGTGATAAAGATTTTTACCTGCCGTTCTGACTCATGTATTTCTTTGGCACGGTTCAGATCTTTTTTCATTTTCGTAACTCTTGCTTGTTGCTCCGTTACATGTTGGTGCAATTTCGATAACTTATCCCGTGCTTCATTGACACGGTCGGTTTCCTTATTAAATAACTCTTCATATTGCTCTTTTAACTTTTCGAGGTGGGGCTATGTAAAAAAATGTGTATGATGAGGACGAATAAGCTAGGTATACAACGCGATTCTCAAATTCTGAACGAATATGCATTAATCATACCAAAATGACGCGCTTTAAATCAGCTGAAAACATGTGTTGCGGATTTGAAGCACCTGCGTCTATCTCCAAGTGTAAATGTGTTCCGTCGTCGGTGCTTCTTATGCCCAGCTCTGCTATTTTCGCATTGTATTCTGTAGTGATGGAGGCCAGCTATGTAAATGAATGATATGTAGTTTTCACCTTGGATGAGTAAACCTTTTAAAAAACGGTATCTTTCAAGAATACCATCGCACATAACATTTATTCTTACCTTTGCAATTCTCTGAGACAGTTCATTTTCTGCTATACTTTGTTTCTTCACTAACTGCTGTGCGAGTGATTGTGCGCTAACACACTCCCTTTCCAGTTGTGTCTGTTTGTCGCTAAGCTGAGTAATCTCTTCCAACGAAATGTTGTATGACTTTAATTTCTCTTCCATTTCAGCTTTTTGGTTGTTAGCTTGCTGCAATTGTGCCTCTAATATGCATGATATCAGTCATAATTTCGTTGGTCAAGAAAGGAGGGAGCTCAACAATTGGCTATCTTATACTCTCTAACTGTTTTGATATACATATAAGACTTACTTACCAAGCTCCTTCACTTCACGCTCTGTCTTTGCAATGGTTTCAGTGTATTTTGCAACCTTTTTCCGCATTTCGGTATTGTATCCTTCAAACTTGGTCATATCTCGCTCCATCCTTTCTCGTCTTTCCAGACATTTCTGTTTAAGATCCTTTTTGAATGTTTGAAAAGTTATGCGTTAGATGAAAATAAAGAGGATAATCCACGGCGCGTAAGAGGGAGAGAGAGAATCCATGTAAATGAACGAAATGGTGTCTTACTGGTCTTTCTTTCAATTGAGCGAGCTTGTCCTCGAGTGATGCCTTTCTATCTGCAATCTTTTGCGCATTTTCGGTATATTTATTTTTGATATTATCTACAAAGATTTTTATCGTTCATTAAGACATTAAAAAGATTGTCTGGATACTAGCCCGCTTCTTCCTTTTTTTTGTATTGATTCTTTGTAGCAAAAGTATAAATGCCATTGACGTACCGAGTAAGTGAAGTACTTTTTCATCATAATCTTCGTACGAGTCTGCTCCGCTTAAGAAAGCGTTATAGGTCGCAACCGAGTAATGAAAAAATAGGATATTCAAATCTTGCGACGGATCCTCTTCTTCTTCTTCAATTTCTCTCGTGGCGTAATGGTTTTGTATAGCGTCAAAATCCTAGAAAACCAGACCCCATCCCCATCCAATATCACAAAATTTAGTTAAAATAATAAAAAAGAAGTGTTAAAATTCTTCCTGTTGAACTACTTTAGAAATACTTACGTTGCACATATCAACCATCCACGATAAAACAGCAAGAAATGACGGGTACGAATGCGGGGCAGCAACAGAGAACAATGCTCTTGCACTCAATGTATCGGCACGCGGGTATCTTAAGGATTTCATGATATCGATAAAGACGTCCTGAAATCGTTCTGGGTAGACAAAGTTTGGTACGACATGTAAGTGCAGAAACTTGAACACTTGTTGAAACGTGCGGTTCTCCAAGTGGCGTAGTGCTGGCGCGGTAATAGGACCATAACCATTCTCGGTCAAATAACGTACAATAGATCGAATCGCACCACGTTGCCATTCGAGATCACGAATGGGTCGAGTGTCAATATTGGATCGTGGAGGTGCAGGTCGCTCGCTCGCTGTGGCAACGAATGAAGGTCGATTGAAAGTGCTTGCTCGTCCACTGTTGTCTCTCTTTCAGTTTTAGTACAACGATTCACCTTTTTTTTGTAAAGCAATCGAAACATTGAACAAAAAAAAGGTTCAATTGGTGGTTTCTTCTGATACCTTGATGAAGTCACTGTAGATTGTTGACTTCGTTCGAAAAGAGTCGATGGTTTTCGAAGAGGAGGATGGTGTGGTTCACTTGCTCGTGGATCGACTTGAATAGCTCGTCGAGGGCCAAGCGATTGCAGTCGTCGTTGTGATTGTTGTTGTTGTTGTTGCTGTTGTGCTGACACACGAGCCATTTTGGCTAGACCGCTGGTTGATGGAGGTTGCGTTCGTTTTAGACCGCCTCGAACGCCTCGTGTTGAGCCCCCCGTTGTGAGCCTTCGAGTGTCCATGTCGAGTAACAGAGTCGTGGTAGTCAGGAACAGGAGAGGGAAAAAGGAAGTACAGAGAGGAACACGAAACGCCAAAGAGAGACGCGCTCAATTTAATTTTGCGGGGATCTCAGAATGAATGACGCGCATTAAAAATAATGCTCTGTATTGAAATCTACTGATTTGAAATAATCCCTTGCCGTAGCATCAACTTTATGCTAATTGACAAAATACTTTGAAGATAAGCGGTTAGTCTACATAAGAGACCATAATACTTGCTAGCATAGCTTAGTAGAAGTTTATATGCTTAATGGCTTCTTCAACTTTTTTACCTGTGATATTAAAGATCGATCAATCTTACTCCCCGTAAAGTGTACCATGAAACCACTTCTCCCTCGTTTTTTTAAAGTAGTGCCTGCGCTCAATTAGACTCCATAATATTTGAGTTGTCTCTGTGTCTGCCCTTTTTAAAGAGGAAGGCAACGCTTGTTTGTATCCTTCAATAATATCGTTGTTACAGAATACTCGATACTATGCGTATCGTAAATTTAAGCTGACAATGCGCTTCAGCTTGTCTACTGTCCGAACAGCGGTTATTACACGCTCAATCCAGTGGATATCTGTTGCAGTCAAAGGGAAAAGCTCTGCGGTAAAGAGAATCAACCGACTTTATGCACTTTGTCACACCTTGAATTTCTGAATTCCATTTCAGGCTCTCTTGTTCACGTCCCTACATAACTACACACATATATTCGAGAAGAATATGCCAACATTCTATTATGCATTGCTGCTGGCAGCATTGTGTTTGCTCCACATGGTGATTGCTCATGATGCACATCAACAACAAGCTGCTTTCGGTCTAGAGCAGCAAAGTGAAACTGTAAGTCGTTGTTTTGCAAAACACACTCTGAATGGCGTAGGTCTTGTTAGAGATTTGTACTAACAACAGTGTTTGCCTCATGTTAAGCCGGAATCTGTCCTTCGTAAGCATGATCAAGTAGACGAGGCAACAGCACACGAAAAAACATTCAAAGGAGGCGACACGTTGGCGTACGTTACGCCCTGGAATAACCGCGGTAAAACGACAACGAGACACATTTAAGTAGAAAAGCGTGTGTTTTTCTAAACACTATGTATTCTCGCATAGGCTATGATATTGTCAAAGAATTCAAAGGCAAATTCGACTAGTATGTCAAACATAAACTACTGTGTCTATACTCTAAAGAAATCCTCATCATTGTGTTGCTTATAATAGCGTATCTCCAGTCTGGTATTACATCGAAGCGCATGAATTTATGCTTATTGGTGAACATGACGTTGATGAAAATGTATGTAGACCCCTTTTTCTATATATTTTTCTCCTATGTAGCAGAATTTAATCGCATAAGATAGTGGATAAAAGAAGTACGGGATGGCGGTGGTGCCAAGATTGTACCTCGGTTCCAGTTTCGTAACTGGGAATTTCAGGATTACCAGTCGTTTGTCTCAAATGCTGAGGAGGAGGCTTCCAAGGTTGTTGATATTATCATGAATCAAGTCAGGTAATGATTTTTTCATACAGAAACTGGGTGTAGTACTTGGCATACATACCCTTGAGAAAGTGTACATGAAGGAGCCTCTTCTTACCGTGCAAATAGAAAATATGGATTCGACGGTATTGTGCTTGAATGCGGCTATCCGACATTTTTCCCGGTCTTTGTCCAACAATTGTCAACAGCCCTTCATGCATCCGGCAAGCAGTTCATTATCGTCCTCCCACCACTTCGATCTGAAGAACAGAAAAAGTATCTGAATGCAGACATATTCGCTTCACTGGCACGCGTTATCGATCGATTTAGCATCATGACCTATGATTATTCCAGTCATATTCCGTAAAATCAGATTTGTTCCTATAAAACTTACCAAGTAGTAGCGGATGTGCTAACGTGTGTTGATCTGTCTCCGATTAGATCCGGAGGACCCTCTGCACCTATCGATTGGATTATCGACAACATTGAACAACTGACCAACGATGAAAACAGACATCAGTTATTAGTCGGATTAAACATGTATGCCATTGTGTATCACGAAACGTCAATGCCACAACCTCTGGTGCTCAAGGACGTTATTGAAAAGTTTGAGGACTGGATCGAGGAAGATGAACCATTCGATTGGGACCGTGAAGCTGAAGAGCACCACGTCAAGGATATGGATGGATCCACTATTTGGCTACCAACACTTCGTGTAAGTTACAAAGAATCACAAGTTTAAAGAAAGGGGATCCGTCACTGATCATGTCCACGCGTCAGTCTATTCGCAATCGGGTCCATCTTGCCGAAGATTATGGGGTCGGGCTAGCATTATGGGAGGTTGGACAAGGCTTGGATTACTTTGTAAGTTCTCACATCATTCAAGACAAGAAACGTTTTTGTTGTGGTATAACAAGAAGAATACTTCTTTTTTTCTTTTCTGTAGTACAACCTTTTGTAGTAAAGGGGATTTGATCTGAAGGGTTGGGTGGTGTGGGGGGGGGTATTATCTCTCGTTTTGTCGGGTGCTTGGTTTCTTTTTTTATAATACTAAACAATAAAATAGATACAGTGTGGTGGTAGTGGAAAGTTGAGTGAGGGAGAAAGAAAAAATGATGCTAGAAAAGTGCTGCTTTGCAGGAGTGTGTGTGTGTGTTGGTTGAATTGCGGGTGGTTATTGATTGATTACTAAAGGGAATAGAGGAGAGAGAAGGTGCATTTGTGTGTGAACGGAAGAATAAGAATGCTATAATGGAGATACTGGCCTGCTAAGACTGTTTTCATCGACACTGCGCACCAGACTTCCTGAAGTGCTGGTGCTCACTGCACTGTTCCGCCTGCTCCATGAAGATGCAGAGGATGAAGGAGGAAATGGGGCAAAGTCTCTGACATGTAGCGACGACGACGACGACGACGACGGCCGATCCGTACCGTCCTCGACCGAGCGAAAGTAGAGCTGAGCTTCTTCGCGTGAGATGCCATTGGCTGTACCCGTGATGGCGATGCTGTTGGGAATACTTCGGACCAGAGGCCGATCGGTGCCGAGGTGGATGGACTCGCTGCTGCCGTTCATGACAGCGCTCTGCCACTCTAGAGGAATAGACGATGCTGCTGTCGTCTGGACGTTGTCTTCCAAGAACGAGGTGATCCATGGATGTTGCAGCAGCTCTTGCGCAGTAGGTCGTTTGGTGGGGTTGCGTGTGAAGCATTTCTTGAGAAAATCAATGCCTTCGTGCGATAGCTGCGAAGCATCCGGCAGAGGCGGGTGGCCTGTCACGACGTGGTACATGACCGACCATTCGTTCTCAAGCGTGCTCCATGGCCGTCTTCCTGTTGCCATTTGCACAATACAGCATCCGAGTGACCAGATATCCATCGATCCCTTGCGTCCCGTCTCGCCGCCCGTGATCACCTCGGGTGCCATGTACATGGGTGTGCCCGCCAAACTGTTGACATTCATGCTCATCGTCGTCTTGTTCATGGTCTTTTGGCCCTTGGCAAGGATCTTGGATGCACCAAAGTCGGACAGCTTGATATTACCCTCGTAATCCAATAAAACATCTTACAAAAAGGCCTTCAATCAGCTTTCTTGTCTTCACGTGCAATATGGGGGGGGTTCTACCGTGGCTATACTTACTGTCTGGTTTGATATCACGATGGACAACATTGTTCTCATGCAGATACGCAAGGCCTTTGAGCAGTTGGTGAGCGTAATTGACAATATAGAATTCGTCTTCGATCCGTCCACCGTGCTCCAAAAGCGCACCCAAGCTGCCGTTCTCACAGTACTCCATAAAGATAAACACCTTGTCGCGATGGACCTCCATGCCGAAATACTGCACAATGTTGGGATGGTTGAGCATCTCCATGACTTTCATCTCCTCCTTGATCGCCTTGTGCAACGCAGAGAGTGAGCTAGAGTCAGGGAATCGGATTTCCTTGACGGCCATCACGGTTGACGTGTCCAGATTGATAGCCAGATACACGTAGCCAAATGTGCCCGAGCCGATAAAGCGACCTTGCTGCCACCGGAACGAGATGTTGGATGACGATGGAGCCAAGTACATCAAGGACTTGTCCTCGGAGCTCTTTTCGTTCAGCACCTTTCCCACAACCTTGTTTTCGCGCTCTTGCCTATTGCGGGTATCCTCCAGCTCGTGAATCTTGCGCATCCATTCGTCACGGATAAAGGTGATACCCGGTGGGCCACCTGCCGACGAGCCTGTTTCGCTACCATATGTAGCCGTTGTGATGGCATCCTTGTCCTCCAACCGCTTGCTGGTCATGTACGAATTGCGTTTTGCAGTGACGCCACGCTTGCGCTGTCGTTCCTCGCGAAGCAATTCGAGCTCGTGCGACCGTGATCGAGTGCCCAGGACATCGAAATGTGAAATAAGCAGAGCAATACATTTAGCGACGCGGCTTTGTAAGGTAGCAAACTCGTCCTCAGTCAATGCCAAAATGTTGGTGCCACGCGTCATCAGATGGCCAAACTCAAGCGCTGCCACAGCCCAACGAAACGTCTTGCGTTCTGTAGGAATGCATTCGTCCGTGATAAAGCAGATCCAATCAATTGCTAACCGCACCAGCTTCAAGTCGAGCTGCTGGCGTGCCGAGATCTCCAAGAACCGAGCTGCACGCATGCCAAAGTCACTGGCAAAGCTGAAACATTCTTCGACCAGTTCCTGCAAGTTTTGCTGTGTCTTGTCGCGTATCACGGCAACACTGTCGACGGTAAAGTTCGCCAGCTTGAGTACACTCATTTTGATCTTTGTCACTTCCTTGTTGATCTTGGGAATGTTGGCGCGATGCTCTTGCACAGGACTGATGCCCGATGTTTGCTGCAGCAAGGCGAGGAATTTGGATTTGATGGAGTTCAGGCGTCGCGTATCGCCAGTGACCAGTCGTGCCCGTCGCGCCTTGATGCCCAGAGGGACAAAGGGCACAGGCATGCGCACAACGTCGCCTCTCCAGATAATGTTTTGCCAGGGCGAGAACACGAGGACATAATCCTCATACTGCTCGGCGTTGGTGGTGCCTCCTGGGGTCCCTGGTGTGTGAACCATCAGCTGCTCACGCTGGAAGGATGACCGCAGCAGTGGCGAAATGGCATCCTCACGGCCATACAACGAAGGTGATGCTATAATGTAGATGCGCTCTTCCTCAAAGGACTCGGTGTAGACGAGGAAATGGCCTGTCTCCCACAGGCGCTGGACAAACTGGTTGGTGTCTTCCGCGTCGATGGCATACTCTGCAGCATTCTCGAATTGGCCCAGGAAAAATCTATCACCATGGAAATTAAAAATCAGCTTGGGGGGAGGAATGCCCGGTTGTCATGGGGCCCTGATGCTATTTTTTTTTCTCACCTGGAAAATTGAAGTAGCTTGCGTGCACGCATGCGCATTGTGTGCAGCAATTCGGTGTACTTGAACTCGACATCCTCGTCGTTGTCAGCACCAGCCGTGTCAAGACTCGTCATAAAGTCGGCCATGAGATCAGCCAACAGTCGGTTGGTGAACGAGCTATCAGGTTTGGGGCAAGAAGAACAGTGAGCAATCAATATATCACAAGTGTTACCCTCTCTCTCCTCCTCCTCCTCCTCCCCCAACACTTACCCCCCTCCCCCCGAAGCTGCAAAAACACAGACCAACTCGGCTTACCAAAATTGTTCAGCACACTCCCAGTCAATCGTTTCGACCGCCTGACACACGGTGCTCTTGAGGAACTCCCATTCTTTTTCGAGGACATCACATTCCTTGAGTGTGTTCTCCTTTTCGTTCGCGAGCTTCCATGCAATCAGTTTAAAGTACGACCGCACCGACTCGAGTAGCACAGCGTCATAGTTCTCGTCAATGAACGTGTCACCTTGCAAATCCCAACCTGGCGCAGGATTCGCCAGATCCTCGTACTGCAGCTTGACACGGCACGCCAGGGTGATCAGGCCGCGGTAGTCCTCCATCATCGTGTCCACCATCGGCTTGGGCGCCTCGTTGATCCTGTCCTTGTACTCCAAGCGGATCTTGAGCGCCTCTTGGACGAGCGACGTTGGAAATGTTGCTAGCCGTCTGAGGTCCAAAATAAATGGCGGCAGATTCATCTGCTTGAAGATCGTATTGTTGGCCACCATGGTGCCTTTTGCCTTGAGCAGCAGCGAATGCAGGGCCGACAAGGTCCGTTTGTCAAAGGTGTCCTGCAAAGCCGACTCTTTGAGGATGCGCTCGACAAACGAAATCTGCTGTTTCTGCGTGTCCTTTGCCTCAGCGTGCAAGAGCAGCTTGTCGGATCCGGTCCAATCGGCCAATATCTTGTGCTGCATAACCAGGCTTCGTGTAATTGTGCACCAGGCATTCAGCGCATCCAGCCGTTGTTCGAATTCCGCCGAAGCGTATTTTGGGTTGGCGCGGATCATGTCTGCGCGCGTTGCATAGAGAGATTCGACGCGGTCGACCGTCTTGAGCGCCTCGGCGACTTGGTCGAGCGGCTTCATGTCTGAATCACTCTCGACTGTGAACTGCAGAATCATTTGCAGCACCTGTTCAATCTCGCGTCGCCCCTCTTCCAAACATTTGCGTTCTTCGTCGAGGATGCGTCCTCGCAGCAGCGCGCGTATTGAGACCCAGATTTCCGAGATTGGCTTCTGATGCTTGATTTGGTCGGTACTGAGCAGTCGCTTTTTCTCGGATTTGATGACTTCGCCCATAAGCACTGAATGGAGCATGTGTTGCCATTCCATGCGTTCGTGCATCATATCTGGGGCAATGGATGGATGCTGATAGAGTGTTGGGTCTTTGTCTTGGTCGTCATTTTCTTCGTCGCTGTTGTCGTACACGTCGTCCTGGTCATACTCGTCCTCGTCCTCGTCCTCTTCTTCTTCTTCTTCTTCTTCTTCTTCTTCACTCGTCATGCTACTAAACTCGCTGCTAATGTTGCTTTTGCTGTGGCGCACAGGTGGTTTTGACATTGGGTACATTACGGCGTAGGGCGGCCATGAGGGTTCGTTGGGTTGTTGTTGTTGTTGTTGTTGATGATCATCGTCGTGCTGCTGTTCAATTTCGGTCGGACCGGGCCCATTGGAGTCGACATCTGGATTGTTCCACCGAACTTTTCTCGTTGTCATTGTTTGCAATGGACAAGTCGAGAAGCAAAATGTAGAGTAAAGAGGATAGTTGGCTTAAGAAAGATGATAGGTGCGGGTGCGGACCCAAAACTTGGCTTGCTGCTAAAACACAAAGAAGCCTTTTCTCACACAGTCAATCACCAAATAAGAAAAGTGTGAGTGAGTGAAGGTGAAAGAGGTGAGAGCCAAGTGGAAAAGAGAAAAAAGAGCGAGAGAAAAAGGCTCTCTGGGTGTGTGTGTAAGTGTGTAAGTGTGTGTGTGTGTGTGTGTGTGTGTGGAGACAAACCCAGCAATCCCCCACCCCCCAACGCGCGCATTTGGGCATTTGGGTTGAGCATGAATTCGCTTTTCTTTGCCAATTCGCACATGACTTCTTTGGCCCCTACAGTGTGCGTGCATAGAAGAAAAGGCCCCTCTTGTGGATGTTGGCGGGCTCTCTGCATGGTTTATGTCAGTTCCCCACCGTACCTTTGTATACCCTCACACAGGTACCTCCTGCATGCCGCACACACACACACACACACACAAGCAAAAGGAAGGAAGGGGTCCCATTGATTAGCGTAACCGAGTAAGTTACATTGGAAAAGAATAAAAAAAGGAAACAGACCAACCTTGTGCAACGCCCCAATTCAGCTCCAGTACTATCATCACGCACAGACGCACACACGAGCACAAAGGCCGTGGGGCACCCCTCTTCCCTTTTTAAATGACTACGCGCCACTTATCATAGCAGCAGCAGCAGCAGCCTGATTCATGCCATGGAGGGCTATGGTATTGATACTACTACCATGATACATGTGCGCCGCTTGAGTATGGGACTCGTGCTGTTTATTATTATTTTGCAAACAACGCTTATCGATCGACTTGAAGCTCGTTCCCTCTCTCTCTCTCTCACATGGTGGAACACCTTCTTTCTGATTAGTAGCACAAACGTGTGCGTCTAAATGTATTCATTCGGAAAAACAACGTTGTCTTTGGGGATAGTACTTGATAATACGGAGTTGCTGTACACATAAGATATTCATCCGGCAGCAGCATAGGATCGCCACATAATTCAGCGTGTTTTTGTTTTGATGCTATCTCAAACAAAAATCTATCCTTTTCCAGAAACACCCAGTTCCTTTCTCGACTCGAAATCCATACTCAGTCAGTGAAGAGACTTTTACTTTGTGCCTAGTGCCCAAAACAAGACTATTAGCACTCTACTGCAATATAAACAGCATGATAGAAAGAATAGTGTCTTTGGGGTCAAAGGGCTTATGCTGGTGGATCTGCGTGAATATTAAGAGTGGTGGCTGAAAGCCTGAAACAAACGTCAAATAGAACCGTCTTCTAATCGGAATGCGATCCGAGTTTTTGGTGACATTAAGGGGGGAGGGGTAGGGTGAATCGGTCCTCTTTTTTTTTTGTTCTTTTGACGGACAAACTAACATATCAGGAAATAAGCATTCAGCCGTATTGTAAACGGGGTCCATCATAACTGGTTGGGCCATGCTTAACGAACTGCATTGAATCATTTGTTACGTAGGCTACTTGGGGACCAACCAACAATTTGACAGCAACAGTACTACAAGTAACCCCAAAGTGCGATGATTTTCTAGGGAGTGTGCGCGTTTTCTTTACCACTACTACCATTATTCCCTATACCCGCCGAATACTTTTCTTTTTCTTTTTACAACAAAACCTTACTGTCAGCTATGGGCGACATTTTCAACCGCTTGCCATTTGAACTCATATGCACCATCTTTGTACTTGTTGGCCAGCAGGCATGTCTGGAATCTATGCGAGTGTGTCAGAAATGGTTTGACCAAGTACCACGGCATTCAACCGGCGTTTGGAAACAGGTCGACTTTTACTACGTTTGGACAAAAACCAACCCGTGTCTTATACAGTGCCTTGGTCCGCACGTACAAGACGTAGACGTAGCATACGATCGTCTAGACTTGCTTGTTAGGATACTTAAAAATCGTCAATGCACGATTTCCTCTCTCAGTAAGTCTTGCTCACAGTTGTTTACTATCTACAGTGTTATCACTTTTACCACTGTTTTTTTTTTCTTACACTCAAAAGAAATCTCTGTCTGTGATACTGGTGCTATTAGCTATCCGGCCAGGAGATACTATACCTAGCACAGCAGATATTGTATCTGGGCTACAGAATGCAAGCGGGCACCTGACGCGCCTCGTACTACAAGACGTGTCAAACGATATATCACCACTGTCAGTGGCTCGCCTATGTCCTCGCCTTACAGCATTGTCTATATCACTGGATAAATTGACTCTACGGAAGCAACAGCACGAGCGGCAGATACAACAACAACAACGACTACTCGAAACACTGAATGCTACGAATGCCCCTGACTCATCCCCTGAAGAACCTGTAACACAAGTGACAACGAGTTCTACAGCAGATAAACTATCAACGACTGCAAAGGAGAAGAGTCAACCACCCTGTCTATCCGACCTAGTCCATCTTCAGCTTGATACCGCCTACGATTTCAACACACACATTGAGCCCCTGCTGCGACACTGTCCACGATTACAAACTCTTGAGCTCTCGGCTTTTATTGATTTCAGGGTCTTTTGTATCCCAGCATCCATTGCCCAAACCGACTTTGACTTTTGTCGAGTTCTCGATCTATGTCCATCGATTGAGTCGCTTGGATACAATGCCATATTCCGTCTAGACAACAACAACAACAACAACAACAACAACAACAATGACAGCAGCAGCACAAAAAGGAGGATGATATCGATCAATAATAATAATAGTAGTAGTGATACCAGTGATCACGGCTGTAGTGGAAGCAAAGGATTACGCGAATTCAAGTTCACAAGCGACCGGTCCCAGCAATCCAGGAGGGTCATGGCAGTCTTGGAGAAAGCAAGTAGCACACTACAAGTATTGAGCCTCAGACGAATACCCTACAATGAAAGCGGAGGGTGGTTCGACTTTAAAAAAATTAAGAAATTACAACGACTTGCAAAGCTGACGGTTGCAGGCAGAGCCATTGACACGGACGTTCTCGTCGACTTTTTGTGCGCGCACGCCAGTACGCTTGAGCAACTCCATCTGACGTCGTCCGACATATCAGAGTCTGTGCTTCAAGTCGTGTCCAGCAAGATGCTATGCTTGAAGCATTTGTCTGTCAGTGCGGAAAGCAGCGAACCGTTCCCTCGTGTCATTCCTCGTCGACACCCTCATCATCGCGAAAGACAGCAACAGTCGCTCACACGACGCAATGAGCAGCAGCCACAATCCATCCATCAGCAACAGAACCGTCTACACACAAGAACATCGCGTCGATTGCTTCATCGAACACGCTCCTTTATCGAGTTCCCGGTTCCTTCGATCCCTCAAAACTTCCATCTGCTCACACAGCTGCCGGCGATACAAGAAATCGATCTGAGTGGGATGCGTTTATCAGATGCAGCAATACAAAGTCTCGGTAGCATCCAATCCTTACAGAGCCTGTGGCTGGCCGACTCGGGCAAGAATCCAGACAATGCTGTGACCAGAGATGGTTTGCTCGTCTTTGCAAGTATTTTATCCTCCAACAAGAACGCTCTACGACATTTGGCACTGGGATATTTCCCATCCATGGATGATACGGTGATGGCAGCATTTGGTGAGATACGATCTCTGCGCTCACTATGTATCACTAGTTGCGCTGGTGTCACAGATACAGGGCTCGAAAATTTCCTTGATACTGCTCCATTATCGACTTGCTTTACAGTCATTCGCATTTATCACTGTAAGCGTCTTACTGAGAGCGGAGTACAATATGCATACAACAAATTAGGAAGAGCAAACGTCAGTTATTGGCACAGCTTGTAAATAAAGCATAAAGAAAACCCCGGACGTTGGTTAACAGGGCCACTTGTTTGCTGGGGACAGCTTCTAGGGATGAATGTCGATAGGAATCTCTCCCTTTGAAATGTCATTCGTGCAGTGATACAAGGATATTTGTATCTTATTAACAGTACAAACAAAAAGGAGATGCGAGTGTCTCGTGAGGACACGCAGCGATCATTGGTCGCATTTTATTCGGTAAAAAACAACAAGGCTGTCGCAGTTGGCGTGTGTAGCAGAAGAAACCGATGGTATGGTATATATATATATACAGTGAAGAGGAGGGAGGAGGGGCTCATTGTTCTTTGAAAATGCCATAAAAGGAAAGAAGCAAGTGGAACAAAACAACAGGGGGAATCTTGTATATATAAATGCCTTTATTCTCGATTCTTTATTTGGCTTTGTCAGTCCACTTCCACAGCATCTTTCGTATTTGAAACGCGCAAAAAGCCATCAGTAGTATGATAAAGCACGAAGATAAAAAGTACGACTATAAAGATGCCCTGGACCTCAAGCATCCAGAAAAAGATGCGGTTGCCAAACAGCACAATGCCAGACAAAGCAAGTAGTACAAATACAGAGACACATTCTTTGATCAGAAACTAACTTGGACATCCCTTTTTATCCTCTGCTATTGCTATTGCTGCTGCTGCTGCTGCTTCTACTTGATCGTTTGACAATAGCATCGCTAAACTTTGTCTTTGACAGTGTCGAAGATGCCGGTGCATTCTCCAAAGACGTTATCCAGAAAATAGACAAGGGCAAGGTGTTCAAGGCAGAAGAGTCGTTTCTGTATCCGAGGCCAGGCGATAAATTGCCCCATGATTTCAGTGACAATATGTGTATCATACTCTGAGAAGTCGATGATGGGTGCCCTGAGTTTTCCTTTTTTGTAACACTGATGAAAACATTCACCTCTGTAAAAAAAAAAAGGGCATCTTCCTCTGTTTTCTCGCTCTCTCTCTCTCTCTCTTTCTCTCTTCCTCTCTGCCTGCCCCTCTGTTATATAATAAATCTTCATGTCCAGTAATACCATTCATAGACGACAGCGGCGGCATTCTGCGGGGGATGCCATTCTGTCACATCATGCAGCGAGTCGGCATCCGAGTGAAGTAGACGCGGCTGATGAGGTAAACGACGACTCTCTTGAGCTTATTGGACACTCTTTGTTCCCTCATTGTGCAGGCTGTTGACAAAGAAGGATCATTGTTTAGCCACCACCCTATACAGAGTTCGCTGAAGAAGATCGTGACGGTCGACCGAAAAAGCGGCGGCGACGATGGTCCTTTACGGCTCTGATGAAGCGGATCAAGCCAAAATTAATATCTCGCGCACAATTCAGTCATAGCAGCAGCACACGATCTATACGCACTGTGTTTGCCACGTCTCCCACCGGCGATGTTCTAGACGAGCAGCAGCAACAAGATATCCTACATCAGCTCAGAACCATGGACGAGCGCACGAGTCGACGCGGAGGAATCATAGCTGGCAGTAGTACAGGTAGCAGTAGCGCGGGGTTGCGATTACGTGGTGGTCATCATCATCAAAGGCAACGACAACGACATTGTAGCAACAGCTTTCATCGGTCGTCAACAGTAGCAGTAGCAGCAGCAACGACGACAACAACAACAGACGAGGAAGCAGCGACACGTGTAGCTGCACTTGGCCATATTTGGGTATTTCGTCGTTTGGAAGAACAAGATCGGTTTGACAATGACATGCCAGCGGTGTGGACGACGTTTGACTATGCCAACCAGATGACACTGATGAACGAGCAGGATTCGGACAAAGGGATAGAGATTTTTGATTCGCATGTGCGGCAGGGCCAGTTACCGGTCTTGGTGGTTCCAAGGCGCCAGCGTGGCTATTTCCCTCTGGATAGAACAGGCGATGCGATTGTTACGTTGGAAATCGCTTGTTTACCAAACACAAGCGACGTCCAATTTGTTTTGCGACATTATTCTCCACCCTAAAAATTACACCGCAATAATATACATGGTGCATACATATATAAGCCCTTTTTCTTTTCCTATTTTGCACAACAACAACAACTATACCGTCAGAAGAAAGGGGAAAAAAATGATATTGTTGGCGTTGGATATTCGTCAAGTCTTGGACCAATCTGACGAGGTGAGGGGAGGGGAGAGAAAGATCGCGTTATTGAATTAAAAAAGATGGGACGTAAAAAAGTAATTCCAAGAAAAAAAAAAAAAAAAAAAAAAGTTCAATGAGGCGTTCACTTGGCTACAAACACAGGAAGAGCGGGACCACGTGATGCGATTCAAGTTTGAAAACGATCGACGGTTAGCATTAGCAAGCCGGCTGTTGCGCAGATACGCGTTTGTACGATACTATGGAATGACATGGGGATCGTTACGATTTGTGCAAGCACAGAAGGGTGGAAAACCCAAGTTGGAGGTAAGTAGAACGCGTAGTATTCAAGGGAAGAAAGCCCCCGTCCCCCGCTGGTTTGGGCTCAGATGTATGTTTGCACACACGTCTAGGGCTTTGAGGATTGCTTTGACTTTAACGTGTCACATCAAGGTGATTGGGTGATTTTGGTAGCCACCGACCAACGTGGGTGTCAAGTCGGTATTGATGCTGTGTGCACAGACAGCATGCCGTCTTCCATGACCGCTACTGCTCTTGTCGATACTTTTGCCCCTCAGGTCTGGTCTGGTCTGGTGTGGTCTGCTTGCATCACTTTTTGCCCTCCTTTTTAACTCCTCTTTACCAAAAATTAGTTGGCGCCCAAAGAGCTCGATATGCTACGGAGCCATCCACATCCGATCGAAGCCTTCTACGCGCTATGGGCATTGAAAGAAAGCTATGTCAAGGCTCTGGGCATTGGATTATACATGGATCTTCACAACGTGTGTTTCCGGAACAAGGCAGACAAGGTAAGCCCAAGAACAGCAACGATGCGTCAATCTTGCCCAAAAAAAAAAACAAAAAAAGAAGGTTCACTCAAACGAAAATTGAGAAAGATCGAATTAATAACAGGTCAGGAGAAACGAGGACGAACACAGGACGTAGAACCATGGCAGTTCCAATTGCATTGGCTGGATAACAGAACCATGTCTGCCGTATGCTGTTCCAAGAAGAACAAGAACAACGACAATACGCAAACTACACAATTAATCGGTGATTCAGCGCCAACCATGCCGCATCCATTTGTCACCGTGACCTTTGCAGACCTCGTGGCCACAGCAGCAGCAGCAGCAGCAGCAACAACAACAACAACAACTGCAGCAGAAGCAGCGGCTTTAAAATCTCTATGATCTGTGTACCAAATCATCATCCCAAAAGTGTCTTCATAAGCACGTGCGACTTTTCTTTTCCTCTTTTTTATTTTTCTGTTCTTCTTTCTCAAAACGTTTCACGAACAAACATACCCGAAAAAAAAAAAAAAGAGGTTTTTTTTTTACAACGAACCAAGAAAACTCGTTCATTTTCTTAAGAAAAAAAGAAAATCTCCCATGGGATGCTGTGTCTCTCGAGCCGCCGACGACGATGAAAATCCACGTTCTACTGTCGCTGGAGGTTGAATCATATTCTACATTGACTCCATCCTTTTTATTTTTTCGTCCAGCAATTCTCAACTGGATTAACCTTGTTTTTTTTATTACACAACTAGGCAAGCCGTTTAAACGCACCGGTCTCAGCTGGACAGCAGATACGCCTCTCACACAAGCACAACTGGAAAACCAACGCACGATATTTTGGGATACAGCACCGAGCTATGAGGTACACTTTTTTTTTCACAAAATACAACATGGAGCGATCCACCTCGCTCTCTTTCTTTCTTATCATGTTTGCCATAACTCACAACTTGGAGTAACACAGGGTCGTCCGGAAATTTGGCAAGCACTTCATGCAGCAATGACATCGCCTGACATTCGAATGGCGCAATCCATCTTGAACGCTGCAAATATCATTATTCCTACCGGCAACCCTTCTGAAGGATGCTATGATGGTAAGAGACATAGAATATACCGTGCAAAGAGCGAAATAGATCACGATACTGGGAAGGAGGGGGAGAGAAACAAAATAAAGGGGTATAAATACTCTACTAAGGATGATACAATGCATGTGCGGTTTACAGAACTCGGTAATCGCTATGTGATACCAATGTATTGTCTTGTGGATCCAGTCAATCTGATTGTTCCAGAGGATGAAGAGGATCAACAGCAGCGCCACGACGACGACACTACAGGCATGATTGCATCGACATCTGTGCCGGCACAGATCAAAGACGAAGAAGATAATAACCTCAGTAATAACGATAACAATGATAACCAACACCACCACGCAACCATGTCAGCCGAGGAAAAGAACCCATCGAATCTTTCATCCGATGTGCCATTAGCTGCTGCTGCTGCTGCTGCTGCTGCTACAGGTACCTCCACGCTTATTCCCATCACCGTTCGATTATCGACTGCGCAAGACATCAAAGTAGATATCAGCAAAACCGACGAAACCGTCGGATCGCTACGTACCAGAATCTACATGCAGACACCCAGCATATCGCCACAGACACATACAATCCGTTTGATCTATCTCGGACGTATTTTGCAGGAAGAGGATAGGATCGTATGTGAAGGAGAACCTATACCAGAACCTAAACCTGTGGTGATTGCCAGCGGTGGCGTCATACAAGCTTTGGTATCGAAAAAACAATAATATCTACATCTCTTGCACTTGCTCTCTCTCTCTCTCTCTCTCTCTCTCCAACCCCTTCTTCCTCTCTGTGTCGTGTGTGTGTGATAATTACTCGCATACACTACAAACATGTCCTATTATTATACTTTCTGTTTTAATAGTACCATCACAACTCTTTCAAGATGTTCCCCTCATTTGTCTGCTTGATTTAATTTATCACTTATTTCTTTTTGGTCTGCATGAATACCTTTGTTACTGCTGCTGTTGCTGCTGTTAAAGTAGATCTAGTACGCAGTAGACCACATTACAGACGTTATATCCTCTTTTATTTAACTCGACAGTCATTTAACTCGACAGTCATTCAAGGTAACACAAATGTTTATTGACAATCTTCAAATGCATAAATGTCTGCAGTTGAACGCCAAATATTCGGATCCAGGTCTTTTTAGCGGTAGCAATCCCCTCGGTATTAATTATCTCTCTAACAGTATAGAATAAAAATCATATCATATAGCCGAGTTTCAAAAAAAAATTATAAACATAATACATAGAGCCCTTCTAAGACCTTTTCCTACATAAATCAGTATCTTGAAATTTTAAGAAATATGATTTAGGGTGTATTTATCCAAAGGCAACCATTCACGTTGCTTTGATTCAATATTACATAACACTAGTATTATATTAGCTGACTTTACTACAAGCGCCTTTCATCATACCTCAATGTCATAAGTGTTAAACATACATCGTTCTTTGTTAACCACGAATTCTACTTAACGCAGGTGAAAGCTTCAATGAGGAGGTTATTTCCGACAGTCTCAACATAATGCAAACCAGTATGTGGTGGTGGTGCTGCCAATTGTGGCTCTCGAAGCATTGGAGGAGATACTCTCGTTTTTATTTCACCATTATTCATTATACAATATCTGCCCACGACTTTGACCGCCAGAATTGGGTTCTGCAGTAAGACCATCGCGAGTATTAGGGAAGCCACGATTGCTACAAAAGCCAAGATTGCTAGAAGAGCTTCGCTTGCCAGGAGAAACACGATTAGTAGCAGTTGCCAGGATAGCTACCGTCACTATTTCTCGCGACCGCTTCTTGTATGTTGTTCCCTGAACGACTGCTTGTTGTCGTATCTACAACAACATCCGGTGCCCTGGTTTCCGCCGCGTATACAATGCTACTAGTATCATCCTCCTCCTTCACTTTAAGCGCCACAGCTTAATTTCGATCCATGCTAGACAATGCGCATGAAATCCATTGTTAAGCCTTTACGCTTTCTTGGGATGCCCATATTAGAAACGTTTCACAAAGCCAATAATAAGTGCTGGGTCGATCTGAAGCTCCTTACTAATGATTTGGGTTTTGCGCAGCGGCTTGGGAGGGGAGGTGTGTGCCCTGACTGTATTTGGAGGTTGCTGCTGTTGATGAGCTCATTGGCTTATTAAAGGTTGCGTAGCACGCAGATTGAGAGATCATAGACTTCGTTTAGTTGTTACAAGAATTGACGGCCAGTTTTTTTTTTTTTTTTTTAGGTGAGTGGTCGATCTAGGCCACCGTTTGATTGTTTATAATCGGGACCGCTAGATTGCAGTTGCTCTTTTCACCAAACCTCACTTGAATGTCTTTTAATAACGAAAAATTGCTGTTAACCACTATTATATTTTTCGATCTTACTACGTGATCTTGTTCAATAGGTTATTGCATGTTTCAAGTTTACCGTAATCATTCGTTTGGATTGACTTGAAACAGAATAGTTTCGGTGAACGTATATGTGAGATGATGATGTCAAAATGTAGACTTATATTTGAGCCACAAGGAAGAGTATTCAGAAAGGGGTTCCAGGTATGTATATGACAACAGTGCCCGCTCGATAAGTTGTTATTGAAAAAAAAAACCGATATTACCATTATTATTAAAGCTGTCAACATGATTCGAATATGTCCAGCAATCGCGGTACATATGCAGCGTCTTTAGCTCAGACGTTGTTTTAATAGCTGTTACTATATGTTGAGATAACCAAAGCTGGAGGCTGACAAATGACTGACATGAGGAAAGGTGGATATAGGACGGCTGCTGGGAGCTAAGGCGAGTGCTATATTCAGAACGGATGAGATAAGAGAGAACCTGAAGGTGAAGCGGGGGAAGTAAGAGGAATCACCGAATTCCGATTGAAAAACCAAAATAACGACGGCGATGTTGCCAAGTAAAATAGCACGACTTAGTAAGTAACATATTCTTTCCATTTTGTAGTGTAAAGTGCAGCGAAAGGTTTTCTGCAAATAAAGCTATACAAAGTTACGAATAATACCCTTGATCGCTTATGCTGTGACTCTAGTCCTGTGGTGCTTGGTGGATTTGACGCCAAAGATAACGAGCTCGTGGATGGCGTGCCGTGTTACTCGTGCTGCTGTGCCGCGACGAATATTATTTTTTAACCGTGAAGAGTGCTTGAAAACAGCAGCGAAATTTCTTCATGAACGTTCTCAATGTAGGAGATAAAGATCACCCCGTGTATGATGCTGAGCTTTGCATGATAGAGTGTTCCATCCAAGCAATCAGCTTGAGGGCCTCACCGCGAGGCAACTTGGTATGGCCAAGGCAGCAAACAAAAAAGTTGTACGTTACGAAACATGGACGAAAGGCTTTATTATATAAAATATCATATACATCATTTTGAGAATCATGTTATTACCTACAGTTAAACAGTTCCCAAAAAGCTTCAGACCTCGAAATCGAGAAAAGCAACAGAAATTAGACTTCACTGTGCTGTGTACCTTTACAAATCGTTCGAAATAAACATCATCATCACTTCACTATCTACATACTCTTCTATCCGTTTTCTTCTCTTTTCTACTGGCTATGATAGTATTTAGTGTATCCTTATCCCAAACAAAGTTTCAAAAAAAAAAATAGAAATGTATCCTACTATGGTTTCGTATAAGATAGAGAGACTACAAAGAGAATAAGACCACAAAGTAACCACAGAATGGCTAGTTAGGATAATCATAGATACCCCTTTTTTTATTATGAAATTATCCAAGTTTATTATATGTTCTCTAAAGCTACTGCAGATGTGATTATAAAACACTGAGGCTGCTATGAGTAATAGTAGTGTAATGTATGGTAGTATTACGTCTGAGCATAATGACGACTGCTTAGCAAAAGGGTAGCGACGTAGTAAGTCAAGGAGATACAAGACGTCGTACTAAAAATATTATCGGAAATACGTATACCCAACCATTAACCACGGCAAATAAAAAATCGTAACTCCGAATGCTGGATTCGAATGTACTACAGTACAGAAAGCCTCGTTCCGGGGTCGAACCGGAGACCTTCTCCGTGTAAAGGAGACGCGATAACCACTACGCCAACAAGGCCGAGTTGTTGGTCTTTAATTTGTACATATAATAGCGTTTTATATTATTATGAATTATTATTATATTATTATTAATATTAATATTAATATTATTATTTATTAATTTATACTTTATTTTTAAATAAATCAAAAAGTGCTAGGTTTGTATAAAGAAGACCTATGATTAATAAAAATAAGAGAAAATATAATAGATATAATTTTAAAGTAAAATACTAAATCACTAAAAGATGTCTTAGATAAACTAAAATATAAAAAGAAGATATAAAAATCAAGAAGTTTATAGAATAAATAAATGAAGTAGGCATTAGGGGTTGCAATTGGACAGGTTGGGTTGGGTTAAGAAAACACTGACCTGACCCGACCTGTTCAATGCAACAGGTCAAAAATCGGATTGACAGGTCAAGACTGATTTTGATATAGTGATGAAGGAAAGTGTTAATCAACCTGAACTTGAGTACTAGAAGTACAAAACTCTATATATATACATACACAGCTCTCTAAGTTGATGGCACACAAATTCCTAGTAGTGCTAGCAACAGCAGCTACATTTTGTGTGATTATTTCTAAAGGTAAAGGGTTTTGTGCCATTATAAATGAGTTCGCTCAGGCTCCTTACATCTGACATGCATTAAAGAAAGAAGCATAATAGTTAAAGTGTGGTTGAAAATCGACTTCCCTATATTATACCCCTAATCTTTTTCCCTTTTCCCTTTTCTTTTCACTTCTTCTTTCTTCCTTCGTTCTTCTTTTCTCAATTTTCCTTTTCAGTCTCTTGTCAAATCTCGTCTCTTATTACTGCCACCCTCTTTGTCCGTTCTCATTGTACTATTGCTACTTCTTTACTCCTTTTTTACATAATTGTTTATAGCTTACTTGACTTATACTCTTGAATATAAAATATAATCCCACAATAAAAAGAGTATAAGTACATTTTATATTATAGCTATATGGCAGACATATTGACAACTACATCTTTAATATAATGATGATGCTTCCTAGCAAGAAGATTGACTACTTAAATACAAGTATATCATTATATCTTTATATGTATACATAGGTCACAACGGGTCAACGGGTCAGGTCAAGGGTTAGACAGGTTGACCTGTGGGTCAGAAAAGCATCAACCCGACCCATTGACCCGTCCTTAACCCGCGGGTCAGATTGCGACCCCTAGTAGGCATCACATAGCAATGATCATAGTGCAGTACTGATTGAAGTGTCAGAGAAAAGAATTGAAAGCATTATCACAATTTAACAACGCCATATTACTCATACCGAACATAATTAGTAAAGAGGAGAAAAGTAGTATTATAAAAGAAGGAGTGTTGTTATTTACATAGGAAAGGAACACATCTTAAATTAATCAAAGAAAAAGTGTTTCATTTTTATTTAATTGCTATAATAAAGTGGCATCATCGAGCTACTCGTCAAAAATCATTTGGACCTGAAAACGTACTATGAGAAGAGCTACACTAGCCGATATTCTCAAGCTAAATCAGATGAAGACAAGAAAAACGCAAAAAAAGTTAACCAAAACTTCGTTGATTAATGAAGCTATCATCGTTGACATCATCAACATCAGCATCAAAGCACAAAATAGCCTCCAGAACCTCCTTGAAGAATACCGCAGAAACATAGATCCCCACCGTAAAACGTACTTTACTGAGGATGTCAAGTGGTTCGTCTTTCCACGGCTGGAGACTATCGCTGCTAGTTTGCGACCAAAATTAATGACCTAAAAGTCCTTTTTGAACGATTGGAACATTTTATGAGGGTCCAAGCAACGGCAGAAGGACCCCGAAACTCGATTATTTTAAGCAAGAGCTGCCAGTTGAGGTCTACATGTTTTGGAAAAGGCACCTGGGCAACTCCATTCGGATGACCTGGGGAGATGTTCTCGGATGCGTACACAATTATAAGGTCGCTCTGGAGCTATCACAACCAGACAGTCTAGCTCGGATTGTGATGTACTTGTGTGGCAGTAACAAAAAAGGCAGAGCCTTTACGGTGTACAGCTTCATTACCAAACTCGCCAGCACGGGTTTTCTTTTGCCGAAAGCGCCAAATTGCTGGCCGAACGAAACAAAGAACTGTCGGACAACGCACGCATGAAAGTGGCCAAGATGGGGATCAAACTGATGGATATCTTTACCTCGGACGAAATGCAAGGTCATTTTTTTAGTCATCGACCAATGGTAAGAAGGTACCAAAACCGACGTACCAAAAGGTGGCACGGAGAAGGAACGCAAGGGACGTGAAAGGATAGCCAAAGAAGATGAAGCTAGAAAAAATATCGAAGAACGAGCCAAGGAATGAGGCAGGCTAAGAAAAGAGTCGCACAAAAAAGCCTGCCAAAAAAACCGATGGCCATCGTGAAGCGGATCGCGTGGATAATATCATTTCTATATCAGCGCTATATGGTTCTGTCGCGGGTCGGCCAGCTCCAAAGAGACACGCGCAGGAGACTGATTTTCCGGGAAAAGGGCGTACCGGAGCGATGGTCTAGTGCCAACCGCAACGCGTACATGTACATGGAGCAATTGAACACCGACAAAGGCAAAAAAGTGGAAACAGCAAGCAGACCAGCAGAATCAAGTAACGGAGCAACTGGAAATCGGCAAGAATTGTAACGATACTGTACTGTAACCTCCAAGTTCATTATGTTTATCCTCAATTGCCTAGCTATAATGCAACTGCTGTTTACTGTCACCATGGATATAGACGGGCGCTCGAAGTATATACAACCAAGTCGATTTCATCCAAGCCGTTAGTATTGATATCTAATAAGCCTTTTATTATAATTATTTTATACAACCAAATTTGAGTGTTTTTCTTTTTTTTAATAACGTGAGTATATATTGTCTTTGTGCATGTGTGGGTGAGAGTGTACGCGTGTGTGGGGTGGTGTGAGGAAAAGAAATCTATCGCGACTGAGTGTTGTATGAGACTTGTGCATTTGCACGGTTGGCCAAGGCCTGCTTGTGAATCTGAGCCTTCTTTTGGAGCGCCGGGCTCGTTCCCTGAATAACATCGAAAACTTCTGCCGCAAATCGTTGCTCAAAGGTCGCTTCAGGTCGCTTTTTGGCGGATTCGAGCATCCAAACAATCGCCCGTCGACGTCGTTGGCGTAATCGCAAGGGCGTAGGGACATGGATCGCTTTGCTGCCCTTTTTTGTGGTTGTGAGTTTTAATAATGGCGAGGCTGATTCAATGGCTTCGCTGAGCATGCCATAGGGATCGGCAACACTGTTCTTTTTCTCTAACCACTTCATGCTATCGCTGACAAGTCGTTGTGCGCGTGCTTTTTTGCCGTCGCGCATAATGGTATTGACAAGCTGGCTCACTAATTCATTGTTTGGAACGTGCGTTTCGAGCTTTGGTACGGCTGCTTCTGTGATAACGGGGGCTGCGGCAGTTGTGTATGAGCGAATGCTGAAGAGGGCGGCGCTGCCCTTGCGTAGGGATTGCCACATGGTGCTGGCCATTATGATTTTTTTTTATTTGGTTGGGAAAAGAAGACAGCGGAGCCGACACTTGTTTATACAGGCAGTGTGTGAGTGACAAGCCATCGATTTTAAAAGCCGCCCGCTCATTGGTCGAATATATGGATATTTAGAGAGGCACACAGCTGTCTTCCTCACTTGAAATAAATGCAGATATAGGTCGTATTCAACAGGTTTGTTTGTAGCGAATGCATATTACACGGGTAGCCACCAAAGAGAATGAAAGAAATAGTGATATATAATATGTAAAGAAAGGAGAAAAAGTATTAAAAGTGTTGGTGGAAAGAAGAGGTGACTATCTATATCCTTTTTTTTTTGAGTCGAGGGTTGTTGATCATACATTCATTTTACGATGTTCCTGCAACAGATAACCTGGAAAAGTGAATAAATCATGGGTTAGTTCCGTATATTCAGTAGTCTCCTCTAGTCAACCATCAAGAAACGTACTTTTTCAGATGCTCCATAAACACCTGCAAGCTGACATCGTCGGTAAAGATAGCAGCACCCTGGGGAGCACCATAAGGGCTGCTGGATGCGTGGGTGGTGGAAGGGTTCAGCTTGGACAACAAGAAACGGGCCTGCGAGCCGCCCTGGTCACAGACAATATAGCGTGGTACGGGGAATCGATCCATCAACAAATCCTGAGCATCCAACACGGGGGCTTCCAGCAACTGCTTAAAGTTTTCGTAGCCCTCCTGTTCCTGGTAGCCTGCTTCACGCCATTGGGCCACAGTTTCACCATGGAAGATCAATAAATGGAAAAAGGTATCGAGTAAAAGAATCACATCGGGTTTGATAGAGACACTGTCAAGCAGCACCGGTTGTGGGGGGTTGTCAAAGCTGTACGACGTCAACGTGGGCTGAATCATGATGAGCGAATTATCGACGTTTTCACGGTTGACAACGTGGCGGTAGAAGGCAGTTTCGTCAGGCGAATTGTTGAACACCTGCAAGAACTGCGAACGTCTGAGGTGGAACATGAATTGCGGGTAAATCGAGAAGTTCTCGGACAAGCGGAAGCTGTGTGGATCGTCTTTGCGGTAGTCGGCGAATCGTTGGCACAAGCGGATCAACATACGATCGAGCCATCGCAACACGTCGGGACCGTCGTCGATCTCGCCCTTGAACACAGCAATACGTGACATGAGAACTGCAGCGGTTTCCTGGTCGAACGAATTAGCAATTTCGGGGCTCTGACCCTCAGCAAAATTGCGGGCCACCGTGGTCACTCGCAGACGGAACTGTCCGCTTGAATGTTGATAGTGCGTGACAAATTGAATCAAGCCGCGCGAGCCAGGCTGGAACTGCACAGTAGGCTGGTTGACGACTTCAAAGTAGACGCCGTTGGTAGTCTTTGGCGTGAGAGAGCACATTTTCCATGCGGATGTGTTGCCGATACCGATCTCAGTCTCACCCACGTAGGTTGATTTCTTGTTGGCCGATACGGCTCCACCGATCAAACCGCACACCTTGAGTTCACGCGTCGTCTGCACATCCAGTGTTGCGTTAAAGCCCATCTGCAAATGTCCTTGGCTGTCCTTTTGGAACACACGTTGGAAACTCTGCTTGAAGATGGCTGTGTTAAACGAATCGGACAAGATCATGACACCACCCGTCGAGTTCACCATGGACTTCATTTCCAAAAGACCGATCTGATCAAGACAGCCTGCAAAAATATCGATAGTGTGGCCGTTGGTGGAAGCGCGCTTGGCCAATGCATCATAGAACTAGTGTATATGGCTTAGGATGAGTATCATGCTGAGTGTCATATAGTGCGAGCAAACCCCATCTATCGATTTTGTTTCTTTTGGTACCTTGACAGCCTTCTTGTAATATTTCGCAGTCTCCTTCTCAATGTCGTGGTGAGAACGAATTGGCTCACGCAGTTCGTTGCTTACAACCATACCAGGTCCTTCAGTAGCTGGACCACCACTGAAGAGCATTACACGAGCACCAGTGTTGGGGAATGTAGTCTGTATCACATGTGTATGAGCAATCGCTTTCTTCCCGTTCCTTTCCACGTATTATATTATCAGTCTAGAGCATTACCTCTAAAAGGCCAACCGCGACGCTCATGGCCACGCCGGTACAGCGCTGAGCGCGCTTATCATTAGCAACGGGCCAAGGGTCGCGTTGCAAATTTTCGAGAATTGAGGTAAGCACGAACTCGCAATCCTTGACAGGCAACAAGAATCTATACCACAATGGCAATTAATAAAATTCTTTTCTGAGGAAGATCACACCGTCTTTCCCTTAAAGTAGCTTCCATTGGTACCTGTTAGCAGCACCAGACATCTGTGGTGGTTGACCGGGGCGGACACCAGGTTGACCAGGACGAACTGCCGATCCAGCCAAACCGAGCATCTCTTGGACCTGCTTGGCAGCATATTCCTTGGTACCTCGGAATACGAAAGACTTGGGGCAATCAGCAAATCCAAGCTCATGAACTTGAGTCTATATAATTGCTGTGTTATTAGTATGTCCATATAACGCATATAACAAAACCCAACTCCCACATAGAGAATTCTTGAAATGTATTACCATGGTACCATATGTAATCAAGCCGACCCAGGCATAAGGTGGCAACAAGCTCAAGCTCACCACCAATGCGTCCTTGAGAGCCTTAAGATCCTCGTCATCCAAGCACGTATCGACGACATACAAAAAGATGGGCGGGATATTCGCAAAGCGGTTCAGGTTGTACTCAATCGTCGTGTACTTTGGCAACAACTCGGCAGGCAAGTTGGTGTTGGAGATATCTTTGTAGTGTGGAGGGAAGGCGTTACGCTGAAGGCAAAAAGGGCAAATCCACAACTTGCCACGAACGTCAATTTGACTAAGTAGACACACAATTCAGCGATGCAAAAAGCATAGCAGGTGAGTTCATATTAATAAAAGAGAGAGAGGAATAAGATAAAAGAAAAAGAGAAGCTTTGCTTCTGCGCTGTTACCAGAAGGGATTGAGAATAGCTCTGCAAGGAGCTTTGCACATGACAGGTTCATAGCAAATGGGGCTTGCCGCAAAATCTTCACGTTCCTTCAAGGGTGTGTAAAGACAGGCAATAGGAACGACAGCTTTAGTGGCTTCAATGCGGGATGATGGCCAGGCATTCCACGAGAAACGAATTCCGTCCTGTATACATGTATTTTTTTTTACTTTAGCAAATTAGATGGTCGCCGTTGTAGCCACCAAACATGGTCGAGTAGGTGTAAGAATGGCATTGCGTATCGAGGTTTTTAATTACCTGCTCTTCGATTTCGTCGAAATTCATGGCAACAGCACTACAAGATAGAGTGGTATCGAGGTTAAGAAAAGAAGGGGAGGCTTCTACGTACGCGACGGAACCAAAAGACGTGGAGCCACGGAAGTCCGTTGTGTGACACCATTTGATTGGTCAGTCCCTGCTTTGCAACCAGCTGGGAAATTGGTGTGGTTATCTCGAGTCTCCACTGGCATGACACTCTAATAAGTAGAGTGGATGTTAATCTCCCTCTTGATTATTGCCCTACAAGTCGTTATCTTAATTTGATTCTCTGCAATGAATAAGCGTTGATCCCTAAGCTCTACTGGATAGATCGGTGTAAATGGAAAAACGTGTGATCTACCACTGCAACAGCTATTGGTATCAGCTACTTGATCACCACAGTTATGACTCTGATTATATACATCAAAGCGCCATTAAACGATTGCCATATTCTCTTTTACATGCATTTTTGTTGTTGGCGTATGTAACCACTTGCACTGTTTTATACAGCTCTTGTATCTGTTTACGAAAATAGATATTACACTATATTTCAAGTTATTCCTTGCTGCTATTACGTTATGCAGTATTATCTATGTTAGAACCATCAGTAACGCGCTACTTTTTATTAGCGATGGCAGAATTTCACTCTATAATGCTATATCTTTTATTGATATCAGTAGGAGAGAGGTGACCATTGCAGTTTTCTGTGTACATGCTACAAATATAAATGCACCTTGGGGGTTTTTGGGTTTCAGGCGTCTCCTTCTATATGAAAAACTATCTTATGATCACATGCATATGCAGGCCTATAGATTCGATGCATGCACTTTTCTCTAAAGTATAACTCTTTATCTTGCAAGCCTTTAAAAGTTAGCTAGTTCCTTTGTCTCTCCACTAATATACTCTTCTTGTTTCTTTACTACTCTCTTTTTCTTCCAGTCATTTTAATCGTATCCTCAAATGCAGACGACATCTATTATTCAGTTTATTATACCCATATTAAAAAGACGTCATCTATCAGTAACGCTGACTTCAACAGCGGCAGCTGCTGTGTTGCTGCTGTGGGAATTATACTCTACCTTTCTATCTCGAAGAGCATACAGGAAATCAATTTCGAGAGGATTGAGGGAAGTCCCATGCCTACCTGGAAGTCTGCCTTATTTTGGTAAGAAACAAACGCGCCTGACAGATGATTAAAATACCAGGCAACAAAAATTTAGCGGTAATGATATATACGATATAGGTCACTTTTTTAAAATGTCCAAATGTTTATCTGGGCCCAAGTTTCATGAGTGGCATGCCAAATACGGTACCATAATGGCTGGAAATAACAGAGGAGAAGAGATTGTGACCATCACAAGACCTGCACAGATAAATAACCTGACAGAGGACTTTTCTTTAGGTCCCATTTTTCGTTTAAACATGGGTGTCAAATCATGGATAGTTATCGGTGATAAATACATTGCCAACGGTATTCTTAGACTCAAAAGGATCAATTACTGCTGGACGCCCGTACAATCATTTTTTTGTTCAAGTATCAAGCATTGAATTCTCGGTACTAAAGATAGCTGGCATTCTTTTATTGCTGTAAAAAATATCATCTTGAACCAGCGTAACCGCAGTTATATACACATATTAATGCTAATCACTATAGAGGACCGGCATTTACGAATCCAGATAAGCGTTGGAAAAAATGTCGTGCTATCAGTAAGTGTTATTAAATGAAAACGTAAAACAAGTATTTAGCAACGGAAGAGTTTTAACATGTACAATGTATCTTGTATGTTAACAGCGCAAGAAGTATTGGCACCTAAAAGCGTCAAACGCATAGCTAGTACAATTGAGCGAGAGGCAACAGGAGTCTCAGAGCTTTTGCGGAAGCGAACAGTCGAACGTGAAAGTGTTGACGTTGTCAAGGATTTAAGACTTGCTTCTGTCAATGTGATCATACAAACATGCTTTGGCAGGACTATTGCCTCGCCCGACGATCCCTTATTTGAGTCCGTACTCGAGCTACTCGACACAACCATGGAATGGGGTGCATCACAAGAGAACATCCGCAGCTTTTTACCGGCGTTCACAAAGATGCTTAATCTTTATATGCGTAGTGAAAAGGACATGGCTGATTATATTTAAAGACAAGAGAGATCCGCTGGTGGGACGTCTGATCAAGGAAGCACTGGAGAGCGATGCACCATGTTTTGTCAAAGAGATGTACAAGACCAACGAATTTGAATATGAGGATATACTTGTTACTATGTGTAAGGCACAATTGGATTTACGGAAAAGTGTCGGGATGAATGCTGCGGTGGAAAAATGTGTATCACTGTTGGTGACAGTCTACTTTCTATAAATACTTTTTGTGAATTGTAGCTGACATGCTAAACGCTGGTGGTGATACTACGCCTATTACCATCTCTTGGGCTTTTATAGTTTTATGTCATCATGTTGATACCCAAAAGCGTACTCAAGAAGAAGTTGACTCTTTTATCAGAAAACACCAGCGGTTGCCGGTTTACGATGAGCGGGAAGAGTTTCCTTCCTTAATTTCCACACAAACGGAGTGCATCCGATACAGGCCGACTGCACACATTGTTATCCCACATGAGTCTACACAAAATTGTAAGTTTACTTAATGCACATATTACTGTCAGCATTCATCAGTACATGTAGCCACAAATATTTCCAACAAAAATGTTTTGAGTAATACGTATACAATGTCTCGCAGTGCAGAGAATTACAACAAACCAGAGATATTTATGCCAGAGCGCTTCATGGATGACCTGTCGCACCAGCTACACATCTCAGTAAATGCTAGTATTGAAAAACGCGATCAGTTCATGTTTTGTTGGGGAAGGTTAGTGACAGACCGAAACTAGTACTGATGACGAGATGAAATAAGAATGATAGCCTTATTTATCGAACACTGTTGGCATCATAGACGAATGTGTCCAGGTGTGCACTTGGTAAATTATATATGGAGCCGGGGAAAAGGGTGCTTCTCTTCTTCGTGAAGGATGATAGAGGTAGTGGGCTTTGCTGACTTCTTTCTTACATGTATTCGCTTCGTAACGGTGATACTTTTGACGTCAACGCTAGGCTGAAGTGCAAATGTTTCATATCTGGGTACGGGTCTTTGCAACTTCGACCATTGTACCTCCACTAGATGAAAAGGAAAGGCCTGTATATCCGGACTTGGACAACTGTTATGATGGTGGAATCATTGTGAAACCTCTCAAGTCACGACTTCGTTTCGTTGAACGTTCTGATTGCCTTATTTGATATATTATAATTATTGGCGACTGATTGGCTACCCACTTTATGTAGATGGATATTTTATGCATAGAGTGCTACCCTTTTTCTTCTTAAACTAACAAATTTTATTTTTCAAAAAAAAGTGTAAGCAGTAGTGTTAGCGCTAAATTTTCAGAGCAACGTATATGTTGAGTTGCTTTGCGCAGATATAAAGAAGAAAAACACATGACAATAATAAGGTCATACACATGGAAGTGGACAAACAAGTGCTTGTGTAGTTGTAGTCTAACTGATGCCGGATCCTATCACCATGGCATGTTACATAAACTAAACGATAATCGTGAGCTAAATCACACAAATGAAGCACAGTAGCTTGTTTTGCCTTTGACAATTTTTCGCACCCATACTGTAGACTAAAAAGAGATAAAACAGGTTATATAATACACTTGTTTATTTTGTGGTAAAATCGTATGATCATTACTGTGGACTTTTGCGTAGCATCCTTGGGATTCAACAAGGTTGTGAGGCATAAAAATCTACTCTTAAACATCTTAAAAACATTGTGACTTATAACCTACTGATAATAATTAAGGATTCAAGTGATTGGACTTGATGCTATTCTGTCGATATTCTTTGATTTACGAGTATCATTCATAACTACTCCTTTTCGCTACAAAAATGCATCATAGTGATAAAAAGAGGTAGAAGTAAATCACTGTGGTAGAGGATCATGTCATGGTCTCAATGTAGGAGGCAAGAACAAATTTTTATTGAGTAAAGAGGATGGTTGACTCTACTATGCCAACAAGTCAATTATGTCGACCGATATCTATCTGGCACTGGTGGATATTTGCTAAAGTACATTGTTTGTTGGGTAAGGTTCTCACACCTGCCCCTACAAAAGCACATGGCTTTCTCAGCGAATCGGACGGGAAAACCTGCATAAATTTATCGTCCTTTGCAGAAGAAAAAATCACCCCCTTTTTTTGTGTGGGTTGAGAAGCAAGAACTTCTTCTCTTTTCCTCTGTCTTCTTCAGGGAACACTTATTATGCCTTCATTTTTCGACCCAGCAGCACCGAAAAAGGCTCCTCGTCCACCACGACAACTGATATCTGACTTGATGTTTCCAGAATTGGAACGTCAGTTGTCGGACGACCCTGCTCTTTGGCCAAACCTGAACGGACTGTATATCCTCAACGTGACAAGACGAAAAAAGCCTGCCGCAACGTGGTACCTTTTATTCCAAGGTAAAAGGGACATTGCCAGTGTTATAAAAAGAGAGAGGTTTGTTTCCATTATCAATAACAACATGCTATACAAATACAAATAGGAAATAGAATCAAGCCGGTAATCACAAAGCTGAAGCAAGCGTCACGACAGGCTAGCGGGGAAAAAGTGCCTGTTGTCAAGCTGCAAGTTGAAGATGGAGATGTGCTGAACTTTGTTGCAGGAGGGTAAGGACGCTATCCAATAGTGCAGGCAAGCCACTTATCAACATATAAGAAGGACTCGGCATTTATGACTATGCATTTGTAGCTTAACAGGTGTAAAGGCATACACGGCACGTCGTATCAAAGTGCGTGGCGACTTGGTGCTGGCTCAGCGTCTCGAGAAGTTGTTTGAAAAGGCCGGTGGTCGTGAGGTAACAAGCGCATCATCGCTGTATCTATCTCCCGCCGCCCCCACATCATCGTGTATATTAGCTGACTCTTATGTTTTAATTTAGCGCGCAATGCAGTTTGTTCAACGAAACGAGCATTTGTTTGGCCTGTCTACCACAGCAAGCAAACTCTAATAAAGCTGTGCGACCATTGTGTTTGTTGTACCTGAATGCCATGAAAATAGTAAATGAAAAGAAGCAAACAATTCTGTCTTGGCATGTTTTTGTTGAAATGCACTTGCGCGGCCTTACCATTTAAGTGTCTAAAGTAATTTACCTACCGCCTAGTAGGTGCTGCCGAGTCAACAGCGCAGCCATAGCATAAAGTGGTCAGCCAAGACCAGCAACAAAGAAAAAGCGGGTCTGTGCGGCTTGAATCCGCAAAGCATACAGAGACTAAGCGGAGAATATTCGATGGTGGAAATAAAAAACGAATGCACCCGGAAAAAGCTCTTGGCTTTTCTTTATCCGGCAGCCGCGCATTATATTTTCCCTCGGTCTTGGATTCTTTTTTTCTTCTTCTTCTTCTTCCCTTCTCCTGCTATTCTTAGAAAACCGAGCTTAAATGTCATTTCAAATTAACAATCCATTACCCTCGAGTCTTGCATGTAAGGAGTGAACTGGCATACGACACACGCGTGTGTGTACTATTCCCCCTTCCCCGGGATAAACGGAAAAGTTGCGGAACAATAAGCTCACTAAAGTGTACCACCTTTAGCGGAATGTCGCAAGGCTTCCCGCATTCTGAATGGGTTCATTGGTAAGGTTCAAAGGACTTGACAACAAAAGAAAGGGAGTCAGAGCTAACGCAAACCTAGATCCGGGACAGGGGTTGGATAAAATTATCCCACCTTCAATTCTAGCAAAAGCCAAAGGTCTCGCAGTCTTTACGGTCCTCAAGGCAGGCTTTCTTTTCTCTGGTAGAGCTGGTTCGGGTCTGGTGATTTCCAGGTAACGCAACGAAAAGAAGGATATTCCCATCATTATTTCTTTTGTTTTGAAGTGACTAATAGTCGATATTTGTTGATAGACTTCCTGACGGATGTGAGTTATATTCACCAGATATGGGACACTGCAAGAAATTACAGATGGGAGACTTATCTGACAGCAACCTTCTATTGAATTCAATTTAGCATGGTCTGCACCTGCAGCTATCATGACAGGCGGTATGGGATTTGGAGGTCAAGTTGGTACGTGTTTTCTTGAATTATTTGTGATAGAGTGGAACGGAGAAACAGGACAGCAATGCTGACCGATATCTGTCATCTTCATCAGGTGCTGAGTTAACGGATTTTGTCATGGTTTTGAACACTGCCGCCGCCGTTAAGACGTTCATGCATCATGGTAGCATTACTTTGGGCGGCAACGTTTCAGGTATTGTATGAAAACACACACAAAGCCATATCAACAACGTCGTTACTAAGTATCAACTGACAACATATCGCATTAGTGGCCGCTGGACCTATTGGTCGAAACGCCGAAGCATCAGGCGCCGCTTCACTTAAGAGCGTCTCAGCCGTATATTCGTATAGCAGAACGCGTGGTCTTTTTGCCGGGGTGTCCCTGGAGGGTTCGGTCATTATCGAACGTTTCGATGCAAACGCAAAAATGTACGGGCGCAAAGTATCAACACGTGATTTGCTGAACGGTACGATTCCTCCGCCTCCGCAAGCCGATGCATTGTATCGTGCCCTAGATACACGTTTCCATAGTCATAGTTCTGCTGGTAATTACCATAGCGGCGGTGACGGTCATGGAAGCGGATTGAGTCGAAGTGCAACCACAGGTCGTTTCTCTTTCATGAATGGCGGAAACAACAACAGCCGCCGAGATGATTTCAACAACGACAGTGGATACGGTTATGGCGGAGGACGTGAAGGCAGTGGCGGCCGAGGAGCTGGAGGAGGATTGGGACGGTCAAATACAATGTACAACAACGAACCAGTTTACGGCGAGACTTTTGTGGACAAGCAAGCATCGAATTACAGTCGTAGCAACTTGTATGAGAGCAATGGAGGTGGCGGTGGCGGTGGCTCTTATGGGGGTGGTTATGGTAGCTCGCGTGGTTTTGACTCGCCTTCACTGGGCAACACCCCAACACCACCGGCGCGCAACTCGAATGAAGCACGTGCTCGTGCCGTGTTCAATTTCGCTGGTGAACAGGATGGTGACCTGCCGTTCCGCAAAGGAGATATCATCACCGTTACGAAAAAGACCGACACGCAACATGATTGGTAATACTATGAATTCATGAGACGAGGGCAATTGGGATGACATATTAACCATAGTAATTATAACATAGGTGGACCGGTACTTTGAATTCACGCACAGGCATTGTAAGTAAAGAAGCTTTTATCTTAATTTGACAGACACACATGTCATGCTCACGCGTTTCATTTTATTAGTTCCCTGCCAACTTTGTAGAAATGCTTTAAACCCTTCTATCTATTCTTAATCTTCCATCATCTACAGACGCCCATCCATCACCCTTACTACCACTAGTCACCTCGTCAATAGTATGATTGCCCTGAAACGAATGTATATTTATAATTCTCTCCCGACATTATGCTACTACGTACATATACAGAATATATTGTTTTATATACAAATAAGATGATTATGACTGTGGGAACAACGTGGTCATTAGGTTTCTTTTTGAATTTAAATTATCTGTTAGACCAACGACCTCGATACCTTTGTCACAGGCAAGCTTCAGTGTGTCTTTAGTACTGTGGCAATTGCGCACCTCAAGGACTTGCAAGTGTTTCGAATCATCAATTAATTTTCGGAGAGCATCGTCGCTAATGCTAGTCAAAGATAATAGCCGCACCGTCTCGACAGAGCCCAAGGATAAAATTACTTGATCGTTAACTGCAGCTACCCGGTGAAACTTGACTTCCTTCAACGACGTGAGTTCCAATAATGCAGTTGCCAAAGCCTTATCTGACACGTCATAACACTGACGCAATTCCAGCGTATTAAGTTTTTGGAAGCACCGTAATCCATTAATGACGGCATCCGACAAAGTAGTGGTGTTGAAAAACCGTAAGTGTGTCAATTTCGATTCGGCGCCGAGGAGGACGTGCTTGTCAAAAAGATACTGAAGTTCGTTCTCCATCGGACGGTCTACATTTCCAAAGTATAGTTTCTTGAGGTTGTCCGCCATTGCCAGCTCGCGCGTTATAACATCTATGTCTTCAAGATAGTCGAAATAGGCATTCTGTAGTTCTGGACAGTTGCGGAGCAGTCTGGCAATGACAGTTTCGGTTCCTTCACCAAAGTGACAATAAATCATGCTTAGTGCTTTCATAGTGGGTTGCGTCCAGGAGTCCAACAACGTGAGTTCTTCCTCCGTCAGATCGTTGAGGCGTAAGTACGCGGACCGTAACGTTTCGCTATGTCTGGTAAAGAACGGCAAAACTTGTGCGACGTGGACGGCTGTACCAATTTCAAGCAAGCGCAACCCAGTGGAGTCTGGCCGCTCAGCATCTTTCTGTGACAACTGTGTATAGTGCACATCTGTGTTGTATCCAAAATACTCGATCTGTGGACAGCAGGTAACAACAGTGTCCAGAACCGCCGGCTCGCAATTTAATAGTGTCAATGATCGTAGCTGGGGACAATTGGTGAGAGCTGCTGCAATTTCTTCACCACGCGTGATTTGGGTCTCGAGACGCAGTTGTTTGAGAGGATGCGGGTCGATCAGTGCCGTCGTATCACCGACAGCTTTGCGAAACGGTGCATTCATCTTGTAGTATAACCAGATCAAGTTTGGAGCGGACACCAGAATGGCTGATAACGAGAGGACGATTTGGCAGTCGGAATAATCCACGTCGAGTCGTGTTAATGTGCTGCGCATTTGCCATAGAGCAATGCCTGTGAGTTCACGATTGACAGTGTACGTCATTTCCTCTGATATTACAATTTGATTTCGGTGTGTTAATTCGATATGTAGACGTTGTGCGGAAAAAGAGTAAAGCTGAGGAGGGCACTCAACTGGTTAAAGTGAGATGTGATATCTGGCTAAAGTGTCCCATTTTCATGTGATTTAAGTATAGAGAACGTAACGCTTTGTTTTTGCATGCGAGGGTGAGTGACTTGACGTGTTTGCCGATCGATGCTACTGAGTGACAAACGGCCATGTCTTCATGCCCACCTGATGCTGTCAAAAAATTCCACGCTGCTCTACATTTTATCAACCGATCGCGCCAGACTTTCGATACACAAAGACACGCGCCTTTGCTCATTATTGGCAATCGTTCGAATATATTGAATGCTATCTCCAGAGGCATACGTGCAATCATGTCGATACACTGTTCATGGCGTAATCGGGCCGTTTCTTCGCCTTGTACCATTTTGGCGTAGTTTGGATCCTTCTTGCTGACCTTGGCCAGACCCTTTGAATAAATGTCGGCTGCCTCCGCTTGTTTGCCTTGCATCGCATACGTTTCGCCTGCTCGAATGTAGCCTCGTGATGACCGGGAAGCGTATTTTATTATATGAAGCGCATCCTTTATGGCCAAGGCAAATTGGCTTGTCATGGCTCTGGCATTGGCACGTTTGTCTAGTAATTCCACGTAATCTAATTCAAACAATCGGTTGATCGCACTCGAAGCTTCGCTGATGACTTTAGCATAATCATTGCTAGTTTCTTGATGGCTGGTATTTTTGACTTTGTTGGGTGTCAAAGGTGTCGTTTTTTGCTTTTTTCTGCTTGGCATGGTGTGAAATATGTTGTGCTGATCTGTCAATGAAGGTCGAGTGTTTACGAGAAACAACAAGGAGACTTTGGACGGAGAACAAATGTTCATTTTAATAAATAGAACAGCAAATTATAAGTGGGTAAAATAGGTCGTTATAGCGCTTCCTTATGTAGCTCATTGCAGCAGAACCGCCTCAACGTGGCTACAAGAACTACATGGCTCATTGGCTTTGTAAGATATCTATTATTTAACGTTTTTGTTATTATCAGTAACGTCCGCACACAATGAAACTAAATGATTGTTGTTATCACTTACTCATCGAACCCAGCATTCATACAGAGCTCTCTGGCAGATTCCTGGATATCGGCCGTCAGCGTAACAATAGGGAGCCGTATGTCAAGCTTTCGTTCCTTTTCGGCCTTGCGTATTCTTTTGGTCGCTTCTACACCATCGCACTGTTATGTAATTATACGATCAAAATTCATTAGCCGACACTGTTAAAATGTTTTATATCACATTTTAAACATGGGAAAAGAGAGCGTATTCAAACCTGTGGCATATGATGATCCAGTATCGAGAGTGTGAAATAGCCAGGTGGGTGCTTTTTCCAGGCTTCGACTGCCTCCAGCCCATCTACAGCACATACGACATTAAATCCCAAACGGCTAAGCTGCTTGTGGAGTAGCTTCCGTGCAACGGGATTATCTATGCATTGCATATAATTTAATAGAAGTCAGTATAGCGAAGACCACAAATTATATGCTTCCTTATGACTACCTTCAGCAGCCAGAATGTTTTGAGTTTTGAAAAGTGCAAGCTCCTCTGGCGTCAGGGAATCTATGAGTCGCTGGCTTTCAGAGCTGATCTGCGTAGCCATCGGGGGACGTGCTTGGCTAGCCGAACTCTTCCTTTGCGTTGCTATTGACGATGACGTTGTGTCTTGGATTTTATGCCGCCCGTCTTGCTCGCGTTGTTGTACCAGCATCTCTGTCATAACTTTCACCAGCTTCTTACGGCGGATCGGTACTGGCATACGTACGACGGCTTGATGATCTTTATTGTGATCCCGACCAATGCCGGTTGCGTGCAATATCGTCGAAACGGCTTCATAGTCTGTAGCCGGATCCTGCAACTGTTGCTGCTGCTTCATGATTCCCTCTTCATCGTAAGGTGTGGACGAAGATACAGCTAAAAGCTTTCTGCCGTTTGCATTGCTCATCAGCATATCACTAAGCGCACCTGTAGGATAATGCATGACAATGATGCATTTTGCACGCTCCAGGAATTTTTTAAGTCTGGTAGCCCATAGTTTAAATTTGGGATCGTGGGTCAAAAACAAACCGACAATAATGATTGGATAGTCTGCTGCTTGATGTGAATGAAGGTCATCGACCGAGCAAACACCATCAACGATGATGCCTGGCAGCAACTTTTGCACCATTGTAACTGTTGACTCGTGCTTGTCAGCCACAAGCACTCGTGTGCCCTTTAAGCTACCAAAATGATGATGTAGAATCTCCGTCTTTCTCACTGCCTGCTCTTGCGTCTGAATTGCAGATACTGTGAAAAAGAACCGTGACCCTTTGGATGGTTCGCTGGATACATCGATTTTACCAGACATTAAAGTAACGAGCTGCAAGCAGATCGACAAGCCAAGACCAGTACCGCCATATTTACGTCTAAAAAGAATTCATGAGCCTAAGATAAACCCTTGTACATCTCATCACGATATGTATAACCTACGTAGTACTTCCATCGACCTGGGAAAAGGGAACAAAGAGTGCTTTTCTCTGTTCTTTGCTGATACCGATGCCTGAATCAATTACCTCGAACAATAGCGGCACTTTGTTGTCTGCTGATATGCCTCCTGGTCTCAGAGAGCAGCGAATCATGATTTCGCCTTCATGCGTGAACTTGATTGCATTGCCAAGCAGGTTTATAATGACTCTAATGATTGACATTAGCTGTTATCGCTCCAGATCGATGACAGAAAGGGGGTGGTTAAACCCCACGTACTTACTGTCTCAGACGATTACCATCCGCTATTACGACAGCAGGCACGTCATCTGCGATTGTGTACGTTATATTGATACGCTTCTGTATTGCCATGGCAATGAGCATCTCGATAACATCCGCTACAAGCTCTTCTACCACGACAGGTGCTAAATCCAGTGTCACTTTTCCAGCTTGTAATTTCGAAAAATTCAACAAGTCGTCAATTAGTTGCAGCAGCATTTCACATGATTCTTTGGCTGTCCGTACAAGGTCGCGTTGCTCTGCATCGAGTCTAATTTTGTACATAAATACATCACTGATCAGCTTTCTGTTTTGAAGAATAACTCTCAATCGTGAGTATTCTCCACGTACTTCGTATCGGCTAGTAATGAAATCATGCCATAAAAGCCAGCAAAAGGTGTACGAATCTCATGGCTCATATTGGCCAAGAAGATTTCTCGTAAACGTGTAGCCCGGTCTGCTGCTTCTTTACTTTTTCGTGCATCTTCAAGCGCTTGCTTTTGCATTTCAATCATTCTATCAAAGCACATAGTCAGAAAATGTTAAGCACTCTGTTTGTTTATATCCGAGTTTGTGAATAAGGCAATCAACAAGGCGACACTTACCTCATATTCGACATGGTCACACGCTGCACGGATTTGAAGAGGAAGGCATTGGTGATAGAGATACCCATTTGCTGACACAGGAGACTTAGCACGGTAACGTGTCTCTGGGTAAACACGCCAATCGTACCTTCAATAAGCAGGCAGCCAACGATCGTACACTTGTGAACGATCGGCATACAGATTACCGACTTCCGTCCAGTCTCTTCAAACCATGGCCCGACCGCAAATCGAGAGTCTTCTTCTACATCATAAATAAAGATGCTTTCGCCCGTGTTGATTGTGTGATGTACAATACGACTCGACACAAGTTTGTCTTTTTCCGAAAGCGGCAGAGGCGGATCGTACGTTGTTGTGGAACCTTCTTCTCCATACGCGCATACACCGAACTTGTCATCCTTGATAATAATCGCCACACAATTTGCTCCCGAGTTATCCAGAATTATATTCAGCATGGAGGTCAAGAGTTTATCAAACTTCACCTCGGAGCTTAATAAATTAGACGACTTCAATATGGATGCCATATCCAGCTATATGGTTATTTTAGATGGCAGTGTGGTGAGTATGCTTTCAAGTAATTTAGGCGCTTATAGATGCTGTATAAATCTGTTAGGGTACTTACTATATCCAAAGTCATTAAACTCTCTTCAGTTGTTACTGGCGGTATAGACTCGCTATTGTAAGGCTCAATGGTTGCTGGGACATTGTTGTTGTTGTTATCAATGTTTTCATGTGAAGATGCGGACGTGCTCCAGGCAGGCTGACCATGGAAAGGCATGGGATCAGTCTGTATTCCCTTTTCGTGTCGTTCCACTCGTTCATCACCGAGAGAGCTGATCAAATCGGCAAACTTATTATTTAAATGGCGTACTTTTCCGTAAGAGCCATGGGACATGTACATTCTTGTAGCCTACAATTGAATGCTAATCAGTTTCCAAGATGCTGAAGGAAACAGCTTTTTGGGATCTGTAAATATTACAAAAAAAAAACACCTTTTTGATGAAGCCGTATGCAACGTTATCAAAGCCAATTCGATGATAGAACGCGCCCGTGTATTCATGAATAATACATAGCTCCAAGTACCATAACCCTTCTCGTGCTTGGCTGATCGCTTCTTCGTAGAGCCGAGCAGCTTTCAAGATATCCGTCGCTTCACCAAGCGAGGCTAGCTCTGCTTCGACAAGCGTCCAGTACATGGCATAATTGATGCGGCTATGTACAGCCCATTCATGAAGCAAATCCTGGTTCACGTTGACCTGGTCTACATATTTCTGCCGATTTTCTGGATCGTTTCTCGCCTTTTCAATCAATGCAAGTGAATAGTATCCCAAATTCAGTCCGATGTGGCGATGATTTGGATGCGCATTCATCGTCTCGAAGCACCGATGGCCAGTTTCGACAGCAGCATCATAATGGCCATAAATTGTCAAGGGGATCATTTTGTAAGATTCGTACCAGTTTAGTGCTACTGCAGGATAATCGCTATGTTTGGAAGTTTCCAGTATAAAGTGCTCGTCGCTGAATCCGTCATCACCGTCAAATACATTGGGTGTGTCAACATAGGTATGGCCTTGAAGCGCCTTGCACGCTCGTACGATACACATGACAAAGCTGTTCATGTCGCTTGTCTGCGACCAAGAATGTATATCTTCGAATATCTCCTCGCTTTCACGCAAAGTATCGGCAACATGGTGCCCACAGTAGAACATGGTAATGGCAATGTGTGCCTGGCAACCTGTGGCATAGATTTGATCACCAGCAGACTTTGCATATTGTAAAGCAGGTCGAACATGCTTTGTCAGGTTGTCGTGGAGATGATGGCTCCATTGACGCACAAACGCCATATAGAGAGTGTGAGCACGGCCTTTGTCTTGATTGCTTCCGTACTTTTCTGCCAAAGCGATACCAATCGTGCTTATTGTCTAGGGATGAATAATACATTAACCGATGATTGCTGCTTAAAGTTGGTCTATTGTGCAATGTAGGAAGTGAGTTACTTCTGAAAATTCATATTTCTTGTAAAGAGTCGCAAAGCCAAGTCCAGCACAGACGAATGAACTGCCAGATACGCTAGTCGGGCCATGGGTAATGGTCAAAATAACGAGACGACACGACCAGTATAACATTTCACCTTTTTGTCCACTGAAATAGCTCACAGCAATACTACATACAGAGTATAGATTAATAAGTACATCAGTGATGGAACGGTATAAACATAGAAGCAGTAGCTTAGTTTTTATGAAGCAATGTATACATACTATTCGTTCATGACATCCATCATCGCTTTTAATACAGTATCGTCACATGTCGATAGGCTGAGGATTTTGTCATGGCCGTACTCTTCAATCAATTGCTGAGTCTGGGCAAATATACGCTGTAGTCCTTCTTCGGAATCGTCAATTTTTGATACTTCGTTGCCTAGCTCATCCATTGCTTGTAAAAGAGCCAGTCGTGCTTTACTGTGGATCTGAGCGCTCATGTAGTGTCGTGATTGTACACGATAGGCAGGGAGCCGGTCAAGAGGAGATCGCGCGTTTTCGAATATAATTTTAAGTGACTTCTCGGTCGTTGCAAGGTCGCCCTCCGCCCAACTTAAGCTGGCAGCGTTACAGTAAAGTTGCAAACTTGTTTTGTACTCCTCATCCGTCCATTCTAACTCTGGTTTAGCCAGACGTATTGCATACGTGTAGTACGCATATGCCATACTGAGCGCACCAGAGGAGCGACCCCGATCGCCAGCGAGAATCAGTATTTTGCGATACGGTTGTCTGTCGTCAAGCGCCATGATCAGGTCCTGACATTTTAGCAAATGGTCGGCAACCAGAAATGCATCAACATTGGACTCTATCATGTATTTATAGAACACAGAATCAACAAACCTGTCACACATATGAAGAAATTGTCAAGGAGACAAAGTTTACCTTTCATCATGTGCTGTGCGATAGTCAGATGTATCTTGTTGCGTGTGTTTGGATTTGCCAGCTCGGCAGCCGCCTGCGATATGCGATCGTGACTCCACTTGAATTCGTCCACGGTAACCGGCATAATGTAGCCTTCTTGTAATACTGTTTGCAATCCACTGATGGGATCGTTGCTTCCAGAATAAACAGAAGACTTGCTGCTCTCGTTCTTGCGACGATGATAGTAATCAGATGGTGTCACAGGTGACGATAGATAAGATGATTGATATGATGTGGATTTAGGGTCACCCGTTGGGCTGTCAATACTGCTACCACCGCAGCTACCGCTTCCGCAGCTACTGTTTAAATCCGAGAAAATAGATCCGTCGTCTGTTGCCATTGCTTGTGAATCAGAAGAGGGATGATCATCGTTTTTCTTTTTGCTAGCATCGAGCATCAAACTCTTGACTGTCGTCCACGAGAACGTATCGCCAACGAAAGAGGCCCATTTTAAAAGTGCTTGACTTGCCGGCGGTAGTTCACGCAGTCTCGCAACGATAAACGAGACATCCAGTTGTGTGTCGGATCGAAAGTCGCCATGTTCAAATATCGCAGCATCCTCAATTTGCTGCAAGTCATAACTCCACTCGTTATTTTCCCAGTCAAAGTATATATATCTTTTGCGCTCGAGTGTTCGTAATAGCTGTGCGATATAGAATGCGTTGCCTTGTGTTTTCTTGTAAATTGTTTCGACCAGCGGAAGTACATCCTCTCGTTTGACGTCTCGTGGTCGATGGAGTGTGTCGCATACAAAGTCGATAAGGGCATCAGTACTGATAGGATTCACACCAATGAGGCTGACGTCAGCAATTTTATTTTCAAGAAGCTCGGCTAGCTTGGGTGTAACTTCTTCATCACGGTAGGACATGAACATCAATATCTTGACACGTGATGTCATGAGTGACTCAAGGATTTCAAGTGACGGTACATCTGTCGGGACGACAGTAAAGAATTAACAACGAGTAGCATATAATAGAGTTAATAATCTTAGTATTACAATAGAAATGTACCTGCTTGATGAAGATCATCCAGAAACTAGTAGGTCAAAAGTAAGTATAGAGCTGATTGAAGACCGACTAGAAAAGAGATTATTGAGCTGTTGACCTACCAACGTCGTCATACGCCAGCGTGTAATGGCTCGAATCAATTCCACATACAAGTTATGGAACTGTGTCCGACGAGCTTCAATATCGTCCACTTGCACTGATTCTGTAAGATTGATTTGAGAATCATCATCGTTGCGATTAAGCAGAGGTTTGAGTTCAGGAACATAATCCGTAATCATTGCAATATTTGAGTACTGAGCCCCAAGCGATAGCTTGATGTGCTCGTAAAATGCATTGATTTGATCTTCTGATTCTGATAAAATCTGCTGAAGTATTTGTGATAAGGACTTAAGAACTGCGCTGTACGGAACTTTGTTCCTTGAATCGAACTTGGACGTAGCAATATAGCTAAATGCGAATGTAATCATTAGGGTCATCACATTACTACTAATTTAGTGAGCCTGTATACATACCCATTTTTGCGGGCCGTTGGTTGCACAGCCGATAGCAGAGTCGATTTTCCTATTCCTCCAGGACCATACACGCCCACAACAGTGGCGGTTATTCTGGAAGTACCAGCCAGACGGCCTGTCATGCTAGAAACGTCGCTTCCTTCCACGCCGCTATTGCTGCACCGACTAGGGGAAGTTGTTGATATGAACGTCCCATCGCCATTACTAGCTGCCTCGTCAGAGACATCATCACTCAATACGTCCCGCATGACCTCCGTGACTCCAGTGCTGGATGTCTTTGTGCGATTATTACTGTTAATACTGCGTAGGCGCATCGGTTTATATAAACCAGCACAGCGCTCGATTTTAAAAGTCATTTCGGAAATGATATCTTGTCGACCATAGATTGATTTGGGTAGGGTAAAAACGGATGCAACATCATATTGAGCTAGTGGAAATGCAGGTATGGACTGAAATTCATCGGATGTGAGGAACCGAAATCGTGATCAGAGATAGTAGCCGCTATACTATATTATAATTCTCTACCTCTTCAGAAGATGATGATTCTTCTGATGCTGTGAGTCGCTTTAAGCATTCTTGAAGATCAGTACGGATACCGTGGGCGCTAGTATATCGATCGTCAGGAGCCTATACATATTGAAGTTAGTGAAAAACCTGAGAAGAAAAGGCAGAAGTACAATATATAACCTTATTAGTCATTTTCTCGATAATTCTAGATAAAACTTCAGGAACGTTCAGCTGGAGCTCATGAATCAAAGGGACTTTGCGACTCAAGATACTGTTTAGGATTTCCAGCGGACCGCCATCAAAAGGATTACGCGAAGTAAGGATGATGAAGAAAACGATACCAAGAGAGTATATGTCTGATCGGTGATCTGGGGTATAGGTTGTGCGGCCGGTCTGTTCTGGACTCATGTACACCAACAAGCTCTGGAGCATGCTCATCAGTCTTTTGCTTTTGCTTGTCTTGCGCCATCCTTCTGACGTTAATAAATATTGCTCCATGGATTTCGAGCCAGAGCCGAAACTCCACAGTTTTACGGGACCTTCGTCAGTGCCATCCCACTGGAAGCTTTGTAGAGAGATTTCTCCATGTGTGCAGTTGTGTTTGTGGATGTAATCGAGAGCGGAGCAGCATTTGATGGCAAATCGTAAGAACGTACAAAGATCAAAGCTCGGCAAGTTGTTGCTGCTGTTGGTGGGCGCTCCTCCTCCTTCGCTACCACTTTCATCGAAGCATCCCTGTCCGGCAGGGGTAGAGGAAGGTCGTACTTCTGGCTTGCTTGACCGCTGTCTTATCCAAGGTGAAGATGTTCCCGTACTGGAGTAGTCCTCACTACCGCTGACAGTGGAGGATGATGTATCATCGACGGCGTTTTGCTGCTGCTGGAGATACCTTGTGCCCTCGTCGGCGTAGATGACTACCGTTAATCCACTTGGCATGTTGATATATTCGAGTGGTCGTACTGCAGATTTTGTACATCAATGCTTCTGCTGTGGCCTGTGTATATTTACTATTGCTAGCATCACTATTAACAGATAATGACCTTTAGCAACTTACCGATATATGATGGGCCATCTTTATATTGATAGAGTTTTTTCATGATGAAAAACTCTCGTTCAAAGCGCAAAGAATCCGTTGATGCCTAGCAAAGTATACAGCACTCATCAGCAACTTATTCTTTTTGTGGTCGGAAGTAGTCTGTTCATGCGACGGCGGAAAGTTCATCGGTGGTTGCAGTGCTGGTTCGTTACCTTGGCTACTACAGCGCTTCTATTCGTGATTCTGCATGGTAACAATACCATAATTAGCGTTTTGCATTGACCGCTCAATATCTTAAGCAGGATTGCTTACCTGTAGCCATGGACAATGTCACAATTTTCTCCATGTGCTAAACTCGGGGTCGTTGCTGATGTAAAGCGGTATCCTGAAACAACCAGTTGATCAGTCAGCACGCTATTAGTGAGTCCCACGGAACCTGAATCGCTTGAATGCGAAGCTGTCATGGGCGTTGTCGTTTTTTTTATCAACTATGAAATGTGAGCGACTAATACGCGGAAGAGCGTGGAGAAGGAGAGAAAGGAAAGGCAGGTGTGGGGTGGCGTCAATCGTAGTGCTTCCTCGGGCTTGACAGAGTGTGCACGCGCTCTTAATTCTAAGGAGGCCGAAAGAAAAAAAGCCTGCATGATTTAAGGAGATTCCATGCAGCTGCCAGAGCAAAGGAGACACAGACAGTAGATCCAACTGCAAAGCGACAATCCTCCAAGCTCTTGATGCAATGTTATTCTTCGCACAACCAGAAATCCAGGGGAATCCCTAGAAAAGAAAAACAACAAGTTGCTGTTACGCAGAAGTGTGTTAGTTATTGACACTACCAACTACTGCAAGGTACCACAACAACCCATGAGTGCGCTGATAATGTGCATACAGTAAAGTTGGTTGTTTGAGCGCTCCTTACTCTTGATGTTGCCTTTCTGCTCATGATATCGAGGGTTTAAGATCAAATCCACGGACCAAAACACTATTTTCAAATTGTCCTTGGAATCCTTTTTCCCGTGTATCTCGGTTCGGTTCGTTATTCATATGAAAAAGAGCTTGAAGTTTGACTTACTCAAGTTGTTCTTTCTCTCATAAACTTGATACGTATTTTTAGGTTCCACATGCATGCAGTGTTACCAGCTATCAACTTGAGTTGAACTGCTACTAATTCTTGTAAATGATACCTAGTTGTAGTACATACAGCACAATACAAAAAGACTATCGGCGCCATCACGTATCACAACTCATATAGGTAGGAGCCTTTCAAGTTCTCCTACTTAGAGTATGCTTTGCAGCTTGATTTGTGGCCACGCTTTTAAAGCCCTATACGTATTGCTTTTATTTAAGACCATATTGATCACTGGAGACAACAAAAACGATAGCAATGGCAAAATATCGTGTTGCACAGCCAGCTGCACATTGATACTATACTCCTCAAACACTTTCTGTTTTTTGCAACACCAAGAGCCTTATTTAAGCGGCAATAAATATGTCACGTCCGTTTTATATTCCTTACGGTAAAGTGAATATTACTGTGTGCATATTGCAACAAATGGTATAATCATGATGATGGTGGTCGTTCTCTGTCAGTGTATATGGTGTTTGTTTACGGTCTTTGCGATTTTATTTGAGTAGTTTTAAATGCAATTGACAGCACGCCTTATTTCAAGTTTTAAACCTAAGTAGCATGTGCAATAGCTCTAGTCATGAGACCAAAATGAACAACAAGTATTTTAATGTATTATGGTTGAAAATCTACAGGTTTTTTTAATGGCTTTCAGACAAGCAGGAGATGAGCTAAAACAAGCAGCTTGTTTTCTCTTCTCTTCATTGTAGGACAGCAAAGCGGATAGCCTCGAAAAACTAGATTATTATTATCTCATCTCAAATCTCTCCTGTTGATGCATCTTCAGCGTCTTGCAGGTACCTGAAATGGTCCTCAAACGTGTTGCATATCATATGGATACTCTAGCTGACACTCAATAACACTTTATGAAAGGTTCCATAAAGCCCAAAAGATACAATTATACAATGTAAGATTGCTGATTAGAGTAGACATTGCTCCACAAGTGCTCCTTTATACTTGTGATTTACCTAGCCATACATCTACTGGTGACAGCAAGCCCGGCAATGGATGGCTCTCTCCTGCCTTCTAAAATGTTTCCAAGCCGTTCCCGTGTTCTACCAAGATCTCTCATATGTAGCTTTTTGAAAAGTCTATATGCTGATTTTGACGTCTCTTTCTTTAAATATCATTGATAAGACCAATACTCGTTTAAGTCGACTCTTATATTGTCTTCAAACTTTCTTTTGCGCCTCTTTTTTGGTATATGATACATATCCTTGATAAATGAGTACCACGCAGTGTTAAGGGTAAATGTTTTTTGAAAAATTAGCTTTTTCTATATGTATCTACGTATATGCTATGTATGCAAGCATGTAGTTCCATAACCTCTCTAACACGAATGTCAGCACAACATACCATTAGATGTAGGCAGAAGCGGTTTTACCTTATTATTTGTTTTCTTAAAAAAGAGGCTCTTTGTCGGCGAATGGTACGAATATAGATCGATGTTAAGTCGGAAAAACTTGAACATCCTCCGCAAACTCACTATCACTCCGTGTTCCCGCAAACTTCCTTTTTGTATGCAGTAGAGTGCCCCGATCGCAAAAAGAAACTCAGTTTTGACTACATCATGCTCTAATGCTAACTATTATTTTGGCAAATAGCCGACATCTGTTCTTATTAGATAGTCCCGCAGTTCCCCGGCTCCCAACTTTCATACTTTGATATCTGTATATGATATTAATAAGCACCTTTTCTATACACTTTTAAAATGCGTCAATTGAGGCGCGTTTTTTTCCTTTGTCTGATCGACCAAGATTTTGATATTTTGACCAAGCATAATCAATCCAATAGCAATTGATACTGATTACAGGGTGCAAGCAGAATTTTATGCGTGTCTCAATTTCCTACACTATTTTCGTACCATCTCATCCTTTCATCTCACACCATAACCATAGAAGTACGATTATTAGCTACCTAATGGGGAACATATGCTATTACGTTAGTAAGCTATTTTATTTTATGTAGAAAATGCGCAAACAAAGCAGAGCATTTTTAATAGAATTGATTTTCCCTTTATGGCAGTTTCAATATGCTCCTTCTCCACTATCGCCACCATACACGTACAAAGTATTGTATATACGCGTTTCAAATACAGACCGCTATGGTAGCGCACTCTCTTCTTTTAGTAAATATACAATCTTTGCACTCCTATCTTGAAAAGGATGCCAGCACATTTTAAAGCTGAGCAGTTGAGGTCCCGTGCGTGTATATAGAGAAAACTTCGATTGATCTTTTAACAAATTGATGCGCCGGAGCCGTACAGACGATTAGGAAGTTGGAGAGACGCCGCCGCGTTGTGCAACAAAACAGAAGAGCAGAATGTTGTAACTTATTTCCTAAAATGCCCGAAATGGCCGTTGTATCCATACTCTTTGTTTATAAACAGGGGAGCTCTCATGTAGAAACGAGAAAAGCCTTCCTCTGTGTACTAATCGCTAAGTGATGTGATGTGTGTGTGTGTGTGTATAATACGCGTGGTGCGCGTTGTTGTTGTGTAATACACACTAGCCTAAAGTTTGGGACCATTTGTTAAGTTAGTTAAAGTTCCTGCAGGCGATCATTTTTTGTAAATTCCATGGTGTAACAGACGTGTTGTGTAAAGGCGGTAGATTTAAAACTATCTTATGGCGCAGTCTTTCTTTTACACCAATCTTTCACTCAGCACACAAGGATAAAACTTCTTTTAAGGTGGCAGCGAAGCCGATATTATAGAAAAAAAAATATCACAGGCGACAATTTATTGGATTTGTAGGAAGAGGACCGGAATTCTTGAAAGCCTAGACGCGGGCCACAGCGCCCATTTACTACTGGAACTGCTGTGCCCATGAGCCCACAGGAGCAGGAAGAGGAGGCAAACGAAGGAGGGGGAGGGGCGCGCGGGGGCCTGGAGTTACATGTTTGTAGATAATGAGCATACTGTCATGTTGTGGATGCTCCTTTCTTATGACGAGAGACTAGCAGTGTACAGCAGCAACAGAAGAGATAGTTTAAGAGCTTACCCAGCCGGCACTAATTGTGGCAGACGATTAGTCGAGCCCCCCGGGCGACGGATCCAACAAGGTCCCAAGAAGATGGGTGCCCAAGAAGGGACACACGCAGGAAACGAGAGCGAGAAAAAGGGAAGGAAATAAATGAAAAAAAATTTCGACAGGCTTTATATAACAAATCAACGCGCCTCCCCTTTTTGTACTACTACCAATGCTGCAGGCATCAGTGGTTGTCATAGGCACCGTTTAACCTTTTCCTTAAATCTCAGCCGAGAGTGTCTACCGTTGGTTGGCTGGTTGGTCCCCCGTGAAAATTAACAAACAAAACCACCTACTCCACCCAGGTAATTAGACCGCTGCCCCCAAACTTTTCCTTTTCTCGCAGAAAAAAAAAGAGTATTAGTGTAGTTATTATTACTATTATAGTGATCTAGTGGTAGCGGGAGTAGCCTGATCAGCATCACCCGGTGTTATTAGACCCGATGCTTTGGCACATTGTAGGTGTAGTAAGTGCCCATTCCTGTGACCTCGAACTACGATACTATTTCCTAAATATCGATGACATCGGTGACACTCAGATCTTGGATCAACATATACAGGTCCAATATCTTTGTACATGTCGATCAGCTGGCTACCAATCTGATTGGTTTACTCACGTGAGTAAACTACTTGTCATTTCTTTTGTTTGTTCTCCACCGACCAGACATCCTTTTCTCTCCCTTTCCAATCATAATATTATTCTCACCATCAAGTTTTCTCCTCGACTTAAGCCGACCACAACTTCCCCTTCGCGTATGTCATGCAGAGAACGGCGCAGCGAATGCACTAAGAAGTCTTGTAGGGTTTGAATTGGCCAATCGTCAGGAATTAATTGCAGTACCTATACATACACACAAAAAACATTCAGCATTCCCACACACATATCATATTTGAAACGTGTAATTTCCTTTTGCTACCAATAACACCGCATACCTCTAATATGTCCAAATAATATCCCTGTGTTGTCAGCAAATGCATTGTTCGTATCAACATCAACTGCCTGAAATGCATCATGTTTGTGAGTATGCGTGTGAGAAATGCGATATAAGCATATGTCCTTGCATACCTCTCCTTGATCGCCAAGTATGTCTTTAACAACATGGAGAATAACTGCCGACGTTCGTTTAGTTGCTGAGCAGACTCTTCTTGCGTTAATGGCGTAGCTTCTTTGCCTGCTTTTTTCTTCTTTTTTGATGATGCTGTCTTTTCAAAGCGGTTCAAAGAAGATGTTCTTGCTGGTGTGATCATCGTCGTGTGCACTGGTGCAATGTCCGGGACGGCGCCTGTGCTCTGTCCATTGGTTACGCAATATGTTTCCGCACCAACAAAGTCTTCAAGCTCGTGTATCAAAATACGCAATGCTTCTTCATGCTCTTTCATCTAGATAAGCACCTATTTTAGTTACTATCGAAACCTTTTTTTCTATCCCGACAACATTGAAGCGATATACTAGTTACCCTCCCATAAATGATAACCCTTTCGATGTTCAAAGGCCCAGCCTCTGAGATAGCTTGAAAAAGTGTCGGTGGATCATACTGTGATGATTGTTGCAACAGTCGTATCAGGAGCAAGCGTCTGCGAACCAGTTCCGTTTGTTGATGACGCCCTAAATAAGCGACAAAAGTCTGATCATGCCCGCCTATTTCCATGGGATTGACTGATTGCTTGAATTTATCAACTATGTAAAAAAAGCATTAACCAAAATTGCGCCGTCAAGCAAACATAAGCGCATGCCACATTAGACCACACGCATACTCAAAATTTGTATTTCTCCGGCTTGTGCACTTTGAATTTCACGTTTCACATCACGAACATAACTACATGCCAGCCGTGTATGATGCTCTGCACGGTCACTTTCGCGCGTCAAAACGAGGTATTCAAGATATGTCCGGACGGGCTCATTGCCATAGCGCTCTAGTTTTTCCAAAACTTCGTCGGTATCCATCTCGGTGGCACGTGGTGATCGTATGAATATTTCGACACCGTCATTAGGTGCATTATCCATTAGCCACCAGGTATATTTAACAATCGTCTCCAGGGGAAGCTGGATATTATCGTTAATGTCGCGTAAAAGCAATCGTTTGATTTGACTCAGACCGTCGGTAAATCGTGCGTCTGGTGACTCGCCCGAATATATCTTCGTCCATGTTTCCAGCACTTTTTCATACAATTGTTTCGATTGGTATAGTACAGATAGAGCGTAGTACCTCTATGAGAAACGAAGATATACCATTCTAAATAAGCCATTGGAGATGAAGCTTGGGTGCATACATTTGTACAGTATTCGTTCTTTAAGATTGAGCTTTACCTTCGAGCGGACAAGTGCATTGGCACAATCTTCAAGACAACAATCATTTGGTCGCTGAAGAAGGGTATATATGGATTCATCGTTGCTAGCGCCCACGTAGAGTTTCAATAATGCTGTGTCTATAGCCTAACAAAGGGATAGAGTTAGCTTCGACTGACCGCTACTAATCGATAAGATGCTAGTCTTTAACCAGTATACACGAGTAACTTACTTTGCATACTGCGTTTCCTTTTCCAATCAAATTCCTGTGCTTTCCGCGTTCTACTGTGAGGTATCTCTCCAATGCTTCTCTTGCGTTCTTTAACAAGACGCGCCGCATTTCCATGGTAGGACTTGACCGCTTGTCATCTTCTTCTTCCAAGTGTGGCGAGTAGTTTTTCTCCATAGTTTGTGCTACAACACCTTCAATATTTCCTATACTTTCCAGTAAACTACGAATACCATCGAATAATGATACATTAGGTGTTTCACTGATCCAGGAAGACTGAGAGAGATCGCCAAATAGATATATCACCACCCGTGGATCCAGATTTCCTTTTGATAGTAATGCAAAAGCATCTTCGAACAGAGTTTCTTGCAGCAGAAGCAAACCAGCCTTTTGGTAAATAAAATCTAGTTCTGATTGCTTAACAACAAGAAAAGCATATATAATGTTAGTGGTTTATATGGGTCAGATGTAGTATAAAGGAAAGGAGGTCACATATGAATAGTTACCATGCGTTCTACATGGGTATTGTTCTCTGTCGACAGCGTGTTACGTGCTTGATCGGCCATATCCAACGCTTCTTCAAAGTTCTTCGTATCCAGTAACGCGTCGACTTGAACCACCAGAGGAGTAACGATCTGCGCCTTTACACTGTCACGACCGTATACAAGAATTCGAGCAGGCAGAGTAGAAAACCGAGCAACTTGCCGCCGTAATTGGAGCTGTAACTCGTCATCCTCACTATTATTGTTGTTGGTGGTGCTAGTCGACGATGACAGCCACGGTCGCCTTGAGAGCCTGTCTGCCATACCTTCCATCCAAACCTTGATACCATGACCGAACGACATGCCACGAGGCTCAAATGATGGGTCGAGTTGGATAATTTGGAGAAGTTTTTGATCGAGAATATTGTGGATTTCGATGGTATGGTTTCGTAAAAGTGCTGCGATATACGGGAATTCAACGCATAATGCTTTGGGATAGCTGGACCATTGCAGAGTACCGCGAATAGGAGAGCCGTGCGAGTCTGCAAAAATACCAATCGTTGTATGGTTGTTGGCAGAAACATTCCCGCTAACCACCAGAAACTCATCAGCTTTGATGACTGTGAGAACAGGACGCGGTACAGTCTGTGGAGCAGTACCGAGCATGGATGTAGTTGGAGAAGACGATGTTACGGCGACCTTAGGTGTTGGAATAAGTGGTGTTGGATTTGGCAATTGTAGATTGATCAGTTTGTAGTTGTTAAAGTCGGCCAGGCATAAGTTGCGACTATGTCGTGCTATCGTGATTGCTCCATCGGGTAATGGCAGTTCCTAGAAATCATCAAGTACACCCGTCACCCCTTACATTAGCTATTCCCTTTTTTTCGGATCCACGTTTACTAGTCTAGTTGTTCTCCTCCAGCTTTGTGCATTATATGATAGATAATCACCTTCTTCATTTGAACCAGTTCGCCGATTTTCAAAATTTGGAGCACTCTTCGTTTGACAATGCACAATTCAATCGTTCCATCCTCTCCTATCCGACCTTCTTCTGCAACATCGTGGGCAAAGCATGCAACTCCTTTGATTTGAGGGACCAATGCCACTGGTATAGGATCAAAAAAAGGTAGCGAATAGAAACTCAATGTTGAATCTAATACACGATAGTAATCATTAGTGTTCTTGTCTATCCGACATGCATCCTATCTCATTCAATCATCTCTCTTTTTACCGCAAAGCACAGCTGCCTTGGAGACTTGAGGTAATACAAGAATACGCTCGACTGGTTTTCGGCCAAATCCAAGATTGATTTTGTTCTCGAGACGTGATGCATACGGTACCTTTTTTGTGGAATTGATAAGAAACCAGTATCACGATATGAGCAACGCACACACACAAGCTCGGATAGTCTCCCTCGCAATAGTACAGCTGGCTGCCCTTCGACTCCCCGGTCGATGGCTGTGATCCCCACTTCCCCTTTTCCTTACTTCTTCAGCCTTGCCGTGCTCTTCTAGCATAAAGTGCAGAATTTGACCGTCCGAAGTGCCCAAATAAAGATTGGTATCTATAATGCCAACAATGAAGAACGTCAATTAAGGAGGTAATAGCAATAATATATGTCTCGAAAGGGTCTGCCAAAATGGTCGTGCTTTTTCCTTGTCCTCTTTTGATCTTACCCCAAGCTTCGGCGGCATCAATAGTGAATGGTGCTGCATTCGCGAGCGATGTTTGGCTACTGCCACCACCTGTTAATAAGTTGTTCAGACGTGATGGTGGACTCGACGGTAATGACTTTGATACATCCGAGGTTGGAGGAGAATTCGGTAAACGTCGTGAAAAGAAGGAGCCCGGTGACGTAGATTGTGCTGGACTTCCACTTGCACTCGTTGGTGGCGATGGCTGTTGTTGGTCGTCAGTAGTGGTTGTAGCGACACTGTTGCTGGCCGAAGGAAGAATGGTTTGTAATGTGTATGGTGTGAAGGGCATTTCTCACACACAGTGTGGGGGACAGCACAGCTTTATCTTTTTTTGGTTCTTTGCTCTATCGACGACGACAACGACAGGTTGTCTTTTTTTTCTCGTGTGATAATAACTTTCGCGTCGTTTTGAGTCGTTTCGAAGTTGCATTTGTGTTGCGCTGGAAATTTTATCTCGGGTAATGTCCGACCTTGCATGACGACAACGGAGTGGGTGGCAGCGGATAACTCTTACTGCTGCTGCTGCTGCATCTATGATCATAGGGCCGCTGTTGCGGTCTTGTTATCTACCATCCGTTATCCCATCATACTGATCGTCACATTGTCTGGTCAGATAGATGCTTATAGGAAAGGAAAGATCCAATTGGGTTTATATCGAGGATTACAGGTTCTCGGCAATTTATTATATGTACCTAATAATTCATCAAGTGCTACATCATGCTTATGCGCAGCAGCTCAGCATTTCAGAGCTTTGTTCTCCAACCTTCTCTTCTCTGCGTGAGGTAGTACAAAGTTTGAAAACCTGCTAATTACATATCATCTGCTTGTCAGACTCGCCTAAATCGAAACAGCTCCCTGATATCAACACCACCTCAGGTACAAACTTTCTATTTCGTTTAATGACCCTACCAGATCTTACTACATGGAATTACAGGTTGGTGACAATAATATCGGCTGTGTATATTTGCTCTAAAATATATATGTAGTATGTATCAAGACACAATATGCACTTAATATGTTGTGACTATCGGTATTGATGGTTATAGATGTGGCAGAGATCGTCATCATTTAAATATTACATAGGGGATAATATATACAACTTTATGTGTATGCTGTTGTGTATGTACAGTATTATTAAATTACATTTAATTGTCCAAAACAGGTATAAAGTATGTCGGATAGCATAGCAAGTCTAGGCATGGGGTACTTTTCGTACATCGACAATGGGTTGGATTTTAACGTAAGCATAAACGACTCCAGGGACGAAATTGACCGAGGAATATGATGATCGAGAGGCACGATCGATGACAGTTGGAAGAAACAATGCATCAGTGTTCTTTCAGTAGCAGGCGAAAGATTCACTTGATGATAAGTCATTACGATGTTGCAGACTGAGTGAAGAACACTAATCATAAAGCCAAACGATACTGGAAAATTTGTAAGCATGTATTAGCATATGTATACTAATATGTCCACAAAACATTGTTACTATTACTTACAGGGTACAGCTTCAATATCTACTTCAAGATTCTTTTTCATCATCTGGACAAGTAGTTGCGTTGAGCATAATGTTAGGGACATGGCCTTTTCCTTTATGATATTGACAATGTCGTCATTGATTGGTTCGCCTGTATCTTGTGCCAGTTGCGGCTTTAGCAAAACTGACTGAACGATAGCCGTAAATGCATGCAGAAAAGCAAATGGACCCATTTGAGTGGATGAAGTAACCCTTTCTAAGGCTTCTTTGGCCGACGTTAAATCGAACGGTTCCTCGCAGAGACGGAATTCCTCTGGTATATTTTTCCACCAAGAGCGCATCGTTGGTTCATACCGCAGGATATTATCAAGGCTCAACTCACACTTTCTTCCATGAATAATTGCGTCGCTTAATGTTTCCTGAAAGTAAAGCACAATATAATACTGTCAGAATTGTTGTCTCACGGATTTGTTACTTCTAACCCATAATTCATTTTGCTCACTTCTTGTTATATCACTCACCAAAATAGACACAATATACGGCGAGCTACCCAATTCAAGTATGCATTTCCACATGGCGAGATAACTGTGTACCGCTGGTGGATCATCATCCATTGGGTAAACGTTATCCCATTCGACAATGCCAAGATCAAACTTGTCATGAAATGCCATGTTGACTTGTGTGAAGTATATTTGTACAGTGGCACGATGTCGTTGGAACAGTGCGTATTCAACTGTCGATAGGTCGTCAACATTGACTTCGTGGCATGCGAGGTAAGCTACGGTTAATAATCGCCGGGCTTCGCCAAATTCAAGCAGCAGGTCCAAAAGATACTGCATCAACAGATTCGATGCAATAATTGCCTGGAGCCTCTGCCTTGGATCGTCAAACATCTCCCCTATCAGCATGTCTCGGCACCTGACGTAAAAAAATTCGGCGAGATGACGCTTTTCTTCTGACGAATACTTCAGTCTCGAAAAGAAATAGGCAATGGTATCGACGCAGGCTGCCAGGACGATGGGGCTTGATAGAGGGTCTTTTAGGCTTTGATAATGTTGTAGGAACGAAGGTGCATGTAATAAACCGACAAATGGATTGTATCGTTCCATATAGAGCGTTATGAGCTCATCCATATACTGCTTGTAAAACGAATCTGGGCGACCACGTGGAGTTGGATCAGTACGGTTTGGCTTGTTGGAAGGGTTGGCGTTGCGAATAATCAGAGCAGTCGACGCCACCGCAATACTCGGAGTGGTGCCTTTGAACTGAATACTTTCTCTGCTGAATAGTTGTTGAAAGGGAGAGAGGTATCGTATTGATGCTTGGTTGTACATTAAGAGTTCTTCCAGGTTCTTAATTCGGCTAACCAGATAAATGCGCCCATTGACCACACGAAGTTTCCATTCCACTTGGCGAGCTTCGTTGCTGTCACTGATGAACTGTTCCATAGTTTGTAAATCACGGTCGATTTGGGAAATTTGTTGTCGCACTTGCTGCAGTTCCTGATTACCGTCGCGCACAGGTCGGCCCTCTTCGTCGGTCTCACTTGGTATACACGGTACTTGCAGTTGCACACAGAGATGGCACTCTTTGACATTAGTAGTTATAAAAGTGCACTTCCGTCGACGACGCTTACAGTCTATAATTATTTGATATTATGTTATTAGCATTAGGAGTAGAAATTAAAGTGAGCCGTGTAAAGTAGTTGCATATTTACATAAGCATGGTTTGGGGTTGCGAGTCATATTTCACGAGTGGAGAATCTGTATTAAAGCAGGTTTTTCGAGTTGTTTCGTCGCGGCGTAAATCGATGTTGCACAATAGCAAGTCTTGCTGTCAACCCCTCCGTTTAATTGTCGGAAACGGAATGTTCCGATCAACGTTCTTGAAGTTCTTGGCGAGTCAAAAATTATTCTATTGAAAGTAATAAAGAGTAATTAAGAAGGGAAGGGGAAACAGCAACTACTAGTGTATCTCTGGAGAAGCATATTTACTGTACACGGAATGAACAAAGATGATGATAAATTTACAATGCAAGATGAAACCCGCGTTCGAGTTGGTTAAAACAGGTAAAGAAGACATCAGAGCACATAGCATAACCAGGCATCGGAAACTTGTCGTATATGTTCATCGGGCTTGCCTTGAAATCAGCCATGAACGCTTCAAGAGTAGATGATGAGGCTGGAACCTGTATTAACAAAGCAATCATTAATTCCTCCATCCTTTCTTTCTATTTCGAGTAACCGCCATCGACATTTCTTTGTATTCTTACTTGATGTCCTGGAGGAAAGAGGGCATTGATCTGGGTAAAACACCGAAACAATAGATCAAAAACTTCGACGGGAAGCTGGACACCGTCCGTGGTGCAATTGTTTACAATACTGCAAACTGCATGCAGTGTACCTAACATATATCCAATGGATACTATAGCATGTTATTTTCATGTTAAAAAAAAGAACTATACGCTTTTCTCTTCTCCCACGTCAGATATATAAAGACACAGGTTCTTTGACTTACATGGTACAGCTTCAACATCAACTTCAAGATTTCGCTTCATGACGTAGACGAGCGCCTTTGTAGAGCTGAGAGTGATTGAAGTAGCTTTTTCCTGGATGATCCGAATCATATCATCAGTCGCAGAATTTTGAAGGCTCACGCTTGGTGGCCTTAATAACGACGATTGTACTAGCGCCGACAAAGCGTGCAGAATAGCAAATGGCACCAAGACGACAGACGACGTAATGCTGTCAACCACTTGTTCAACTGCTGGTGTAAATGGATCGTCACATATCCGAAAGTCGTCAGGAAGGTTATCCCACCATTCAAGGACCTTTTGTTCAAATTGTAGTATCATGTCCAAGGTCAGTTCATATGATTGTCCATGGACTGCGCGACCGATTTGCAGCTATTTAAATAAACACCGTCGCAGTGAAAAAGAGACAGTAGAAAGTTGGAGCGGCTTTCATTAGAAAATATGCAATCTTTAACAACTGTCGTTTTTGAACATCTCTTACCATCAATATCGTGATATAAGGCGATCCGATCAGCTGTGTCATCAAATTCCACATATTCAGATATTGCCCAATCTCACTTGATTCACCCTCGAGAAGCTCCGTGCTAACCGCTGGCACCCGTGAAAAGTCAAACTTCAACTCTAGGAAAACATTGATAACTCCTTCCCATATATGAAGGGCTACATAATGCCGACGGAGCATAACACGCTCAACTTGAGACATGCGTCCACTTTCATGTGCTTCGAGATCGTCACATATCAGTAGAGCAACAGTAGCTAGGCGACGAGCTTCGGCGTACTCCACCATCACATCCTGTAGGTATTGCATTAACATTGTAGTCGTCAAGACTGCTTCAAGTCGACGATCTGGATCCTCAAAGCAATCTATCAACAAGTCTCGACATCTACCGTAAAAGAATTCGGCCAATTGTCGTTTTTCGAGGGGCGTGTAATTTAGTTGTGGATAAAAATAGGCGATCGTGTCGATGCACATGGCGAGCGTGACGGGACTGTTGAGCGGATCCTTGAGCCGACGATAATGGCTCATAAATGTTAGCTCGTGAATATAACCGACGCATTTGTTGTAGCGCTCCAAGTATAAAGCCACGAGCTGGTCTATTTCGCGTCGATAGTCGATCTTATACGGTAGTTCTTTGATAGCAGTCTGACGCGCTCTATTTTGGGTGTAGCGAATAATCAGGCCGGTGGATGCAACTGCAACGCTTGCTGACATGCCTTCGAATCGAACGCTTTCTCTTTGTAAAAAACCAGCCAGGGGTGATAGATACCGAATCGATGCTTGGTGGTATCTCATCAAATCCTCAAAGTCCTTGATACTGCTTTCGAGCCGTACTCGACCATTGATGACGCTTAATAACCATTGTGGTTCCGATTCTATTGATTGTGCGTCTGCTTCCCTTTCCATAGAGTTGCTGCTACTGCTACTGCTACTGCTACTGCTACTGCTACTGCGCGTTATGGCTCGTTGTACTTTTGTCCCGGGAATGGTCGAGTAGTTGCGTAAATTATCTTCTGCTGTGTTCAATGCATCTTCGATTTGCGACGCCTGGTCCCACCATTCTAGTAGTTGAACGTTGCCGTTACAAATATCGGCATTACTGTTGATTTGGCTTGGAATGCATTCAGTGAATAACTGTGCACATCGTTCGCATTTCTTTTCTCCTTTCTTCCATATGCATTTCCTTCGTCTACTTCGACAATCTAACAAGATAAAAATTAGACATACGGAACCAATGCCTCAGTACGATTTCTTATTATTCGAAAAAAGAAGAACCTCGTATGCTTACTGCGGCAAGGATGTTCATTTCTCATATGGAAAAGGAATAAGAAGGCGGGATCGGTCGTTAAAATAAAAAGAGTTGAGAGTCCTATTTAGCCCTGCATGACAAATTCTTCTATTAGTCATAGTATGAGGTAGCTTAGGTAATCAATTCGTCAAACGAGTCTGTGTGTCTGCATGAGCTTTGCGGCCAATTCAGTATTAAGTGATCACTTGCAAGGGTTAGATTAACTGCATATCCTATCACCACACTGGAAGGGTTGGATCGCTTTCTTACTGGCAGAGATCAAGATCAAGGTATAAAGAGGTGTCGACACATGGTTAAAAAAACGTGGCCTTCTTTTTACAATAAAGCCGAGAAGGTATATATTACAAACGACTTAAAGAACACGAACAAGTATGTACAGTAATTGTTGTCACAGTACAAGCTGAAAGCCGCGCTCAAGTTGGTTGATGCATGTAGACAACATATCAGAGGTCATGGCAAAACCAGGCATTGGAAATTTTTCGTATATATCCATGGGATTGACCTTGGAGGGTCCGGTCTCGGAGGAAGTAATAAATGATTCTATCAATTAGTAGTAGTTCTTACTGTTTAAACTCATAAATTCAACTATGCATTACCATATGTTCTTGCGGGAGTTGCGCGTAGATTTGACCTAAACATTGAATTAATAAGTCAAATACTTCTATTGAAGGTTGGACAATTAAGCTGCTGTTCACAACACTACAGACCGAATGTAGTGTGCCCAACATATAGGTGATAGATACTACATGAAGCCAAAGTTTAATAAGAAATACTTAATCTCCTCAGCCAAAGTGTTTTTTTCTATTGCTTACTTACATGGGATAGCTTCTTCGTCAATTCAAGATTCCGTTTCACATTGTATACAAGCGCCTTTATTGAAGAGAGTGTGAGCAACGCGGACTTTTCTTGTATGATCCGGACCATATCATTTGTTGCAGTGTCCTCTGCATTTGCAATACGAGAATTCAGCATCGACGACTGAACTAGTGCTGTAAAAACATGCAATACGCCGAATAGCACCAGTGAAGTAGATGATGTAACGTCATCGACGACTCGATCCACCGTTGGTGTAAACGGATCGTCACATATCAGCAAGTCGTCAGGAAGTGATTTCCACCAACTTCGAACCATTGGCTCAAAACTGTAAGATCATATCCAGGCTTAGCTCATATGGGTGACCATGAATCGCAAGAACAATTTGTTGCTTATAGTGATTACGAAATTAGACAGATGAGTGAATCTCGTATGCTACAAGTATACACAATATCAAGAAAGCGTGTATTAAAGAGTTTTACCATTACTGATGTGAGGTAAGGGGATCCACACAACTTGAATAGGTACTTCCACATGCTATAATAGCGTGCAACTGTATACGTCTCGCCATCCAATAAATCCAAGTTTTCAACTTGAACTCCAGTGAAATCAAACTTCCCTTCCAAAAAAATTTCAATGACACTGGCACAAGCTCGATTAAAAGCATAATGTCGGTGGAGCATTGCGAGTTCGACGGGAGACATGCGTTGCGCTTCATTCGACTCAAGTTTTTGCACAAGCCAACAGGGCCACAGTAACCAATCGTCGAGCCTCATGATATTCCATCAATACGTCTTGCAGGTATTGCATCACCAAGTTGGTCGTAACGACTGCTTCAAGCTGTCGTTCTGAATCCTCAAAGCAATCTATCAACAAGTCTCGACATCTACCGTAAAAGAATTCGGCTAATTGTTGTTTAACGAGGGGCGAGTATTTCAGTTGTGGATAAAAGTAGGCTATTGCATCAATGCATACGCCGAGCGCAATGGCGCTGTTGAGTGGATCCGATAGTCTGCGATAATGATCCATGAATGTTGGTTCGTGTACCACCCCAGTTATAACTTTGAAGCGCTGCATATACAAATGGATGAGTTGATCCATCTCGCGTCGGTAATCGATCGGATGAGGTAGTTGCTTGATCGTAATTTGTCGTCCTTTGTGTGGCGTGCAGCGCTCAACCATACCGGTGGATGCAAACGCAACACTCGCAGACATGCCCTCAAATCGTACGTTTTCCCGTTGCAATAATCCTGCCAAAGGAGATAGATAGCGAATTGATGCTTGATGGTACATCATTAATTCTTGAAAGTCCGTGAATTTGCTTTCGAGCCGCACTCGGCCATTGACGACGCTTAAGGTCCACTGTGGTTCCTTTGATGTCTCGTATGCTGCCAGAGTTTCATCAGTCATTGATGTTGTTGTTGCTTTCGTTGTAAGTGACGACGATGATGGTGATAGTATTGTTGGTGATACAGATGTTGTTGAACAACTGGATGCGTCGCGCAAGAAAACGGCTGCCAAATCCAACGTGTCTTCGTGTTTTAGTACTTGATCCCACCACGTTGATCGCTGTTCGTTGCCGTCTCGAATATCCGGAGCACAACTTCTATCTTGGGAGGGAACACACTCTAGTCCCATTCTAGCACACGCGTACACACTGCAAATCATTCTCTTCCCAAATACATTTCCGTCGTCGTCTTTGACAACATGAAAGATTAACAAGTAACACATTTTAAGCACAAAAACTTATTTTTTGCAAATTTGGCTTTTTTTTCTTTTAGCAATGCTTTACTGAGGCAGGGATTTTTGTTACGCATCTATTAAGAAATGCGAGTTGAAGAATTACAAAGAGCGCCACGAAACAACATAATTTGAAAACCCGTCATAATCGCTTTGTGTGACCGATTGGTGCCGTTATATATGAGAAGAGAGCTGTCCACTGCTGGCACGTGCGATGGAAGCTCGTAGAATTTTGCCACAGCAAAAGCAGTCATATCGGAACATCAAACACTGGGTTCGAGGTCCGTCACAAAAAGGTATAAATAGAGGTACGATTCCATTCATTGCAACTCATACTTACCTGAGCCGTGTGTCTGGTGATCAAGAACGCCGGGCACACAGGGCGGACGGTGACCATTGCACTTCCGGTTGCTGACTGCTCTGCGAACACTCTTCGGGGTGTCTCGAGGCTACAATTTTTGCTTTGGGGAGACGGTCGGTTCGCTGACTGGCTCCCCGCTCCCAATCTAAATAAGAAAATGAAAAAAAATAATAATAATAACAAACACTATAATTCTACGTAAAATTGAATTATTTTGTCTGTGTGCGTGACGCAGCAAGTATGCACTGGTAACTGTGATATGGCTTGCTGCCATCTTACTCATGTTTTCGCACCAAACCATGATTTTTGCCCTTACTGTTTAAATAAAGTCCCGATCTGTTTGGTACGTTCTGTAAGAAAAGGACAATGGGCTACTTCTTGCCTTCTTGCTTATAGCGTTTGCATTTGTAATAACGGATTTATAATAGTTGTTCTTCAATTTAAAGCGAAAGAGCAGTGTTCTAGTCAGTTTGGCTGCCACAGGAGCATACGTTAAAAGAAAAAGCAATTGCATTCAGATTGTTGTTTACGGAGAGGATCCTTGGTTTCCAAAACCTATACACTATAGGTCGGCAACCGTTAAAAACTTTCTAATCAACTAGTTATTTGAATGGTCCATGTGTAATGCGCATTTAAAGTATTCAGATTATGTTAAACCGGGCGGGAGGTGTTCTACGAGCAGCGTGCCTCAAGCACATTATTATCCCACTTGGCTTTCCTTTTTATTGGGAAGCGTTCTTACTATACTCAAATCCGTTTCATTAGTCTTCATGCTTCATCGCCTATATAGTATAGGATGTCTATAGGTGTATATAAACACAGTAACCGACATACAGTACACATCTTCCTAGCAGAGATTATATTGAGTCCGGATAATATATATGTCGTGAGGGTGTACAAGCCTTAACAGTTTGCGGACAAACGGCGGATAAAACGCGGGGAGTGTAACATGAGGAGCTCTTTATGGGTTTCTTTCTGTATTTGACAAGATAAAGGCGAATTCTTGTAGCACGAAAATCAAAAGAAGGTTACCCGTATTACCCGATATTGCACATATCTTGAAAGGATGGTTGGTTCCCAAAAAAGACATGAACAAACCGGGAGAATCCGTAGCGCATAAGCTTTATGATGTTCGCAGGACGATGAAAGCCCTTAGCCACCTGGCTGGGTGCCTATCGAAATTGAACAACGTGAATGGATCGCGGTAGGGAAAGGGTGAGGGGTCGAGGAAAAATATATGTAAAGGTCATAGAATCGGTAGAATAGATTTTATATGGTGTATGCACTTAATTAATGACGAAATTTATTTGGTTGAGAAATGTAGGTTCTTTTTTTTGAAGTGAATGAAATACATACTTCAGAAAATAAAAGAGCTTATGGTGAAAGAAAAAAGAATGGAGATAGGGAGAGAGAGGATTTGTTCAATGTAATAGTAAGTGATCGGTTGCTGTTTGTATGTGGTCGGAATAGTGAAAGATGGAAGATTACAGGGCTAAGGTAAGTTTTTTGGAGAAAAATAAACAAAAGAAGAGGGGGGGGGGGGTTGACGAAGGTCAGAAAGAAGATGAGGATGTGGTGGATGGAAGGATCGAAGGATGTAGCGGAATTATGCTGCAACTGCAAGCTGCTGTTGTGTTTGGGTGGTGGCCGCACCGCTGCCTTCGCTCTTCTCCTCCTTGTTCCATTCAAAGTCCTCAGTAGCAGTGTCTGCCAACATTTCTGCAATTGCCAACGAAGCTGTGCATGCGGGCGTAGGAGCGTTGCGGACACAGAGCACCTTGCCATCCATGACCTTGCGTTCCAAGATATAGTCGTTGGCAGCAATGCCACCATTCTCGAACACCTGCGACATGACGCCAGCAAAACTTTCCTCTACCATATCTTCCGTCAAGCCAGGGACGTATGCCTGAGCAGCACGCAAGAAGACACGCTTGTTCATATCCTTGTACAATTCACCGATCGACAATGAAGGGTTCTTGAGTGCGAAGGCCCACAGGTTCATGTTGGTGAGTGAGTCGAACAGGTCCTTCATCTTAAAGTTGCTGAAGGTATAGCCTTCGCGAGCAAAAGTAAGACAGGCGCCGGGACCAACGATCATTTGAATGCCACGACGAGTGTTGACCTGAGTGAACAACCAATAGCCATCACCCCCAAAAGAAGAAAAAGTAAGGGGGTCAATATAAACAATCATCAACTTATCAACATTATCCCATCATGTCCAATATAAACTCCAATATGTAAGGGGGTTTTGTATGTCTGCAATGTATCTCACTCGTCCTCTCCCAAAGGTAATTTACTTACGGTTGGCGTAAAGTGAACACCGACAGGGATGCCACCACCGCTGGGAACAGGGTAGACGTTCATACGGCAGATGCCTCGGTACTCGGGCTTGAGCTGATAGTAGGTACCACGGAAGGTAACGACCTTGGCCTTGGATGAATCACCACCAGCCAAGCCAGCAACGCGGTCGGAATAGAAGCCAGCGCAGGTAATGACGTTTTTGGCAGACACCTTGAGCGTGGGACCACGTTGGTTGGGTTCAGCGCCCCAGATCTATACACAAACATTATGGTTATCAAATGTTGCTTTTCCTTTTTGTTGTCGCTTAGGTAACCCGATTCAACAACTCCTTTTGTTGTTATCGATGGTAGGAAGAATTAGGGGGGTTTGGGTATGGGCCTGGTTTGCGGGTTGGAGCATCTTCTTACCTCGATTCTTCCATCAGGTCTCTTCTCAAACTTGCTTGCTTCGAAGGCGAGCTTGATTTCCGCGCGGCTACAGCATTTGTTATAGATAAGCGGTGTCCTCGTTAGATAAGTGTAGATGAATAAAAGTGTGGGGACAGGAAGGAAACCTTACCCAGATTGGACAATCTCATTGGCGATGCACTGGGCGACCAGACCGTAGTCGGTAATGCCAGTATTGGGCGAGTACAAGGCGGAGTGAGCAACGACATTAGGCTCAAGTTTACGAATCTAAAAAGAGACAAGAGGGAGAGAGAGAGAGAGATATCCGGAGATTTTCAGTAATGCAAAAGAGCGAAAAACCTCCCATTTGCTTATAATCATTCATTAACGAGGAACGAGTGGATTCTTTTAAACTGACCTCGTCACTGTTGAGCACCTGCAAATCCTTGACACCGTTCAAGGAGGCAATCTCATAGAGTCGCTCAACCTGCTTGTGTTCCTTTTCGTCCACGGCGACAATCAACTTGCCACAGCGTTCGACAGGCAATTGGTTCTGCTTGCAGTACTCGTACATCAAGTCGGCACCACGCACGCAGGTGTATGCCATGCGCGAACCGGGCTTGTAATAGATACCGGCGTGAATGACACCGCTGTTATGGCCAGTCTGATGAGCAGCAACCTCACGCTCCTTTTCAAGCACGGCCACGGTCATGTTGGGGAAACGTTTCAATAATTCGCGTGCGGTAGCCAGACCAATGATACCACCTCCCACTATTCAGAGTACACAACACAAGGAGCAGTTAGTGACATCCTGCATATCTTGCTGATATCAAACCCATCTGACCGAAACAAACACAAACTTCCAAACACAATAGCCCAAAAATAACATTGATTAACATTTACCAATAACGACATCAAAGTCAGTCTTTCCATTGTTCTCAGAGAGAGATGTGCGGAAGCGCTGCTCTGCAGCCATGCCTCGTAACTTGGCAAAGCCAGGGTTGACAGGCATGTTCTCGCCAGGAAGGTTCTCCCAGAACGACAACTTTTGTTCGGCATGCACTTTCTTGGGCTCAGGTTTCACAGCCATGTAGACCATACCTGTAGCTGCAAAGGCACCCACGGTGAGGGCAGGCATGCGGCCTCGAGAAAACATTCTAGCAGATCGAGCGAAAACCATGGTAGTTGATGTAGTAGTAGTGTTTGCGATAAGATGAAAAAAAGCTGGAAGAAAATGGAAAGAAAGAGGGAAAGATCAAGTAAGAAAATGAGATTGAGCTTATATATGTGTTCGTTCCTCTAAACTTTCTTTTTTTGCGCCCGGTTTTATATCTTGCCGATCTTATAAATTATTGCGAAAAGACGTGTGTATGCGTATTCATAAAGAGAGAGAGAGAGAGAGATCAAGACTGAGATGCAAGAAGCAAAGAACGTTCCAAGACCCCCATTGCGGGCATGACCTTATGCAACAAGGAGTGTATGCGCGCGTGCAGCTCTATGTGCTTATATGTGGCTATCTCTTATCTCTAAGTTCATCCCTAGAAAATTTTCGCCCTCCAAGAGATGGTCAGCATATGGACATAGACTTAGTAGTACACTCTCCTGTCTCCTCTCTCTCCCTTCCCCTTTCCATCCTCCCCCCAAACAAACTAATATGTCGCTCATCATTGGCTCTGCGTCTTCCTGCTTCTCCCTCTTCCATGTTGTACATGAATGATCTAAATGACATTCATCGACAACAGCGACAGCTTCATGGCAAGTGGAAGCCCCCCAAAAAAGATAGCCTTGGCCCCTGATCTCATACAATCATAATTTCTCTTCCTTTACTCCTTGCCGTTCCATCGCATAAACGTGCGTGCGTAAAGGGATGGTTGTGGCAATGTGCGTTTATTCGGTAATAATATTAAGTCTATAGCAATTCCAACCATGGTTGAAGAGTGCCAAGAAACTGTAGACTCCTTCTTCACACAGCAGGGCGGCGGGATTTATGAGACCTGATCCCGTTAAAAAGTGTAAAATAGAAAGGTAAACAAATGCTGCTGTTGTTGCTGGATCCCAAAAAAGCGTGTATGTTCTTATTATATGCTATGCTGGTGTTTGTACATCCACTCAATAATCTACACTCCACTCCCTAGTCTTTTTGTTCTTGGCTTATTTCTTCTTCAAAAGCTCTGCGTTCAAACCCTTCTTGTTACGGGCAATTTCAATGGCATAGAACTACATAGTAATGACAATGGCAAATTATTTCCTGTGGTCAGTCTTCCTTTTTTTAGATCCTCTTTCTCTTTTCCTTGTTTATGACAGTTGTAAATCGTCTAAAAATACAAGGGCTTCCTCAACAAACCTGCATGCGAACACCTGCAATGATATGCACATTAGACAAATAACATCATGCAAAATATAGATGCAGACTGCTTTTTTTCTCTGCTGCTTTAAACCGAAACTTACCAAACATTGTGTTTTGCTCAGTGTAGTCATCCCTGTAATCAATACGGATCAAGCTGCCAAAGTTAAATTCGTTCACCAGTTTCTCGTACTTGTTGATCCATATGCGCCACTTTTCCTTTGCCTCGGGCGTTTTAAAATCCTTGTCATTCAAGTGCTTCACATCAATTTCTGGGAATGTCTCTTCAAAGTCCTTGTAGATCTCGTCGTCGATCCTATATATAGCATTATCATTTTCTGTATTCTTTTTCTTTCCTTCCTCTTTCCCACAAGAGCTGGAGAGGGTCCACGTTACTTTGTCAATGGAAAGTTCTTCATATCAATCTTGGACACCAAATTGTAATATGTTTCGGCATGATGCATGGCCTAAGCACACAAATTTATAATAGCAACAATTGGAAGAGAATGGCCCCCAACATATCATCACCATCATATATTGTCTATCTGTGAGAAAGGGAGGATCCAACGCACATACATATTACACGCGTGCGCACGCGTATAATAGAAATCACTATACATAAACAAAACCCAACATTTAGATATATTGTCCTTCTAAGCCTTCTTCCCCCCAATATCCATAAAGTAGCAAGTGGGCAAAATATATGTGCGTCATTGTTGTATTATACTTACCGGTCCTGAGTGCTTTAACTTGCCTTGACAGCCCATTGCTTTTCTATTCAACACCGCGAAACCACTCACATTAGTCAAGATCGCCATGACAGCCAATCTCAAATCCTCAAATTGCAAACGTCGTCTAGTTACCAATATCTTCGAGTTGCTCAAGATCTTCTGCTTTTGGAAGTGACATGGTGTGTTGTGCGTATTGTAGAAATGATAGTCTTAATGGTTCTTTTTTTTTTCTGGTTTAAAGCAAAAAAAAAGTGTGACCGAGTTTCCTAAAAAGTAATAATGCTCCCCTTTGCTCGGGGTTTCGAATCAATCACTACACGCATATGCTTGGAGCCCCTCCTCGTTTCACCTGGCTTTTCGTACCTTTATAAAACAAAGAAATGGCAGCTTCGAGTGACCGAGTTTCTCACAAAGAAGAGCGTGGAGAGAATAAAAATGGCAGCAATGACGATCGTGAAGAAGACGATAACCACAGTGTAGCTTCCGACAAAACCAATAGTGAATATGAATCGGATGACGACGACGACGACGGTGGTGAAAGCGAAGACAGCGATGAAGAAGATATGGAAGAAGAACCCAAACTTCGGTATCGTCGTGTCGGCGCCGGTGTTCGCGATCTATTAGAGAAAGATGCAGCTTCTGCATTACGAGTCTCTGACAAATTTGTGGTGAGAGACTTTCCTTTTTACTTTTCTTTCCCTCAAGAGAGGATCGTAATGCTGTCTATTGAATGCAAAAAAAAAAGTAACATGAGGGGCTCGTACGGTGTGTATACATATAGGCACTTGGTACGCACTGGGGCGCGGTTCATGTTTTAGATTTTGAAGGCAACGTCATAAAAACGTTTCAGAAACATGCAGCCACGGTCAACGACATTTCGATAGATGATGCAGGAGAGTTCGTGGCAAGTGCATCCGATGATGGTACGAATATGTATATATAATGTAAAGCAATGTGGCTGTGCGCGGGCGTGTGCATGAGTGTCTGCGTTCCATGTCTCATTTTCTCTTATGCAATATATTATGTAATTAGGCAAGGTTTACATTTATTCGCTTTACACATCAGAAATACAACATTTCAATTATCGGCGACCTGTCAAAGCAATTGCACTTGATCCGGAGTTTGCGCATAAATCAACGCGACAGTTTGTTTCCGGCGGCATGGCCGAGCAATTGATCATGAACGAAAAGGGATGGCTTGGACACAAAGACGTGGTCTTACATGCCAATGAGGGCCCCATTTACTCAATCCAGTGGCGAGGCAACTTCATTGCTTGGGCTAACGATGAAGGTGTCAAAATGTACGACACAACCACCAACCTGCGTATCACCTACATTGATCGACCTGCCGGTAGCCCTCGTTCAGATCTATACAAGTGCCGCATGTGTTGGAAGAATGATACGACGTTGTTGATTGCATGGGCAGACACAGTCAAAGTCGCAGTCGTCAAGGTACATAGAAACAGTAAAAGAAAGGAATTAGAGAACACTGACATTATCAGAGGTGTTAAAATACCATGTAAATATACATAGGAAAAACCAAAGCATCAACAAACACAGGGTCAGCCAATCCATTATGTCGAAATTATCAGCATGTTTCAAACCGACTATATCATATCCGGCATCGCTCCCTTTAACGATACCCTATTACTTCTCGGCTACATTATTGACGACGACGAAAGCGCGCTTGTAGTGGACACACAAGATCCAGCAATGCAACGCAAACGACGAGCAGTTCGACCTGAGCTCCACATCATTAATGATGAAAACGAAGAAATCTCGGCCGACGTGCTTGCACTGCACGGATTCGAACATTATCAGGCCAATGACTACGTGCTCGAGTTTCTGGATGAAGAGGACATGTTTTATGTTTTGGGACCCAAAGATCTAGTAGCTGCACGACCTCGCGATCAAGACGATCATATTGAGTGGCTGATGGATCACGAACGCTATGGTGATGCATTACAAGCTGCACGTGATGCACAAGCGTATCATGGTGGCAGTCGACGGTTTGATGTGGGCGAGATTGGTCAGACCTATTTGAACTGGCTGGTGGAGCATAAGCAGTATGAGGATGCTGCTAAAGAATGCCCGGGTGTGCTCGGAAATGATCGCACGATGTGGGAGGATTGGGTTTTCCGCTTTACTGAATTAGGTGAACTCAAGGTTCGTATCTTTTTCTTGAAGTGAGGGATGCGAAGAGGAAGAAGATGGGTTTATTGCGGGAAAAGGACGGGAAGAAAGAGAGAAAGATTGCTGAACTGTGTGAATTTCTTTTCCAGGCTATTGCTCCGTATATACCCGTTAAAGATCCTCAATTGAGCAGCACACTGTACGAAATCGTCTTGGCTTGGTTTTTGAAAAGTGATCATTTGGTAAGAAGAACAAAGACGACAACAGATTTCATCTTGTATCACAACCCTCGAAAATCGCTTCGTGCTACTTATAGGATAATATATTAGGCATTGCGGAACACGATCCATCAATGGCCACGGTCTCTGTACAGCCTGTCGAACGTCATTGTTGCTGTGGAGGATTATTTACCCAAGGACAAGGATAACGAAATTCTGTTGGAATGCCTTGCTGATTTGTATGTATCAGAGAAGACTGAGTGAGAGGAATGATGGTGATGATGAGAAAGAAATGACGGCCGATTCATGGCATCTATATATATATATATATATATATATATTCATGCGAACTCTCGTTTCTGTTCTAGATACACATACAATAATCAACCCGATAAAGCCATCGAGTACAACTTGCGGTTGCGACGACCGAATGCGTTTGAACTTATTCAAGAATACAACATGTTTGATGCTGTCAAAGACAAGGCAGTGTTACTCATGGAATTTGACCAGCATCTGTATGACAGTGAGCAGGACAAGGCTGAAAAGGTCGGATCGCCGAAGCCTGCTAAAAAGCTAACACAGATGCCAGCAGTGCAAATGCTTGTCAAAAACACTGAAGCCATTCCGGTAATTGTTTTGCTATTCCTTCAATGACACTCGAGTGGACCTTTCACATTCTTATTTTTTTTGATAATAGCCAAAGAAAGTTGTCCGACAGTTACGATCGCATCTCAAATTTTTACACGTTTATCTGGATGCTTTATTTGATCGTGATCGACATATCGGATACGAATTTCATGACTTACAGGTACAAGAGTTAAAATCAGAAAATTCTCACACGATCAACAACAATACCAATCAGCACTTTTTCTCTTATCTGATAGGTCGAACTGTATGCCGACTATGATTATCCCAAATTACTCGACTTTTTACGTGCAAGCCATTATGTGTCTCTAGAAAAAGCATACAGTGTATGTGAAAAGAAGGATCTGGTGCCGGAAATGGTGTTTATTCTTGGACGCATGGGCGACAACAAGAGAGCTCTCATGCTGATTATCGAACGATTGGGTGATGTGCAACGGGTAAGGTGAAGAAGAAACATTTTCTCTATTGCAGTAGTTTTCATATGAACAAGTACGCCGTCTGATTTCTTTGCTTTGATAGGCAATTGATTTTGCCAAGGAACAAAAGGATGATGATTTGTGGGAGGATCTGCTGACATACTCTATGGACAAACCTAGTAAGTGCTGTTCTCTATGTTGCTGACCCTTGGAAATTGTGTTGCGATACTGACTTTGACACTTTAATAGAATTCATTCGTGGGCTTCTCGAGAACGTGGGCACGGATATTGAACCATTAAGATTGATCAAGCGTATTCCCGACGAATTAGAAATCCCTGGTCTGAAGGACGCTTTGCTAAAAATTTTACAGGATTACAACTTGCAGGTAATTTCTTTGTTGTTGTTTCTTTGAGAGGGGGCTCTTGAAATCGTGAGAGGACAACCAATCAATGCATATATTAGATGTCTCTGCATGAAGGATGTGAAAAGATTCTTGTCAGTGATAGCGTGTTCCTGGCGGATCGAATGTACCGGACCCAAAAGCGAGGCATCAACTGCACCCGTAAGGATTTCTTCATATAGCAGAAAGTTTCTGTGAAAGAAAAAGGAAAAGAAAAACTTACACGCTCACGCATATGTTATGCTGCTGTTGCTATAAATCAGAGGACATGCTTTGCAGTATATGCGACGAACTAGTATTCGACAATAGCAACTTGGACGATTTTCCCAACAGCATTGTATTCTTTTGTCGACACGCGTATCACGAACGATGTCTACTTGATAGAGACGAGGCAGACAATGCCTCAGCAGCAACTGCAACCCCATCCAATGCCATCCATCCAGGAACCCTTTCAACCAAAATCAACCATGCCGCTTTACTCAAATCCACACGAGATATCGGATGTCCGTTGTGTCGTGAACAAGCCGCCGGTGGTAATGCTTTCGTCAACCGGATGAAGTCACAGCGTCGTGGGGGGGCAGCAACGGCAGGCGGTAATAAGTCCTTGTCTCCAGGCGCATCTTCACATACTGGCAGCATGCGCAGTCTAGGTGTAGTTCACTGACATACATAACACATATCTTACTAATATTATATACATATGCTTATAGCACACATCAAATATAACATATCTCACCCCATCTCATATTTATATATCCCCATCTCAAAATAAAAACGACGCTGCATACGTATATATACCTTATACCACATTTGCCGTCATTTAAGGTATATACTGTAGCCAATGCTGCTGCTGAAGGACAGCAAGTATGCACCACGAAGGGAGTGTACATCACCAATTTTTATGTAAGGTTTTGGGCTTTGCTTAGATTGTTACACGTACACATGGTGGCGGCGTTGTTAAACACAATATTTACCAAGCCTGGCTTTCTTTTTCGAGCTCTTGATCAGTTCACTTTTCCTTTACTTCCTAACTTTTCCTTTCTTTTGGATCTCTCACTGTAGCTTTTGTTATTTGTCAACAATAACTTATGATACTTCTTTGTATCGTGGCTGCTGTTATGTTGCTTACAAAGTATTGATCAATACGAAGCAAAGAAATGAATCTCACCTACGACACTGACCAAATATCTGACGGTGAAAACAGGCAATCAGAAGCGATTGCAAAAAGTTCATCCCGTGCAGCATCAACATCATCAACCTACATGGGTTATCCGCGCATCCGATATGATGCGTGTTCTTGGATCCAAAGCTATGGTTGGTTACTGCTCATTGTCGTATTCAGGGCTTGGCTGGGTGAATGCATTTTAAGAATACAGAAACAGGAAAAAAGGAGCTTGCCGATCAGCAAAGCACCAAATTATTATGCATGGTGGAGACAATAACAACAATGCATCATCATCATCACTATTAGTGAGATACACCACGTCAAGTTTGAAGATGTCCTTCAACAATATGCAAAGTTTTTGACATCGGATATCTTTGGTACGACCGATAATGTGCCAACATTGACGATGAAATGGAAAATCTTCAAGAAATCAAGCAGATATATTCAAATTGCAGCAATGCGAACTACGCCGTAACACTCGTACCGCAAGCTACAATTGATAATACCAGCAGTAGGATTCATCGATGCCAACTTGACATTTATACATAGCACCAGGATAGGCTCTGACAAAAACAGTGAACCTGGACTCAAAGATTATGCCAGACTTGCTCCAAGTGGAATTGGAGTCGGCAACCGCCTATATATACGTGATATTTGTTTAGTACGGGTGGTGACATTACTATAAAAAATGGGTTACAATACCTTTGCGGCTGCCACCCTCGCTGAGTTCTTGGAAGTAATTGAGTGACTCTGATTCTTCAATTTTGCAAGACATAATGGATCAATAGTGGAAGGGAGATCAAAGAAGAATGAAGACGGGAAATAGGAAGGGAGGGGTATAGCTCGTTGTATAAAGACCAACATCTCCAACCACATCTGGCACGACGAGGCACACCTGCTGTGATGATGATGTCCATCGTCCCAAACAGACTTCAATGCAGCCGCGACAAGCTAACAGCGACGCATCAATAATTCTATATACTGAGCAGATGGTTCTGAAGAGATGTTCGTAGCCACAATCCTGCTGTCTTGACCATCACCCGTTCTCTCCCAATAAGGTTGAAGCAGCTTAAGCACAGTTTGATAATGGGTTTCTTTATGAATGACCAAACAGAAGCATTCTCATGAAAATTTCTTTAGGCTGACCCAGCAGTCCAGCAGAAAGCTCTCACTTAAAGGTTTCGTTAAAGGCGACTAAGTGAATAATCGCTTTGCCACATCTGTAACATGAGGCCGGACTTTTTATCAAGGAAGCTTATAATTATAATGCAACTTACCAGTGTGCAGCCCCGACTGTCCTTGCATACCTTACACGTTATATTTTAAACCATTGCTTCGACGAAGGAGAAACAGCCACACTCCTAGGTTAATTCTACTACTGCGGCAATCCACCCAAAAATGCATCGAAAATTCACCTTCGGGAACCCTTCCCTTGCCAGGCACGCCTCAGTGCTCACGGTAGGGATCGCAAAGAAGGCCATAACGGTGTAAATTGCCGCATTTTAGAGAATCGTCGAACTGCGATCCTCATTTAATTTCAAAAGTGATCGACTTCGCTATAGGATATGTGATCGTACAGTAAAAAAAGTACAAACCCGATACCAGAACATAACGTTCTTTTGTTTTAAAGTGTATTCCTGTATCGTACTACTGTAAAAAACGCGGTTCTTGTCGAATGTTCTATCGATAACATACTAATTAAATGTAGTCCATAGTTCCGCAATCGTTATGGTGTCGGTCATATTACAAGTGAAAAACTGTAATGATCTTATTAACTGGGACAGTAGTAATTACTGCTCAAAAGCCAAAGTATTCATCAATACATCTTCTGATTACTCTTAGGAGGACTTAATCCAGTAGCATCTTGGCCGTAAGACTCATTCGCAACAGCAATCATGATGAAACTTTTCTGCTTCGATCAATAAAGTAGTTTTTACTGTATGGTTGAGCAAAGAAAGTACAGCAATTAGGTTAGGAAATGTCAATCACATACAAAGCAGGAATTGCATGTATCTTTGTACTGGGAAAAATGTGTAATTGACCTTGCCTGACGCAAATCACTTTCCTACTCATACGGATGCATATTTTTCTGCTGTATATCCTCCGGTTTTTCCGGCGTAGCAACGGTGTACGAAGCGAAGATGGCGGCGCGGTTAAAGTCAACCATAATATGCAGATACCTGAGAATAAAAGGAAGCTGCCAGCACATACACTTTATCACCACGAAACAACAAGGTGCATGTATTTAAATGTGATAGTGAGCTTTCAATATGATATAAACATGTATAGATCTTGTTCCTATGCTTATTAATAGAAACGAATATAACACTACTGTAATAGTAATAAGTAGATCATCATGACTCAAAGTATTATGCATATCGTTTGAAGATTGTTTGTTGTGGTGCCACCATCCCGGTAATTACTGCTTTGTCCCTTCATTTCGATTGAACCAAGGACAAGAGCAAGGATACATTGTAGCAGAGAACGGGAATAGCCAACACTACAATCTGGATCGTATGCTGTGCGGGCGTAACTTTTCATCTCGTGACATGAGGTTGGAAAGATCATGCCTAAGTGTAGCGTATACATAATTTCATGCGTATGCGTGTGAATCCTTGCTTACAAGGGCTACTAGTATGTACACGAGGCACTCAAATCATATTGATAATGATTCGTTGTGTAGCCCACGCAAACGGACCTGTGCCGAGATTCCCGGATGTATCGTACCCCGCAGGCATCTATGCAAGCAAGTGCGTGTGTAAGCAAACGGGCCATTTCGGAAAGTATCTTTCTTCGTTTCTTGAATGACAAAGCAACAAGAGATTCCAAAAGGTTCTCTTTGCTTCACGCCAAGAAATTTTCTTCGAACAAGGTGGCGCTGCTGCGACGGATCAATTAGGATTTGAGTACGACCAGAGGAGTGAACCGAGATGTGTAAGCAAAGAGGTGATGTTTGACAGGCGGCAAGGCGGTGTCAGATTATATTTGTAAGCACTAGCTCTTTACTTTGCTGCTGCAATGGCGCGCTCAAATACGTGATTCTGTCCAATAAGGCGGGAAGCGATGTTTAGTAATACACACCTCATTGGCTATTTTTGAAGCTTTTTCATTTTTTTTTCAGCTTCCGCATTGTATAAAAATAGCGACACCCCTCCCCTCCGATTTCGCGTTTTTTTCTCCTTGTTTAACTTTTTCTATATTTTTCTGACCGACCAACCATGTCATTCGCACAACCCAAGTCTCTCGCTGAATTCCAAGAGCTTATCAAGGGTGACAAGCTTGTATGTATTGCATTTCCTTTACAGCTCTTGCTGTAGCCGTGTCACGGCCACCCGTACTAAAACAATAGTATTCATGTGCGATAGGTCATTGTCGACTTCTGGGCCACCTGGTGCGGCCCTTGCAAAATGATTGCTCCCAGGTTCGAGAAGTTCTCCAAAGAATACACTGATGCCATTTTTGCCAAGGTTGACGTTGATGCGGTTCCCGTATGTGTTTGCTACCATCTGTTTTGCTGGCATAAGGAGGAAGGGGTTGGGGAAGGGAGTTTACTTTTTGGCCAAATAATACGAAGAAGCTAACTTTTCTTCCGCCAAAAAATATACTAGGATATTGCTGGCGAATACTCTGTTCGCGCCATGCCTACCTTCATGTTCTTCAAGAACGGCAAAAAGGTCGGTGATGTCGTCGGTGCCAACGCCGCCAACATCGAGAACAAGATCAAGGAACTCCTCGCTTAATAAATTTCTCACTTTTTTTATCTGTTATCACGCATGTAATTCTCTCTCTTTACCATCGACCATATTACGAAATAACATCATAACAATCTGTGCTATCGTTTGACTTTTGCACGACTCCTTTTGAATGTCTATATCAGAACATTGTATCAGAAAAGAACAGTGGGTTTATATTTTGTGGGAAAGAGACCCTCAGAAGGGAGGATTGGTCGATCGCTATTGTTTGGGTGTCTTTAGCGGGGGTGTATCAGTGATATAGTGATAAAGTATTAGTGACACACTTTGATTAGTGACATGGTAATCCAACAGATAGCGTGTTTGATAGCTCTGTATTGAATCTCCATGCGTGTGCGCGTGTTTGTATGTCTTAATAATTTTACTCCCAATTCCGATGCTTCGGTCCGATTCATACTTTTGCATGGGAAGGCCCTTCCAACAATCCAACCGATCTTCCATATTTCTTAAACATAACTTTACTCCAGTTAATGAGGAACGTGCCTTTCACTTTTTTGAGGAACGCAGGTCTAATGTCGTCATGCTTAGCAGATATGTTCAATTTGTCGTCAGCCAATACACGAAGTAACTTAGCATATTCCTGCTGCGCAGTTGTAAACTTGCTTTTTTTACGCAGCTCTTAGAACCATCTGGTACTTTTGGAACTCAAGCAATCGTCAATAGGCTCAGCCGGCCTCGCACCCACCGGAATCAGCTCAATGAGTTTAGCAACACTCATATTACACTATAGCTAGAAGGTCAATCGATGGCATGCATGAATTTCCAAGGCATGTTTATGCAAGGCATGTTAATGCAAGGCACATCATAGCGACGAAGACTAACAGATCGACTACTAGAAGAGGAAAGAACGCTTATGTTGCTCCATTCTTTTGGAAGGGTCATTCATCGGCTGAACAGAATATTGCAATTGAAGCACTATTGTTTTTGTTTTGATGCATAGAGTCTAGTTTTATGCAATGTAAACAATTAAATTCGGTAATACGTGGAAGGCGAATAAAGACGGTGCCCAAAATTGAACAAAGAACGAGCTTTTGGAGATACAAGAACCCGTTCCATTTTGGCCCCATGAATTATTAGTAATAATGTACGCATGATGAATGATCATGCAGAGAATATGTTACGTACTATCAGTAATAGTAGTACTCTTAAGTTCAGATGATCCATTGTTTGATGCTTTGGAAGATTCGGTTGACCAAATTTAGACATGTTTTTGCTCGCAACATGAAAAAAGACAAAGAAAAAAGACTGCTCCGGTAAGTTATGCAAGAGCTAGGGGTATGGATCCGCTCTGCTGCGTGTAGAGCCAAGGGTAACACACACATGACCCAAAGAGGGCTAAATTGTTAAGTGCTGCGGGCGGTGACGCAATGATATAATCTCCGCTGAAGCTGTGGGTTGGGATACCTTTTTCACCTCCAAACCCTTTACGTATCCATCCATCACCCATCCTAATAATTGAAAGGTAATAGCCCGTTTTGCTGCGTTGCATCCGTTATATAGGTATATAAATGAACAGAATAGACAGGAATACTGATGGATGGATTCTTTTTTTCTCGTCTCAAAAGTAATGGCTGCTGAACAACCTACCTTCAAGCTTGTCCTCGGTATGTATATTTTCTAACACACCGCCAATTTGCAATTGTACAACGAAAACTGGCAGAATTTTTGATTTACGACATTTATTGTGAAAAGAATGAAGACTCATCTGAATATACTTTACAGTCGGCGATGGTGGTACCGGCAAAACGACCTTCGTCAAGCGTCATTTGACTGGCGAATTCGAAAAGAAATACGTCGGTACGTTATACATCTTCAATTAGATGTGTGAAAAGCCTTTTTTAGCGCCAAATGGGCTGTATTGGCGCAGATGAGGTGAATATTATGAATTGTTATAGATGCTCATGGAACAACCTGTGAAATATTATAAATCTATAGCCACTTTGGGTGTCGAAGTCCATCCTTTGACCTTCCACACTAACTTTGGTCCCATCGTCTTCAACACTTGGGATACTGCCGGTCAAGAGAAGTTTGGTGGTCTCCGTGATGGTTACTAGTAAGTTCTCTTTGAGATTTTGAACGCGTAGTTTTTGTGTTATTGTGTGCAATAAGAGATCTGATTTTTGTACGTTGATTGTTATCTGCAGCATCCAGGGCCAGTGCGCCATCATCATGTTTGATGTCACCTCCAGAATTACCTACAAGAACGTCCCCAACTGGCACCGTGATCTTGTCCGTGTCTGCGAGAACATTCCCATCGTTCTCTGCGGTAACAAAGTCGACATTAAGGTAAAAATTATTTAGTCTCACTGTGTATATCATGTAAAGTGATTCGTTTTTTTATTATTGTTCTGTTTATTCACACTTTGTATTTTCTATGTGAACAGGAGCGTAAGGTTAAGGCCAAGACCATCACCTTCCACCGAAAGAAGAACTTGCAGTACTACGATATCTCTGCCAAGTCCAACTACAACTTTGAGAAGCCATTCTTGTGGTTGGGTCGCAAGCTGATTGGGTAAGCAGAAGTCTTCGTTTATTTTCTCTCTGGCTCTTGCATGGCATTTGTACATATATTGTATTTCCAGTATACGTGTGGAGGAGAGAGCAAGAGAAGAGGGTCTTTTTGTTATTGTTGGTGACGGAAGAATGCAAAATACTAAATGATTTGTGTTCGTTCAATAGCAACCCTCAACTCGAGTTCGTGGCCGCCCCTGCCCTTGCTCCTCCTGAAGTCGAGGTCGACAACAGCTTGATGGCTCAGTATCAGAACGAGATGCAGGAAGCTGCCGCCCAGCCTCTTCCTGAGGAAGACGACGATTTGTAAATTTCTGCAGTTTTTTGCGCATGATTACGAAAAATACAACAACCTATTCAACACAATATCAAATCAACATCATTTCGCAACTCTACTACTCACACATCTCACAACCCACTACTACTACTACTGCAACCAAAGAAAAAAATGAACTTTTGAGAGAGAAACCGTTTGTTTTCTTCGTCTTACTTTATGAACTTTGTCCCTCTTCCCCCTCGTCCCCCAGCCCCTTCAACGACAAATCTCCACAATATCGCACCACTCTCACACTAGCACACCTCCCATTTTACTTCATGTTTCTTTTTTTTTCCTTTAAACTTCTTTCCCCGTCATTGAAAAGAGAAAATGCTACGCGCAAAAAAGATTTCCTTTTTCTCCCCTTAAGAAAGAAAGGAGCTTTTCACAACAATTGTTGCTTTGACATATAGTCAGTTTTTTATTATTGTTTTCATGCAAACCATATGTAGAAAGTGAGAAGAGTACGAATACGAACGAAACAAACGGATCCGATGAGTGGGAACGAGTCGTTTATTTGAGCTATGTAGCAACAAATCAACGTGTATTAGCATACCATCTTCCTTATCAACACCATTATACCCTTTTTCCCTATCCTTTTGATCGCGAGTATTACCTTCTTCTTGGGACGGAGCTGGTTGGAATGACCGCACTTTCTCTTACGGCAGTTGGTGGCACGAGGGGGGAGACGAGCATAGCACTTGCGGCAAATGTTCTTCTCGCAGTTGTACTTGGAGGCCAGCTGCTTCAACGAGGGTTCAATGATACCACCACGGAGACGGAGGACCAAGTGAAGGGTTGATTCCTTCTGGATGTTGTAGTCCGAAAGGGTGCGGCCATCCTCGAGCTGCTTACCAGCGAAAATCAAGCGTTGCTGGTCTGGGGGAATACCTTCCTTGTCTTGGATCTTGGTCTTGACATTTTCAATGCTGTCAGAGCTATGTTATTCAATTGCGTATGATAATGCAGGTTGACAAGAATTTCGTATAGCGCCGTAAGGTGAATTTTCGTAAGTTGTTGTTGTACGTGTACATGTAAAAAGTATGTTTGTAAGTTTTGACGTTCTTTTGTATGAAATGCCATCCAATCTTCTCCATGTGTTGTATGTGTGTTAATTCGGCAAATGAAAGAAGGTAAAAAGCTCACCTTTCCACCTCAAGGGTGATGGTCTTGCCGGTGAGGGTCTTGACGAAGATTTGCATTCTGTAAAAGTAAGCAAACGGATGTTAGGATGGATGAATCGATGGATGGATGGATGGGTCTTAGATAGATGGGTGGATTGGCTAACCTTGATAAGACCGAAAGAGGGTGAAAGACGATACCGGCCGGCTTGCTCTAGAAATGCCTGCTGAATTTCAATTTCTCCCTACAAATCTAAAGAAGTGTGTGATGCTCCCTCCATGGTAACTTTTATGCGTGTATGATCCATTTGCTTCACTGGTACACCATAGCAACGATCCTATCTTTTTTGTCGTCTCTATAAGCTGCTCTTCAGTCATTCAAAATAGCGGTTTAAGTACATCAATGATAGACGTTGACTGAAGTTTGCTATCACTCCCACTACTATTACAACATAAAGAGAAGCTTCGACGACGTTATTTAACAAGAAAAAGAATATCTCATTATTTTGCTACTTTGTATTATACAGGTGACAAATTTAAATTTTGGCAATAAAACCTCGATTCATTCTACAGTAAACTTAAGAACGAGTGCAAGAATAGCCGAGATTTTATCTCCTGATCCAGCTACAACTTTGGAATAGGAATATGGCTCCAGGTTACCACCATTAAGCGACTCCAAATACGTAGCAATAAAAGGTCCAAGCAAGGTGATAACATAGGCCAGTGTTCGTAAAGTAAGCGCCGATGGGAATTTCTCACTCCCACTATTTTTATCATCGTTGACATTGCTAGTAATATACCATAGTACATGTGATGTATTCATTTACGAGTAAGTAGTATGCTTATATCGTTAACCTTCTATTACAACTATACTGCTGCTATGTAGTGCTGCAAGTATTCTCAGCAATGTAACACTTATTGACTGAAAATTACAACCGTAGACTAGAACATTCAGAACGACAAACAACATCAAAGTTGCTAGGCTGTGAAAATAAACTCAAATCAAGAACACCATTAGGGTGGCAATAACCATGGAGGTAATAAACGTGTTGAGTTACCAAATTTATCCGCTAAAGCTCTGTTACGTGTAGTGAGCATGGTGGAAGATGAATAAATGAGGACTATATGTAGCCACCACTGCGATAACCTTTAATTGCGTTGTATATACTATTAACCCAATACCGACGCTTCCTATTAGCCCAGCTGCCGATATAACTGTGACAGACAGTGCTCTTTAGCCACCCGACAAACCAATTGACGTAGCGTGAGCTAGCGAAGCGTATATGCAAGGCATAATACGCGTGGGTTTTGTGAGTAGATGTAAATACGAGAGTATTATAGCAGTAGAGCAGATAGAAACAGCCCTTTGAAATTACTTACAAGGAATAAAAGTGAATGTAATATGCATGGTATATGCTTGAATGGGTCCGATGATTATCCAGATCACTAGGTTACCGTTCTTTAACAAACTAAAATTGGACATGTCGCGGACTGGTAGCTTTATAACTGCCTCTGGATCGCGCTCGGAAATGCGATTAGACAGCACGTAAAAAAAGTCAAGCCGAGAATTCGATATGACCTACATGTAAAAATTCGTATCATAATCTCGTCTAAAGCTTTTAAAGCAATAATATCATCCTTCATATTCGCTCTAATCTCATGACGGTCCCAGAGTATCATTAATGCGATCCACAAGTGCCGGTATGACTATGATGCAGAAAGGCGCACTACTTGCTTGGATACCAGATACTGTGCTACGATATTTGACAAACCATTGCCGAATGACCCGATACGAAATCTACAGAATGAGACAAAAGGTAGCGTCCTCTCAGTCTCTCAGCCCCCGAAATGCATCACCGCATGTTTTAAGAAACTCAACCAAGAATTCGTTTCATGATATATCTTACCGTCCTCATTCAAGCAAGCCCCATCCCACTGAGAAAACTGAACTTAAGATATAACTGCCATATCTATCATGTTGTAGCAAAAAGATAAGTAAACCACAATCTCACTCTCTATTACGTTATGTTACCTTTTCTTATCGATGAGCATGAATTAGTCCACCCCATTACTTACAGAATTTGCAATTGATGAAAGCATCAGACCAGTTGCGGCCATGACGATTCCTAACGCGAGAAGCGGTCTGAGGCCAACGAAAGAATAGAGGATGTTTGCGATGCATATAGCAGAAGTGATTTAAATTTGATACACGGCTCCGACAAAGTCAGTTTCATGGTCACCTTTGATCCTGAGGACGTCTTCACTCGAAAATAGAATTCTTGAAAAATGCCTAGAAAGTTTTCAAGGGAGCCATACGGGAGAAAGAACGTAGAATTTTCATTGACAAGCATAATATATGCAAACTTTGTATAAAAAGAGAAAAGGTTTGCGTACTCCTTTTTATACATAAATGCAAGGATAATTGTGATGAGGTTCACGATGATATCCAGAAGATATAAATATCAGCAAAGTAAATAGTGGGCCAAAAAATTCTAAGCGCTCACATACTTACCATCCCCCAACCAGACCTGAATAATGATTATCAATACAAGCCCAACTGCAACAATCCATGCTCGCCTCCCATCTACGGGTGCCAACATTGAAGAATCGCCAACCACGGAGGGTTGACTTCCTTCCCCTGGAAAACTAAAAGAGATCGAGTCATTTCCACCATCTTGGTGCTTAGATAAGTACTGGTGGGACTTATATTGTTTTCTGGTTATAGTGTAGCCAGCAGCTGATTCTTCAGCACAATCAATATGATTGAATCGATGTTGCTCTCCTTGTGCCGTAGTTGCTATACAGCTACTGCTACCGGTAGACATGTAGTTTATGTGTTTCATTATGGTATGTAGTGAGTAATGACTATCGCTGTAAAGCGCAGACGTGGAAGCGAAAAAAAAGACGACAGCCACAACCGATATATGCAAAAAAAATGGATGGTAACAGGAACAACAAACTTGACCTTTTTTTTTAATCCGATCTAGAAAACTTTAGTGGGAAAAGAGGTCGGGAGTGTTAACTAAATACTTAAAAACAAACAAGAAGGCAACAGGTACTACTTAAAAACAAACAAACAAACAGACAAACACAAACGTCGAAGACTAGTAATCGCCCTTTTTGGGGTGCAATTCATCATATCAAACTTAAACTTGAGTTGCAAGATATGCAGTTTAGCGGAAACCTACTTTTATGATTAGCAAATTTGAAATCCCGGTAATACGCACGCAAGAGGATAACATCATAAGGAATCTGCGGTTCTCTATGCCTGGGAACATCTTTGCTATACGAACATAAATGCATTGATATCTCCTCATGTGACTATACTCAAAATGCTGCTGTGAATAGCTTACAAGTGTTGTTTATTAGAGATATCATCGGATTTACAACGCATAACGAAAGTCAGGATGATGGTCTCCGACCAGTCCTTCTCCTCCGTATTTTGCAATCTGTCGTTCTCTTTCTTCTACGGTCATCTTAGCTCTTGCTTTGTTTACATGTTTGAGCATCATACGGAGAATCAAAGTGATTATTGCTTCAATGACCAGAAAGATGAAGGCGATTGTGTTACCCCAGAAGAATAACGGCCCATCGAAATAAACTTGCCCGGCGATAGCAGAGCCAATGGCTCCAAACCCTGCGATAAAAGCACAAGCTACGGCACGCCGTGTCATTCCAGAACTTTCATATACAGTTTTTAAAGTCAATATAATAGTTAGCTGACCGATGATATGATATTTTACAAGCCCACGTAGATCATTCAGAATATTTAGCAGACAATTACAACTTACTAATTATTAGTATACCACGCTACTTTGATTGGTAGGTTCATGTACTATAGAGGTAGCATTAAGGTCATAAGTTTTGCTGTTTCAAATACTAATATGGATAGCTTGTAACTGCTTTTCTGTTGTATGCTTACACTTGAAGCAACGGCAATACAGACTGCAAAATAACGCGCACCGTAATTATTATCTGGGACGAACATAAGCATCAGTAGACCCATCATTCGAATTACAACTCCAACGAGATTGTGATATCCGCGCTCAAAAAGTTTATCTGATTGAGAAAAACCAATGATCTAGCAAGTTAATAAAATATGAGAAATATAAGAGAAACGTTACTATTACCTGAGCTCCAGCACCCGAGAAAAGTAAAAATGCATGCAAGTACGTACGGTGGAGTTGTTAACGCCAATGAAACGTCCTGGGACCACGCACCCATGCCGGCTATAATGGATGGCAAGGCTAGCGTTACGCCCACAGCAGAAATGGTAGTTGAAACCGTCACAGAAGTGTACAAGTATGATTTCCAGTCAGTGAAAACCGATATTACTTGATTCCATGACCATGTGTGATCATCGGCTGCCCCTTGATCTGGAAAGATGAGCCGTTAATAATAGAGAGAAATGAGACTTTCTATATCAGGACAGCAGTAATAGCAAAGAAGTAAACAATAAACAATGTTGTATGTAGTACTACCAAGTGATAAACGTTTTAACGCGAGTTCCCGTTCTCGCTCGTTTAAGAATTTTGCAGTTTCCGGTTTATCAGGTAAGTAAAAGTAGCAAATTACAGCGAGTACGATACAAGGTGCACCTTCAATAATGAACATCCTAATATAGCAGTATCATTAGTGTATATAAAGTAGCAGTGTATGCGTAAGTTACCAAGCTTAAAGCTATTACTCAAATCACAGTAACAACTCGCCGTCATGGTTCAGAAAAAACCTATGTAACTGTCCCTACCATTGCCATGTGCTCAGCGTTTGTGTTGTGATATGACTGATTCCGTAAGCAATTAAACCGCCAGTGGCAGCAGCAACACATGCAAGGATAATAGTGTAGCCGGACCGCTGAGCGTATTCTTGTCGTGTGTACCAAATCGAGATGTAATATCTTCTCCAGAGTTAAGAATTAAGATGAGAAAAGAGTGCCATACATACACATAGATATTATTTTAATTCTTACGCTATCCCGGGAATGAATCCTTGCTCGTTAAGTAATACTTCATTAGACAACGTTCTCGCAATAAATTGCAATAGAAATACATTTTCGCATATAATTTAATAGGACACTAACCTGCTTCCAGGGCTCCTAATACAAAGCGAGAAAGAAGTAATCCAGCAAAATTTGTGGCAGCTGCGGAGCACATCACGACCACTCCCCAAGTACTTTAACGATGGTTGTGCATATAAAAAAGAGACAGTAATAAGTGAGCATGAAAACGTTTTTCATCTTTAAAAATGATATCTCAAAATATTCTCTTACAAGACCAAAAAGGAGAGGTATGGCGAAGGTCGCCAGCGTCGTAAAATGATATTACTTGGGATTTCAAATAGTATAAAACCAAAATAATAAATTGACAAGCACCATCTGTATTGGCCTTCCGTCATGTTGAGATCTTCTAATAGCCCTCCTAGCTTTGCGTTCGTGATGACAGACCTACATTAGGAAGTACAAAGTAAGAGAGAGAAAAAAAATTGCATTGTTAGTTGGTATCTTCCTACACGGGTATTGATTACCATCATTCAATTCAACTTTGTCGTATTCATTACATCTGATATTGACACAGCATTTGCATCGCCATGATCAAGGGCATCAAGCGCAGATCAATTTTCCTACAATGCACGTTGCTTTGGCGTTAGACAACCATACTATGTGCGAGGGAAATGTTGTACGCAAGGTTTTTCTACCTGACTAGCTTTCGGATCTCTCCTGATGCTTGATCGATCGACGCAGTATCAAATGCCTTTTCCTTGTTATCATAAGCCTTGCCGGCAGCGAGTTCTGTGTCAATCGACTTTTCATCATAGCTGCGATAACCCGCTGTTGAAGCAGTAGTCTCTTCTAATGTTGCTGTTCGGTGATTTATGCTCCCATGGAATCCTTCTTGGGTCATGGTGCTATGTTAAGTAGGTATGTAATTCAAATAAAGGGAAGGATAGCAGCAGTAATGTATGTCTTCTACTCCTTGTTTAGTATAATGAAGTGACTTTATAAGCCAGGAGACAGCTAAGTTTTAAGCCCTTTTACCGTCAGTAGAGTTAAAGGCGTGGCGCAAAAAATAATCAGATGCCCCCAAACAGTCTTGCTTTCAAACACCAAATAAACAACACACAGACCGCTTACCCTGATCTATTAGCTGCTTATAACTATAGTTTAGCTGTTTAGCAAAATAAATGGCATACCTATTACACTAGATAATGAAGAATGATCTGTGGGACAAGCGAGCAATTGTAGAAACGGAAAGCCGTATATAGGTATTATTTGTTATTGGAAGCATCATTTGATTTCGGTTACATCTCTTGTTATCTGCCTAATTTACAATCCCTCAAGAGACCCTGTAGTACATTCAATATTGTACGGGTTGAATCACCGTTTGGTTACTGGGTCTCTTGGTATCATAGCTATATATCTTTTTGGGTATTTCATGATAATTTTTCAAAGATGGAACAGTTTTTACTTCACAACATATCTGCAACAGAACCGGGTAATATACTTGTGAAAAAGAGATCGAAAATGTTATTGATTTTCGTCAATGTGGAAACTATCAAGGATGACTGCAACGCTTTTTTTCTGGGAGCATTAAGTTGATATATCCCTGTTTGGACGACCTAACAATGGTTTCACCTCTGTTTATGTTGTTGTTTCAAAAAATAACGATGGGATGATGGCTTGTGCTACTAAATGGCGTATCGAACTCTACAACAACAAAATATTGTGTTTAACGAATAAACCATCCACCCCGGACGGCCAAATAAACGTCCCTAACAGCGCGCACATTATTCTCAAAAAGCAGCATTTAAATCCTGCATAGCACAAAAAGATATTGATGAAATTAACAGTTACTGGTACATGACTGATATTCAGTATAGTCTTTCTTTTGAAGGCTTAAGTTGACAATATCCTTTCTTGGTAGTAGTAGCTTTACGAGCAGTATGTAGTTCACCTCGAATAGGAAAATTGAGAGACGATACTGAATTCGTTGCTATTCTTCTGGTCGGCATACTTCTTTGGCCCAATAAGATTATTTTCATGAGCTACTTTGACCGTCACTTTTTACAGACTGCCTTTTTTTAGTCACTTCAATGCGCACCGACCATGAGAATTGCCTTTTTACTTTTAATCGGTACCTGAGTGACTGGAAACTAATCGAAGTGCATTCAATGGAAACGAGTAATTTAGTCGCAAATTATACAAATAACCTTAGCGCTTGTATAAATAATAAACTTATACATCTTCTGTACATACAAGCGTTTGTAAGCATGGAAGAAGGCTACTTCTGTTCTATCCATGCATATAGAAAGTCGCACCATTTATTGTGACTCTAATGCGCACGGCAACAAGTTAAAGCTCAGGAGAAAAGTCTAACACGACGGGCGCGTATCACCCGCTTTTGCTACTTCGCTCCTCCTTTAAGCTATTGTTTCCTTTCACTGATTCACTGCGGTATTTACTATCAAATTTCGGCCAATATACAACCACCATCATCGTCATCGTTATCAAGAATCGAGAGAGCTGGACAATCAGTAATATGTATACAATCTCCACGTCAGCACCAGATCTATGACGGAATTGTCAGCATCACGGAGTAAAACAATTAATCTTAGTTGTTAAATCTTAGCCGGTGCGATTTGAAAGGCTCGGCCACCAGTTTTGATCTATTGCAAGAAGGGAAAATCAGTGGTATGGTCAACAATCAGCAGTGAAACATCGTCGCAGCTTCTAATTTGACTGTACTTCCGCATGAAATGTTAGGAACTTTCGGGATAAGTAGTAAACTTACTAAGCAATAGTATCCCTTAGTTCACTATGACTAGATATATTGGATTGTAAGTTATATATCATATAAACTCTTTTTATTTCTCTGGGAAAAGTACAAGATGTCCTTCTGCACCCGTTTACAACAATGCGCTGTCTGAGTTTTTGTACGGTGCTTTTCAGATGCAGTTTCATTCTATTGTTCATGATTGACGCATTCTTTACATCCGAAAGATACAAATGCCGCCAGTTGCCTTTGTAGCCTTTCGGACACCTAAAACGACCTTCAAAGGCCCTGTAGGTTTAATAAGGGCAAAACGGTAATCTGAGATTTGGGATGAAACAATAGTAGTGCTATCAGTAGACGATCAACCACACCTTTTGAATGCCTACTACATGATGCAAATTTTTAATTTAAATGACTGCCCTTGAGTCCTGAGAAGCTGATCTTGGTTTTTATCCATGTCTATTGTATATGTATATGAGAAGAGAAGATTATCACCCTCACAAAACATACACCTATTACTACATAAAGACTTAGTCTAGTATAATTGCGTGATATCCATTAAATCGTCTTAAAAGTAACAAGATAACGACAGGGCCAGGTACGTCATAGTATTACAAACTAGATAAATCAGGCCATCACCGCTTTGCAATCCGATGAAACGTGATCTTCCGTTGTTTACAAGAACCGATCGAGAAAAGCACCAGTTTTAATATTGAGCGACTAAACCTGTTTTATTATGATGTTTCTTGTTCTTCTTCTTGTACGAGCTAGATTTTCTTGCTTTTTGAGGTGGTCGTAAATTGCTTTTGGTTTCCGTTTAGTGCTGTAAAACACTCCGGTCAGTCTATTTCACCTTTATTTTAACTGTCACTTGTATAGTTATCATGTTTGAATGACTATCACCCAGTATTTTGGATAACTCAACTTAATCGAGTGACATTATATGAAAAGTGGTAATAATAGATTTGAACTGAGATCCACCATTTCTTCCGATAGGCAACTTAAGTGCTGCTGAGCCGCAGTATCCCAACAGCAGCATAACTCACCCATGGTCGAAGAAAAGAAGAATTGCTATTATCATTTTGTATCCCTTAGTGTATAGAGGACTGAGACTTCGATGAAGTGAATATAGACATGCAATTGGTGAATAGCGGATACTTGTTTTTCACAGCAGTAGTTTAAAAATTTATTGAATAGTGAAGTAATATAGTAAATAGAAAAGTATGCAGAAGATAATGAATGCGGTGGTATTTGAATATGATGATGAAGTATGCAAATAAGATAGAGGAGGGAGAGTGATAGTAGTAAGATTAAAGAAATGTCTGGAGAGATAGTACGAGGCGAATGTGTGATGCGTTTCCGTTATGGCAATTACAAGAGTGGTCCATTTTATGCGCCAGTGTTGGTCACATCAACGCCTTGGGAGTAATGACTTCGGCCACCCATGGGATCAATAAAACCACCAATATAGTCGGGACGCTTGTTATGGCGCATAGGATCGTGGAGATACTTTTCGTTGGGACAAGATGGTACGGACTCGTTAATAACGGAGGCAGCTCTGGAGTTGACGGGAGAGCCATTACTTGATGAAGGTGTAGAATCGCCCTTTGTAGAGGAGGCAGCAGATTTGCTTTGGAAGAGTTTTGCGAATGAGAAGCCCATGTTTATAGAGTTGTTGCCTTTTTAGAGAGTAGTAGGTAGTAAAAGAAAGTTGCAGTTATGAGTATTGGAAGTAGTGGTAGAAGAAGTAGTTTGCTGGATAATGAGAATGGAGGGAAAGTGTAAAGAAGCTCGTGCTTATATACTCTTTTATCTGCTAAATGGTTATCCGGTAAGTCGCTGTCTGTCTTCCTGCTCTCGGATTGACGGTTTGCCGGTGAGTATGTCATGCTTCTGAGATTCCACCAATGCGGAATATTCCGAGATCCGCACTAGACATACAGTAGTCAATTTTTTTCGTATGATTCGCTTATCTCTTTTTCTTTTTGGCTCATTACTGCTTGGAGATCTTTTTGACTAGTCACTGTTTGTAAGAGGTCAAGTAAATAGTAACAACGCTACATCTGATTTTCTCAATCTATCGATACTACTGGGTTTTCCTGTCGTGGTATCTTGTGATGGTTTGATAAACGAAGTGTGTTGACAGATGATGTTTTTTAATCCCAAAAAAGAATCAGCAGCTTTTTGTGATCCGATCCGATACCCAACGTATGCTCGCAAAAACGTTACATTTCCTACTCCGCAGCCTTTTCGTCTGCCGGATAAGGGTTTTTACGACTTCTTTAAGAAATAATAGCACAAATGGCGAATCTCAAGACAATCAAGCACTGACACTCTCCATCTGAATTCTAACAGCCAGCAAAAAAAATACTGCTTTTTACTAGGCTGAAGTATCTTACTGGAAAAACCCAAAACATTTCTTGATGTTTTAGTTAATAAGAGAAAACAAAAATAAACGTATGGTTTCTCGGTGATATCCCGGCTCACGGTTTATCAAGTAGGTCACGTTTTTCCCGGAGATCAGAATACAAGTTTTTTGGATTAGCGTGAAACCATGCTATTTGTAATCCTGGTAGCCAGCCCTTCAAATGATGCACTGACCCTTTCATTACCGTTGCTAAGGCATTCCGATTGGCTGACAGATTTAGGTCCTTCCTTTCGTTTTTTTATGGTTAAGTTATTCGGATGGCATCGTCGGCGTTTGATGACAACTGATTAGTTTGTTGTGCTCATAAACATTCACATGCTGTTTTCTCAAGTTGTATTGTTCTTGATAATATTTCCTCAAATGGTAATATCCTTTAGAACACCCTTGCTGCATAAATTATTTCACGTCAACAGAGCTTATATCAAAATGATAACGAGCAGGCGCGATATTTTCTTATCTTTGTCGGAGGCAAGTAGCTCTCTTTTGTTGGCTTATCATGGTATGAAGTAGTGATGATAATTTTGTTGCCTAGTTGTAACAACTAATTTTATTTTTGAATGGAATGGAAGAACCATAACTTCGATACTGCTACTTGCACATAATTACTTATGGCCTGACCAAAACTAATGAAATAACATCAACTATTCGTTATGACGTGGCATATCGAAAAGCAGCCTCTCTTGACCCACTCGCTTGGCCTCTTGCCCCACAATATGGCTAGGTGATTATATAAAGGGTACTATGATAAATGGAGCGTATCAGAACCACCTAGAAGAATCAAACACTGCCATTATGCTTTAAATCAACTCGGTATCAGGATAAAAAAAGTCTCGTTATCCCGTTACTTATCGTCCAAGTGAAATGTGTGGTACAAGACAGGTTGTCATTTATTCCTTCCCTTTCGTCCCGATAATACCCGCCATTGTCTGCAGAAGAGTCATTTTGCCATAACATGTGCTCGACAAAGTAGTAGATTGCTGCCGCGGAACTGTGACGATGCTTGCTAATAAAAATTAGTGTATATCATCATACGGTATAATCAATATGATGAAAAAGTACTCTTTTCTGTTTTCTTACAATATCCTTCCTCACATGTATGTGAAAATCTCGGTTTGTTTCTCATTTGTGTCATACGAACGATTACAGTGGAGCTTTCATTGTTCAAATTTTTGCCCCTGAAAGGAAAAAAGAAATGGCAAAAATAAGTGGGTAGAGGGAGCGGGGAGGAAACTGCTGGGAGTAGATCGCCTAACGGTCATCGGCTAAACCAGATAGCGGTCAACGTGATTTTCACCTCAACATCATTTCTCTGTCGGGAACAACGCCACCAACCTCCATTTGCTTTTTTGCACTGTATATCCTTACTGTCGTTCATTACAGATAGAAGACATAATCTACGTCTCATATGAGCTCGATATGTATAGGCTTTTTTCTGCCCTTTTTCGTGGATGGCCTGTTGCAGTTATAAAACACGACATATTGCTTGCAAGTATTACTGCATATAAACCAAAACACTCATCACACATCTACTATAGTCATAGGCAACTCTGTGTATGAGCCTGTATACAATTTTGGAGGAAAATTAAGAACTCTTTCCTCGCAAGTATATTTTTACTACTGTCATATTATGGCTTCATTTAACACATGTCCCATAAAGGTTGCTGTTCCCTGTTGGTTTGTATTGTTATATATTTACTTATTGTGTTCGGTCACCACAAATTTTTCTTCATTCTAGAAAAAGCTTGGGCACGCTGAGCAAGGGAATTATGACACATACCGACCAGACGATAACGTGCAGTACTTTTTTGATCCTGGCTGCTTCTCGCTTCACGATAGTACAAGCATGTTTACATTCATTTGAGCACTTTTCTATGGATTGCATTTGTGGATGGAGCAACAAGCAACGGATTATTAAATATTGACTATATACAAGAATAAACAAAAACTTCTACGCTGTATACATTGCTGTCGATATAAAATCTGGTAATGATGTCCTCGACACGTTTTACAATACTGTGTAGATCAAGGGAGTGCTGCATGTACTAAACAATGTTTGTGTGCTTTTTGGATAACCTGATTCATTTTCATCATTACAGCTGACTGCAAGCCCCATCACTAGAAACTTTGGGTGTGGAGACTTACGAACCAACATGTGGTGAAAATGTATCATATACCAGAGTTTGCTCAAATGGAGCAATCTCGAAGCCTGTACGAGTTAGCGCTTTGTAATCTAGTGTCAAGTTGAACTGTACAATGTAGTACTACCATCAATCATCAGGATCCATTTCCCTGAATAATACGACGGTTCGAAAGACGAAGTGATTTCTATGCTTTACTGAAAGAAAGACGTTTCTTGCGTCTAATTCATGAGTAACGTCACTTGAAAATTAATGATAAGATGTTGTATACTTCTCTATAACAAGATTAAATGAGTATTCCTCTCGGCTACACAACAATAGGATTCTTCGCAAGAATACGCAACATGTACATACAGCCAGACATACTCTGCTGTAACTACAGGTAAACAACAGTGAGGACATATACGGATGACCCACTCTTAATAGCATTCAAGTGTACGAGCTACTAATTACTATATACTATTTACACAAAAGGCGTCTCTACTATGGACTAGTCTTATTGCTGACAGTGATGTTACAGCGCAGCAACAAAGAGAAAGCTGATTCCAAGCCCTTTTATAGAGGGGCCCTTTCTTATGGCTCTTTACAGAAACACCAAGCGATAACAACGCATCTTCGGACTGCTGCTGATATAACCTTCTGTACAAAAATAAAGCAGCACTTGTCAAACGCAAAAACGATCAGGCAAATCTATGAACGACAGCTTTAATGGAAGAATGGTTCAAAACCTTTCACCTTGAATTGCTTGACGTTCGCGCAACTGCCTGTGGTCAAGAAGGTCTGTTTGACAGTGCCCTTACTGACGCGCACGAAGTGATTGAATATGATCCTACTCGTATTATTGGTTACCCCTGCGTCGGTGATCTGTATGTAGCGCAAGGCAAGCCTGGTTGCGCAATACAGGTGTATGATCAATGTCTACAACACCTGCGACGACCGATCACCGGCAACTTGTTATCAGAGGGTCTTGGAGGTGGACAGGACAACCACCAAGTTGTCTGATCGCGTTCTGGAGGCTTTATTGAAACGAAGCCCCGAGTTGTAGCGTCTATACGTCAACCAATGTGACGCCAACTTATTGCTTCACTTGATCAACATGTATTGCCCACGGCTTTGTATGCTCGGCGCCAATCAATCTGTTGGTGATGAGCTAGCCCAATCCCAGTACAACTACCAAGGCAACAACAGCAACAGCAGCAACAGAAGCAAAGGAAGCAAAGGAATACGGATCTCCTGAATTGGTAGTGCGAACAATTTCATTAATCTTAAAGTTGTTATGCATTTGATTGGCCAGAGACAGCATCAGTAAGTCCTAGAAGACCTGACCATCTGCTTACTTGGAGAACAAATATTTTAGAGCAGATTCCATCGAATCACAGAAGGCTGCCGTTTTGACAGGCTGCGAAGACTCTGCATCAAGTATTAGGGTTACTCAACGAATATGGTGCGATCGCCGTTTCACCGCCATATGCTTGAAAACGTTCGCTTATCGATATGTGCAATGTTCCAATCGCGATACGCAGCGCACTTGGTGGCCTTATAAAACTGCATACGCTCACATTGGATTCCGCAAAATGATATCCCATCGCGATATATACGAGAAACTATCAAAACAACATCAGGCGCGAGGCTCTCAATGTTCATTGCAAAAGCTTTATTTATTGCAATTTGACTAGTATCAATTGTACATATGCATTTCAAATTGCCAGCCGTTTGAAGAACCTACAAGTGCTCGAAGTGACGAACGATAGCCGATTGTTAACGCAACAGCACTTGTGCCCGCTTTCGACGTGCTTCTGGACGGTGCAGCTGAGCATGTGACAAGTATTCGGCTAGCGGATTATCTTGAATCGGTCACAGATCACATTGTTGCGAGAATGACAGCCGTACCTCAGCTGCAATCCTTGTGGAGCTTATTGAAAGCGGGCGCACGGCGTTAAAATGCGGACTGATACAGTTATTTGGCGATCCTCGAGGCACCCAATCAAGAGTAGCCGTTTCTCATTCAAAAGTAGTAATCAATTGCGAAAAAGAGCAAGGAAATCACCTAATCATAGTTGGAAGTATCCGATATCACGTAGCAAAATGAAAACGTTCATTCAATGCGGAAAACCGCAAACCAATACTATAGATGATCTGCACCCAGGTTTTTTTTTCTTATTCGACTCCGCAACAAATTTATGCGTCATGTTGAACGCAAAGCCACCCCATCATCTCATTTTCAAGAAACGCCTCTCTTGTCTGTGTCTCTTTTTTCCACTTCTTTTCCCTTTTGCAACGTCTATTACTGCAACGGTTTGCGTTTCTTACGCGGTTGAACAATAAGAATACCATGACTTCTACTTCGTGTAAAACCATTCTCGCCTCCAAAGTTTCTGCCTCGTTCAGGTAATAGTTGTCTTATGCTTATACTCAAAACAACGGCAACAACCCGGGATTGAGCACTTAAAAAGCTATGCGTTGTATACTTCCCCCACCCCTTTTTCCTACAAAAAAAAAAGAGATCAAATCCACAAGGATATTGAGGAACGTAAGATCCAGCCCAAGTTGGTAGGCTTCCTCGCCAACGACGATCCTGCTGCCAAAAAGTATGCTGAATGGACCGCCAAGACATGTGCCGAAACCGGTTGTGGATTTGAGTTGCGAAAGGTTGACAAGCAAGAGCTTGAGGAGAAGATCACCGAGGCTAACGAAGACAAGGCTGTCAACGGTATCATGGTCTACTATCCCGTTTTTGGTGGCAAACAGGTAAAGAAGACATAAATTATTATGTTGTGTGTCTTCTTGGGATAAAATGGATTAAACAAAATTATAGGATGCCTATCTGCAAAGCTGCGTCAGCGAACTCAAGGATGTCGAAGGTCTTTGTCACAAGTTTGTATTCAACGTATATCACAATGTGCGCTACATGGACGAACAGGAGACCATGAAGTGCATTATCCCATGCACGCCATTGGCCATTGTCAAGGTATATAAAGTCAAAGCAATTTACGTGTTTTTATTGAGAAGGGAAACACGTTTCGAGCCTTTTCAGTGTTATTGCTCCAAAAAAAAACACCATGTGCTAACAAGCCTTTTTCCGTTTGATTACATTATTAGATTCTCGAATACATTGGTGTGTACAACTCTGTCATTACCTATGGCAACCGTTTGTACGGCCGCACCATTACTGTTGTGAACCGTAGTGAAATTGTCGGCCGACCGCTGGCTGCCATGTTGGCCAACGACGGTGCCAAAGTGTACTCGGTGGACGTCAACGGTATCCAACTGTTTACACGTGGCAATGGTATCAAGCTCAAGGCGCACAAGGTTGAGGACATTGATGCCAAATTAGAAGACGTGGTGGGACAGTCGGATGTGGTTATCACGGGTGTTCCGACGCCCAACTACAAGTTGCCTACCTCGTTGCTCAGAGACGGTGTCGTTGCCATTAATTTTTCGTCGTTCAAGAACTTTGAAGACGATGTCAAGACCAAGGCTTCAATCTTTGTTCCCTCGGTTGGCAAGGTGACGGTTGCCATGTTGGAGCGTAACTTGCTTCGTTTGACCGATTACCAGAACAACCTTTTTGAAAAGCCAAAGTCATCCTAAAATTTCCACCCGCTCTCATAGATAGAATATGTATAAAGAAAAGCCCATAACACATACTCACTTCCCCCATACACACTTACGCTGCATATCTTTTTCCTTTCCTTTCTTCATTTTTATATACACATTTTCTGCTACTCTTCTCACGACATAGCGTTAATTTCTGACTGTAGATCCAAATATCAAAACAGAGTATATCGCATAGAATTAAGACCATCTTGTGCTGTTTAAATCAATTGGGGACACGAGAATATGCGGGCGGTGCCAATACACACAATTAGCAAATATATGCTTGGAAGATGATTACACCAAGAAGATGCCTATGGTATAATTCTACCATCCTTTTTGTTGCACTAGAAATGATCAAGTCGACCAGTTCTTAAAGTCATTTAAGGTGAAAAGTATAAGTTATCAAGTAATGTAATATTTATCGAGTGGACATTTTAGATGCAGCAAACTCTATCTTCGAGATAAGTATGTAAATGCACTGTTAATGTCGCGTCTGGAAACATGGGCGTTTCACTTATAAATACGACTAAAATACCATGAAGATGAAGCTGGAAAGACGTAACTTGAGCAGTATCCGCTTGATATGTTGACTTCGGTAACTGATTGTTGGTTTTTTTTTTCAGGCGATTCATCAAGTAAATGGCGAAGAGCACGTATGTAGAGCTTGATGGCAAACTTCTTCTACTGTTCTATTACATACTTCGCTACAGAAAACGGCTTCCAGACAATATAACACTATCTGCAAGTAAGTGTTAAAGAAAGAAATTGTTTAGTCCTATACCACATAGGCAGAGAAACTGCCACATGCTTCAACTACATGTACGTACAAGCTTCTCTGTTTATTGAGGCACATTTTTTCACATCTTCTACAATAATGGTTTGATAAGTTAACTGTATCAAAATATGTGATAGTCCGTGTAAGGCATTTAAGCAGTTGTGCACAAGAGCTCAAGAAGTCTAGTGACGGTTCGACGCAGGGGGGATGGCAAGGGATGGAATCAATAAGTGTAAATAACACCTATCAGCAGTGTCGTATACAAGAGTCTACGGGAGAAGGAGCAGACAACAACAAAAACAACTGACTTATTTGCAGTATTATGGTCCTGTGATGATACAGATCTTCATGTCCGATGAAAAAGAGAATTGTTTACATCTCTCTATAGTATTAGGATGATGTATGGCGTATGGGGGCAATTTGCAGCATTTTACATATGAGAGTCTTAGAACAGAAAAAAGTATGCATGGATCGGTCTGTCCTCCTTTAGTTGCGACGATAAACCGCCACGGACTTATTTTACTCACGGCAGATGTCGTGGATGCATGCAGCAGCATCAAATAAGACCTAGACGCGACACACAAACAGAGTATTCAAGCGTTTTGCTTGATGTAGGCTAATAGATACTGCTTACAAATAATGGTGTACACGCTCACTCACACATATAGAATGGCTGAATATGGTTTTGGAACGGTCCTTGTCAAACAAAGCGAGTCGGGCACACCTGCCGGCGGGGTGTGAGTTCTTTAGTGGTTAGACCCTCTTCACTTTCAAGAGCAACCCCGCGCGATCGATATCATTATTGTTTTTTTTACCTCTTTTCTCTCCAACAACTACTATTATTAATTCTCTAATAGTGACGCTTTTCACTGCTCTACACACAGCTTAAACAGCAACCCTTAATCCACAAATAAAAAGCGAACAACAAGAAAAAGGAAGAAGGCCTCTTTCAACCCTCGGCTTTCAACAAGTACACAACTTCCTTTGTTTTTCCCTTCATCCCCCTCCTCGTCCTCCCCTTCTCCTCAATGGCTCGTCAATCGTCTTCGTCGTCTTCACCCTACGGCGGTGGCACCACTGCATTCCGATCCGTTTCTTCCTTGTTTGGAGGAGCGATTCATCATGTCGCCCGTTTTGCCTCACGAAGTCCCATTGAAATGGTCGTCGTTGTCCTCATTTTCTCGTCGTTTTGTTATTTCTACCTGTTTAACTTGGCACGCACCTCAGATATCTTTTCCGGCACCGTTGTCACTCGCTTATATCCCACATCTGTCTTCGCATCACCATCCGACACTGTGTTTACCCCACTCGACCGCCAACACCGTGATGGATTCCATGGTGCTGATCCACATGGCATAAACAACATGGGTGGCATCAAGATCCAGTTGAAACAAATGGCCATTTCAGACCCAAAACAACAAGGCCTTGATCCCGTCATTATCCAACAATTTCAACAACTCATTAAAGACGAAATCCATGTGCCCGATAATATCAAGAACCAATTCAGTGTTCAAGACTTGTGTTATCATCATCAACAACAGGATCAAGACTGTTTATTATTCGAGACCGACAAGACAGCTTCATCCGTTGTTTTGTCGTATGCTTTCAATGCCACCGGCGCTTATCGCCAGCATCTGGCTGATTTGTGGGAACACAAGGTTGCTACCCTCGCGCCCGGCGATCTTGTCTCACTGTCCAACACTGGTCATCAAGAAAATGTGTTCTCATGGCTCTTTATTATCCTGCGCAACGTCGTCTTCCGTATCAAAGAGCTATTGGATGTAAGCTCGGCTACTTTTTTTTTCCATTCGCATTGTTAGTAGAGTGTCCGATACTGATGTGTTTGTTTACTTTAGATGGCAGACAATGTTGACATTATGGTTATCTTGGCCGGTTATCTGATGATGATTGCCACCTTTGCTTCCTTGTTCATCAACATGCGTGCCATGGGTTCTCGATACACGCTTGGTAAGGCTTCAAATAGATCAACGCAAAACTGACGGGAAGACTGATTTGTTTGTTTGTAATTTTAGCTACGGCCGTTGTGTTCAATGGATTTGTATCGTTCATGCTTGCATTAGTCACCGTGCACGCTCTCAATGTGGACGTGTACCCAGTTGTGTTGGCGTAAGGATCTTTTGCTTTATGTATTGAAATGCCCGAACATGGAATAGTTCTAACAATTTTGAATATACAGTGAAGCAATCCCATTCCTCACCGTCACAATTGGATTCGAACGCTCAATTAAACTCACCAAGCGCGTGTTCCAGCTGAGTAAGGAGACACCGATCGCCAAGCAGGATATCCACAAGACGGTGGTGCGTGCTGTCGATTCTGTCGCAGCATCGATCACCCGCGATTGCTTGATGGAGGTGGTCGTGCTCACCATCGGAGCAAAGTCCGGCATCTCGGGTCTTCGAGAGTTTTGCTTTTTGAGCGCCCTCCTGCTTGCTTATGATTTCATTGCCATGTTCACGTGGTACACCGCCATTTTGACCCTGAAGCTTGAGGTAATTAAAAATCTCTCCCATATGAAAAATCAATCCTTTTATTTAATTAGTCTCTCTTTTTTTCCCTGTTCTAGCTTACGCGTATTCGGGCTATCAATGGATCATCTGCCGGTGTTGCTAAGAAGGGCAGTAATGTCAAGAGCACCGGCTATGTTCGCCGCACCGTCGTCAAGGTTTTGGACGTGAGCGATAATGAGGATGGCAAGACAGATAGCTTCATTATTGGCCGTCTCAAGCTGCTCATGGTATGTCTACTGACGATAAAAACAATTCTCGAAAGGAAAGAGGCTAAACTAATGTCTATTGGGGTGGGGGGAAAATGGAAATATTAGATTGCGGGCTTTATTGGCATGCATGTCTTTAAACTGTGCTCGACCTTCCAGTCAATCAACCCTCTTGTGAGTGTCACTGAACCCGGCATTGCAGGCATTCTCAGCCAACTTTTGCAACAGCATCGATCGTCCAAGCAGAGCACACTGCCTTTGATCGTAGAGGTTTTCCCGCCATTACCTTTCCACGTTGCTCAGTCGGCTCGCAAGAGCATTATACCCGATGTGATCTCGCAGCCTTTGAGTGCTTTACTTAGCGGTGCTGCCGTGTATATCCAGCACCCTGTCATCAGCAAGCTCTTGTCCGTCGCTCTGTTCGTCTCGCTTTTCCTCAACACCTATCTGTTCAAGGTAGTCCGTCAGCCCAAGCAATCAGAAGAAAAGCAACAACAACAACAAGCACCTGTGGTTATTGAAAAACCCAAGCCAGTCGCCGTCGTTTCTTTGCCTCCACCCGATGTTATTCGAACCGTCGACGAATGTCTTGCCCTTGTCAAGACACCCGAAGCTCTGCATGACGAAGAAGTCGTTTCGCTTGTCCAGAACGGCAAGTTGGCTCCGTATGCATTGGAAAAGACGCTTGGCGATCACACCCGTGCTGTCCGTATCCGTCGCTCCTTGATCTCGCGTGCATCCGTCACCAAGACGCTCGAACAAAGTCTGTTGCCTGTCGAAAACTATCACTACGACAAGGTGTTTGGCGCCTGCTGTGAAAACGTGATTGGTTACATGCCCATCCCATTAGGCGTTGCTGGTCCTTTGACCATTGACGGTATCGACACGCACATTCCCATGGCTACAACCGAAGGCTGTTTGGTTGCATCGGCTGCGCGTGGTTGCAAGGCTATCAATGCAGGTGGCGGTGCTATCACGATCGTCACCAACGACATGATGGCCCGTGGCCCCTGTCTGAGCTTCCCCAACATCGTCCGTGCTGGCGAGTGCAAGCGCTGGATCGAAAACGAAGGCAACGAAATCATGACTGAGGCATTCAACTCGACTTCCCGCTTTGCCCGCTTGCAGAAACTCAAGGTCGCATTGGCCGGCCGCTTGGTCTTTGTCCGTTTCTCGACTGCCACCGGCGACGCCATGGGCATGAACATGATTTCCAAGGGCTGTGAGAAGTCTTTGGCTTTGATGCAAGAGTATTTTCCCGACATGCAGATCATTTCCTTGTCTGGCAACTACTGTACCGACAAGAAGCCTGCTGCCATCAACTGGATCGAAGGCCGTGGCAAATCTGTTGTGGCCGAAGCCATCATCCCTGGCCCTGTGGTTGAAAAGGTGTTAAAGACAACCGTTGCTGCTATCTGTGAACTGAACGTGAACAAGAACTTGATTGGCTCTGCCATGGCTGGCTCGGTCGGTGGTTTCAATGCCCACGCAGCCAACATCTTGACGGCGATTTACTTGGCTGCTGGCCAGGATCCTGCACAGAACGTCGAAAGCTCCAACTGTATTACCTTGATGGAGCCGGCAAACGATGGTCAAGACCTGCGTATCTCGTGCACGATGCCCAGCATTGAAGTCGGCACTGTTGGCGGTGGCACCATTTTGCCTCCCCAACAGGCTATCCTGGACATGCTCGGTGTTCGCGGCCCCCATCCCACAAACCCTGGTGACAACGCACGTCGATTGGCGCGTATCATCTGTGCTGCAGTCATGGCTGGTGAATTATCACTCTGTGCTGCGCTCGCAGCTGGCCATTTGGTCCAAGCGCACATGGCACATAACCGCGCAAAGGCACCTGCTGTTACTTCTTCCAAGCCCATTGTAGGTTCATGTATTAAATCATAAATTACACATCTCTGCCACTTTCTCTTCCTTTTCGCTCACTAAAAAAACAACAACCCTAAGAATAAAGTATATCTAGTACATTAATGATGATATTAATAATATTAATAAGAACAGTATGGAAGAAGGCATATATCATTATTTAAGAAACAACAAATGTAGTGCGTGCGTGATGATGGAGATGGTTTGAGAGGGTAAATGATTAATGGGTGCTATATAGAATGGAAGAGAGTATGTGTTACTTGGAGAAAGAGTCATAGTGGCTTTTTACATCACTATACAGTCTCCATCCTTGCTATCGTCAGGACGACCGTTTGCTGGTCGGGTATGCTTGCGCTTCTGCTTTGCTTTGTTTTTGCCTGCCTTTTTGAGCTCATTCAAGCGCTGGATGGCCCGTTTATTTTGCTGCGACGCTGCACGCATGTACCACTTTTTCGCATCCTCCAAATTCTGTCTTACACCGATCCCCGTTTCCGTGTAGTATCCAACAGCATACTCGGCCTTGGCATAAGCCTTGTCAGCCGCCTTGCGTGCCCACAGGTAAGCCTCCGAGTCACTCTGCTTCAAAATCCCCTCTGCGCCTGTCAAATACCAGCCCGACAACGACAGTTCTGCCTCCAGATGGCCCTGTTCTGCTGCTTTGGAGTACCAGGCAATCGATCGTCGCGGATCGATCGGACAGTTCAGGAATCCATTCTCATACGCCAATCCAAGCTTGAATTGCGAGGGCGCGTATCCGTACTGGGCCGCCTGGGTGAACAGTTCTCTTGCATAGTCGGCGTCCGCAATCACCGAAGGGATGCCTTCCTTTTCATACGCCAAGCCCAGTTCATGGAACGCGTGTGGCAAGTCTTGGTCGGCATGCTGCGTTGCGCGCTTCAGCCAGGAGATGCCTTCACGTGGGTTTTTGGACTGGCCCAGCAGTCCCTTGAGCAGGACCATGCCCAGCTTGTACATGGCCGGCGGATCGCCCAGGTTGGCCGCCTTGCGGTGATACTGGATCGCATGGCCCTTGTCTTTCTTTGTGCCTGCACCCACCTCATAGCACACAGCCACGCGATAATTGCATGCCGGATGGTTTTGTTTGGCGCCCTGCATAAACAACGCAAACGCCTTGTCCGCATCCTTGGTGACACCCATGTTGTTGTTTTCCTGCATGTATTTCATGGCCAAAAAGTACTGTGCTTCTGGAAAGCCTGCCTTGCCGATGCCCGATGGGTTCGCCAGTTTCTTTACGGTCTTGTATGCCTCTGTCGTCAAGGCTTCCCGGATCTGTGCCGTCCGTTTCGGGTCCTTTTCATTCTTGCAGATCTGTGGCACTGCTTCGAGCATGTATTTCGACAAGTCCAGCAGCTGTTGTGGGTTGTTGGATGCTTTGGCTTCGCGTCTGAACTTGTTGAGGTTGTCGAGGGTTGCTGGTGGGAACTGACTTTCTTTGGGCCGTCGTCCGGCCACGCTTGCTGCAAAAAGCGAACTGTCGGGCATATATGCGTCGCTGTCGGCTATCATACCGGCGTGGAAACTGTGTCGCCAGGGATTGGCTTGTGGTGGCGGACGCATAAATTGCTGTTGCGGTGGTAATGGCGGTTGCTGCTGGGGAGGCACCAGTGGGCCTGGTGGTGGCAGTTGCACGCCGTAAAAGCTTTCTGGACGATGGTACATGTAGACCGGATCAAGACCCACAGGTGCAGGTTGGTAGTAGGGATGCTGCTGGGGTTGCATCGAGTGTGGAGGAGGTGGAGGTCCCTGCTGTGGATAGGGTGGATGGAACTGCTGCTGTTGTTGCGGTGGTGGTGGTGGTGGTGATGGTCGTGGAGGAGACATCATGTTGTTTCCGTTAGGACCGCCACCGGCGCCATGAGGAGGGATAGACTGTATATGCTGGGGTGGTTCAGGCGGTGGACCTTGATGCATCATCATCATCCGAGGCGAAGACGAAGGAGGAGGCATATTGAGTTGCGGTGGAGCCAGTCGTGGAGACGCGGTGGTGGACGAAGAAGGCGTGCTACGGCCGGTGTTGTTGCTAGTCGACAGTGGAGGTGGCTGCTGCTGTTCGCAAGAGGAGGACGCAGGCGTTGCAGTTGTTGTTTGTGACTGAGGGGTCGTGCTGCGTGGAGGGTGGGGTTGCTGAGAAGGATCGGTGGCAATCGCGGAAGGAGCGGGATCATTGATGGTGAGTGTTTCCATTGAGAGCGTGTCGAAAGCGACGGGAGGCAGGTGAGGCGGTGGTGTGGTTGTAGCTGTTGTATTGGTAGTGGTATCGGTAGTGGCAGTAGCACTGGGCGTAGTTGCAGTGGGTGTGGCTGCAGTGGGTGTGGTTGCAGTGTGGGTAGTCGTAGAAGCAGAGGGAGAAGGATGAGGGGAAGAAGAAGAAGAAGGTGGATGGGGTGGATTGGGCTTGGTGGCCATGCTAGTGGTTATTATTATTTTTTAGTGTATGAAGTGACTGATTGATTGAAGCAAGCGAAAGCAGAAAGAGAACAAAGCGGTGGTGAGGCTCTACTCACACAAAAGTGGCTGGCCTTCAGGTTCAGGATGGTTCTTTCGGAAATACGGACTGGCCTCTCATCTCTGTGACAGGGCTCCACCACCCACCCCCCCCCATCTTTTTCGGAACCGCCATCGGTTTTTTTTACTTTTTGTTCTTTTTCCTTGTGCGAACAATTAACGATGCCTTCTGTGACACTGCCAACGCCTGCTGAAAAGAGCATCGTGCGCAAGGCATTGCCGAATGCAGTAAAGTGTTTCTTCCTTTCCTTTCCTTTGCGATGCTGAGCAAGGACAGAGTTTAACCACAATCCACGATCCACGCAGAGCATATACACTGCGGCGGTGGCTCGACTCGTGATAGCCTTTCCTGATCCGGAAGGATGGTCGCACACAGGATTGTGGGGTGCTGCAGCACTGTGCAAGGAAAGCAATTCCTACTATATACGCCTCGTGGACATCGACGTAAGTGCCCCCCACACAAATGTGCACAGTGCGAGAAGTGTCGAATCTGACCTCTTGTGCGTGCGGGTTATAGAGCCATGCCGGAGTCCTGTGGGAGCAGGAGCTGTACCAAGACTTTGAATGCGTCCAAGAGTGCCGTTTCTTCTATACCTTTGACACCGATGTACGTTCGGTTGCTCGAGGTGATGGCTGCTGCTACCCACACCGACACACAGACCTAACAGATGTTCCTCTTGTCTAGAATTGCCGTGCAGGCTTGGAATTTGCGGATGAGGGAGAAGGCGACACGTTTTACAAGAAATTGATTCACCGAGACGAGATACAACTGAAAGGTAAAAATAAAATAATTTCCTAATTCTGCTTGTCTTTTGTTTGCTTCTTCCCTTTCGGGGGTCCTACGGTACGACGGCGAGAGCTAACACAACCAGAGCCAGCTTTGCAGAAGGAGCAGCGACAACAGCCCAAGCAGCATCATGCATGGCGAAACAGACTGCGAAGGAAGCGGATCGACAAGGAGTTGATCGGCTCGCCAGCGGACTTTCAGTAAGTGGCAATATATTCTAGTAAATGACACGCTTCATTAACAATAATTCCAGACACAAAGGCCATATTGGATATACAGCTGAGCACGGCTTCAGCGTCCAAGGAGACAGTCGTGACATTATCGGTCAACTCAAGTCACTCGGCATTACTGCAGAAGAAATCGAACAGAACAAGGGGTTTATCCAAGAATACATGGCGACGCACGACAACCATCAGCAGCAACAGCGACAGCCCCCAGCAGCAGTTAAAGCACGACAGCAAAATCGACCTCGTGCACCCTCGTCGCCATTGCCGCCAACTCCTCAGTCCAACCTACCTCGAGAACAGCCACCATCTCCGAAGCCACCACAGCCGCAGCTGCAGCAAGGTAGAGGAGACGACTTGTTATGCTCTCCAGTTCATTCATTAACACAGCTTTCTATCTAGCTCGTCGGAGAGGCCCTCCACCACCACCACCTCCTCCTCCACCAAGACGACCACGCGCAGCTACACATTCAGTGGCACAGCAAGAGCGGACACCTCCTCCACCATTACCAGCTCGTAACAATCAACAAACACCTACTCTTGCAGTACCACCTCCAGCTGCTGCACCCGCAATGTCAACATCTGCTCCAGCCAATACTGGCGCACCAGGACCTCCTCCTCCACCACCATCACCTCCTCCTCCTCCTTCTGCACCGCCACCGCCAGATGAGAACATGCAGTTGCCGCCAGAGACAGGCACAGGCGGACGCGCTGATTTAATGGCATCCATCCGAGCAGCAGGCGGGTTTGGCCAGTTGAAACAAGGCGGTCAGTTACGCAATGCTCCAGAGCAGCATGCTCCTACTACGCCAGCTTCTACTGCATCAGGACCAGCAACAGCAGCAAGCAGCAAACCTGATCTGGCATCCAGTTTAGCAGCTGCAATACACCAGCGTAAACAAGCCATGGGAAGTGATGACGACGGTTTTAGTGATGACGATGATGATGATGAATGGGCCTAACGGGATTTTTAAAGTTCCCAAGGGTCCTACCCATTCTGTGCCACGGTTACACAGAATACCCAAAACTGGATATAGCGGACATAAAAATAGCTTTAAACTTTTTGGAACGTGGGTTTGGTCGAGCCAACCAACAAAGTTTAAGTTTGTCGTCATCCTCATCGTCCAGGGTTGGTTCTTATTTTGTGTATATAACATTTGTATATACCAAATCGACTGACTTTATGTCTAGAATACAAAAAGCAACGTGACAAAAAGACAGCTCGTTTATCGTTCTTCTACACCAAAGATTGAAAGAAAACCAAAAGTAGTTAGCATTAGAGTTAAATTTAGTATCATATGTATGCTATTTAGCACATATCAGCTCGCCGAGACAAATAATAGAATGATCATCACACTCTATGAATAAGATCACACTGACAGGAAAAAGCATCTGCGGAAGCAGAATGTCATGTGCAATTAGGGTGTAGCAGCAGCCTTCTGATAATGGTTCGAATGACTCTGGTGGCTGGGGGAGACCAAGAAGACGAGTATTCATAAAAATAAAACCAGGATATTCGGTGGAAACGTGCTGTTGTCTATCGGAAATAGCAGCAGCAGCAGTAGCTTTGTAGTGTTATGTCACTCATTAGTTCGCTGTAATAGTAGACGCTTTTTTTATGTATACCCTCTCTATGTGGTAAAAAGAGGAATGTCTGATACGACATTTTGACGTTCTGAAACGTGTATATGCCAAACCAATAGTATGCATTTTGTGCAACTCGAAATTCTTCACTACACGACAATGCTCACGTCGGGAGGCGTATACGGCCCTTTGATCTCGTTTTTTTGTTCTATAAAGAAAAACGAAAATGAAGCGATTGACGCCTACACCGACCCCTTCTGTCAGTAATTTAAGCTTTCGAAGCAATACAAGCCGGAACAGCAATTACGAAGAAAATCGATTCGCTGCGTCGAAAGAAGAATGTCATGCACGGGCAGAACGCACAGTAGACGAATGGTCTGAATGTCTCAAGGTACTTTTAGTTCAATCGTTTTTTCAAAAAACAGGCATTCCAGTCAAAGACAGAAACACGCTCAAAAAAATAACACATACACTGTCTTAGATGATGCTCAGATATAGCGATCCTTCGGACGAGTTCAAATAAGACCCTAAAGCGATTCGTTCAGGCGGATTCACACGCCAAAAATACCCGACAGGCACTTGAGAAAACAAGCAAGGCGCTAGATCAGCTGCTGGAAAAGTAAGATTGTGTCTGTTCCGTAGCAACGAGCATCTAACAACGATGATCTCTCATGTTTATATATCCCACAACCCGTGATGTTAGGAAGCATGATATCTTGGCTACAACCAAGACCTTTGAGGAAATCCAAGACCTGTTAGAGCTTAAACAGGTTGTGAGAGAGAATTGGGCAAAGCAGCAACAACAACAACAACAACAACAACAACAACAACAATCACAGTAGTGAGGGTGTAGATGTATGAAATATTGCGCATATATTGCGTCTACAAATGGAAAAGGATCATGCATCGGCAGTATATGATTAGGGCAGCCCATGTTTGTGTGTAAACAAAAGTACGGGTCATCCTAAATAAAGGAACAACTGGACAACACAGTCATCATGAGACACCATTGATAAAAAAAATCGACTGTTGCTGATTCAATTATATTCTAAGCAGCCTCTGTCAAACCAAATGTAATCGATGTGAACTGATTAGTGAGGATCGTTGCTGTTATTGTGGCGTGTATACAAGTATGTTTGTTACTCCTCATAATCTGGAACTCTATCTTGAGCCATATACAAGGCGGGAGGTTGTGTGGGATATGTAGACAAGGTGGTAGTCGTGGAGGGAGGATATCCTTTTCGTTGTTTTATTGACACGTGCGTTATTAAAGAAGAAAGAAAGAAATGTGATTTGAACAAACGTTTCGCTTACTGGGGGGAAAGATAATGATAGGAAAGAAGAAGATGAATATACAAGTTGGGTTATGGAGTTAAAAAATTTACACAAAGGCGATTGCTGTTGATGATGATGGTAATATGGAAGCAGTGTTACTTATATTCGATAATGCAGACTTTAGTGAAGTTCGTCGTTTGTTGTTCCTTGCATCGGGTATCTGACAATCAGCCTTACGTTTCGTGCCGATCGTTCTTGAGGGCATTGAGATTGTCTTTGCATTTTCGTCGTTGTATTTGATATTATGCGTATTAGTATTGTTGTTGTTGTTAACGGATGACAGTGCGTTTCGATCCCGTTGGCGTTGGAACGCAGATGCAAGATCACCATGTGTCTGGATTTTAGTTGCAGATGACGACTGCTTTTGGCGATGATTAAAAACTTTGAATAGCTCCTTGGCTGTGATGGTTCGTTGTTGTTGTTGTTGTTGTTGTTGTGGTAGTGATGTCGGTGGTTTTGAAGGTGAAAGTGGAGAGAGTCGTTTTGGCGTCCGCAAGGGTCGTAAAGCATTGTCGTTGGATGCACGTAAGCCGCCGCTACTGGTGGGTTGTGATGCCTCTGGCTTGTGCTGAGACGCGGTGGATGACTGTTTGTTGTCGAAATGTGCCCATGGCTGATCGGTAATTTGAAAGGGAAAAGAGCAAGTCAATTTAATGTGAAAATTAAACTTTAAATAAGGGGGGGGGTTAAGGGAAACGTACCGGTATATTCTCTTTGTTACTGAGACTGTAGTCATGAGTTTGCTGTGGGTTTAGTGGAGTTCGTCGTTTGTTGGTCCTTGCATCGGGTATCTGACAATCAGTCTTACGTTTCGTGCCGATCGTTTTTAAGGGCATTGAGATGGTGCTTTTGTTGTTGTCGTTGGATGCACGTAAGCCGCCGCTACTGGTGGGTTGTGATGCTTCTGGCTTGTGCTGGGACGCGGTGGATGACTGTTTGTTGTCGAAATGTGCCCATGGCTGATCGGTAATTTGAAAGGGAAAAGAGCAAGTCAATTTGATGTGAAAATTAAACTTTAAATAAAGGAGGGGGGGTTAGGGAAACGTACCGGTATATTCTCTTTGTTACTGAGACTGTGGTCATGAGTTTGCTGTGGGTTGGCGCCAGATGATGCAGTGGTGTTGTTGCCCAGATAATCCAGCTTGTCCGCTTGGACATCGGCGGGAGGGGTATGTAGTGTGATGCGTCGCTTTACATTGTCGTCGTACACGTACTGGTAGAGGAACGCGTTGTCGGCTCGCTTAAAGAGATGCTCATAGTCAGGAACCTGTTTCATTTTCCCCTGGAAGCGAAGATGGCGCAACACCTAAGCAAGGCGAGTGAGTACATGGCCGTACATGTGCCTTATTTTTAAACTAGATTGCCAGTCTTACCGCATCGGTGGTTCTATACTTTTTCAGTAGCTTGTGGGCGCTCTTCAGACCAATGCCAGGCAGCGAGGCGAGGTAATCGCATCCTGAAAGAATGCACATGTGTCGGATTCTGGTCTGGTCCCACCCTTGGAGGTCAATCTCCTTTGCTGCCGACAGGTTTCCTTGCTGGATGCGGATGCCCTCGCCATACTGGTTCATCTTGAAGAGCACCGTGTGACAGCCAAAGACAAGCAGGTCCGAGTCTTCGGTGATCACCGCGTCGACTTTGTTGGTGTTGATGAGGTGCGTGAGCTGAGCATCGGCTTCGTAGGGCGCAACGATGTGCTTGATCTTTTTGGCATTCAACGCCTAAGTTAGAGGTAGATGGGATAAAGGAACGGTTGGGATTCACTCTTTTTTTTTTTTCTTCTGGGAGGTTTAAGGGGTGGAGAGAGAAGAGGGGGGGGTTGTGGGCTTGTTGAAATTATATACACAAAGCTGTTGTATTACCTTGACAACTTGCTGAATCATGTGTGGTGTTACATGGATGGAGTGCTGGAAACATTCCGTTGCTTCTCGCTGCTTGCCTTGCTTCAGTAGTTCTTTGCCCTTGGCCAGTGCTTCTGTTCGACGTCTGTGGGTTGATATCGATACGAAAGAGAGAGAGAGAAAGCAAGAGTATGTAAAAAAGTAATAAAGTATGACCAAAGTAGGTTAAATATATGCGCGCTCTACTGCAAACCCCGTTTCTTCTGGTTCTTTTGATGTTACCGGCGTCTCTCCTCAACCGTCGCGCCTTTGATCGGCAGTGCTTGGCCGTCAAACACAATGTATGGGACCACCTTGTAGAACTCCAGCAGACTCACTAGCCGCATAAAGTAGTCGATGTATCTAGTGGCGTGCACACACATGCAATCAGTAACCCTATCTATTGAGTGGCGTAGGAGCAGAAGGAGGAAGAGGAAGGGAATGGCGGTGACGGTTGTTGGAAGCTGTGTGTGGCTCAAAAGAAAAACACAACGGATGCTTACTTTGTCGTTGCTTCTTCTAACGCAAGTTCCATTGAGCAGGAGAACGCACCCTTGTGTAGCCACACGTTGCCATCGACAGCCACTACCTTGCCGGCGTATTCTTTAATGTGCATTGGCTCATGCACAGATTTGACAGTTTGTATGAGCCCCGAAATACCCATTGTTCAATTGTGTTGAAGAGGAAACAGTTCAGGTTGTGGAGTAGCGTGGAGGTGGGGATGGGGAAGGAGTTGTTAATAAACGTGGACAAGAGGGAAGAGGGGCGCGTATATTGAGGAAGCAACACGCTGCGGAAAATGGGTGTCTTTTTATGGGCAAAAGTTCATTTCCAAAAAGAACGCTGGCCTGGACCCCTACGGGTTCCAGGGTCCAAGTACAAAAAACCAAAACTGGCAAAGATAAGCTCCGTGCTCAACAAAGCGCAGAACAATGACAGACGACAGTAACACGATCACAACGCGCTTTATCACACTTTGGAATGCACTTTGCACCTTTCTTTTTTTTACATTTCTGTGGTCGCGTAGTTCTGCTCGCGAAATAATCGAAAGGAAAGAATTTGTTGGGAGGGTATGGACTCCAGCAACAACGGCGCTTAAGGCAAGCTGTTCTAATCTGAGAGAACCAGTTTAATGGTATCATATGTTTCGCTTGCCACGCCCCTTTCAACCCCTTGATTAACCGAGAATATGGTCGGCACAACTTTCATGTGCTCAGAAGCAAGGCTAAGATTATGCATGCTTGACTCTCGTACGAGCCGACCATCCTCATTTTTGTTTTTTTCCCACATACATCATACATCACCCACACATACGCCGACCACGTCTGATTGACTTTGAATCGCTACTGCTGAGGGAGGCAGTTGATAAAACGAGCAAATCGAACAACAGTATCAACCTGAAGAAGCAGCCTGTTTGGATAATAGTAGCTCTAGGATGACGCGCATACTATGCTGAAAACAGCCATGCTGCTCTATAATCTGACTTTGACAATTTATTTTAAGCTGCCCACATCCATCATTGCGGGCTTGGACGATCGGCAATCGCTGATTGCCGTGGGCATATACTCGTATAAGAGAGCGTTATTCATTTTCGTTACACACGCCACGACAGTTGATACAACAATGGCCGAGACTTTCATTGGATCCCATGAAGACGCTGGCTGCGGCGTTCAGCACATGTTTACTCCAAACAAAACCCAAACAAACAATTTATTGTTCAATATAAACAACATTGACCCGAACCCTGTACAGAGACCCTTTGATCATTGGCCTGACCTTTGCGCTATCCCAATCTAATACACGCCCAGTCATCCTGCTGATAAGATATTAACCAACTTGCATAACACTATCCGCTATCTCCCCCATTCCCCCATCCCCTTCTTTCCTGATACTTTTCCTTTTTTGGTTAATAATTCACCAATATAACTAGTAACAAGACAACCATTCCAAGTGCATCATCAGCTGTAAATAATCATCAAGAGCTCACAAACGACGTCATATCACGTCAGCCCATTCGGGTTATAGCCGTTCATTGCTCTACAGATGTTGTTTACATGAACTGGATCATTCGAGTATAATGTTTCCGTGCTTTATGGGGCATACTAGTGTGTCTCAAAATCTGGAGATATCTGGAGAGCTCCAATATCTGCAGGAAAAGATATCTCTAGAGTTTGGAAATCCACAAAAAACGCGCTTGTTTAGAGCGTTTTATAACTTGAACTGGATATATGTTTTTATAAGTATTACGATACAGTAATTGAGAAGCTTAATATAAAAGAAGAGACTCCATTTTCATTTCAAGCTACTATTGTCCCTAGCTTTATCACATTGTACTACACTTCGCTTCACTATTTATTTAACGCCTGCCATTACAGCTTTAACTTCAAAACAATGCCTCCTACAAGGAGTTTTGCCGAATCTACGAAATTTTTTATCAAGGGGTCGGAGGATGCCTATAAACGTTTCTTCATCCTTTTCGTTATTGCCACTTATGCTGCAACCTTCTTCTATTTTTACTTCGTTATCGTCGTCGATGTGTGGAGTAGTAGACAGCGTAAAATGCGATACCCCGTAACACGGTCCGAGCTTCCAAATCGCTACGAAGATTCGCTTGCACGCATTACGTTAGCCAACCGGGTTGACCGACAGTTTATTGGTTGCTGTGGATGCACTGTTGCCGCTTTCGATCGCCTGCATCGCCGGTTCGTGCGCTTTTATCTGGCTTTAAAGCAGCGTGGTCGTAAACGGTTTTTACCAAGTGAAGCCGTCTTGGCTCTCACTCTGACCTGGCTTCACACATACAACAGACAGGACACAACCGGTTCCCTCTATGGTGTTGTGCCAGCTACTACCTCGAGAGCAAGGAATCTTGGTCTAGAGACGCTGTACAAGGTCTTCTCAAATGAGAACGACAGGCGATGGCGAATTCGTTGGTCATCACAGCAAGAAATGGCTCGATTTGCATCAATCATACAGCATGTCGAACTATCGTTGCAACGTGTATTCGGTTTCGTGGATGGACTCAACCTAAGAATCGAGAATCCAGGCGAAAACAATATTCAAGACGCGTACTACAATGGATGGCTGTCTGACTGTTATGTAGCACAGGACATTGTTTTCACGCCGAATGGTCGCATATGCTGGATCAAGTAGGTGTCATGCTAATTTACTTTTACTTCATGTCACATTGCTATCTAGTATGAATGGATCACTGACAATTGAGTTTAACTTAGCTACAACTGCCCTGGATCATCGCATGATTCTAATATTACCGAGCCACTCCTATCTACAGTTCTTCGAGAACAAACGCCTGCAGGCTACCGGCTTCTTGCTGATTGTGCTTCCCGCGATCTGCTGCCATGTCACTGCCAAGATTTTTAAGGTTCCGAAGAAGAACAGCCGCGAGTACGACAGAAACCAGTGCCGTTGGTATGGTGTTATTACAAGAAACCGACAAGCCATTAAATGGGGAATGCGATCAATTCAGTCATCCTATCAGAGGTTATATCTTACCTCTTAGTACAGATGCCACCCAACGTCGAATGATTTTATATGTAGTATTCAAATTACATAATTACCGAGTTTCAGAAGTACAACTAAGTCAAATTAGACGCGTTTACCAAGAAGCTTGGAGCGAATCAAACGAATAAAGTGAGTAAACATGTTTATTCGGTATAAAATACTTTTTGGAAGACCTTTCTTTTATCCCTGCAGGATAAACTTTATTTTTCTTGTGTGACCATGTTTATCCTATCCGGCATAAACATTTTGGAAGTCATCCGATAGCGTCACAGGTATATAGTATGGGCGCAAACTGAAGTGAAATGCCCCTTTGGAAAAGAACAGCGCTTCTATCTACATTGAACACCCAAGTTTTTGATCTCCATGTGGTTTGCTGGGGAAGGTTCGATCGATGTTTTGCAAGTAAGTTCCGCTATTTGACGCGCCAATAAATGTCCCAGTTTCTAATCCAATCCGACGCTTCAGTTGCTTTTACTTCGTTCAGAACTTGCTGAAGTTTTTAGATCAGTCTTACATTTATGTTGAAAGTTTTATCATGGTGTACTTGTATTGGGTTTACTTTTAAGCTTTCGTATTGATCCACTTACTTGGGGGTTGATCCTGGCCTTGGGAAGCTTTAAAAGAAAGGCAGGAGATTGCGTTCAATGCTGAGAAGGGTGAATAGTTTTCCACGCTTAACTGACAATCCATAAGAGGCATGTATTAGTCTGCATTACACATTCACTATCAGCATCTAAATGTGCTTCTGATCGTTCGTTTGATAGGCGTAGCGCCTTCTCGGTATGATAAGGCAAAGTCACTAATATTATATGGACCATGCAATTTTTACTTCAGACATGCTTCATATACCATTTTGCTGTAAAAAAGTTAGAGCCGGTTTCACGAGTGACATACTAGTAGCTCGCTTCATGAACAGCCAGTATTCACAATTTTTCTTCGATCCATTTACGTGTTTCAGCGGGGAGTTGTGAGCGAGTAGCATTGGTTATCTCGGTAGGGTCATGGTGTTGATGTTGCCAGTGATATACAAGTTTGATTTTGCCTGAGAATAAGTATTGAATACGATATCGAGCACGACAATTTACTTCAATAGATGGTTTTGCAAGTCGACGTTTTTTTATGGGAGCAGTTTCAGTTGAGTCTATAGGCAGAGCAGGGACAGCTGGAGCCAATGTTTCTCTTGAGTGATCACAAAAAAAAGTTAATTCTACGGTCAACTGTCCGAGGACGGCCGGCATTGTTTCGGCTTGCATCTGATGCCTTGTGTACGGAGATGTACTTGTTGTTGGTGATGAAGTTGGCATGCTGCTTGGGGTTTTCTTTAACCCACTCGTCAAGTTGTTGATAGTTGTCAAAAGTCTCTGTAACTACTTCGGTCGGGTAGCTGGGAAAGACACGGACAAGGTATCCAAGGCTATCAGATGCAGAGGCCATTGTTGTAGGTGAGCAATTGACAAAACAACAAAGGTACAGTTGCGACGCGTCGCTGTGGGAACTTGAAAACTTCTCTGAAGTAATTTTTCTTGATGAATAACGAAACCAGCGCGACTGTGTTGCTGAGTGAAAGAGAAAACCAGTAGTTGACTGTAAAACATGGCACACAAAGTTCCTTCACTCGATCGGTATATATCCCACCATGAACTCTTCCTCAATATATGAGCACACTGTGAGCCAACAAATATCAAGACCAATAACAAGTGCTTTGAAAAAAAAAAAGAGTTTTATTAAACAAAAAAAGCAAACAAAACCGATCAACGGCGACCGGCAAAAGGACACAATGAGATAAATGGATCCTCCTCCTCGTCTTCGTCTTCACTGTCGTCGATGCAGACGGCGCGGATTCCCGTCTCTACGTAGAGCTTAGCCAGTTTCGCCTGAAGCTCTTTAAAAGAAAAAGCAACTAGGAGTTAGAACAAAATGACAAGGCTGCAGACTAATAGTGTGTTAAAATGACAGTATACCTTCGCTGAGACGGGCATTTATGTAAGCAGCGGCAATCCGCTGCTCGCGCTCCGACAGCGCATCAAAGGCTTTCCAAAAGCCACTAGAGATTTCCCAGGCCAAAGCAGTGCTGCCTATATATTTTGGGGGCAATAAAGAACAAGGTGATGATTAGTATACATCTTCATAATATGTGAGACTAGACTATAATGTAAATCAAATCGAATAAGAACATACCATATTGGCAGACGTCCAAGAAGATATCCAATGGGTTAAAATCATCTTGACGCAGCGAGGAAAGTTGGACCAGAGTTCGTGAGCAATGGCGCGACCAGAGGAGAAGTGGCTGATGGCGGTGTTGTGCATCTGAAAGTAAAGAGCGAGAATGTTAAAGTGAAGAGTGAGAATGATTGAAGAGAACACATTCTTGAAGCTACCTTTATATAATAAATGTCCTACTACTTTTTTAGGTGACGATGAGTCAGTTTTTATTTGCCTACACGTATCGGGGAGTGAAAGAGATATAGACAAGAAAAAAGGGGAAAGCGGAAAATGCAGGAAGAACGGATATTTATGAAGTAGAAATTTGCGAGGACGACGGAAGCGGCTGGAAGGAACCGTAGTGGTATGATACAAGTTTCGCACACAGCCCGCCACTGTCATCGACACGTGGGACTGCTACTTATTTTAGAGGTCGACCAACCTCCCTACATGACCGCTCTCAACGAATGTGCCTCCATTGACGTTCCCGACCGTCTCTCCGCTGTAACGCATAACGGTCAAGTGTCCGCACCACACTTACTTCGTCGAGGCACTGAAGAGTTCTTCGACATGTCTGCTCATCCAATAAAAGACGTGGAGCTCTTTACTGCTGCTCGTGACTTTTATAAAATTGGGATATTGGTATTGGAATGCTCCCTCACCGAGAGAAGGGGCGTCTCCTGTACGAAATGACCTTTCCAAACGAGGAAACGTGTGCTCTTGTGTATCAAAGTGGTGTCACCGCTGGGACTTAACACCCTTGAACTCGCAAAGATCCCAAACGTTTAAATTGAAAAAGCGACTAAAAAGTTTGATGATGGATCGTGTCTCCCGGCGAAAGATTTAAAGGAATCGCTTCGTGCGTCGCTGTCACCTTTTGGTACGGTTATCCAACTTGGCTTGTACCGTGCCGCTGCTGGATGGTTTCAAGGATACGGGTACGCGGTGCTCCAAAAGGGCGAGGATGATGAATCCTTATCCGCCTTAAAGCATCGCCTTGAATTTGGACAAATCGGCTCCACCATGCGTGATTTCTATGCCACGTGGAAGGACATGGGCTCCTACTACCGGTACTGTCACAACGACGATCACGACATCGCGGACTAACCTACTCATCCCAAACAAGGTTGCTGGAACTGCTTTCAACACGGTCACATCGCTAGGGACTGCCCGCACTCCAACAGTGATAATCGACACCGCAAATCAGCCAAGAAATCCGCTAATCAAGCAAGCGCCTCCTCACGTCATGCATTAAAAAATCCAACAACAGACAGTGGGACCGAAAGTTCCAGTGAAAAAGTCCACAGCATCTTCTACAGATGACCAAAAAATGACGCCAGGCGATCACCGTCTACTGCCAGGCCTCTAGAGGATGAGACGCGATCGTCGTAAACCAACCATCAATTTATTCAATATGATGAAAGTCAACATTGGCACACTAAATGCTCGGCACCTTTCGAAAGTTGGCGAGCCAGACAAACAATCATTCTACATCAAAGACCTTACACAACAATCTTTACACATCTTGGCACTACAAGACACTTGTCTGCCCACCATTATTCCCGATCCGATATTACATTCTCAACTACACAACTATGACAGCATATGGAGTCCCTACTGCGGCTTGATCAGCTTCACACCTTACATTCGGTTTGAACCCTTCATCTCCTTGCGAGACGGAAGAGAGCTCTGGGCCAAAGTCGTACATTCTAACCATGATTTTGCCCCGTTCTATATCCTTAACATCTATGCACCAACACCACGCGGCGAGAGGTTCTCCTTTTTCCGTGATATGCTTCCAATCATGTCAGCACAACCTGATATCTCAACAATATTGGAACAGGCTATGTATTGTACTTGGCGACTTTAATCATTCATACGATCGTGTGCATTCATCTTATGCCAGTGCTCCCACTGAATGGCGCGCATTCTTAGGCGAGCATATTATTAATATGATGACACCAGATGATCCACGGCAGCGCTACATCCCAACTTTCCAATCTTCAACAGCTTCTTCTGCTATCGACTACGTTTTCATGTCTATTTCACTTAGCAGCATCAGAATTTAACCTGAAACTCTCTTTCTCAACCCGCATGGACGAATTATTGCTTGGTGTCTTTCGCTTTGCGTTGCCCTCGAGCCTCTGCTGGTGGGCACGATATCTGTCGCGCAAACCCCCTTCTGGCGAAGTCAGCAATCTTCAAACAAAAGCTGCATCAAGATTTAACTAATGCACACGAAAGAATCGCCGTCCACCAACCCCCAGGAAACTTGGGACCTGGTCAAAGAAGTAATGCAAACGTCGTGCCGACAGCATGGTCGATACAAAGCTTCACGTCGCAAACGTCTCGAAAAGCACTGACATCGGCTCAGAAATAAAAAGCTACGTGCACAGAAACTTACTGGCTTCGTACCGGATCGATTAGCTTCTGTATGCACTCAGCTTGCTGAATACCAAACAGAAATGGCTTATATACAATCTCTCAAAGCTGGTGTCCGCTGGAGAGAACACGGAGAAAAATCAGTGGGCTACATCAAACGGACTCATCAACAACGCCAAGCGCAACGTGCTATCGTCGAACCACAACATCCTGACACTGGTACGCTGGAGAACTCGCTTTATCATATGCACGAAGCAGCATGCACTTTCTACCGCAATCTTTATACTTCAGCATCGATTGATGATTCTGCCGTCGACGACCTCTAGGATCATATTTGGCACCATTCTATGCTCGCTCCACACTTCTTCAACTCGCCACTACTGGTTTGCCCGCTTACAATCTACCATTGCTCAAGTGACCCAAGTTCCTTCATATCCCGTCTTGTCGCCTTCACGTTGGCGCCTCTTCTGGCGTTCCCGGATTTCACCCGCTTCACGTACCATCTGGTGGCGCCTATTGCACAATATGAGATGAAGATGAAGAGCAAGCTCTTACCACACTATCTAGATCCCTACTTATTTGAGCACTCAGAGTAAGTGTAGAGCTATCTTATCATTCCAGTGGTTTGTTTCTAACTATACTTATAAAGAAATTTTGCTATGCGCGAGAGTAAATACGTTCCATCATACTCTCATATTACTGCTCGGAATGATCACACTTCCACAATTCAGTAAAACCTGGCGGTATTACTGCAGGCAATAGTAGCGACGTTCAGCATTTACACTTGTACCAGTAAAGCCGAATAGTTCTAAATAACAGTGATGATAGTATTAGCAGTTTACAAATCATACACTTGACTGCGTACACGAAATCTTCATGTACTTTGATATAATAATACATAAAATAATTCAATGTTGCAGCAGCAGTTCACATTATAGTTTTGCTACAAAATCGCATCGTGTCATACGGATGTACTGATACAAAACCCTTATGTCCACCCCATTTTATCAAAGACTCCTTTGAAAAGTTCAAACTCAAAAAAATTCAGAGCCACAGCATGTGGTGTGTGAGTGCTTAAAGCAGCACTTTTATTTACAAACCTGAAAAAAGGATTAATCACCATCAACAATCAGTACATAATCATCAAGAAAAGGTATAGCTCGAAATGTCATTGAATAGAACTGAGAACTGGCCAAATAGTACTAACATCAGACACTTGACAAAAATCAAAACTGAAGGGAAAACACAGCAACAAAGTACTGAGGAGACTTGGCGCCATGCACTTATCTTTAATGATTGTGTATGTCTTTTCTTGATAATTATGTACTGATTGTTGATGACGATTAATCCTTTTTTTCAGTCTTGTATATAAAGGTGCTGCTTAAAGCACTCACACTCACACACTACATGCTGTGGCTCTGAAATTTTCAGGGGAGTTTTTGATAAAATGGGGTGGATACAAGGGTTTTGCTGCACATAGGACGAAAAATCCGATTCCTTGCGTCTACTTGCATTTCACAAGCTCTTTTCTTTTGCACTGCAGGTGGGTTTATAACTTCACACCTACTCTGTTTGAGGTCCTTTTTCTTGCTTGAAGTTTTTATAAGTGTGGTGCTCGCTTCCCTATATATCAGATTGGTGCGCTCAAGAATCAGCTGAGATTAACATTATCTTATATCAACTGGGCAGCGCTAGAACTTTTTCTAACGTGTGCGTTGTATGGGCTGTCGTTTTCGTCGCACTCATTGATAAACTCGAGGTATACACTCCGAAACTCAAATGGACTTTAGGCCTTCGGAGCCGTACATAACTGCTCGTGTTGGGAATTATGAAACAATGCTCACCAAGGAATATCCATTTCTCCATAAACAAGTGATCGATATTGTTTCTTTGTATCGACTTCTAGATTCGTCATTCTTCTCACACTCTTGTTTGTACTGTATAGGGAACATAATATCGACAGATTTAAAATCTAGGCATAAGAACCAGCAGCACTTCTATTATCGAAAGTACTCAAATAGATTCCTGTCGTTGATAGTCTTAAATTTCTACGATTGGCTTTTTCTGTTCTATTTATAACCTCCATTTGCCTATAAGACACTCATCGGGGCTTCTGCTATACTACCTACAACGATTTGTATATACAGCATGCATTGTCAGTATATAGGTACTTTTGATTCTCTTATATCGTTGAGCCTGAGTAGACGTCAATCAAATATCTTTGGGGACTCTTCTTTTTATTAAAAAAAAAGTGAGATAACGGGGAAGATCTGAAGAACAATACAGAGTATATTTTTTAAAAACGACAGAATGAACGAGTTTCTTTGGAATTCTGGGTAGATTACAACTACATCGCTTGGATGCCGTGACCCATCGTGAGAAGACAAGGAAGGAAAATAAAGACTTCCGTTTAATCCAGTAAAGTTTTGAGTCGATAACAACGTATTACATGCACATGTCATGCGTATCTATCAATGTCTAATTCTTGGGTGCTGATAACGAGCATGTACTTATTCCAGATAACATGTTCTTTCTATCAATTGAAAAAAAAAACTCATCGACGTCCTAATGGAATGTCTTACTTGTATCTATAAGCTCGCATCCTCTTTAACGTTCTGCCAATCACTACTTGGTGCACTATCAATGGAAATGAAGCAAATGATACTGAGTGAACTAAAATACTTATGTGTATAATGAAAACTGCTTTCGTATATGTGCGGGCGATAACATGCATCTCACAAACAAGACGCGAAGAAGCACGAGCCCTCGTGAGTTACTCATAGAATGGGCTGAGCATATCAGAGGAGAAGAAGGTTGCTAACTTACAGTGCCCAACTTACCCGGAGTAAAGTGGGAGAAACTGCAACCATTTTTTATGCGAATAAACCATGGTATTGATGTTATACTACAAGAGAGGACCGCTTTTATTACAGTATCCATGTAGCCTTCTTGACGATAAAGGAACTCTCTTTTTCGCTTGTTGTACAGCATTTTTCTGGAGTAACCTTATTAAGATGTGAAAGATCGGGATATCAAAGCAATAAGAGGAGGACGGAGTGAAAATATCCCTATTTAGCATGACAACCCGAAGAAAGGGACGGCGTAACTATTCTGGTAAGCAATCTTACAGAAAGTCCCCGTTCCATTATCGCTACTGTATAAGACCCTTTCTTAACAGCAACGCCGTTAGTTGACGATGTCGACATATAGATACAAAAAGGCATTAACGTGGAGAAAGTCCATCATCACATGGTTATGTGAAATGAAAACATAAAAGCAAATCATACACCGCGGTTAGGTACCTAGGAGAGTCATGATATACAGAGCCAGCCATACACAACAGATTGGCAAAGTATTTTCCGACTGAAAGTGGAATATTGCATTACATAATAAAGCGTAAATGGAGGTGTAGACTTCAAGAAGCAGATGGTGATGAAGCAAAAAAAAGGCATATCTCTTGCGTGTGTACAAGGATTAATTGAGGTATCAAGAGTAAATGAAACGTCTATAAATCGAAAGCTTTTCCTTTTTTCGAAATATGCGCGCAAATTGTTTGTGCTCGTGGGGCAAGAGCATAAAACATTGGTTCATTTTGCTTCCTCCCTCTCTGGGACACCATTGTCCATCATATGAAAGGCTCAGACAGTTTGCACGTATACCCGGTACAATTCATCTCAATTTACGATAAAGGAAAGTAATCTTGCATATACCACCCATGATATATAGTATATAGCGACGTTAGGTTATAACGAGTTTTCATTTTACTAAATACGTACAGGCTTCCGAGTGCAGCGAGATAAAGAGTCGTGGAGTTACCAAAGGAAGTTGGGTACTATGTACTTTCAGGGTCCTGCTGGTACGCATGTGTCCGTCGAATGCATGCCTCACCCTGCAGCAGCAAGCGTATATGCAGCAGCTAACAGTCTTTTATGTACACGTATGGTATACGATAATTTGAATATGTGCTGCACGCACAGTACTGAAGAAGAGTACACTTCATGCTTGGCAACATGCTCATAAATTATCCAGGGTTACCCTCCGGCGACAACCGAACCCTGAGCTGGCACTTGATGGACAGCTGGGAGAGCAGAGAAAGATCTCAGGGACGACGGAATGCGTGACCAAGAAAGCTCAAAGTTACCTAATTCGTTTGGCACAACCTGGAATAACGCTCAGTTGCACAACCTGGAATAATCGGTGTAACGCAAGTCTTGGGACCCGGTCCTCTTATCTCGTTGTTTAATTTTTCGAGAACACTCTCACAGCCAGAAGCTCAATCATTAGACACACCATACCTTTGCAAACCAAACCTTTTATCACCGTGCATGTCCAATCAAATCGTGTGGTTGATGCTTTTTTGTTGACGCATGTCGAACATGTTTGGAATGTCGTACCTATGAGAATTGTAAAATTGTTTAAATACGCATTGGTTCACACACTAAATTCTCTTTCATTTTCTCGCATCTTGGCTGTAGCTTGCAAATCTAGACAACAACAACAACAACAACCAAAGCTGCAATAAGACACACTCCTCTTTAACCTTCATCTTTAATTCAGCAGCTTGTAACAAAGCTTTAACAGCAAAAAGTGCAATCGCTCGGGTGAGTAGGCAAAGCAAGAACAACGGCAACTACAGCCAAAGAATGATAGCAAATACACCAGAGAAAGACGGTGCTCCTCAACATCAGCCACACGATATCGTTGATACTGGCGCTACAACTTCGACAACGATGGCAGAGTACGCTGTTACAGGAAGATCATCCAAGGCCAGTAGTAGCAGTCTTCGTGAATCCATTGATTATAAAAAGAATCACGATTTAAACCAGCATAGCATTGGCATAAGCGAGTACGAGACCGACGAGAAAGTGGCCACAGAAGAATATGAACCAGAGGAAGGCAAAACAAGAAAGAAGTTCAGTTACTCCCAGTTTTATAACCGTCATATCCGGTGGTTTCAGTACGTTTCTTTAATGCTTTCCTGATGTTTTTTGACTCAAACTGATATCATACGTACGTATTAAACTGATGCAGCATATTTTACTCTTTGTTTAAAATTATAGTCTCGGCATGTTCCTCATCTTCACTGGTTATCTTGCTGCTGCATTTGCATTGCAAGTGCCAAAGGGTTACGATCAAGAAAACCTGGTTCTCGGGTTGATTTATGCCTTCTTTACTCTGTACATCATATTCCAGCATATTCCTATCAGCATCATTGTCGACCCATTCCTCAAGGCTGTCGCTTTTGTCGGAAAGCCTGTCATGCGACTTAGTCGACGGATCCGAGGAGCACTTTACGCTGGTAGTGTCATGGCTCTCATCATTGTGGTCGTTTTTGCCATGCCCGAGACCGAAAACTCGAATCGACTCCAGCGACTGATTGGTCTTGTTGGATTGGTTTTTTTCCTTGGCGGTACTTTTGCTTCTTCCAAGGTAGACTCTCAAATATTTTACTTTCATCTTACAGTTGTTCTGATCGACTGATTGAGGGGTAAATGAATGAATGAACATACGATTTAACATGGCTCGTATTCAGCATCGTAGTCAGATCAACTGGAATACCGTCTCTGGAGGCATTTTGCTTCAATTTCTTTTAGGGTTGTTCGTGTTTAAGTCCTCGGCTGGTCATGATCTGTTCCAATGGCTTGCCGAGTTTGCCGAAGGCTTCTTGAGCAAAGCATGGCATGGTACATCGTTTGTCTTTGGTGAAGACGTTGCCAATTCTGGCATTTTCTTCATGAGCGTCGTGCCCACTGTCATCTTCTTTGCTGCTGTTGTCCAAATGCTCTACTATATCAATGCTTTGCCATGGCTTTTGTCGCACGCTGCTCGAATATTTATCAAAGTCTTGGGTGTTTCAGGAGCTGAAGCAGTTGTTGCTATTGGATCGGTAATTACATTGTTTTTCATTTGGCTTCTTTTCATCTTCATGTCAGAGTACTATGGCACCAAATTTAATGTAATATACAACTAGTGCTTCCTTGGTCAAACAGAGGCGCCTCTGTTGGTCAGACCTGTTTTTCCAAGTATGACCAAGTCCGAGATCCACCAAGCCATGACATGCGGATTTGCCACAATCTCTGGTAGTGTCTTGTTCGCCTATATTGCCATGGGCGTATCAGGTCAAGCTCTGATCACCTCGTCCATCATGTCGATCCCATGTTCCCTCGCTGTTTCTAAACTGCGCTATCCGGAAGTTGAAGAGTCTGTTACAAAGAAAGCTGACAGCAAAATTGTTGTTGAAGGCGATACCGAGTCGTACAACTTGCTTCATGCAGCTAGCACGGGTGCTGGTCTTGGTATCAAAATTTCTTTGTTGATCGTTGCCAACCTAATTGCCATCCTTGCTCTGCTGTATGCTTTTAACGCTTTTTTGACCTGGGCCGGTAACTTTTTGACGATTCAAAACCTTACTTTGGATCTCGTCACCGGATATGTGTTTGTGCCCCTTGCTTGGTTGATTGGTGCCGACAATGCCGATCTGGTACCTGTCGGTCGCTTGATGGCACTCAAAATATGGGCAAACGAGTTTGTCGCTTATAATGAAATGCAGACCGTCTATCTTGATGTGATATCATACCGATCGCAACTCGTAGCAACTTATGCGCTCTGTGGCTTTGCTAATTTTAGTTCGAGTAAGTCATAAGGAAAAAAAAGCGTGGTGGCAATTGGGCTAATGAATTTGTATAATAGTTGGTATTCAGCTGGGTGGTCTTGGTGCCATCGCTCCCAAGCGAACTGGTGAAATTGCCGAGTTGGCTATCTCTTCCTTGATCTGCGGTAGTATCTGCACATGGGTTTCAGCTTGCTTTGCAGGCATGCTTTTGTAAAACATAACGGTACCTCCTAATGCATATGTTTCCTTCCTCCTTATCTTTCCGTACATATAGCTCATTATGTATAGCAAAATGCAATACAATATAATTTTTTTGTAAGAGTAATAAATATATTAAAGTAATAATTTGTAGCCATGAAAATCTTATCATAAGCAGCACAGCCATAAAAAAGTGTCGACCAACTGTGCTACATTTTGGCTAGTCATTTCAATAACATACAGTAATGTATACATGGTTACACATGGAGGCTTACCGGTAAACAGCAAACTTGCAAACTCGTAAACACAGTTACTTTCATTACGCTACTAGGTTTTCGAGCAAAGAAACATCTACATGTGTGCAGTGCAACCCTGTCAGTTCGAATTTCCTGAAAGATACCAGTTACTACCTAAGATCACGCGCACAGTAACAGAAGACAGGTTACAGCAGGTTCACCTTAAGAAATCGGTTGTTTGGGAGAAAAGTGTCATGCTACAATAGGAGTAAATGCTGCCGCAGCGGAATACAAAGCGACCCGGGAAGCAACAGCAAAACAACGAGCAACACAAGAAACATCAAGAGAGGATATGAAATAGAAGAAGCTCGTGGAATGGAGTAGAGAGGAGCAAGGACTTACCATCGTGGATCAACTCATTTCCAGACATATTGCTCGTTAAAAGAAGCTATTCCATTTTCTCGTACACTTGCAAGCACTTGATTTTGAAAGATCTGCGACCGTTGCATAATCCACCCCTATTATCGGCATGTCCATAGTAATGCTCGTATTTACACGAATACAACAGCAACAGCAGAAATGCTTCTGAAATACCATTTTCTATTAAACCGTTCGATAACCAAAATTTGGTTGCCAAACAAGTCCTTTAATTTAACTAACTTGTGATCCTTCACAAATTACGCCTCCATTTTTCTTCGTTCTCCTCCTCTTTTCTCCTTCCATTCTAAAAGATCCCGTTGTACTCGATCATCATCCCGCTTCGTACCAATATTCAATACATATGCATCATCTTCGTGAGACTTATTCTACTAAAAAAAATTATAATGGATGGTAAAAATTGGAAAAAATGTATTTACAGTAGTAGTATGCGAGAGAATTACATGGTGCTTATTTTAGTTTAGTTTTCGATCACGTAGTCGCGCTTGGCCAAATCGGCTTCGTATGCCTCCAAGACGACTTTGCACAGATCGTTCAAGCTATCGAGACCGGTTGTCAGGGCATCAACAGCTGTGGTTTTGTCTGTATATTCCATATTATATGTTAGTTTCCAATCATCCTTTTGCCCCGTCACAAACCTCTCACATTATATATTATCCTCTTCTCCAAACAAAACTTTCAATACGTAACTGGTTGTTTGGACACGCATATGCATTTTCGCTTCTGATGGATGAGGAATCGAGTAACCGCAAAAGTCGACTTCCGGGCTATGCAAAAGGGATGCATTTTACAGTCAGTAAAAATAAAAAGAAGAGAGCTTGCACAAGCATTAAAAAGAGAGAAAGAAGCCTACTTTTTGTTAATCATGTGTCGAAGCGAGTTGCCTAAGGTGTGATCTTCTTCTTTAAAGCTAAATGTCATTGCCGTTTTCTCATTATCTGCGCCAGCAACCTAACAAATCATACATTTTAGCTTTAAGCGCTCGAAGGAATCCCAAGTATAAGCGACGCCGAAAAAAGAAAGGAAATAAACTTACAATGTCGAGTTTATCGATGGGACCAAATTCGCTTTCAGCGTCAGAGGCTTCGGCCATTTCCTCGTCAGCAAGGGTATCTTCGTGTTGGCTGCTGGTTGACATGGCGTCTTCGTTTGCTGACATTGTGTATATTCGATTCTTTTTTCCAAGCAGGAAAAGCGCAAAGTGTGTTGCAGTAGTAGTAAAAGTCGGATTTGCCATTCATCGATCTTCGTGACGGCTTATATTATTCTGGGTGGCTTGATAGGAACATGGTAGTACATTGCATGCAAGTAGAACTCGAAACAGAGAAAATGCGCAAATACATATACTTAGGATAATATCTTACATACAAAGCATTGCTTAATTCATTACTAAAGCGTTATTTCCGTGTAAGCTTTTGGTTGCTATAGTACTACTTTTGGCTGCTATGAGGACCATTGCTATAGTTTGAATTTGTTGGTTGCTATGGAGACGAGTCACTAAAGCCTTTTTCGTCATATAGAGTCGATCGGATCTGCCCAAATAGCAATTGATGGAGCATGTCTTGGGCTAGTACGAGTATGTGTATAGCAGTTATACTCTAATTATCGTCAACCTTTTGGCGGTCCCACAACTTGCTTGACCCAGTTATTATCCTGAAGGTTAGCGGAACGAACAATTTTTCGTGCTCATGCTGAATTCTGGATGTCGATTTCGATCGGCCGCTTTATGTCAGATTTTATAGACAATAAGCGTCACGGAGCCAGAAACGATTATTAGGTCGTGATTTTAAAGACTGGCGTTGACACAGCTTCCTTCATTGGAGGTCAATGATATTTCAGTAAGAGAGTTGCGGGACAGTCATGTATTTTTTTTTTAAAATGAAAATGAGAAAGAGAATGAAGCACACATGTATATGGTTATTTTATTGGCTGCAGCGGCGAACGAAGCGTGCCTTGTATGGAGGAGGCAAAACGGCAATGCCACCATCTCGGCAATCATCGAGATCTGGAGTGATCCGTCCTCAGGTGGTAATAAGGTGCATTGAGCAAGTACCCGGGTTTAAACATTAAGCAATTGTACCTCGGCCTATAGGTAATGCATCATCACGTTAATAAACTATCAGTAGAGGCAACGAACATTATCGGTTCCCAAGTGTAGTAGTAGATATAGCGTACCAAATGGATGCCGGGACATACTCTTCTTCCCCAACCGAAATGAAAAGGGTCACGATCTTCGAGTTTACCATGAGTAGCGGACTCGATGGTTTGGAATCTTTCAGGGATAAAGCTTTCTGGATCTGGATACACCTTTGGGAAACACTCGTCCGTTTATATAGCAATTGAAATATTCTGCTTTTTTGTAACTTACAAGTATAGGCAAGAAAGAATACGAAGCGTAAAGTCATTATCGTTTTACCTGCAGCGACTATTAGATCAGCATCATCGAGTCCCAGCTCTTGCTTTCGCTCGTGTAAATGTTTGAATACACACTCCTGATCACCATCATTCGCTTGTTGCAACAAACTTTTAAATAAAGGTTCACGTTTCCCTTCAATATATTTCTTGAACGAATTGGCTCGGCCGAACAAGGCATCGACAAACTTGAGAATTGTAAAGAATAATGCCCCCAATTCTTGAACACTGCTCAATACCATAGGTACTTTCAAACCTATTTGCAGGTTATTTCGCAAGTGCAAGTGCAAATAAAAAAGTAATGTGATTGGTCAGAATATTCCTGTACAAAGAACCTGCATCTGCACCTGGGAACAGGTACAGATAACTTTCGCAAGTGCAGGTCGGCAACATTCCTATCCAAAAATCGCAACACGTGACACAAGTACGTTGTACGAATTCCCTAAGCAGTTAACGTGAGTCGATGAAGAAAGAAGAAAGCGCCAAGGAGCAGTTAGACGAGACCAGCTAGTATAAGTCTTGGACTGGATCTATTTAAAAGTTACACTGGAAAACCTTGCATTGAAAGACTAGAATATAACTTGCGGCACACTCAAAGTTGCAGATGTTTTCATGAAGTTTTATTGGTCAAAAAAAATTTCTTGCACTTGCACTTGCGAAAAAACCTGCAAATAGGTTTGAAAGTGCCTCATGCCTTCTTCAACAAGTTTAACAATTGTCAAGAAATAGCGGGTCTTGTTCTGAAACGCGTAAACCAAAGCTAATTTGTAAAACATAGTGAAGTTCGTTGAAGCAGAGAAAGTGGGTTTATGCCTTATCCTTTGGCGTTGCTAGTATCTATAACGAGATCGTCGACCAGAATGTTGGCCTCTTGTTGATGGATTGGGTTAAACTTGGCTACTGATTTTTGCGACAACACGGAAAGTGCAGCTGCAAACAAAATGCCTCTGATAAAAACGCCCATTTCAAGACTTACAAGAAGCCCGCAGTTCACATAACCACTTCCTATCTTACCTCTTTCCCAGGGAATAGTAATGTGAGCTGAACAACTGGAAAGTACGATTGGAGGAAACAGCACCATTGGTCACAAATAAATAGTGAAGAATATCTGGATCGCTGACCAGAATCCACGGTTGAACACCTATGTCATTCCGGAGTACTGACCCACATTCTGTACGTCACTCGTGAAACTTGTTTCCAGGAAGCCTGTCAGTACACAAAAGGTGCCCTATTTTTCACAAGTGCATGTAGGAGGATAGTGGATGAGAAACAATAATTAAATCAGTATATATATTGTTAGAAAGTACCCACGTAGGCAGTAAAGACTTACTGAAGAAAGGAACACGGCCTTTGGAACTCGGTAGATCGTCTAATGGATCATTCTTAAACGAGCGAATCCAATAGTACAGGAAGGTACTGACAGCAGCAGTGGCTGCTACAGCTGCTGTTATTGGATTCGTCAAATTGGCCCATTTTGATAATTTCCGGAAAGTTGGATCGATTATTCGATACCCGGTCTAGATCAAATGAGAAAAAGCTTCGAAATTCAAAGTAGACTTTGCTTCTAACAGAGTGAAAAGTACAATGCTGTATACACGCAATTGACCCAAGAACAACAGATAATATTACGATGAGCAAAGGAATAAAGTTAGTAAGCTGAAATGCTGGCAGTGCCGTATTCGTGGTTATTCTCGGGAAGATCGAATATCTGAACGTGGCCACCACATAAAATTCACAGTCCTACGATGTATCCAGATCGAAATACAACATATGGACGTGTTATTAAGGAGTCTTTTTAGTATAGTATCGGTGTGATAGTACTTTATTGATTTGACCATGATATGAAAGAGGAACAATAAAAGCTATGTTGAATTCTGCTGGCGACGTACAAAACGTGCTTTGAATGGAGGCGGTGATATTGTGATACCTCCACTGCGACAATCGTCGAGATCAGGTAGAGTCCCATCTACTGGTGGTTTCAAAGTACAGTGTGCAAACACACGTGTCAGAACATTAAACATTTGGACCTCGGCCTATATATCACCGCGAGTAATACAAGAATGCATATTAATATAGATCAGACAACGTGATTATGTGCGAGCTGAAAATGTAGTACCAAGTGAATGCCAGGGCACACTCTTCTGCCCCATCCAAATAAGAAATGATCACGGTCCTCAATCTTGCCACTAGCAGCCGACTGCATGGTTTGGGTCTTATTCACGAATCGTTCAGCGATAAACTTGTCTGGATCTGGAAACAGTTTTGGGTTTTTATGCATCGAGTAAGTGGTTGGTAGAACAGATGCTCCTTTCGGAAACAGATAACCTTTGTAGGTTACTATAGAAATATTGCACTGTTATAAGCTCTCGGCTCTTCATATAGTTGAAATGTATTCCAGGAGCAGATAAAGAATAATCAAAAAACGTACTGTCTTTTTCTAGGACATGGAAGAACGAAAAATGTGCCAAGGACCGGTACCGCATGCACTCTTTTTGAACGGATATAAGGTAAGGGAACGATTCGCGATCTGTAAAAATTGGGAATCGTTTGTGCTCTTGGGTAAACGAGTCTACTTCGCTGAGTTTTCGACATACATCGGGATGGTGCAACAAAATAGCAAAAATCCATTCCAACGTTACAGCCGTTGTGTCAGTTCCACCGGTAATAAAGTCGCCTACATGAATTGTAAGCTTGTTAAATTGGCAGTTTTAAAAAGAAGGGCTTTGGGATTTGTATATGCAAAGCATAAGATCTAGAAACTACATATGTTTGTATGTATAGATATTACCTGCAGCGACGAGCAAATCAGCATCCTCAAGTCCAAGCTGTTCCTTTTGCTCATACAAACGCTTAAACACACAATCCTGATCCCCTTCAGCGGCTTTCTGAATCAATTTTGTGAATAATGGATCTCGTCTCTCACGAATAAATCTTTTGTAAACACTGGCATGACCCAAAATTACGTCCACAACCTTGAGAATAGGCAGAAACCCAGCCAGATCGTTTTGCACGCCTCCCAACTTCAAGCCTTCGTCGATAAAAGTGATAATTTCATGAAACAATTCGTCTTGTTCGGAAACACATAAGCCAAAGCCTGTTTGTAGCACATAGTTCAGTGATGTACGTTGCAGTAGGGGTAATGGATTCACATCAGTATCTTCGTTATTATTCCCGGTGCAAGCTGAAGTAAGGTCTTTGATAAGGCTGTCGGCTTCGCGTTGAAGAATTGAGCTGAACTGGGCTACCATTTTTGGCGATGCCACGGAAAGTACCACAGTTCGTAGGTGTTTCCATTTCTTCGTTGGATCCGCTAGTACGATGCCTCTAAAGAAATAACGCATACTCACGTGTTTAGACTTGCAAGCCCAGAGGCCATATTTACCACTTGCTACCTTACCTTTTTCCTAGTGCATAATACTGTGAGCTAAACAATTGGAAAGGTCGATTCGACGCAACGGCGCCATTGGTAACAAACAAATGCTGGACAATTTCGTGATCACTGACGAGAATCCATCGTTGGACGCCCACGTCAATCCGAAGCACAGGACCACATTCTTTGTGCCACTCATGAAACTTGAAGCCAGGCAGCGCGTCCATATTTAAAAGATGACTTTTTCATAAAGTTAAAGTACAATTTTATCTTAGTGTCAACAACAACAACAACAACAGCGACTCATAGACAATCATATCAAACTTAAGAGTTAACCATTTGGCGAAGGAGGTTTATTTTATTACCAAGATACGGGAGACGACCTTTGGGACTTGGAAGCGCATCTAAAGGATCATTCTTGCGAGAAGACCAGTAGTAAAAAAGTACACTAGCAGTGGTGGCAATAGCTGCCAGAGAAGCCAAGTGTTCTCGTTTGACAACGATGCTGTCAAGTAAAATCATTGAGGAATGAAATGATCCCAAGAGCTCGGCACATAATTATTAGTTCCCCACATTTCAGAACTAACCAATTTCAGATACTGACTCCGGTCTACTGCGCCGATTATAAGCGAGAGGGTGAGTCAAAATTCGCGGAACATACGGAATAGAGTTATGACAGTGGCCCAGCCGACGAATTTTTCTCTTTATGATCCAAGATGTGTTTTGTATACATAGTATCTCTGGAGTGCGATGAGGAAAAGCCTCGCGTTGAAAGAGATGAACAAGTTTGGTAGAAGGGGGAAAAAGGACAAACAGAGGAACGAATGGGTGGGAAAAGAATAGAGAGAGATAAATAATGAAAGAAGCACTAACTAGGAGTAAGTGTGGATAGAACGAGCGTTTGTGCGGGGATTCTCGCGATTCAGTGGCTTTCGAATGGAAATGGAGTGTATAGGAGAGGAGAAAGTCTTGTATGCGCGAGCAGGACTATGGGTTGGCTTTTGTGTGCTATTTTACAAAACTGAAGCTGAGAGGTGGTGAAGCAGGGAAACGGGTGGGGTATTTTGGTGGAAGGCTTTTTCTCTGATTTCATGCTCACCGCACTCTTTGACTACTTTCTCTTCGGTTGACCAGTCCGTCCTCTAGATCCGAATCATCGTCGCGCATATCGGTTAGACCGACCGCGTCCTCGTTTTCCAAGAGCGTTGCTTCGCTCATCAATAAGTGTTCATCTTCACCATCGCCGTTGTCGCCGATGTTATTGCTGTTGGCGCCGGCGCCACGTGCAATCGAATCCAGCAAATAAACACCGGTGAAGATGACAACAAAACCGGCTATCAATGACACGACGTATACAGGGCTGTCGACGTTGAAGCCTTGGAATAGAATGGTGGATGCGGTAATGGTCGCAGTTGTGAAACACACGAAATAGATGGGATTTACACTAAATTCGCCACGTTTGTGAGTAAAAACTACCTGGAGAGTAATGTACATACCCCCTTTTTCTCCACCACTGATCCCACCCCTATGATTATCCTATTTCAGCAAAAAAGCACGTACACATTTGTCGAGAACTGCTCTAATGCCTTGTTGAAGTAGTTCATCTGAGTCACGATACAGACAGCTACCACGATACCAAACGCATAGGTCGATGGATGGGTGAATTGATTGTTTCCCGCAAATGTGAGCTTCAAGGCGATGCCGAAAGCCTTGATTGACATGACAGACACCGAGCCGACTAGCGAGCAGATGGACACGTAAACAAAAGGGTTCCTTTTTCCGTACTTTGGCACGACTTTGTAGATCATAAAGAGACTAGTTACGACCACCATGGTGCAGTAGATCAAAAAGCCTAAATAAGTGTAGCGTAGCCAGAAACGAATCTTAGTTTCTCAATTGATGCACTAACTCGCTAACCTCCTTCTCTTGACGACTATTTTTGAGGATCTTACCAGGTTGCAGCGCATAGAACAGCAATTCATCGATATTGTCAACGTTCGGATCCTGCGGTGCATGTAATACTACGAGCACTGCACCAACAACCGATAATAAACATCCAATCTTGCCAATGGCACCTAGTGTTTCTTTGAGGAAAATGGATGCGAAGATCGCACTATTCATGTAAAAAGTGTAAATATTGGTCAAACACGTGATGTTCGGTTAATAAAAGACATGTCAATCAAAAAGGCGTTCCCACATATGCATACTTATAAAACCAATGTAACATACCCCAATATAACGCTAAGTGCTCCAAGTGGTGTGACAAGAATAGCTGGTGCGAACGAGTATGCTGAGAAGTTCAAGACCTCACCCACCGCCACTTTATAGACAAGAGACCCGTTTTGTCAGATACTTTTATCCTCTTTTGAATGACACAACACACCTCCTCCTTCCTTCCAGTAGAGATCGTTTAAAAAGAGCTACTCTTACTTGTGCTCATTCCTGCCCACCATGTCCAATTCCGAAGGTAGTGATGTTTTCCGTCTGCCGCAGATACGCCTAGAGCGTTATAGACGAGTTGAATACAGTCAGTCGTCAATGAACAGACAGAGTCAAGTCGGTTGCTGCCTCATTTCGACTATAGTTCCGCAAAAAGGTGATTGAAAGTTACCGTGTCGTCGTTGGGCGTTAATAAGACCCTTTTTTGTAATGATAAAGGAAAGACCAATAAACACGCTAGAGCTCATGGCCAGGATGAGGCCAATGTACTTGTCAGGAATCATGACGCACGGTGCAGTAAAGGGTGTAGTAGTGTGATATAATAAAAGTGTAAGGAACGTGGAATAGGGAGGGCTTTATTACTGGAGAATGAGAAAGCCCTGTTTTGGTGGCGAGGTGTATGTGTGTGTGTGTGTGTGTGTGTGTGTGTATGCGAAGGAAGAACGAGAGTATATAAGCAAGATAGAGAGAGAGAGAGAGAGAAAGAGAGACTGCGTGAATAGAAAAGGGAGGGACAAGAACAAAAAGCTGTACCTTTCCAAAAAGAAAAAAAAAGGCACAATTGTTCGACTTTTTGATCTGAAACTGTGATAGACTTGGCGCTCGAGACCGCGACGCCTATTAGTTTTTACTGGAACAAATTTGTCTGTTGCTATACGACTGCTATTTTTAGAATATTGGGTTGGGTGTTAAAGCGGTATTCTTTTCTTTTTCTAAGTGTACAGCTCTTCCATCATATTCGTAATAAAGGGGATGGATTCGCCAGCAAGATCCTCATCCTTCAAGAACTCGAGAGGGAACTCGACTAGATGGCCTCGCACACGGCTAAGTTGATCCCGGATATCTTCCACGGGCATGTCACGGTCATAGACGTGGCCGATCTCCACTCTGCCTTGGTCGGGGTAGAATTCTTTGTACTCATCCCAGTTGTGTACTACAGGACAACAAACCATTGTTTAGAATTTTGCTCAACGTCAAGCAACAGGGTCTCTTTTTTTAAGCTTCCTTACCACTGTCCTCAGGAACGCAGTGGAACACCTGGCGGAAGGCATCGGTGTTGTTGGCAGCAATCTCGCTGACATAGTTAATGGTCTCTTCGGAAAGCGGATCCATCACCAAGCGATCTTCTTCGGACTCGGTGTGGTCGACCTGAGGCACAGGCAATGGAAGCATATCGTCGGTCACTTCGTCCAATGGTCTGTCATAGTCCGTAAGCAAGCCCAAATGCTCCTTCCACAATTGACGGCGGAGTGTGGCGGCGAATCGGCCGGCTTCATACTGTATCAATTATAAGCTGTTAATTAAGCACTCTCCTCCTTTTGGTATTCCAGAAGAGACCCACTCCCCCCCTGGATTGTTCATTACATACATATTTGCCATTCATTTGGGAGGGAATCATATCTTGGTCTTCAACCAACAACGCAATTTCTGAGTCTCTTTCACCGCACTGACTACGGTCGTTCAAGTTAGCCGAGCCCATGATGACGAGACGGTCTATATATAAAAAAAGTGACACGTAAAAATGAGTTTCTTCCTTTCTCCTTTTGAAAGATTCTTTGTGGATTTACCGTCAACAATAAGAAGCTTGGAGTGGATGTACAGCTCTTCCGAAACAAAGTCATGGTTTTTATCTTCTCGTCCGTCGCCCACTTCAGAGACAGCAGCATATTCAACTTCTCCTTCAACGCCTTGTCCATAGCCGTTGTTGTAAGACTTGGAATAGCCATCCACTTGAGCTAGCATTTCTTCTGTCTTTTGGCGGGCGATCTTGTCATAGTTTCTTAAGCTGTAAAAACTAATATAGTCGCTGGCGTTGATTCCGTTTTGCTCGAGCTTTTCAATGATACTGCGACCACCACGGCAGATCGAAATGTACTGGTAATGCATGATCATTCTATTTGAGGAAAGAAACATAGTGTCAACATGTGCTATGTCGTATATGTAATCAAAAAGGAGCTTATTTACCTGGGGTTGGAAGCTTCCTTGGTGCTAAGCTCTGCAGGGAAACCAGGCATCAATGGCATCAACACGTACACCTTGAAGGGTTCGCGCTCTTCATGGGCACGGTTGATTCTCTTCACGATAGCTTCACCGATCGCGTTTTTGATCACAAAGTCGTCATCCTTCTCGGTTGAAGTGACTGAAAGAAACAGAAAAGTAAGTGCGTGTATTGCTAACTAAGATTCATCGATAGAAGGGTTCTCGAAGTTTGTCCACTGCCCGATACTATAATGAGAAAAGTCACTTACTGAAAAACTGGTTCTCAATGTAAATATAGTGCTCAGCTCCGTGGATAGCAGCAATGTATGCATTCTGGATCGAATGTTCGGTCTCATCCAAACCCAAGCTCCAGTCGCCTGCGCTACGAAGGATTTGGGTACGGCATGTACCCTTCACATCACGTGTACCGTGCATAAAGCGGTACGTACGATGGGCAGCAACTTCGTCCGCGTCGTCGGGAATAGAAAAGTGTTGATGATGACCAAAACCACCCAAGGCTGGCTTCAAGAACAAGACGCGCTCATTGTCCATGTTCTTTTTGGTCTTGATGTAATTCCAGCGTTCAGTAAAGTGACGGCCTACGTCAAGGACAGGGCCACCAACCTGCATGCATTATGATGATTTTTCAGTATCTTAGTTGTTATTTGCTGTATCTTTTGTGTTCCCCGAAAGTGGACTGTATGGTTTTGTGACACAGGCACTTACCATACAAAGCGAAACATCGTGCCAAGGCATTCTGGGAAGCGAGGTTTTGTCAATTAAACGACGGTCCCATTCGTTAACTTTAAAATTGTAAGGTGGTTATTATTTGTTTATTTCTCGTTATACAATAGCGCCTCTTATTACCTCCTTCAAAATCACGAACGCGAGCATTGTTATAGTCCTGACCTAAATACGTATAGAGATAAACGTCAGTAAATTACATGCATTTACTTGTTGTATTATGTGCTACGAAAATGCTTACCAGGGAAGATCTCATGGCCAGTTCCATCAAAGAAGTCACCTGGGTGATGAGCATGCGTATCCCAGCGACTATAATTATGGTGTAATTTAGCACATATTTAAATGTTTTGTAGAGCAGCAAGCAAAATGATGAACTTACCCAAAGCAGAGATCCAGACCACCCAAGAAAGCAATCTTGTTATCCACAACAACATACTTTTCGTGATGAGACCAGTATGCGTTCAAGCCCTTCAATGTAAAGTCAGGCGAACGTTGGACTGGGAACGACGCGATCCACGATATATACACGATGAAACATTTTAGACTTCTTGTTTGAAAAACTTCATACACACGGCTCCCTTGTTTTCTTTAGTTTTTACCAATAATGTTTTCATGAAGGTTCTCCAAAACATCCCTGGTGTGCTCGCTGTTGATGGTCAATGCCATGGAAACTTCCTAAATTGTAAAATAAAAAGGTCTTGGTTCTAGCTCACATTAGGTGACTCATACAACTGCTAGTCCTTTGTTACCTTGTAAACAACGACAAAGATCTTGACACCTTCTTCAGCCTTTCGCTTCAACAAGTTATCAATGCGGTATTCGGGGTATTTAGCAGGAGGACGGCGGAGATACTAATTTTTAAAGAAGGTACATAAGGCCAGTTAGTTCAATTATAACGAGAGACGTATGCTCGAGTGTTTGTATGGATTGGGCGTGCGTTACCATTTCCGGGGACTATTTGTAAAGACAAAAATAAAATGAGCGGCACGTCAGTTATCGAGCTACAACACGTGTTCTCTTTTTTCTCCCAAACATTTACCAGCCACCAATCCTCGATGAAGATGACTTGGCGCGCGTTCTCAATAGCCTCCGCTACTGCCCTACAGGGTCATTTTTTTTTTAAAAAAAGCATGCATATTAGTTTGTGTCGGAATAGAGCGGGGCAGCAGTAACGACAGCATGATCAAATAGATAGCAACAAAGATATATAGCGATAGTAGTACTAGCAGTGGGTTTTCTCACACACGAACTTACCAGCAGTAATCGTGACCATCAATAAAGTACTTGACTTGGGCTTCATGACGCACCGGGGCAAACGAGTCATAACGATGGTACGACTTGGTGAACTCATCTTCACGTTCGTCTTCCTCGTTATCGGCTTCGAACATATTACTGAAAAAGTTAGTGAAAAATGCCATCTTGGACTTGTACGAAAACGCGTTTAAAGTCGAAAAAGATGAAAAGGTAGAGGTAAAGAAGAAAGAGAAAAAGAAAGACGATGGGTGGGGGCACAAGGGTCGCTTTTATCTCTTCCTCCACTATATGACTTGCATACTGAATTTGGCACCGCCAGCAAACCCGGCCTACACCTCCTCTTTCACTCTCCCACTCCCACTACTTGGGAATATATAAACAAGGGTAAGCTTTCATTCAGCGTTTAGTTTATTACTTTATTCTCTACCTCAACATCCGTCTTTCTCTACATACGTCTTCTACTATATGTTACAGTACCGTTATTCTTTTCGAACACGCGTCAATGGTGTGTGTCGCTCTAGCGTCGTCGGCATGTCGACACGAAAAGGAACTAGGCCTCCGCCCTGTTGTGCAACTGTGCTTTCGCTTTTAACGAAAAAGAATGAGGCTGGCCGTCGCTTTTGTGGTACAAAATGGCTGGTGGACGACGCTCTCGCTCTTGCTGTTCGGACCTAAAACTCAAAAGGTTCACTTTAAAATTACACAACCCGCGTTTCCTTGTTATTTTTGCAGCATTAAAAGAAGTCCGTCAATCATCAAACCCTTACGCTTAGTGGCGTGTTCCCTTCCAGCTCTTCTATGCATATATGACTTGTGCGTAAAATCATCGATTGCATGATGCTTTTTTCAAGTCTCTTTAACTACTGCTACACATGTCTAGCAATATATTTAGAGGTTTGATCATTTCTTTCATACCTTTTATATATGCGTACATCTTATTGAGCTAGAAAGATATACTGTATGGCTAAAAGATCTTTGTCGTATATGGTGCGATTTTGAACATTGTATACTGCATGACTTATTTAAATGAAGTTAAACTTAACACTAGTTATGTTAGTGTTTCTGTTGCGTGGTGCATGATAGTATTACGTTCCTTTTATTGGTTGGTCTAGAAGGAAAAATCGAGTGTTGTGGCACCTGGTCTTGGGCTAGGCTATCAATTTCCATTCCTTTGCTAGTTTTCCTCACGATTCAAACGATTTGTTGCAGGGAACTCTTTGGTCTGTTTGACGTTAGGTCGCGTATCTCGGTAGATGTCTGTGTCAGACATTGGTATCGTGATAACCTCAAGAGAACCTGTTGGATGTTTTGATGAATAGTCATTCGCAACGATTAGACTTCATACACGCGTGTAAGTTGCGTGAAGGGATTTCTTTTTTAATGGTGCGATTATATGAGTTCTACCAAGTGTAAAAAAGGCACCTCGCGCTAAACCATAGAAGCATAAGCGCACATTTGGAAAAATCAACGGCTAATTCGAAGGATGAACCAGGACATACATACCCGGGTTTCCCGTTTCACAGAAAGTGAACATTCTAAAGAATTGTATAACAGGTGGTTTTGTACTTAAATCGCTCTGTGTACTCTCTATTTAAGGCGATTAATATGCTCGGAGGATATTAGTAGTATGGTAGAAGCAGCCAACAAATGCTATTACGAGTAATACTCGACGTGCTGTTATCTAATATGTAGAGGACCCTCTTTATCATACTGGCTCACACACAAAATGGTGTCAATGTGTGGTTCGGCAACTTCTTTAATAGTATGCAAGTATTCATGTAGTGCTCGCACTGAGGGATGGATGACATATGACATGCAGATAGTTTTGTTTAAATAACGTCAAACATCGACCATCATTCCCTCAGAATGGACAGAATGATTATTGGAACAGCTGAATACTGTGGGCAATGACCTACTAGCATCTGCAGGACAGTGATGTACTGCTTTTAAATATATATAAATATCTTCTTTATAAGGAGCGTTGATATAACAATCCCATCATATACTATTAGTATCGAAGCTGTGTACTATGTTTTAAAATTCGGTGATTAGAGACTAATGCATTATATTCTGCAAATCATGTCAACTTATCGTAGGTGCTAGTAAATGTCTGCACTCTGAGTAGCGCACCTACAAAAACACTTGAACTATGAGCTCCAGATTTATTTATCTATCTATAAACGATTCACCTAGAATTAATTTTGACGTGCCTGTTAGTATTATTAATCAGTCAACTGCGTATTACAAGTTTGCATAATGTATTATTGTCCAGTCAGTCAATGCCTAGAGTAGTAACAATACCCGGCAACAGTTGTCACTTGCAGTAGCGGTGTTTCGATTTGTACAGGTGCGCATTTTTTTAAATCTTCGCTTCTTTTGCGGCTGAAGATACCGGGTAGAACTCTTGCAGAAACCATGTCAGATTTAACGATCAATGTAGAATTCAGGTAAATTGATGACCAGCGCGCACAAATGACTCTAATGTTTAACGGAAACTAATTTTATTTCGCTTGAATTGAATATTTTTTTAGTGGTGGCATGGAGCTACTTTTTGACAATGTCCGTCAACACAAAATTACACTTCCTGCACAGTCCAAACTCGATACCTCAAAACCTGCCACACTGCGTGATCTGATCTTTTATATTCGAGATAACATGATGACCGAGAAAAAGGACCTTTTCGTCGAAAAGGATACAGTGTATGTGTCACATGTACATGGATTATTTGGAGCAAGAAGCGACAAGGAAGACTTACGAGAATTTGACTCTATAATAGACGACCAGGCATCTTGGTTCTGATCAACAATGTGGATTGGGAATTATGTGACGAACTCGATTACGAATTGGAGGATAAGGATGAGATTGTATTTATTAGCACACTGCACGGTGGATAAAAAGAAACTATTTATTATGAAAACGTTTGGATGTATGTACATTTAATATTTTACAGCCGTAAAGGCAATACTGGCCACAAGACTGCTTGACCTTCTCGACACGCATCTAAGTATGCTGAATTAAGCAAATGTTCTTGTATTCGAACGTGTTCCGATGAAGAAGATGTTGCTGCGGTACGGGTGGCATCATTATGATCATCACTGTTGTTATTATGGTATACGAGACAAGTGACAGGTGCTTCAATTCCATTCCTATATGCATCCGTAATCCACTTGTCATGTTCTTCTTCTTCCTCGACCTTATCTTCTAACTCTTCACCTACAAGTAGAAACATCGCATTAGAATAAAAAGACACGATCTATCTATTTCATCAAGAACTTACGTTCTTTACGGTACGCTTCAGAAAACTTGAATATTTCTATAGCTTCTTGAGATAGTGTTGTTTGCTGCTGTTGTCCTTCTTCTTCGTCAAACTCTTCTCGTTCTGCTTCCGTCATATCAACGTCAGTTTCGCTCTTATTTTCTAATCCTTCAGACGGGTAGTTGGTATAGTCGTAGTCATAATGAGGATGCCTTGAGTCATATACTGTGTTACTATACTGTTGCCATTGCGACGATGTGTTTGGTTGTTGCTGATTCAGAACTTGTTGCTGCCAATATTTGACTTGTTCCGGGCTGAAATGCCTCTTATGAAATGATCTAAACTGCAGCACGTTGCTCATGAAAAGAAATACGAAAAGAGTATCGTCAAGGCCAACTCCGCGTGCGCATTTTAGCAGTGGCGCCAGTCCAAAAAAAGAAGTGACACTTCTAAACTCGTTTCTTCTTTGCACTCCATGTCCGTCGTCGCCAAAAACGATCCCGAGCTTAACAAGCTCGCGGAAAACATGATGGAAACAACTAATCTTAGCGACACCGATGTTTTAGCCGGCGGCGGCATCGAATTAACTTTTTCAGCGGCCATAGATGATGCCGAAAACTTGGAACAACTAGGCCCAGTTATTAAGCAGATTACCGAGACTGGTCGACAGGAGGCTTTTGTGGATCAGCTCGATAATCTTGTACGCAAGAAGGACGCCGAAATCGAACGCATGTGCAATGCTCATTATCAAGTATGTGTCGTAGTATATCGGCGGACAATACATACCAATATTCTTCTTTCTCTTTCTCTCTATATTGATATTTCATCAATTGATAGGAATTCGTTCAAGCAGTTGATCAATTATTGAAAGTTCGACAAGGATCGGTTGCTTTGCGTCAGAAGATTGCCGATGTCAACGTCACACTTCAAACTCGAGGAAGCAGACTATCAGAAAAGGTAATATTTTGAGGAAGAACACTTTGCGAAACGCCCAACTTTATTAATTTTCATGCGGTCTCTTATCGTTTATATCAGCGTCGCGAATTAATAGAAGCCCGACGAGTTCAGCAGAATGTAGAAGATGCGATCCAAGTTTTGCAGAACAGTTTGGCCATGCTGGAACTTGCAAACAAGGCAAATCATCAACTGGAAAGCAAAAAATATTACTCTGCTTTGAAAGTAAGGCCAGCTTTCTCTTTTTATAATTTTCCCGGGGCAATGACACGTGTGTAAGGGGATAAATTGCATTAAAAACTTTTTTTTTCGAGTTTAGACTTTGGATGGTCTGGAGAATGAGCATTTGCAAGACATGCCTTCGTATACCTTTGTGCAACATATCAGCAAAGGTGTGCCTCTTACACAGAAAATGATACAAGATGATGTTACAGTGCAATTGCGTGAATGGCTGGCAACGTAAGGATTTCATCATCCCACTCGGTCTGAGATGTTTGAAAAGGTGATAGGAGGATAATCGTTGCTCACTTAAAAAATTCCTACCAGTGTTCGAGGCGTATCGCGCGAAATTGGATCACTTGCGATGCAACGTATGCAGGAACGGCAGGATCGCTGGCGTGCAAAGACTGCAGATAATCCCAAATTGAGATATCTGCAGCACCATAACGTCAATTCGGCTATCGAGATGGTCGTCAATGAGGGTCTTGAATGTATGTCAATGCTGGAGTCACTTGTGGCCTTGGATTATACTAAGCAATCTATGTTCTTGTCATCTGATACATGTACATAGCAAGCATCGTCGATGAGGTAGCCATTGATTTTGAGCCATTATATCGCTGTATTCATGTTTATGACACGTTGGGAAGACGCCACGAGTTCAAGGCATCATACGAAGAGGATCGTCGGGTAACTTTAGCAGAATAGATTACGTCTGTCTTTATATGGCGTGCAGGTTGAGCTGACCTCATTGTATTCTAGGCACAAGCAAATTTGGCTTTATCAGCGCCCATCAATCTTCGAGATGGCAATATGACACCTTTTGAAACGCTGTTGCAGGATATTGTTGGCTTCTTTATCATTGAGCACATCGTCATGCACAGCACACAAGACTTTAGAAGCCGTGCTGAAGTGGATGCGTTGTGGGAAATGGTTACGGGCAAAATTATCTTGGTTGTATCTGAAAGTCTCAAGGGTTGCCGCGATCCAGAATTATTCCTGCGCATCAAATTCTCCTTGCTGATTTTTATTCAGACACTTGAGGTACCAGTTATTTCAAAGTATATCTGTAGTGGATGTGAGAAGAGGGAGGATAGGCAGTTGATAAGGCTTAAAAATTGTATAGAGCTTCGATTATTTGGTCAAACCATTACAAGAAACACTGCTCACTTTGTTCCAGCGTTATTCTGAACTCTTGATCAACCAATACAGCGAGGTATTTGAAAAGGTAATAATAAGCTTTAAATTCTTTCCCGCGCTGCCCTGGATCTCTCGCTCAGAAGAAGGAGATGGATCGGATTAAACTCCCGTATCAACAATCAATGTTTATATAGATTGTTCAAGAAGATGAGTGCATGCCAATGACGGTGGAAAACGCTGATGAACTCAGAGAGGTCATGCAATATACCCGATTCCGTCCTGACCGCGAGTTCCTCAAGCGTCATGGGTATGGACATTTTTTATACTTGCTTAATCACTATTGGAAGCGCGACTAGTAAGGACACTAATTAAGTGCAAATATATAGATTTCCACTACGATTACCCTTCTCCAAAGTATTTCCCACTTGTTGTCGCGATGTGAGTGCCTTTGTGCACCAATTCTATCAATTTGCTGAAGGCTTTTCACAAACACATGGTGAAATGGATGATATCCTGAAAAAGGTAAAGCAAGATACTGTACATTTATACTTTTGTCAACTATCCAAGTATCCATCAATCTACTTCAATTACTTAAGTTGCGATGTGTCTCACGAAATCGTATAATAGGCGGTCGATAGCCTGCTTATCCAAAAAGTCAACGCCATCCTTTTGAAAAAGCTTCAATCAACGAATTTGTCACAGATTGTCCAGATCATTATCAATATCGAGTATTTCGAGTCCACGTGTCCTGATTTTGAAATGCTGCTTATGGAAACGCGCTCATTCCATCGGTCGGGACGTATCCATTTGAAAGCTTCTTCCACGTTCAAGGAAACTCGACGAAAGGCCGAGAAGCGTATTTTCGAGCTGGTTAACTCGAAATTGGATGAATTTTTGGAATTGGCAGAGTTCGATTGGTTAGTTTGTCATAACTAAAACATTTGGATGCACGACTGGCGAAGCTAACATATCCGTATGACGTCCGGGAGTAGGGAAACGCGCGAATTACAGCAATATCCAAGCTCTCATTTACAAGATCTGGTTACGTTTTTGACAAACGTTACAAATGCGGCACTATTGAATTTGCCCGAGTCTATTAAAAGCCTATTGTACTTTGACGCCTTGGAGCATTTGAGTCATTCCCTGAAGGTAAATATATTTAGATGGAAAAACCGAATCGACATACAAAACTGGGATTGTATCATTTTAACGCTGGTTTTAGAACCTCCTTTTGGATCCGGATAATAGAATTATCACTGAAGTTGCATTACGCAACTTTGATACCGATGTTCGATTTATGGAAGACTTCGTACATCAACTAGGTGATCCAACGATTCTGGATACGTTTGCCGAGCTTCGTCAGGTAAGAGAGGGGGAGAGAGTAGACAAACCCCATTTCTTTTTCGTTACTAACAACCATCAACAGCTTATTGATCTCGCAATGAGCGATAACTCGGAAGAATATCTGACACCTCAAGTTCGAAGCCGCAAATATGGTCGAGTGAATGGACGGGACGTGATTGTCTTTTTTGAAAAGTGAGAATTTGTACGAAGTCGAAACAGAGTGAGAGAGAACGCGGTTTTTAACATCCACTATTTTGCTATTTCATTTAGATTGTTACGAGACAATAGCACCGCTTCCTATACCAGCACTCCCAGGCAGAAAGCACACCGTAAAGGCATGGAAAATGTCGCAAGGTAACGGTTATTCTGAGCACCTTGATATCATGATGAAATTCCCGCCTAACAATCCAGTATTCTTACATCCTTTCATTATTATACAGGGTCCTTCGTTCTGTACATATATAAAATACAAAGCATACTATTATTATCGATAATAAACAACTTTTTCTTTCGCTCTATTATTTTTCTAACTTTGTGGTCACTTTGTCCAAGGCTTCGTCTGCTTTATCGATGCCTAAGACTTGAGCTCGCTCGAAACGTGTCTTGGCATCATCCAATCTACCCATAGCTTCGTATACACATCCAAGGTTATATTGGATCTCGCCGTCCAAAGGATTAAAGTTTGATGCTTGTTCCAGATGTTTGACGGCTTCAGGCACGTTCTTTAACATCAGAAAGGCAGAAGCGATGTTGGTGTGAGCATCGGCTTGGTTAGGATCGAATTCTAGTGATCGTTCAAACGCACGAATAGCATCCTGATGCTTGCCTATAGCGGATATGAAAGAGGTTGTTTAGTTTCAAATGATGATGAAAATAGGCGTTGACTTTCTTACCCATCTGAAAATAGCATACGCCAATGTTAAAGTGACCAGGTGCTTTTTATATCAACAGTATATAATATTGTCAGTCTTAATGCTATGGCAACTAAATCAAATCAGCGCAACGTACCACTAGGAGCCAGTTGTACACTCTTGTGATAACTATGCATAGCCTAGAAAAGATGTATACAAAGCAAACAAGTTCAATAACATTAATTAAGCGCGCCCGCGCTTATATGTTCACTGCACTCCACCTCCTGCTGCTTTCGTTTTCTCTATACCATATCGAGCGATCCTTCGTTCAAATACTCTGAGCCCTTCTTCATTTGCTCTTCGGCATCGTCAAATCGATCAAACTTTGGACGAGTTGCAAAAAAGGCTTTTGTTTCGTTCAAATTGTTTACATTAGAAAAAAAAAGGATTGTTTTTAGTCCCATGCTGAACTCCATTTTCAAAAATTCCAACTCACTTCGTACTGCTCTTGGGGTCCGGGTAGCAGCTACGGGTTGGGCACGGTACAAAGGAGTAATGGCTCGTCTATAACTCAATCGCGTGATTGCTCGTGTCAACATTTTGTGTGTGTTTTTTTTCAGAAAAATAAACTCGTGCCGTGACGGACCCTCACAGCCTAATTTTCTGCATAAGGAAAAGGTTTGATTGGTCGATTACCATTGAATATGACAGCTCTTTGGTTTCCATAGTAACAAAAACGTTTCATCCATGATCAAGCTAACAACCAGCTGCTGTTGTGTTGTATATCGTTATGCAGATGGATGAAATACATATCATTCTAAGTTTGATATGTGAAATGCAGTGAAATATTAGAGGGAAAGATTATAATTTGTAGAACGCGACTCGCTCCCCTTGGCTTTCTTATTTGCGGCCTTACTGGTCAGGTGAATCACGCTGATGAAGCGAACTAGTTGACGATATCCTCAGTCATACAACAAACTAGTGCTCATACGAATTTGCCTTTATTGAAGGCGCAATATTGTATTGGCAACGAGCTCCTCCTTTGAGTCTTGTATTAGGAATTGCACCAAATGAGCATAGTAAAAGACTAGTTTGCTCTTATGTCACTAGAATTCAAACGCATATCGAAAACATTGAGGGCAGCTATGGTCTTATCCTGCGTTAATGGTAGGGATTTCACTCCAATGAGCATATCGTATATTAGCTATCAAGTAGTTCACATGATTTGGTGGGTTATTGCCGAAAGAAGTACATATTTTAAAAGCCTTTTAAAGCTTACCAGAGCATTGGAAGATTTCATGAAGCATTGTATCACATTTTTGACGGTACAAGTGATAATTTTATGCTATGTGTTAAGCGTTTGCTTCTTAACAAGAAATTGAATATATCAGATAGCACTGCACAAGGGATAACCAACACTGACTAGTCATCCCGAAAGTTTTGCCATATGGATGGCTCCGCATCTGTATTACGCCTTCTCTCTTCGCTGTCATTCCGATAAACTTCCCCCAGGTTTCGATGTTTATGGAAATAACTCGCCGGGCGGAGAGAACTGTTAGTCGCTTATAAAGAGAAGTTCCTCTCCCAATAAAATCCAGCATTTCCCAATTAGACATTTGACAACGCAACTTCCCTCGTCTTTTATTTCTCTATTGCAATGGCAAAAACAACCGACGTGTTCAAGAACGAAATCTTCAAGGGCAAGGTCCTCCTTTGCTCCGGAGGTGGTAGTGGCATTTGCCGCGCCATGACTGAAGCCGTTGTTCGTCATGGCGGTAAGGCTGTCATTATTAGCCGCAGGTAAGTAATATAAAAGGGCCACAATGAGCACTCCTTCTTAACATGTGGCACTAAACGAGCCGGCTTTCCAAATATGCGAAATAGCTTTGATAAGCTCGAAAAGGCAGCCAAGGAAATGAGCGAAGCAACTGGCGGTGAAGTCATGTAAGTTACTGTAAAAATACACGTTTTCTGTTTATGCGCACCATAGGAAGGATAACGAAATTCATTGTGTCGTTCAAAAGTCCTATCCAGGCAGATGTTCGTAAGCCTGCCGACGTAGAGAACGCTGTGTCAAAGACAGTGGAAAAGTTTGGCAAGATCGATTTCTTGATCAATGGTGCTGCCGGCAACTTCTTGGCTCCTTTCCAAAAACTCTCGTACAATGCATTCCGCACTGTTGTTGAAATCGATTTGCTGGGCTCGTTCAACCTTACCAAGGCTGCGTCAGAACATCTCAAGGCTTCCAAGGGCTCTATCATTAATGTCAGCATGACACTTCATTATACCGGCTCTCCATACCAACAGCATGCTGGCGCTGCCAAGGCTGGCATTGATGTAAGTAAAGAAAAGATCTGGGAGATCATTTAGAGAAGTGGAACTTTTCGGTCGTCTGGATGGATCGAAAAGAAAGAGGGGTTATTTATAATCGTTTGCTTTTTTAAAATAGGCATTGACGAAGCATTGGGCCGTTGAGCTTGGTCCATTTGGTGTTCGTAAGTAAATATATATAAACACAAAACATGACTTATGGGCTGACTTTCTCTCTTTTCTATAGGCGTAAACGGTATCGCTCCAGGTCCAATCGTAGATACAGTGGGCTTGGACAAGTTGGCTCGTAGTGGCGCATCTTACGAAACCATCCCTCTTGGAGTAAGTGCTTAATTCAGCTACTAGTAATATAAGCCCAGGAAAATTAAACATGCTCTTCATTATAGCGCGCTGGTAGCGTCACCGACATTGCTCAGTCCACAGTGTTCCTCTTCTCAGATGCTGCCGAATGGATTTCTGGCCACATGCTTGTTGTTGATGGTGCCCACTGGTTGACCCATTACACTCCTGGTTACCCTGGCATTGTCCTCAATCCCCCATCGAAACTGTAGATTACACACACAATTGTGGATAATGGTTCTTGTTGATACGTTTCCCCACCCTATCAAAACTTATACTAGAGTAAATAATCATTCAAGCTATTTTTGGAACCATTCGCATTGGATGTAACAAATAGTAGTGGATACAGTATGTAATCGTTTTCTTAGAATACATTGTCTAATAACAGTAAATGCAAATACTCGGAAGAACAGCCATCATCGACACTATTTACGCATCAACAATATAACAGCACGATACACCGTAAAATATTGAAACTTTTTATATCAATTCTTAAATGTACTAACCATTTCTTTAATCGAAAGGTATAGGCCGTGATCTTTTACCGGCAGTAGCTGCAATTGCACTTGGTACTGGAATACCACAGCAATCTGGATACTCTTGTCCCATTGCAAATGTATCCTGAGTCGTCGTATGCACATGACCACAATCGCCACCGTCATTATCTTCGGACTGTGGCGTGCCACCTTCAAACTTGATCAAACTACCAAACATGAAGTGCTGCATGATTGGTAACTTGTTCAGTACCTCGGCCTTGTACATTTTGATCATGCCCTGATTCACTTTGATCCATGTTTTGCAGGCCGATATATCATCCAGCATGGGCGAATGCCATCGTAGTGATGCTGATGTTTTGACTTCGTTAATAAAGCGGATACAGGCGAGATACATGTAGGATTTCGAGAATTCTTGTACAGTGTCAACATCATGGATGGATTTCGGTCGGATATACTTGTGATCTGAAATGGAAACCCAAAAATAAATTCGTTTAATCAAATTCTCCCCATGCTCCATCTAATTATATGAAGTAATAATAAGATTCGTCTGTCGTGCTTACTTTTGAGCTGTGAGGAACCAAACATGAATGGTAAAAAGTGATAGTCGTCCAAACCCCATACACCATGTGATCCAGCTGGCTCGAGCCAGTAATCAAATTGCAGTTGTCGCATAAGTGCAATGTATTTTACAAATACGCGCAGCACTACAGCCTTGTCATCCTCGGGTGTAATCACTTTGAGCTTTTCGAGACATAACCTAGTAGATTTATTAGTACATCAATAATCCGGCAGTATATTTTGGGCTGATCTACCTCTAGTTTTTCCTACTTACAACCACGCCATAAAATTGGCTTCGTGACCTGTGCCATAATCTATACGTCGGCGATTGCCAAAGCTTTCAATAAAGTAGCGCGATACTTCCTTGATGGCTTCTTCCGGTACGAGTGGTTTCATCAGTTCCTCTGCATTCTGATAGTAGTAACAATGAGAAATGCTCATTAGTACAACCGAGACATTCATAACTAGACACGCACACACTTTTGACAAGTCAATAGCTTACATTTTGTACACGGTCGTAAAAATCTCGGAACGCTGGATTGCCGAAACGAGACATGGCATTTTCCACAGGCGGTATATCTTTAACGTATTGTAGTAGAATGTCCAGAATATTGAGAATTTCGGTGACATTCTATGGTGTTGGTTCGGTCAGTTCAATGAAAGGCCAAGTCATCAATGGTTTACAGGTGTAACACTCCTTTCTCTCGAACTTACCGATGAAACTTCTAATTCAGTATCGACTTTAAGATCGCAAACCGAATCATTCAAACGAATGATAAAGTCGATATAGTCACGATAAGCATCAGACTCGAGGAATTCCTCAAGGTCTTCTTTAGTGATAATACGTTTTACTGGCGCGATGTACATTGGTGGTTGTTGGAAGGCTTGAAAGAGAAAACAATTTATAATCCCGTACGCCGGTTTTGGTTTCGCTTTAAAAATCTCAAAAATCCCGCTTATTTCATGCACATGCCACACACGTCGCGCAATAACCCTTCCACTGCCAAAAAACGACGACTGTGCCGACCAATTGAGGAACAAAAACAGTTTGTGCTTTTTTTTTATTTTATTATTAGCGAGTGCTTTCTTCTTTCTATACCGACAGCAGCAGAATTCAGAAAAACAGCAACAACAGGGTTTACTCCAATGCCATCTGGTACTTGATCTTGGCAATGGCGGCACCAGGCTGCAAGCCCTTGGGGCAGGTCTTACTGCAGTTCATAATGGTATGGCATCGGTACACAGACATGCTGTTCTGCAAACGCTCACGACGCTGAGGACCAAACTGGTCACGCGAATCGATCATCCAGCGGTAGGCCTGCATCAAGACGGCAGGACCCAAGTACTCCTCCTAAAAATTTAACCGTGCAACCCACGATACAATCAGTTTCCACCAATGCTGTTCTTCCACTGAGGACATATTATTGTTCATTGCACAGTATATAAAGATTATTTTACCTGGTTCCACCAGTACGAGGGGCACGAGGTCGAGCAGCATGCGCAGAGAATGCACTCGTACAAACCATCCAACTTCTTTCTGTCCTCAATTGTTTGCAAGTTCTCGAGACCGTCGGTGGGTGGGTTGGTCTGCTTCAAGTAGGGCTCGATGCTCTTGTACTGCTTGTAGAAGTGGGTCAGATCAGGGACCAAATCCTTGACAATGTACACTGTAAAGAAGAGGTGTCAGACCAAAAAAAAACTCCGTTTTCATGTGTCAATTCGTCCGGATTATTCCGACCGAACCAACGAAATAAACACTTTCAAGCAATCCTTTTGTTGAAAGAAAACTTACTGTGAGGCAAGGGGTAGATCTTGGCGGGCTTGCTAACGTCACGGTCAATCTTGGAGATACAAGCCAACGTGTTGCCACCTTGAATGTTCATGGCGCACGAACCGCAAATACCTTCACGGCACGAACGGCGGAAGGTCAACGTGGCGTCCTGCTCGTTCTTAATCTTGATCAAGGCGTCCAAAACCATAGGTCCACACGAGTTCAAATCGATCTCATACTTTTCGAGACGAGGCTTTTCGGTGGGATTCTCAGGGCTCTATCAAAGAGAAAGAAGAAATGGTACGTGTTAAAAGTGCGGCCGTTTGCGTGTCTATGCAGAACCACCAATATCCCTTCTTAGTGTCCCTTTCTTCCTCTTGAATCAATTTACCCAGCGGTAGATTTCAAACGTCTTCATCAAAGGCTGCTTCTTGGTAGGGGCACCTTCAGTAGGAGTAGCCATGCTGTTGGTGGCGCTGGTGTTCAAGAGGCGGTTCATGGGCTATTGTTTATTATAATTGTTAGGGCGTAAATTCAGCAAATCCAGAAAACACAGCGAATAATTTGAAATGAGGAAACTCACGGCAGCGACAGCAGGGGCCCAGCGAGCACGGACGGCAGCGCTTCTCAAAGAAGTGAGAGCAATGGACATTGTTGCAGGAATAAAATCAAGAGAGGGGGGTGGTTAAGTGGAGTTGAGTGGAATGAGAAAAAGGCGCTTCACTTGTTTTCAACTTTTGCGTGGTGACAGGGTACCCCGCAAAGGTGTCTGTAGAGCGGTACTGTAAAAAATTCATACTCCATTTTCATTGGACGGTCCCACAGGTTCCCATGGTCGCCTAGACGAGGTCATCGCGAATATAATTTTCCATAGGCTGTGAACAATTTTTAATAGTCTCAGGAACAAAGTTCCTTTGATAATCAATGCGCAGTCTAGGGGCTCAGAGCATGGTATCCGTTTTACGGTGCTATGCCACGGTAATAAAATGCTTAGACAGCCATCTGTTTTGTTTGAAGCTAATTTCCTTTTCTTAACAGATGACGCCAATCCTTGTTATCTTCCTCACGTGAACGTGAGCCACCTTCAACAATGCAGAATGTATGTACCACGCAGTAAACGAGTGCCCAGAGATACTTTTACTATTAAACAAGAGGTCACCTCCTGATTAAATACTGAGCACTGACTTTTGCTGAATGCACAAGGATATAGCAGAATGTTTCTTGATGATGTCACTCCGATATCAAATGTAGTCAATGCCAAAAAGACTGTTATCTTTAAATTGACCATAAGAGGACGCTCTAGGTTACACATGACAAGTGAGAAATCAGACTTTTTAGCAGCTGCCCGTGCGTACACGACCGGAGAGCTGTTGGGAACGTGTAACATAACTTTCTCACCCCACCTCAACCTCTTTTAGTAAGAAGCGTCATGCCGATGCTTTTCTTTAAGCTAGCTAACTAACTAGCATAGCCAAAACAACCTGTTCCGCAGCGTAACACATAAACATAACAGAAGGAGTGCTATTTCTTCTCTCAATGCCGTAAGGGCTAGTACATTACCTAACCAATGCTACAACGGCTCTAGACTCTGCCGTTTACTCTAAGCAGTAACCAATAATATCTCTATAAAAACAAGATAATAACATAGAATAGCGTCTTCTTGCACCAGCTTCACAGCAATATGCCTTCTCGTTCTGTATATAGCATGCAGCATGAAGCTATAGCTACTAAAACTATATTTTTGGAATACTTTCTGTTGTTCGTTTCGACGACGTCAAAAGCGGCAATATTAGTGATAAAGCGGGGATGATAAGCATTGAAAGCTATAGTGATAGCGAAGAGGGCTCGATATATAAATAATCTAAGTCCCGTTTCCTTCATAACTACATAAGAAAGTCAAAGTCTGTAAGAAGATTTAGATGAGCTTGGCATGTCTGTAGCCGCGCTTAAATTTACATTTTTTGTGATCCCAGCCGGAACATAAATGCTGTTCACAGTAAATGATTAGTTGATGAGACGTATTAATGACAATTCTAGATATTGAGTCAACGGTGAAGACACTTTATTGCTCATTGAAAGTTTTTTAAGGTAACAGTAATAGATGATAGATTTAAAAAAAGCAAAACAAATTTATAGTAGATACGCATTCAGTACAATGCTTTCACACATGGCCTCCTTACAGATCTTTTCAGTAAAACAGTAACAATTTCTCTCAGTGCGCTGAGGTTCATATTATTGAATTAGTTTTTAATCGAAGTTGATGCGCATATTTGTACATTATCATTGCCTTTAGCTAAAGTAGCAAAGTCGTACATACATCAACTTTGAAGGCTGCTCATAAACTTGCTTTATAGTGGTAGAACAAAAGGGTTGCCTTCTTCATAATGCCTACCTACAACACAAGCCACATTATGAAGTCTGCCTATATCGCTCCATGATACTGGTATTAGAATCCTTACTTAGAAAGCAGGCACTACTTTATACTGTACTTGTAGATATACTTCTTCATCCCTGGTAGTATTATCGTAATGCTACTTGTGTTAAGCTTAGCATACCAATTAGTCTTAATCTATGAAGTATCACCAATAACATAGCAACCAATGGAGACAATATATACCTACAAGCTGCTGACATGGAGAGGAATCATATAAAAGAAGAGCAGCAATGTAAGCGCAGTGATAAGTCGCTGTTGCAAAGTTTTCTATTACATATGTCTCGGTCGAAAGTACAAGCAATTTAATTACTTTGCTTAGCAAGTAAATCCATAATGATGTTGCTTGATGGAAGCAGGATATTGTGGCATGATGTTTGAGTGTAAGTACGAAACTATAGGGCACGTATGTATGTGGTGTAGTGTTTGACATCTTGAGTACTATGATACTTGCTCCAAATGCCTCTACAGTCATAGTGTGGCCCGACGGATGCCGCTCACGATAGAGAGTCCTGCATGAATGTACGCATCGTGTTGTACAGCATCAGTTGGCTAAACCAATCACATTTTATAATTTAGTACTCGGTTAGCAGTAGAACAGCGTCGTGATTTGTTATACCAACCATCGATATGTCGGTTGTGACATCTACCGCCGACGAAAACCATATTTTATAGGGCGATCTGTGTTAGTACTAAGTGAATCGAATATCGATCCGCTTCCTGCCGTACTAGGTGTCCTTATATCTCTACGTTCTGACTGTTTTCACGAGATTTGGGAGTTCTACTGGCCATCACGCAAGTGATCAGTTGATCCGGTGGGTATCTTTTATAATATGAGCATTAAAATCATTCTTGTTCCAAGGAGCACACAGTCTATATACTATATGGATGATGAAGTCACACTCATACTTCTGGTTCATACATGCAATTTGTTACATAGCATCTTAATATTTATGCGAAAACGATACGCTACCACTGTGCGATGATTCAGGTTACGTTGTCAGATAGATACAGACGCAACCAGGTGCTGTGCACTGATCTTGATTTGGAAAATGATGCAAAAAAGCGTCAGCAAGATAGGAATCCTTTTGAAGATTGTGCTATGGAGCAATTCTGGAACCCACTTTAAATGCCAAAGACAGGCATGTGATACCATGTGACATTATAACTGTCTCAATGAATTACATATAAGCTTATTATTCTTTTGTTTAAAAATCAAATCAGGGGTTTTGTGATTGGCTCTGTATACCACTGAATGGTAGACATGAGCTCTGGGACGTATTTGTGAACAAAAAATAAAAGCGTCGAGTGTGCAGATCGCTTTAGTATGTATTTCGAGAAAACTGGCAAGCATACCAGAAGCCCAAGCAAGGGTACCAAAAGGTAGGATAATCAATAACACGCTTAACATGTAGCGCGAAGCTCGCAGATACGAATTTAAGAAGAACATGTGCAATTCTAACAATGGGTAGTCCGTAATAGTTGTTTGTGGATCGCGTCCCTAAATGATTAAATATAGTTCAAATAGCGTGGACCTTGTTCACTGAAAAAGGCTGACATAATTCTGCACTGTCGTCAATAGGTGTATATGTACAGTAGGTAGTTCTCTCACCATATTCTGCGTATACAAGGAAGCCATGGGATAAGTGCTATCTTGGATGGAAGAGGCGAAATCAATAATAATAACCAAAGGGGTTTCTTATTATTTATCGTTGCAACAACCTTTTCTCATTGACAAAAACATTAGGTACATCGCCTATGCCTCTTATGTAGGATACAGTTGCTGCAATGAAGCAATACGCCCCGTGTACGCTCATACATATTTGCCTTCAACACTTGCTGTTTATTGCAGCAGCAACATGCAGGAAAACGGACTTGGTAGTACTAAGTAGTAGGAACTTGAATTGTTTCGCAAAATGCAGATTCGTTTGTTGAACAACCGCCACCTCCAATACACACGCACGCATACGCACGCACACACCCCTTTTGATTATTCTTTTTCTCCACCTTGATTTTTTTTTAGCCCTTTGACCTTCATGAGTGCTCAACTGAAATCTGCTCACAAGGTAATTCTTGATCTTCTTTTGTTTGCCTTTGCCCTTTTTTCCTTCGCAGTTCTTGTATCTTTCTTTTTCTTTAACAATCGGAACCGCCTGCCCTTTTCCTTAAAACTGAATTTTTCTCAGTTTTTAGCACAAGCGTCAAAGTGGCGTGATCACCGATTGCCACGTTTAGCAAACCACCCACGGTTTCAAATTAGCACCAATGCAGCGGCAGCAGTTTTAGGAACATTAAGGCGACAAGAACGACAGCCAGGATTATTGGAGGTAAAATATATAAATACAGGAACCAACAGAAACAAAGAGGTCACTATTGCTTTTCAAAGGAAAAGCCAGAGAACATGCAAGGGGTGAGGAAGTGGGGGCGCTGGAGGGGTGTTTGGAGGAGCCACTGGATAAAAATCGCCATATGATATGTGCTTAACCCGAAGGTTCCTCTTATGATGCGTAACCAACACAGATATCGTCGGACTTGATTCCACCACTCCGGTGGTCCAGCATAACACAACAACAGTACAAACATCAGCAAAGACGTTTTTTACAAAACCAGCGTTTACGCGATCCACGGAGAATTCAACGTCTTGAGCAAGAAGCAAACGCAACTCCTAGTGACCCACGCATTCAGGCTGCACTGTACAAGGTATACCATAGATCATTAGTGATTACTTTGGTTTGCAGGATAAAGAAGGAGCGGGGGTATATGAGAAGACATGCTCTGAGCGTTATTATATCTAAATAGGAACTTCGGATGGCTCGGAAACCGGAAGAGGTTATCACACGGTTTGAACGAGGAAGATTTGCACATGATGAGGAATGCTATCGTCAATATATTGCTGCTCTGGTGGAAACTGGACAGCAAAGCAAAGTCATTCCTGATTTGATGAACCGACTGCAACGCGAAGGAGGTAATACCTTAATCTTTTAAAGAAAACAGTCGACTGATGGACAAGCGAAAAACTGGAACTTTGGAACCATAAATAGGTAAAGGCGAATTAGCGGACGTACTTGCGGGCGTACGAAGAAATGGCGAGCTTGGAATGGGCAACACTCAAAAAGACCCAATCTATGTCGTGGTTGAAGAAGGTAAAGTACACGGGTATCTATTGCGAAGGATATGGGCTATCAGATAGAGAGCTCAACAATCATCATCTCTCTTTTTGCTTTCTTTAGCCCGTGGGTATTTTGTGTGGCGTATTCTTCGTTGGGTGGGTGTCACTGTCACCTACGCATTTTGTTTCTTGACCGTGTTATCGCTTGCTTTGGAAAATTCAGGCCTGCTCAAGACGACGACGACTCCACAAACTGAATATGAGCCATCTTCGCAACAGGTGGTCAAATTCACTGATGTGCAAGGGTGCGACGAAGCCAAACAAGAGTTGGAAGAATTGGTCCAGTTCCTCAAGAATCCACATCGCTTCACAGAACTCGGTGGCAAACTGCCCAAGGGTGTGTTGCTAACAGGGCCTCCAGGTACTGGTAAGACTCTGTTAGCGCGTGCAGTGGCTGGCGAGGCTGGCGTTCCCTTTTTCTTCATGAGCGGAAGTGAGTTCGATGAGATGTACGTGGGTGTCGGTGCACGTCGTGTGCGTGATCTATTCGGTAAGTGCTCAGATGTATCATTGATGTTATGTGTTATGTAAGCCCATGATTCATGTACTCACATAGACATTCATATTATTAGCTGCTGCTCGAAGAAAGGCACCCAGTATTGTATTTATTGACGAACTTGATGCGATCGGATCGAAGCGTAATCCTAAAGATTCGACGTACATGAAACAAACCCTGAATCAGCTTCTGGTCGACTTGGACGGTTTCTCACAGACAGAAGGCGTGATCTTTATTGCTGCCACCAATTTCCCGGAGCTCTTGGATAAGGCCTTGGTGAGACCCGGTCGTTTTGATCGCATGGTTAACGTCCCACTCCCGGATGTACGCGGTCGCATGCAGATACTGAAGCATCATATGAAGGCAGTGATGATGGCACCCGATGTGGATGTCTCTGTGATTGCAAGGGGAACACCTGGATTTAGCGGTGCGGAGTTGGCGAATTTAGTGAATTTGGCAGCTATCCAGGCAAGCAGAGAGAATGTGCGAGAAGTCGATATGCGTCATCTGGAGTATGCCAAGGACAAGATCATCATGGGTGCCGAGAGAAGAAGTGCAGTGATTACGGATGAAAGCAAAAAATTGACAGCATATCATGAAGGCGGTCATGCATTGGTAGCCTATTATACCCCCGGCGCCATGCCTTTGCACAAAGCGACGATTATGCCTCGTGGGCGAGCGCTAGGAATGACAGTCCAGCTTCCCGAAATGGACAAGGTAAAAACAAAATTCCCTTTATGTGAAATGTAAGAGAAGTATGATGATAATGGCGGATATGAAGCTCTAAAATGGTGTTGTACATCTAGGATTCCTTTACGCGTCGAGAATTCTTGGCACAGCTAGATATATGTTTGGGTGGGCGTATTGCGGAAGAGCTGATATTTGGTTCTGACAATGTCACGAGCGGTGCCCATAGCGACATTGTCAAAGCAACCGAGGTTGCTAAGCGAATGGTGCGACATTATGGCATGAGCGAGAAAATCGGACCTGTTGAGTATGACGATGAGGATATGCAGCTCTTATCTACGGATACAAAGCAGCTCATCGAAGGAGAAATCAAGGAATTTGTCATGGTAAGGTTGTTTTGCTGATACGGGACATGCACTTTATATTTACTCGCTTCTTCTGATTCATGAATAATAGAGTGCCGAGTTGCGTGCAAGAAAGGTTCTTACAGAGCACATGGATGAGCTCCATCGATTAGCCAAGGCATTGATAGAGTATGAAACGTTAACACAGCAAGAGATTATTGACGTAATTCAAGGGAAACCTATTCGACGATAAACCAACAAACCCACATACACAACATCAGTCACACGCACATGCCATATCCTTCTCTTCACACACATACTTGCATTTCCTCGTTCCGCGATAGATAACTCTAGTTTTCTCTTCTTTTATATATCACTTCTTTGTTTTCTTTGTCCATACCTTCTTCACAAAGCTCTTATACTCTCTTTCTCGCTTCCGCCCAATATCTTTAACAACGTATGAAAGAATCTGGTACTCTTTTCCTTTGGACTTCTATACAAAAGCCGTGAATGAAAATGTAGTTCTGATTCTGCTTTCCTACTCATTTAAGCAAACAACCGCCACTCGAGTTTGCAGTGTCTGTCGTTAGTAAGCGAAGCATGGTGACACAAACTACGCTGGCAATCTCCGTGTCAGGCGCGGCCACAGCAATTCAGCCGTTGGTGAGACGCCAGAACAGAATGCCGTGATAATAATCAGCTATGCGAGCGACACGTCCTCAGGAGATATACAAAAGGACTCGAAATATAAGTTAGACTCTCAACAGTTACAGTTTACGATGGTAATTGTACTTGGCACCATACGTTTTCTTTCCAACAACTGGACTATGATGGATGAGCGTTTCACTTTCCCCGCTTATGAGGCATAGCGTGACAGTTTTTATTTAAGGTCCTTCTGGCTGTGACTTGTGCCGTCGAAAAGGTATAAATAAGAGTGCTCACCTCAAAGCTGCTGCTGTTTTTTTTTTCCTTAGACGAATCTTCCAGAATTTGGAAAAGATGATGATCTTTCCTGGCCTGTTGAACGATCAAGCTTCCACTTTGGTTCATGGCTCTGCCGTGTGCTTATGGGAGGTCTGACGAGACACGCTGAGGCCTTCAACCATCCTTAACAGCGTGGTTTTCACTGATCTGATTATTTACCAACTGGAAAATCCCCCATTTATTATAAAAATAAAAGAAAATGATAAAAAAAAAAGTTGCTCCATTCGCAGTAACTGACGGACTGCAATAGCACATGACTTTGTAAAAGATTTTATTTTATTCACTTCACCCATGGTTCTTTGAGAATATAAGCCACCTGAAACTCGAACCCGCGTCTCGGAGTGCTCCGACTTGCTGCGTACCTGAAATTGGGCAGACTCAGCCTTGTAGCATATCGTTGTCAGTACAGTGCTTCCAACAAGCAATGTCGCAGCCAGCCAAAAACGAAGTCGTTGGCCAATCAAAATCGATGTCGTTGGTTGGTCAAAATCAATTTCGCACTTTTGGAAATGGAAGTCGTATTTTTAGAAACCATGTCGTTTGCATTTGAAAATGATGTCGTGTTACGATGATTTCTTGGCACTCGAAAAAATATAAAAATGAGGTCTTTCTTCTCCTGAGTCTGTTTTTTTCTTTTCTTCAATTGCTTAAATTTTAACATGAGTACAATATTTTTATTTGAAGATGGGCATGGAAATGTCGTTGATGAGAATGGAGGTCCTGAACCCATGGAATATATTGTTGAGCAGAATGAGTTCATTGTAGAGCCGATTGCGACTCACAGTGAGTACTTGAAAAATATGCGCTCTAGTGAATCTTCATCTGTTTGTCCAATGCTGACAGAAAAGCCAAAAGATGAAGACATTCGTATGAAAGAGGTAAACACAAAGCGCGATTATGTGCGCTATTCCCTCCAAGATAAGGTTCGCTTTTTCGAACTGAAGATTGAAAAGTGTATGAGCGCATCAGCTGCAGCGAAGCAGTTGGGTATTCACATTCGGACTGCTCAGAGATGGGTTAAACAGTACAATATGTGTCCTGATAGCATTTTTGAGGTTTGTAAGCAAATTGGTCGTAAATGTATCTTGAGCAAAGAGCATAAAACAGCTGTTATCAATTTTATTGATAGTAACCCTTCTGCTTCTGTTGTTGAAGTAACCGAGCATTTGTTGAATCGGTTCGGTGATCTGAAAGTTTCACGTAGCACTGTTTACAATTTCATGAAAAGTGAATGCAACCTTTCGTTGAAGAAGGCTGACTTTCATTCTGTTGAAAGGAACAGTCCAGCCAAGGTTGAAGAGAGACATGATTGGGTTCGTAAGTGGGAAAATACTGATATAAATTTTTTGACGAATTGCGTGTTTCTTGACGAGTCAGCTTTCGATATCAATATGAAACGCTCTAGGGCTTGGTCCAAAAAAGGTACGCGTGCCATTGTTACCCGACCAGTAACGAGAGCAAACACGACGTCGATATTGGGTGCCATCTCTGCTGAAGGTTTGATTACAATTGGTGTCAAAAAACCGAGACCAGCGAAGAAGAGAAAGGCTGAAGGATACATAAGCTCAGGTACCGTAACGGGTCATTATATCAGTTTCTTAAAAATGACTCTTGATGAGATAGACAAGCATCCTCACATGAAAGGCTACTATGTAGTCATGGATAATGCACCAATCCACACACATGAAAACATAAAAAAATATATTGAGTATCGAGGATACAAATGCGTGTATCTTCCTACTTACTCCCCTGAGCTTAACCCAATAGAACAATTCTGGGCAGTGGCAAAGAGTAAGGTTAAGCGTCATAGGTTTTTGCAGGAAGACACTTTATCAAAAAGAATCACGGAAGCTTGCAATAGTGTGGAGAAAAGTCATTTCCGAGGTTTCGTTTCGCATTCTTACAACTGCTTGGATAAATGTCGAAACAAAGTGCCCATATAATGGCAACCAACGACTTCATCAAAAGGCAACAATCAGAAGTAAGAACCACGTAAGTATCAATCAGGTAAGTAATTAGCAATTTTATTTCACTTTTTAAAGAGTATTACATCGACTGTCAGTCATTTTATGAGAAAGCAATCTTCAAATCAATATGCAGTAATAGATAAAAACAATAACTTGGTAGTGATTTTCCTATCAATTAGATTGTTTTGCAACTGTTTTTGTGACAAGTGCAGCTATTGAAATTGCATCGTTGAAATAATGGGAAAATGAATGAACAGAAGGTTTCAGTTCACTTTTTTTTTGACGAAATCAAGTATAATTTACTGCTTTACATAGCATTTTCATACTGACGAGATTGGTTAAGTGTATCCATAAGATGTATTGGGTAAAAAAGGAATCATGTAAAAAAAAAACGAATCACAAGAAAAAGAAAAAAAAACGAATCGAAAGGGGAAAATCGCAATTCATCAAGCAAACGTGTTCCTTTACTGTCCATATCGCACAGAACAGCTTCTTACTCGATCTTTGCTTCCGTCAATCAGTGTTTCCAAGCTTGCTAATGTTACTTTGTATCTACCAGCTATGGTGGCAGAATCGTCGGATTTTCTGCACAGGCGCCAAAATGCCTCGTTGATACCAAGCAACAATTTCATGTTCTTCAAGGATATGAAAGATGGAAGATCATCCAAGGATTGAGGAAAACGAAAATGTGCAATTTCAAAAAAAGTGTAAATCCCATTGGCAACCAAGCGAGAGACAAAAAACGTGATGTTAAACCCTACCATGTGAAGAGATAAAAATATATTAATATCCTATGTGGGTGATTTGATTTTTTGACATACCATGAATTTGAAAAGCAAGCGATCCATCCAATTTGTTCACGTCGATTGCATTTTTGTTGAAAATTGCCAATCGAAGGGTGTCCATGCAGAGAAGGTATTTGCTTGTGTTGCCTTGATTCACTTTCACTTCACCGTGCCCAACACTGTGATCATACTCGAGTTGTTGTTTTTTGGCGATGATTGCATCTGGTCGCAATTTTCCACCTTCGATTGGAATGGAATTCGTCCAACGTAAATGTACAAGCCTATCCGGATCACAGATTAAGCATGAAAGTAGAGGGTCAAAGTAAGTACTCCATAGTTCGCTTTCACTGATGTCATTGTTGTCTTTCAATGGTGTGTTTGGTAACTTTTGAATTCTGATCATAAAAAAAAGAGATTAATAAAGCATTATGAATAAAAAAAAAACTAAGCACATAAATATTGCTTACAAATTGGAGATTCCACGAACAAGACGTCTAGGACCATAATCCATATCAGCAGACATGACTGTAAGTTCAACAATGGCTTGCTCTCTTGTTTTAATTGACATGCTGAGATTCGTGATGGTTTTTGTGAGCGTCAGATAATGCTGATCATTGAAATCGAGATTGTAGTTCATCGATTCGGAAGACAAAGACGCTGCTAATTCTTCCAATAATTCACTGGAAAATACCTTCGTGGCAATAGAACTGTGCTGATGCTTGTTTAAGATCAAAATATGCGATAAAGCTGCCAATTCATTGATATAGGGTTCAAGCGGAAGTTTTGTGTGTTTTTTGATCAAATCATGGACAACTGACTTGTAATTCTCGAACATGAGAGTAATGTTTTTCCCGCGGAAGATCCAGGGGTTAACATTGATATTGTCTGAATTAACATTGGTATCATTGTTGCTGGTGATGGACGAGGTCGGGTAAAGCTGACAACTTCTATCATCGTCGCTGAAAGAGTTGTCGTCGGTTGTTTCTTGAGCATCATTCGCATTGATATTTTCTTGAGTGTCAATAGTACAGGCTGTTTCTTGGTATTCAGTAGTGTCTTTGGTGCTTTCTTGAATATCAGCAGTGTCGTCGGTAGTTTCTTGATCGTCAACACCATCGAGTGTTTCTCGGACAACAGTATTGGCCTTAGCATTCAGACTTCGCAACCTGTGTTCAGTAACAGAGCCAATAAACTTTGTACAAGCTCCATCTGTTCGCAATATGATATCCAATTCCTCTTGCTCGTTCCAAAATCGTTGATAATCAGCAGAACCAGTCCAAGTCTTGTACTCCATTCTAACGCGTTCGTAATGTTGAGTGTTACTGATATACTTTGAGAGAATATTGAGGTATCGTTGTTGCGAACTACACTTGTCCAAGCATTGGAACTTTTCAATAAACTTTCTAAAAGTAAGATGGCGTAGGTTGTCCAAGCACCATTGTGCATCGTCTGGTACTTGAATCTTTGGCTTCTTTCTGGAGAGTGTAGATGCCGACGACTTTTTTTTGGGTGGCATTTCAAGGAAGAAACATACAGTAATCTACACTGCAAAAGAAGAAAACAAGAAGTCACACATGAACTTTGAATCGGCGATTTTTGTGAAAAATTCTTATGATTACTGGGATGTTTTGATTTTCTTTATTCCTTTGGCTTAAATCTTCCGGTTGAAAGGTAATGATGGTAAGAGACTGATTCGGACTACAATTGTGGAGTTGCAGTGAGGTTAGTAGTCAGTGAAGGTCTTGCTTTTGTAAGACTGGAGATGAACGTCTATGTTACTGGTGTATGCATCGTCGTTGAACGGACTTACATCGGTTTCACTACAAAACTGGGAGCAATAGTTAAGCAGTCTCCTTTTTCGTAATGTTTATGGATACGTCACACTAACAGTGTCTTTTTTTTTATGGAGAATTGGACAATTAGAACCATTGCAAAGATGGTAGACCCAAGCCTTTCGTCACATTGTACATACTTGCTTTTTGGTCTAGTCTCAAAATCTATTTGGCGCAGATGTATCAATAAAATTAGAACGCAATAGATTTGCACTTTTGTCCTTTATATTTCCAGAACTAATCCCAATAACTTAGCCTGCAACACTTTCTGTCAGCTGTAACGACACAACTTGCCTGGTTTTCATGTTTTTTTTTCGTGTTGCTGGCGTTGTGCAAATCAGTTTGCTTTTTACTTTCATGGTCGCTCATAAAATGACTGACAGTCGATGTAATACTCTTAAAAAAGTGAAATAAAATTGCTAATTACTTACCTGATTGATACTTACGTGGTTCTTACTTCTGTATTGTTGCCTTTTGATGAAGTCGTTGGTTGCCATTATATGGGCACTTTGTTTCGACATTTATCCAAGCAGTTGTAAGAATGCGAAACGAAACCTCGGAAATGACTTTTCTCCACACTATTGCAAGCTTCCGTGATTCTTTTTGATAAAGTGTCTTCCTGCAAAAACCTATGACGCTTAACCTTACTCTTTGCCACTGCCCAGAATTGTTCTATTGGGTTAAGCTCAGGGGAGTAAGTAGGAAGATACACGCATTTGTATCCTCGATACTCAATATATTTTTTCATGTTTTCATGTGTGTGGATTGGTGCATTATCCATGACTACATAGTAGCCTTTCATGTGAGGATGCTTGTCTATCTCATCAAGAGTCATTTTTAAGAAACTGATATAATGACCCGTTACGGTACCTGAGCTTATGTATCCTTCAGCCTTTCTCTTCTTCGCTGGTCTCGGTTTTTTGACACCAATTGTAATCAAACCTTCAGCAGAGATGGCACCCAATATCGACGTCGTGTTTGCTCTCGTTACTGGTCGGGTAACAATGGCACGCGTACCTTTTTTGGACCAAGCCCTAGAGCGTTTCATATTGATATCGAAAGCTGACTCGTCAAGAAACACGCAATTCGTCAAAAAATTTATATCAGTATTTTCCCACTTACGAACCCAATCATGTCTCTCTTCAACCTTGGCTGGACTGTTCCTTTCAACAGAATGAAAGTCAGCCTTCTTCAACGAAAGGTTGCATTCACTTTTCATGAAATTGTAAACAGTGCTACGTGAAACTTTCAGATCACCGAACCGATTCAACAAATGCTCGGTTACTTCAACAACAGAAGCAGAAGGGTTACTATCAATAAAATTGATAACAGCTGTTTTATGCTCTTTGCTCAAGATACATTTACGACCAATTTGCTTACAAACCTCAAAAATGCTATCAGGACACATATTGTACTGTTTAACCCATCTCTGAGCAGTCCGAATGTGAATACCCAACTGCTTCGCTGCAGCTGATGCGCTCATACACTTTTCAATCTTCAGTTCGAAAAAGCGAACCTTATCTTGGAGGGAATAGCGCACATAATCGCGCTTTGTGTTTACCTCTTTCATACGAATGTCTTCATCTTTTGGCTTTTCTGTCAGCATTGGACAAACAGATGAAGATTCACTAGAGCGCATATTTTTCAAGTACTCACTGTGAGTCGCAATCGGCTCTACAATGAACTCATTCTGCTCAACAATATATTCCATGGGTTCAGGACCTCCATTCTCATCAACGACATTTCCATGCCCATCTTCAAATAAAAATATTGTACTCATGTTAAAATTTAAGCAATTGAAGAAAAGAAAAAAACAGACTCAGGAGAAGAAAGACCTCATTTTTATATTTTTTCGAGTGCCAAGAAATCATCGTAACACGACATCATTTTCAAATGCAAACGACATGGTTTCTAAAAATACGACTTCCATTTCCAAAAGTGCGAAATTGATTTTGACCAACCAACGACATCGATTTTGATTGGCCAACGACTTCGTTTTTGGCTGGCTGCGACATTGCTTGTTGGAAGCACTGTATAACACAGTAACCAATATACAAGCTGCCGGCACGCTTATGCAGCCTAGCACATTTTCTTTAGATACATATGAAAGTGCGTGTGACTTGTAAGAAAATGACGCTCCTTTTTTTCCGGAGAGATAGAAAAACCAAAGCAGAGCCTGTTCGCATAGCTACAGCAGAGGCTTGTGATGAAAAATCGGATGCACCTACTAGAAAAGATACGCATAAGCACTCTCATGGTTCCTTTTTCTCCTTTGCTGAGGATGTATTTTACTCGTCAAAAGATAATGCTGTTTGAGTTTTCTCAGGTCAGGAACCAATCAGTGTTCGAGATTATGGTTTAAACTTGTGCAAAAAGAAAGGCCCTAACTGTTGCAACCTTCACCTCCGTAGTCCGGGGCTCATAACAATAAGTCTCAGGATCGCTTTGTTATTTCCTCGTGTGTCGCTTGCTCATATCAGTTTTTGATAAAAGCTGAAAACCAATGAATTGAACTTTTACTCACGTTCTCTCTCTCATCTTCTTCAAACTGGCGTCATATAGAATCATACTAGAAAAGAGAGATCCCAACAGCTTCTACGTTCTCTCGCAATGTTCTGTATACGTACTTGTTAATTTTTCGAAAGCTACCTTTTATAGTCGAGGCCTTTAACATCTGGATGACAACTTTCTCGCTTTCCTCCGCCTTTTGCTCCTTGAAAAGGCGCTGAGCCTGGTGCTGTGTTTTTCTTTGCTCCGCGCAGTAAAAAGATCCCCCTCCCGATGTGTCACACAAAAGAGTCTTGTATAACACACAGTAGCAAATAAAGTCGTCACTGCATGCTGCCATGACAGGAACTGATATGGAATCCTACACGCACATGTGACCCAATATGTTCGTTTTTAGGATATCAGTATACCAAATAACTTAGACAGATGCCATCTGTGGAGAACTGACTCATTGGATTCGTCAAATAGTAATCGTAAGTTTAGATGTTTGCGAACACTCATATTCGGATAGTCATCCCTCCCGATAGCACAAATGAGGCTTTTCATCATATTTTCAATATGATCTGAGCAATAGAGTAATATTTCACATGCGCCTGATGTCTCTCTTGTCAATAATTGCAGCCTATCTTTATCCTGCAAAAAGTCCTAATTGAGCCACTTATCAAGCTATGCTGTAGAAGCACGTTCTTGTTGTCGTCAGATCGTTACATGTTAATGCACCGCTGGAAGAGACACTTTCTTCTTCATCGACGTAAGATATTTAATGTATATATATGTATATTGAAGCCTTATATTTGCAGCAATTTCCAATCTACAAAGCTGCTACATGTTGATGCTGGCATGTATATATACAGAAACCGTTAACTGTTTTCTACCTTGAAGGTGTGCGTATGTGTACTTTAATCTATGTTGGTTTCTCATGTAATATTAAAGATCGTAAATTGACTCTCAACCCAAAGTGCTCTTCATTGTGCGCTCAACACACAGGTATTGTCTGGTTTCTTATGTTTTTTACTGTTATTTATTGTCGTATACCTTCCACGTACCAGCACTTGATCATTTGGGATGGCTGCAATGTTTCCTTTTCCTTGGTTCTCCTATCGATCCTACTTTTATATATTGAGAACGGTTGTTCCGTGCGTTTGGAAAAAGAGTAAGGGAGCAAAACCGCGGAATAAATTCATGATGCTTTTCTAGAAATAGCAAGGATCGTGGCTGTTCATCGTTGGTCATTGGAAGAATACGTGAAAGACGGTACAACAGTTACCGCTTACGTTTTCTTGACTCAGATCAGTATGTCCTCTCGTCTATGGGCTTTCGGTGAAGAAGAATTGTCATATGGTATATGTATATTCCTTTATAAGTATTAACTTTGTGCAATGCATACATACGTATCGAGAACAGACGAGAACCGCAAAATAGGTATGTAATCGCTCATTTATGATGATAAATGGAAAGAGAAATCTTATATAGAAAGAAACATTAATTGGCAGTTAAGCCCTCTTTACCAAAGGGTACGTGTATCAAATGAATGGAACTATTCGTAGCTAGGCTGAAAAAACCGATACATATGTGACCAAATAGGCGATCAAGATAAAGTTCACAAGAAGATTTGGAATGATGATAATAACTACTACTGAAAATAGTAACAAGCAAGGTTTGGGGAAAGCCCATCAATTAAATTTAACTTTATACAGGTGATACTAGATTGTCTTTTTGATGACGTTGTAGATGGATGACGATACTAAAGATGATTGGAAGGTAAATCTTTTGGTGCATTATCGATTATATTATATTACGCCTATAGGACATCAGTATACGAGTCTACCTAGGGAGATAATGATCATGAAAATAGACTAGTGCTTGTTTTGGTGTTCTAACCTTGTTGAAAGTTTCTATTTGTTTATATACATTTGTTTTAGACTTTTTTTCTTCTGGGGTGTACTGAGGACTTGCTACAGGAAAGGTTTACATTGTCCACTGTTGTTCGAAAACAGTAGTAGCATAAGGTTGCTATGAAAAATGGATCTGCTGCCTTTAGTTATTAGTGTCAACGGATGCGCCTAATACGAATGAATCGTTGAGCACCAAAGACACTCTACCCACATTATATCTTTTGTTTACGTTTCTTTCATGTCATGGGAATTGGTAATTTGTCATCAGTCTAATGGATGCGAGTTCTCAGAGAAGAAAGAGAGGAGTACGTGTGTTTATTGATGGCGAGAAAAGAGACGGTTTTTTGTTAATGATTAAAAGAAAGCAAATGAACATAAAATATAGGAATTCATACTATTAGATTCGGAAAAGAAGAGAAGCGATGCTTCTTTCCCAAAAAGCTAGCAAAGGGAATAAATGATGACATTGGATGATACAGTATATATAAAAACATGAAGTGGTGGTATTACTACAATTAGTGCTGTATGTGCATGTGAAGTTGACGTGGCTTTGTCGTAATGATTTGTTACAGGAAGCGTGTTACAGAGGAAGAAGAAGGAAGGGCTATAAGTACAGATTATAAAAGCTGCATGGCTATAGAGAGATATATCTTTCAGAAGAATGAGGATGAAGGAGGAAAGAGCGGGATAACGATAAAGACGATATAAATGGGCGTTTTTTGGGCTATTTTCATGGCGTTACGACAGCATCATCTTGCATAGATGAACTGGCAGTGGTTGTAGGAGAGGATGAGGGAGATACAAGCAATTGCTGTTGATCGTCTTTATTCGTTGACGCTGTTGGGTCTTTTTCCTTGTTTGCTTCAGCAGCAGCTCGCTTACGTTCCAGCTTGGCATAGTGAAGACCACAGGCATTGCAGAGAGTACGAGCACCGTCAGGACCTCGGCGCCACTCGGGTGTTTCTGAGATATTACATGAATGACAGCGTCCTTGGAACACGTTTCGCTTCTATAGAAATCAATTATTGATACATGTTAACCATAGTCTTTAGACGGAGAGAGAAAATGATGTGTACATACTCTTCGCTTGCGTTGGCGAAGGCTACGCAAAGGATTACTGTCGTCATAATGCATTGCTTCGTCGTCATCGTGCATCTCCGGTCGTTGGTCCACCTGAAGATTGAAAGTACGGTGAGTCTCTATACCTTGTCTGCTGCAATCGGTTGGTTGTGTGAATCCAATGACAAAAAACTTACATAAACACTTGTTGGAGTGACCAGTGTGGAGTAATAGGCTTGACGTTTTTCTTCTTGAGCAGCGAGTTGCTGTTTTTGCATTCGTAAGAGTGCGTTTAAAATTTCGTTTGCATGACCAATCATGTCGTCGAGCCATGGTTGAGAGTTAGCCAAAAGGTGTGCATCGACAGGCATATTGGATTGTTGACGAAGCATTGTTTCGCGCATTGTGGTGCAATTATTGACAACCTTTAGAGCAGCAAATGAGTAGGTGAGTGAGTGAGTGAGCTAGTAAGTACATGAAGGAAAAGGTAGAGCTGCTTGTCAAGCGAAACACACACCTGGTCCATGTCTTGGAATACCCGCTTGCGTGTAGCAGCCGCTCGCTGTGTTTCGATTTGTTGATGTTGTGATGCTCGGTAGTCAGGTTGTGGCCATGGGGCTAGTTTTTGTGGCGACGGTTGCTGGTGATGTTGTGGCGGTGAATGCGGAAGTGGCTGTGAATGCAAAGTATGTGGGTATTGGTGTTGTGCTTGTGCTTGTGTGTGCGATTGGAAATTTAGAGGAGAAAGTCGACGGCTTTGGTCGAATGCTGTCTGCGAAGAGATGGTTGCTGCTGGAGCGGATTTGTGATTGCCGAGTGGCGGTGAAGGCAAGGACATGGAAGGACCCCCACCACCTGGGCCGCCGAAACTCCATGAGGAGGAAGAGGAGGAAGTGGATGACGACGACGGAAGTTGGCTGTCAATGCTGGAGATGGGAGGGAGGATGGGACGGTCGCTGGACGAGTACTCTGATGTTTGCATGTATGAAGAAGTACTTTGGAAGAAGTATTAGACGAAAGAGAGAGAGAGAAAGAGAGAAAGAGGAGAAAATATTTTTCTTTAGAGTTACAAACAGTGTTTAATATCGAGATTGTAAAGCAGATACGGTTGCCGATCAGACATGTCCTACAATGTAAAATGCCAGGTCAGAAAAGTAAAAAACGCCCCGTGTAACCCGAATGTCCGGCGAGCTCCCCAGCCCAAAGTGCGTTTGCATTGATTCTGGCTCCAGCTAAAGCCGTGTGCTCGCTATTCCAGAAAATATGCACACACAAGAAAAACTTTGTTTCCCCGCATCCGCCTGCTGGTTTTTTTTATCTTATCTCAATTTCTGTTTTAAACCGTTTTAAACGTGTAATAATTCCGCGCGGTCTTGAACTTGTGTGTGCCGCCCCTGTCTGTGTTCCCCGAACATCGAGGACCCTGAGCGAATGAGGTACCAGCAAGCTGCCTGCGTATGTATTATACCGCTTCCCTCTTTAGCATACTCCGGAAGGGCGGGTGGACAAGATCTCTGCTTGGACGTTTTATGGTTTACCATCGGTTACAGCCTGCTGAAGCTTATCTTGGAAAAGTAAAATATAGACCCGCCGCCCCCCCACGCTACTAGAAACGTCCGAGAGAATAATAATGAAACAGCAACAACAATCCCCGTGAATTCGGAAACTGAGTTCTGTCACTTCTCGCGCTGGTTTCTGTTCTCATTGGACAGAGATAACAAACCTGGCCCTTCGCCCTGCCTATCACACTTATGATGGGCTTCGTGAGAAACTTCATGTAGGCGGCCTTCATCAAACCTTGTCTGCGGGGTACTAGCAGCATGTTGCTATAGCAACTCCTGCGTAGTAACCACAGCCAAGAAGTACCAACCGACCCCCCAACCTTCTTTACCTACTACTCCAACCCACCCCCCAAAAAAAAGAAGGCACACAACATTAATTGCTCTGTACAACAACAGTCTTTTCTTTTATTTTTGCAAAGTATCTCGCATGTTGCCGTTGGCTGATGCAAACATTGTTCCTGCGTCCATGGATCCTGAAAAGCCTATCATTCCTAGAGAAGGACCGGCTAGGCCTGTTGCCGGCTGACTGATACGGTTCATGGCTGCTGTGTTTGCGGGTGAGTTCATCATGGTATGGGCAGGTTGGAATGCGTGTTGTGGTAGATGGAGCTGTTGTTGCGGGTGTAAGGGAGATGGCGTGCTGCCGTTATTATGAACAGAAGGGGAGGTATTGGTATTGTTGTTATTGTTGTTATTATTGTAGAGGCTCGACAAGCTGCTGTTGCTGTCACTGTGAGCCATGGACACGAACTTGGGTGTAATGGTATCAAACAGGATGTCTCGCAGTCGATAGCACTGCCTTCGTCGCTTTACAAAGTAGAATGGCTTTTCGGCAAGAGGCATAGGGCAGCTCGTGCGTATGGCATGCATTACGTTTTCCACCTCCTCGTCCGAGTTTACGAATTGCTCGTCGTTGGTTTGCGTGCTGTCTTGCGCATTGACTCCGCCAGCACCACCCGTAGCAGCAGCAGCAGCAGCACTACTACCACCACCACCAGCAGTGCTACCACCGACACCACCAGCGCCGCCAGCACCGCCGGCAGGAGCAGGTGATGCTGTCCTGTTTTGTAATTTTTTGGCATTCAATTTTGTCGTCGCTTTGGCCACCACCGTCGCACCTTTGTTGGCACCTGTGCTTCCACCTGTAGCTATATTTTGCTTGTTACATTTGCAAACAATCGTTTCCCGTAACCTTATCCAGAGTTGACTTTTTTTTTCACGCAATCCGACTTGTTCCCTCCCCTACCACCCCTCCCCCACTTCTCCAACGTCCGAAGCTCGGTCCATTGTTCTTACACTGTGGCCGGCCAATCGCTTTCTTTTGATATGCTGACAGTAGCACATCATAGGGCTGGGATCGTCCCGCTACCGCACGCTTTGCACCCATGGAATGACTCTTGCATGTCAACGACCGAGTGCACGGCGTGTTGTTGGGTCCTTGGATCACACCACATTGCTTATCCAAGTCCAGAGGTGCTGTGATACGTGTATTGACAACTTAGTCGCTTTTCCTTCATACGATATAGTACGAGACATCTCACACCCCACAGTATATTTACCTTTCTGCTTGGGTGTCGCTTTGGCCTTTTTCTGTTCCTTCTTAGTCTTCTTCTTTTCCGGTTTCTCGTTTGTCGATGGGGGTCGTTTTGCAGGTACAGAGGTTGGATCCAGTGCTTCTGTAACTTTTTAAATTCAGTTTTCATAACCACGCCATTCCACCTATTGGTAGATCCAAAATCACGTGTAAACTGCTGCTACTAACCTTCAATCACATCACCACCACTACCGCTGCCATTGTTTTTCTTATCTGTCTGTTTCTTCTTTTTGAACGAAGGGTCGTTTTGTCGCTTCAGTGCAATTGGATCGTCGTCGTCGTCATCATCGTCGTCGTCGTCAGAAAAGAATCCCTTGATATTCGACTTATCGTTGTTGTTGCCGTTGTTGGATGAAGACGAAGATTCAATCTGGGTCAATGCCCGTGGCCGTTTATCACCTTGACCACATGTTTCTAGATACGGTAATAATAACATCGTCAAAGTTTCCTTCTCATAACATCTATCTCTCTTCTCGCTCTCGCACGTCCCTTTCTATCCGAGCATTCTTTTATTACCTGAATGGGCCCGAAAACTGCTTGCAAGAATAGGACGTTGGCAAGTTTTGCACTTGACCACAATGACATCCTCCTCCATCGTCTTTGTTCCAAATGCTTTACGTTCACTTGTCTCGAATTTTGTTACTGTAGGCGACAGTTCGTCGCCATCGGATAGACTGTCGTTGTCAGCCTCATCAAAAGAATCAGTGAGATCTCGCATTTTTTTCCACGCCGACGAAGACGTCGATCCACCGGTTGCTTCACGGATATCTGAGGGGTATTTGCGCTTCAACAGTCCACTTTCCGAATTGTATGGTAATCGGTTCCAACTAGAGTCTTCTTGAAAAACGGAGAGTGTGCCGGGTGTTACGTGCTTTGACCAATCGAATGCGTTTCCGTCTGCCGCTGTAATTAATGGTTTTGCTAAAGTAGTGATATCTGTCAAATTAAAGAAGCGTTTAGTTGTTGCTCTTCACCGTTAAACATATCATCGCAGACTACTGGATCAAAAACAAGAAAGAAGAGCGTGTGTGCTTCATATACAGAACTTGTTGATAATCCTACCTGTTTGAAACCGTTCAATTTCAGTTCCTTTTTTACTCAAGATATTTTGCTGTTCTTCTGTCAAGTAGTCTATGCAATGGATTCGAATTAATAAACGGGATCATACAAAAGAATAACTTGCAAAAGAACCACCATTAACCACCCCTTTCTTCCTATGGTATATTTGCGCTAAACTTTTTCTACTCTATTTAAGTGCATCTTTTGTCGTCTTCAATTCATTTTAAGCAACCAGATGCTTTTTCGTTCTTTCCATTTACCTTGTTTTTTACTGGGCCCGTTGGCCGACATGATCTTTTCCAAGGAACCAATGGTTTTTTATAAAGACAGAGAGAGAGAGAGAGAGCAGAATTAAAAGAAAGGTTGTATTTTCTTCTTGCGCAGCGCTATTCAAGGACGCAAAAGAATCGCTTTGTGAAATGGATCGCCCTGTTTGGTCGTTTTTTTTTTTCTTGACAACTAAGATTGGAAATTAGAGCTGCTTTCTTTTACAAGCACAGACCAATGTGCTACCTACCTTTTGAGCGTTGGAGGAACCGGGCTGTCCTTTCTCTCGTTGCAAACGGATAGCTCTTTTCTCTCAATTTCCCGACATCCAATCACAGCGCTTCGTGTGCTGCAGTTTAGGTGACACCAGAACTGAAAGAGACGTGCTCATATTTCATGCATACACATTAATCACAAACTATTCTTTCTATTTCCGTTATGAGCAAGAACGCAGTTAGTGCTTTATTAATAGCTTTTTCCTTGACAGCAATTCTATAGCAGGGTTATTCAAAGTGCTGACAATTTAGTTGACGCGCTTTGTGTGGGACTTCCAGAGCTGTTCCCGCAGCAAATACTTTTTAGTTTTACCTATAAAATCATTCATAGTCAGTAAACAATATGGACTGATCCGTGTCAACATAAAACATAGCTGCTGCTGCAAAATTCTTACCGGTCCTATCATATAATAATCAGGGTTAATATAATTATTACTGTCCAGTTAGAGAAACTTTTATCATGGCAGCACGTTGCGAAGAAGGCAAAATTCTTACTCGGTTTTTGGAAGCTTGTCTACAAAGATAATTTTCGACGGGCATTTGTATCCTGCCAAGTTTCTACGACAGTGGAAAATAACTGCTTCGGCCGTGATTGCTTTGCCTTCCCAGACGACAATATAAGCGAAAGGGCGTTCACCCCAAATTTCATCTGGACCACCAACAATGGCACTAGTAATCAAAAGTTTTAGCATCATCAATAACCACCGTCAAGCAACATCCGTCATCATCATGATCAGAATAATCACATTCATCATTGTTATGTTTTTACTTACCAATCAGATACTACTTCCAGCATCATGATTGTATTTTCTACCTCAATAGAGCTGATATTCTCTCCTCCGGACACAACAACGTCCTTGGCTCGATCGATCACTTCAACCGCCCCATCAGGATGTCGCACACCCAAATCGCCTGACCAGAAAACACCTCCTTGAAACGCCTTTTTCGTCGCCTTTACGTCATTATAGTAACCCAACATTGTCGTGTTACCAGACGAACATATCTCCCCGACTTGTTTTCCATTTGCTACTACATCTTTGCCAGTTTTTGGATCGAGTACCCGCGTTTCATCTTGCGAAATAATACTGAAGCCTTGACGAGATATTAGCTCTGCATGTTGCTCCTCTGGATACTGAGACAGAGCCGCTCTGTCATACGTATGCACACTTGGTCCAGATGTCTCTGTCTTTGAGGTTCAAAGAAAAGTTACACTTGTCAGCTGAGAAGTCTGGTCGCATCTTTTTTTCATCGATTGTTTGACAACCTACCAAGCCATATGCGTGCACTGGATAAATGTTGAGTGTGTTGAGTTTGCCGATCACCTTGCTTGAAAGTGGCGAACCCCCAATTATGCAGGAAACGGGATGGTCAAGACAAACAGCATCTTTATGATGGGCTAACTCGTTCTGCACGGTGGGTGCAGCGCCATAATGTGTTACGCGATGCTCTTGTAGCAATTTCCATATGCGAGGATAATCAATTTTATCGAGCATAACATGGGTACCTGTTTTGTTGTACAGCATCAGTGAAGAAGGGAGTCAGCATCAGTATATTGAGCTTAACCGTAACAGTGGGGGTTAGCTTATTGCTGCTGACGTGCACGGCATTCTGAACCAACCTCCTACTGCCACAACAGCCCATGTAAAGTTCCAGCCATTGCAATGAAACATTGGAGCGGTCCATAGATATTTCGTGTCCAGCGTTAGACGTGCATGCACACACATGTTCATTGCCATCAAGTAACAGCTCCTATACGACTGCATGACGCCCTTTGGTTTGCCAGCTGAGCCTGATGTATAGTTGATTGTGATAAGGGCATTCTCGTCTGTCGTTAAAGGTAATTCGTTCCATTTCATCAGCATAGTACCACTAGCTTCTTCTTTCTTCTTCTTCTCCTGCAATAATAGCTCGTATTGGCAAGAAGGTTGGCCCGGATTCTGCTGATCCGCCACACGGATCATCTTTATCGTTTCTTTAACACCAGGAGTAATACGAGACAGATGCTGTTCCTGTATGATTAACACTGTTGCTCCACAGTGTTTGATCAAGTACTCATTCTCTGGTGGAGCCAACCGTGTGTTGAGTGGCACTAGTATACATCCTGCAGCAGGAACTGCAAACGTTGCTTCGAGATAAGCAGGTGTGTTTTGACACAAGACCGCCACACGATCGCCTGGTCGAACATGAAAATCTTGGATCAAGACATTCGCAAGTTGCAAAACACGGTCCGCCAAGGTTTCATAGTCGTAGGCTTGATCGCCGTGAATGACGGCAGTTTTGTTGCGGTACACCATGGCACTTCTCAATAGAAAACGAATGGGGTCCATTGGTGTATGATATGGCACTTGCTCGGGTCGACGGTCAATTTGATCTAGAAAACGCACAAAAATACTTATTTAAACGGGCGGGACATAAACTATACATGATTATATCCTCTTTTTACATTTTTTTAAGCAAGTGTTATTATATTGTGGGGATAAATGGTTAGTAACAGCTTTGATTCTCGCTTTAGCTGTTGCAGCTGCAAGACTTTGCGTTATTGAAGACATGTTGTAATGATGAAAAAAAGGCAGAGGAACCAGTTATAATAGACAACATTCTCTGAGTTTTTATGCATCACCTTCACGGCCTCCCGCAAAACGCCTTAAGTGTCAATGTGATACCGCCTGCATGCATGTGGTATAGCTCCTGCGTTTTTATTTATCGGGAAGCCAACATTTTGGGAAGAAAATATAGATACACACAACAACCATCCATTTAAATAATCATATCCCATATAGATGGATAACCGCCATGACATTACTGTAGGTCTATAGAAATTGCTGTACTTTTTATCCTTCTTTGCCCTGCGTTTACGCTCAACTTGCTCTGATAAAAAGATGTCAAGTAGCGTCAATATACATTAAGCTTGAACAGCAGAATAGAACCCATAGCTAGTAAAGTGATTTACCCCCAATCAAGATATAGATTTTATACCCTTTTCATTTTAGTAACTTCTGGAATTCAATTTCTTTTGTTGTATCATATCATATACAGAGCAGGAGCCGAACAGCGTGTGTATTAAATAGGTGAATTGATATTATTAATCATTCATATAGCATTAAGTAATATAAATTGGATATCTGTTCAAGTGGATTGTGTGAATTACGTGATCATTATATTGACAACTTCGTCCTAAGCATAGGTAAACCGCGTACTGTAACACCAAAATTATTCGGATGAGCACATGTGAGGTTATAAGGGAAATAACAGCAACCTTTAATGACTGAGCAGATATTATATGTTATTGATCAGGTTCACACCTTCAAGGTCTCATTACTTTTTATATATGCATGAAATGCAAGAAAACAGCCTTTACTATTTATATTTGCATATTTTTTATAGGTTTATTTTGTCATCCATTTCCAAGAAAAAGTTATGGGCACCTAAAGTTAACCCTAGCATTCAGAGCAGAAACTTAGATTACTGTAGAAGCAAAAGAATAAGGGGCTATCATTACCACGGACGTAAACTTACTAACAACATTTGGTAGGATAAACATATCCTTTTTATCACATCAGAATAACACTTACTTTTGCTAGGAAACATATAGCCATTCTCGTAGAGTACAACATCTCTTTATACAGAGCATTTCATGATATTAACCCCTCAGGATTATCAAGCCTTTTATCAAGCCGCTTGTAACGCTCAAATTTAAGCGACCTAAATTTGAAGCTGGTCTCGCGATAACCTCATTAACCAAGACACAATTGAAAGCACTCGACACAGCCCAAAACCAATGCCTCCGCATAATATACGGAGCGAACCCTTACTCTTAGCTAAAGTAACACGACATATTGCCAACCTACCCAGCATGCAGGAACGCACCACTACTCTACAAGCGAAATTTTTATACAGGGCATACTTTTTGCACTGATGATGCTCTACTTACCACACTCTTGTTCACCATCACAAACAGCCATTGTACCAAACTATGCCGTACTTTCATCTGGCAAAATGTACCAGCATTACAAGAAAGCACCAGCGTTTACAGTCAAAATAAAATATCAATTTCATAGTATATACCTGAAACAAGGATAAGTACACAACTCTTACACGTACATATTCTCATTCTTTTAAAAGATGCCACCATCAAGCCGAGAACAAAGGGTTGTTTGCTTCAAAACGTGGTTTTCATAGCAAGTCGCCTTTCAATTTTTTTTTCTGATTTTCGGCCAAGTTGGATTTTCATTATAGTTGCTCTCTGGTTTTTTCTACGGCGTAATCCGAAAGATATAAATTGCCGTTAGTTGCCGTTTGTAGCCTTTCAAACACCTGGAACAACCTTCCACGACGCTAAAGGTCTCAAAAGGCCCAGAGGGCATTGTCATTTTGGATCATGTTTATTGACTTTTCCTAAAGCTACGCTACTTCCTAATCAAAAACATCTCTTTGATAAAGGTCATCATATCCTCTTGTGTATCCTATTAATTACCTGATATGCATTTAAAGATGAAAGTTACTTCTTGTTGCACATTTTACATTTGCCACAGACATGACGCCAAGCCTCAATTACTCTTAAGCATACGCACCGCAAGCAAGTGACCATATTTCTATAGGAGAGGTCTATAAGTCTTGCCACAATAAATCACATACTTTTCAACTGTGACATTTGCCACTATATTTACAACCATTTTGCGCGATTCCGAGGCAGGAAAATGTTCACAACAATGGCAAATGAATGATAGACTTAGCAGCAGCTTATAGAAGTTATGACAAACAGTGAGCTACAGTTCTAAACACAAATATGCTCCGAGAAGCTGTAGAATACACCATTTTTTACATCTATCTTAGACCAGACAACTGTTGCTATTATGCTACACACCACGCCTCAAACTGAACGCAGTCTAAATATTCGTGGATATTCAATGATGGCGTGTTCCACAGCGTTCTACCACAAGGCCAGAAAAAGAAGGAAGTACTGGGCCCCACAACAAAGTCACATGCTGGTTTAAATATTCGATAAATAAAGGTACTCCTCAAAGGCCATAGTTATTTTATCTTTTCACAATACAAAAAATGACAAATGCTAAATTTATTTGGGCACCCTTTATAAATAGAAGAAAGACAGCACTTGTCAGATAATTATTCCTTTAATTTAAAGCAAACGCTATATACACAATATGTGTGAGAGAGAAATATAAGGTTATCCTTCACACCAAATTGCGCCCCGTCTGTATCACGATGCTAAATGATAAAGCGCACTAACTTTGTAGGTCAGAACAACGAGTCAATATAATGGAAAGTATATACATATGCATATTCAGAAACCTTTTTCTTTGTTTGATTAAAATTATTAACACATTCACCGATTCCTGATGATTCGTGGCAGCAAATCATTATCAGCTAAAACAGCAACGGCAGCGCTTTATTCGCGGGCAGCGCTCGTACTATTATTGATCACAACAATACTATCGGCAGTTTCCCAGGCGATCAATGTCGATATTCGGAGCGATACTGGTATGTAAAATGGCATGATAGCATGCTTTTTACATAACGAGATCATTGTCTAATACTGTAATAATAATGATGAGCTCTCCTACATTTAAACTATCTATAACCACATACACACAAATTAGAGTGCGTATACTTGTCACGACGTATCTGGTGCTATGGAGGGCAAGGGGACTTCGATAGCTCCTCAGATAACATGGTTTCCGTCATTGCCGACAAGCCATTATTTTTCTCTCTAGATCCATCCCAAAACACAACACCTTATGATATGAAATTTACGTTTGTTGCCGAAAATGACGTTGGTCCCAATCTTTATCATACCTTGGTGGCTGTACCTACCCTCAATACTATTGTAATGGACGGAGGCATGGGACTTGGTGATGGCACAACAATTCCACAACACCGTACAACAATCTATAACACCGACTCCGGAACTTGGACTAAGAATACTTCTTCTCCTCATATGCGTGTGTAAGTAATATGGTTTGAAACAATACCGAGTTTTTTCCTCTTCCCATTCAATTGCATAAAAAAGAGAATTGAAACAAAATTGATTAATGCTTTTTGGTATATAAATCAGGTACGGCCACACCGCCACATTGGGACCAAATAATACTATATACTTTTGGGGTGGACGCAGGTAAGGAAGGCATACCGTTTATGTATAAGCATGCATAATATGTACGCCCCGTCAACTACTTTTCAGTGTATTTTGGGAACATGATGATGAATGCTTTTATACTCTTTATCGTTTTAGAGATCAAAATACTACGGGCGAAGAAGGTACACTAGTAGACATTCCATTCCGCATGCATTGGTTCAATGTCGCAGTAAGTGATATTAGTAATATAGCAGCGAAAGCAGTGTATGTGTACGATGTGTGCGTGCAATTGAGCCACGTTTGGTATGTGTGAAATAATCTTAGGAAAATGCTTGGTCCCTTGGAAGTCCTGTGCACACAATCACAGAGCGACGACAATATCATGAGGCAGTATTGGGAAAAGACGGATCATCCATCTATTATATTGGAGGAATAATGCCAATGAGCATATTAAACCAGTATGGCATGACAGATTATCATGATTATGCTGACGTACCAATGAACGTAATAACCATCTTTGATACCAAATCGGGCGCCTGGCGATCAGAAAATACTACCGGACCAGTGGTCCCGTCGACTAGAATGCGTCATACACTAACATTGAGTAAGTCTTATGATGTATTCGGATACTCGGAAGATGTGGAGATGTTTGGGGGAAAAATCGTAACATCAACTCATCCTTGTATTAATGCAATTGGATCATAGAACCGAGCACGGGAGAAATCATATTGATAGGTGGTATCGGTCCACGTAAGTATAAATTTCATTCCATCGTCTAAGCTATTTCTAGGATGGTGTGGAGCAGCACAAAGGGACTACCACTAACCTGTCTTTCGTACTCACACTCTTCCGTATTAGTTGGGTCCAGACCTCGAGAAGACTATTTCTATATATTGGACACAGACAAGTTAGAATGGAGTAATAGAACCATCACGATGGAAGATTCAAGTGGGATAACTAAAGGTGTCTGCGGCCACTCTGGTATGTCATTCTGTTTATTTTTGCACTATAATTTTCTGTCATTGCCGTGTCTTTTTGAAAAGAAGAGAGGCGGGAGGACCGTTGCATAGTTGTATGCAACAAGATGTCAATGACGACTTGTGTTAGTAATCGGTATACTCGAAAAAAAAAAGAATTTAAAATCTAATTCGCATTGTTTTTTGTGTTGGATTATATACTTGCAAAAGCTGTTCTCGTTGGTAGCCGTTTGTTTATCATGTTCGGTTGGGATGGATATTGGATGATCATTACAGCAGGATTTGCGGTTCTGGATGTGGAGAAATGGATATGGCTTTCTTATCTTGATGGAAACTCTCCTACTACACCTACGGACGACAGTATTCCTGGCGATGGGAATAACAGCTATCGTTATCCTGGAAAAAATTTGTACGGAGGTCAAATAGCTGGTATAGTAATTGGCGCAATTGCTGGTGTAAGTTTTTACGGCCGGGTACTAAAGTGTCTTCAGTATCAACGTGAGCTTCTCTGTCTGCTATAACAAGTATGTATATATCATATGTAGGCTGCTTTTATTGCTGCTGCCATCTTTCTTTTTGTTCGGAGAAGACGTCAAAATGCAGGGATAGAAAAAGTTAGTACAATGGATGATGAAACAGCACCATCGCTGTCTCGAGCAAGCACTTTATACACATCCCCGCCATCATATTCTGGTAAGAAAAGTAAATAAATTATGCACATGATTGTAATTTTCTGCTAACTACACTACGCTATAATTCATATGCTTGAACCTGATAGCTGCTACTTCACAGGCAGGAAATAGAGACGGACAAGCTCCGCTTTTGTGATTTTCTGATGAATGATCATCGTGCAGCAGAGCATTACTTTAAGCATATTATAGCAAAAAGCGAGATGAATATAGGCTTGATTTTCCTGCTTGTCTCTCCTTGTAGTAATGTAATTGTAATTTATATATAATAACTATCTTTTATTTGGTACTATTGATTGTAAATGTCTAATTTTTGAACCGATGAAGTAACTTATACTGCAAACTTAATTTCAATATCAAATCTATCCTTCGAGCACTATAATATATGGACATATGAAAGTGTGCTTCTCTATTTCAGCCATCGTTCTGGACCTCAAACATGTCCACCTGAGGACTTATATATGGAAATAATATGATGGGATGTAATTCATTTTTGATGGAAGTCTTGATTGTTCTCGTTATATTAGAACATCATGTCCAGTTACCAAAATATAGTTTCTTTCAAGACGCTGATAGCTCTTTCATATGCATAGATATTAGGTATGTGTGAGTTAGGAAGTAGTATATTAAGCTCTACCCGCAGCAAACATAAGTCAGTATCATACATTATAGGCTGTTCCTTAAAAGAGAAAAAATAAAGCAAGTCGACTATGTTATGTTGACGTAGTGTTTTCGGCTGATTGAAGGACAGCGTATATATGATAAACCCCCGCGAGGAACGAAATAGCCACAATGTACATCAGTATCTGTTGTTGGGATATCATTGTATAATGTATGTACAACTCATCATTCCAGTTTATTTCATTAGAGGACAGATTATTTCTTCAAGTGCAAGAAGGAGAACGAGGAGCAAATTTGTTGATGACAGCAGTAAGTTCAGCCAAGCGAAGAGGCTTGCTGATGTATTCATCCTTTCGAGGAAACATAGAAAAGTGATTAGCTTTTTCAATAATACTGGCGAGGTAACTCTAGTAGTTGCTCAAAAATCACAATGTTACCATATCATGCGCAAGGCATTTTTCGCGGTCGCCAATCATAGCATGTGCAGTGAGTGCAATGATGGGTACTCGAGAGTTGACTTTGAGTTCTTGCTCTTTCTTGCGTATCAATTCCGTCGCTTCAAATCCACCCATCACCGGCATCTGATTCAATTGACGAGCGTATGTTAGATCAATGCTTATCTACTAAGCTACTCTTCTTTTTATCTACCTGGATATCCATGAGAATGATATCAAAAGGTAGCTGTTCAAATATATTGACGGCTTCCTTTCCGTTCTGCGCAACTGTAATTTTGTGGCCGATTTTTTCAAGCATCTTGACCGCCAATTGCTGGTTTACAAAGTTATCCTCAACGAGTAAAACACGAAGGGCCTGTTTGGCTTCGATATTGGTACGCATCGACATCATGTTGTTGTCCAACGCAACGTGGACAGCCGTGGCAAAGCTGGCAAATTCGTTCATGTTGTTGAGATAGCTGGCAATACCCAATGTGATGCTTTCGTTCACGTCAAGACAGCGGAAATCGGGTTGGACAATCATGACCGGCGTATGGCGAATATGAGGGACATCACGTAGACGGCGAACCTGATTGATACTGCTGGCGATCATGGCATCAAAGTTGAGTGTTGTCACCGATACGTTCGTGTTGTCGTCATCCATGATGTTGAGCTGCTCGACATTTGCAAGAAGCTGTGCATAGGCTACATCGATATTGAGTCGTTTGCATTGCATGCCAACTTGTTCGCGGTACGCCTGACCAACGTCATAATTGTCGTCTGCTTCATCGTTGATGCATAAAAAGCGTTGGGTGAGCGGTACAGATGGTTTGGGTACCATCCAGCTGTTATTTGGGTCACCAAGGCTGACAGAGAATGCAAAGTAGAAATTGGATCCTTTGCCTGGTGCAGAATCCACCCAAAGCCGGCCGCCCATTAGCTCAATGAGACGCTTGCTTATCGATAAGCCAAGACCGGTGCCGCCATACTTTCTTCTAATTAAGCAACCAGTGAGTAAGTGATGTTCTCTTCGTGCTTCTTGTGGATAAAAAAACCTCGATCAACTTACGTAGTACTGCCATCGACTTGACAGAACGTTTCGAAAATCTCGTTTAGCTTGTCTTGTGAGATCCCAATCCCAGTATCGCTCACACAGAATTGAATCTCTCGTTGATCGTTGTATCTAGGATGTTCAACGAGTGTAGCAGATAGCTTGACCATTCCTTCGGATGTAAATTTGATGGCATTGCCGATAAGGTTGGTCATGATTTGCTTGAGCCGCAGTGGATCTCCCATCAGCCAATCCGGTATATTGCTCTCCATGTCATAGATGAGGTTCAGCTTGCTGCCTCCTTTGTAAGCCATAGTCTTGAACACACTGAGTGCTGTGTTCCGGAGTGAGAACGGTATCTGCTCAATGTTGAGCCGACCGGCTTCGATTTTAGAGATGTCGAGAATATCATCAATAATCGTCAGTAAGTTGAGGGCAAGTGATTTGACGATCAGCAGATTTTCGCGCTGAGGTCGAGTCAAGTCGGTTTCTAGTGTGAGCGTGGTCATGCCGACAATACCGTTCATAGGCGTTCGGATTTCGTGGCTCATGTTGGCCAAGAACTCGCTCTTGCTTTTATTCGCCAATTCCGCCGCTTCGCGCGCTTGGGCATTCTTCTGAATGGCGTCTCGTAAAGAAAAGACCATCTGATTGATTTTGGTTTTAAGCGAATCCAGCTCGCCAGACGCTTCGACCGTGATGACTTGACTGAAATCGTTGCGGGTAGCGGCCGATGTGATCTGGGCAAAGGCTCGTACTTGGGTTGTCAAGTTTGTAGCCATCACATTAACGTCAGAGATGATGTGCTGCCACACACCCGATACGTCTTCTACTTGAGCCTTGGCGCCTAGTTTGCCTTCGGTGCCGACTTCCTTGGCAACACGAGTGACTTCAACAGCAAACGTGCGTAGTTGGTCGACCATGGTGTTGATTGTGATTTTCAAATCAAGAATCTCGCCATACACGCACACCGTCACCTTTTTGGATAGCTCGCCGCATACAACTGCTTTACATACGTCAGCAATGTCTCGGACTTGGTCAGTAAGATTGCTGGCCATCAAGTTGACATTGTCAGTCAGATCTTTCCATGTGCCGTCAACGCCTTTAACAACAGCTTGCCCGCCGAGTTTGCCTTCGGTTCCGACCTCACGGGCAACACGAGTAACTTCGGCCGCAAATGTGCGCAGCTGATCCACCATTGAATTGACGGTGTTCTATTATTATAAAGATTTTAGGATGATGCATCTTTTAGTAACGAAACATCGAATAAAAAAAAACGAAAATAGATTACCTTGAGCTCGAGAATTTCACCATTTACATCGACATCAATTTTGCGTGATAAATCACCGCGTGCTACGGCTGTAGTTACAGCAGCGATCGATCGTACTTGGGTCGTAAGATTGCCGGCCATCATATTGACATTGTTTGTCAGGTCCTTCCATGTGCCGTCAACGCCCTGTACGACCGCCTGACCGCCAAGCTTGCCTTCTGTACCGACTTCAAGGGCAACACGGGATACTTCATTGGCGAATATCGATAGCTGCTGGACCATGGTGTTGATGGTAATTTTCAGATCGAGGATCTCACCCTTGACATCGACAGTGATCGTCTGGCTCAGGTCGCCCTTGGCAACGGCCTTGGACACCATAGCAATATCACGCACTTGAGCAGTAATGTTAGCAGCCATTGCGTTCACGCTATCCGTCAGGTCCTTCCATGTGCCTGCGATTCCTTGCACTACGGCTTGTCCGCCCAAGTTGCCTTCTGTGCCGACTTCTTTGGCCACACGGGTGACCTCGGTAGCAAACATACGCAGCTTTTCAACCATACGATTCACGGTTATTTTGAGATCGAGAATCTCACCATGAACAGGCACATCAATTTGCTTGCTCAAGTCGCCATTGGCTACAGCAGTTGTGACTTCAGCGATGGATCGTACTTGGGTCGTCAAATTGGCAGCCATGATATTGACCCGCTCGACAAGATCCTTCCATGTGCCCCTGGTGTTTTCGACCGTCGCCTGGCCGCCCAGTTTCCCATCAGTACCGACTTCTCGAGCGACGCGCGTGACTTCAGAAACAAAGGAGCGTAGTTGGTCGACCATGTCATTGATCGCCACCTTGAGGTCCAAGATCTCGCCGCTCACGTCGACTGTGATTTTTTTGCTAAAGTCGCCGTCGGCTATAGCTACAGTCACTGCAGCGATCGAACGGACCTGGGAAGTTAAGTTGGCCGCCATCACGTTGACCTTGTCTGTCAAGTCTTTCCAGATACCGTCAGCGTTTTTGACAACGGCCTGCCCGCCCAGTTTTCCTTGCGTGCCAACTTCGAGTGCCACGCGAGTCACTTCGGTAGCAAAAATACGGAGTTGATCAATCATAAAGTTGATTGTTTGCTAATTACAAGGGGAGAGAGAGAGAAAAAAAACATTGCTCGTTTAGCAATCAAATAACGGTGATAATTTAGTTGTTTCATTATTATTGCTACCTTGAGGTCATGTATTTCTCCATAGGATTCAACAGTAACCTTTTGTGTGAGATCGCCACGCGCCACTGCTTTGAAAACTTTGGATATATCCCGCATTTGTGCAGTCAGATTCATGCTCATGGTGTTGAGATTGAGGGTGAGATCACGCCATATTCCGTCGAGGTCATATGGCAAAATGGCTTGAGCATCGAGGCGACCTTCGGACCCTACTTGGAAAGTGACTCGACTGAGCTCGGCGGAAAACAGACGCAGCTGCTCGACCATCGTGTTGATTGTGCATTTGAGATCGAGAAGCTCCCCATGGACATCAACGGTGATCTTTTTTTTTATAAACAATCATTCAAAGTCATTGTTTGTTGATAGCAACAAAAAAGGTATCCAGCAGTTAGAAACAGGGGGGGGGTATGATTTAGGATAACTTACCGTGTGAGAAAGATCGCCGCGAGCAACAGCTTTACAGACAGTGGCAATGTCACGAACTTGTAGCGTTAAGTTGCTTGCCATCAGATTGACATTCTCGGTGAGTTCTTTCCAGGTGCCTTGCGCGCCCTCAACGACGGCCTGGCCTCCAAGATAGCCTTCGACGCCGACTTGTAAGGTAACTCGCTTGACCTCGGTGGCAAAAGCATTCAGCTAATGATGATTTTTGTAAGTTGGCGAATGAAATACGATATCAAAGCAATTTACAAGGCATAACAGCTTTGCTTAATACCTGATCCACCATGGAGTTGATCGTATCTTTGGCCTCAATAAGTTCTCCATTGGCCTGTAATTGTTTTGAATATATTGAGGCGATTAGAACCGTTGAATAGCGCTGCTATTTCAAGTGAGGTCGTGTTACTACCTGAACTGTAATCTTTGTTGTGAGATCGCCACGTGCAACTGCTCTGCAAACTTCAACAATGTTTTGCACGTCAGTGGCAAGTCTGTGAGTCATTGTGTTCAGTCCGGTGGCCAGTTCTTCCCATACGCCAACGTCGCCAATGTTCTTTGCAAGAGATTCGGCGCCAATGCGTCCTTGCGTGCTAAAGTGGTAAATGACACGTGATGTTTCCGACACATATCCGTCCAAACGGGTCACTAAATATGTAATTAACATAATCAGCATACACAAACAAAGAAACAAACATACACGCACTTTATAAAAATTTACCCATTTCGTCAGAAGCAAGTCGCAGCTGTATGAGACTTGGCGGTACTGGGATGTCATCGGTCAGCACCTCGAGCTGCATTCGCTGGGTCATGTCGCCAGCAGTGACAGCGCGTATTACTCTTGTAGCTTCGGTCAACTGCTGAGAATACAAACGGGAAACGTTGCTAATCTTATTGACAAGATGTTCCCACGCATCAACGTCGTTGATCTCGTCAGAATCTGCAATCGGTCGATCATGTTGCTGTTGCTGTTGCTGCTGCTGCTGCTGCGTGAAGCCCGACAGGAGAGCGGACATGGAGAGATGGACAGTTCGCATATGCTCAACCATGGATTTGAACTTTTGGACTGGTTCGGAGGCATGGCACGACGGGCACCAAGCGACACGTTGATTCAGGTCTGCGTGGCAAATGGCATCGCTGATGCGGCCAATTTCTTCCACACAGTGGGTGCACAGTGTTGTTGCATGCTCTTGACGAGGCACCAGATCTTTTGTGCTACTTGAAGGCGTGGTACACTAGAAAGAGAGCATGTCAAACCACAAGAAAAAATATTCAAACTCAACTTTTTGACACGCCCATCCACCAGTATTAATACCTTGCTAGCAAACATGCTGGACATGTCTTCCGAAATAGGCGGCGAGATAGCAGCAGCAGCAAAGGCAGATTCATGAAGCATACGCAGATGTTGGCCTTCATCAAGGATGGTTTGCTGCATGGGCGTCGTCGGCGTCGGCGTCGGATTCGCATACAAGGCCCTGGCAGGCAGCGCCGGTGTGAAATTGGCAGCGGTTACGACTCGGCTTTGTTGGAGCATGATTTGGGTGCGTGTCAGGTCTGAGCGACATTTTGATTGGTTTAGAGCTATTCTTTGCAACGAGTCAATGATACCGCACCATTCCGGATCATCCTCGCCACTAAAATCAGGTGTCGGAGAGTCGTTGTCGTTGTCGTTGTCGTCGTCATTGTTTCCGCAGCTCTGGAGTTCAATCTGCTGGATAAACGACAGCAGACAGTCGAGTTTTTCTTTTGTTGAGGGCATCGCAAGGCCTTCAGTATTTATTTTGATAGAAAGAAAAAAAGGAAAGCAAAAGAAAGGGAAAGAACGAAAGAAAGAAAGAGGGACAAGTAAAAAAGGAAATCGTTTGTGGTTTGGCCGAGATTGAGGGCATGCAAGAGGAGCCCAGACCCCCCCGCATTGTCTTCTTTCCTAAAAGGGCATGCTCTTCCAGTCTGTGGGGATCCCACCCACCCAGTACTGCCCCCCCCCACCTCCTTTCATCTCGGTTTCATTGCCCCTTTTAAATTGACGAGCACGCACTCTGTCCATGTAGCGCAAAGAAAACCTTTTATTATTGTTGTTGTTCCGGATCAGGTGGGCTCGACGCTGGTGATCGGCCAAACACACGCCCAGACCCAACGATAAGCTTCTTTGGGTGAGATCTATTGTTGGCGGTGTTGTTGACGTTGGCGTTACTTGTACTGCCGCTGCTGCTACCAGGGCCGCCACCGCTTCCGCTTCCGCTTCCGCCCACCGAATCCAACGTCAATGCATCCGCCTCATAGTCGTCACTGCCTGTTGATGCCTGTCCAAAGCTCATGCTACGTATCCCAGCCAGCATGCCTCGATTGGCACGATCCATCTTGCGCCGTTTCTCTCTCCAGTACTCTGCCAGCGTCTGGTTACGTGCTTGGATATGCTGTTTGGTAAACATTGGCTTCAGCCATTTCTCGTCAAACGAAATAAACCAATGTGGCTCTGCCGGATCCTGCATGGGATTCCCAAGGGGACCTGACAGGAGCCCGTCTATTGAAACATCTTGTGCATTGTTGTTATTGTCTGTGCGACCTCGAGTGGTCGACGACGAGGGCCTCCGCCGATAAGGATCGTCGTCAGCAATGTCCACCAACACGTCGTCGTGGTAGGCCGTCGTTGAGGAGGCTGAGAGGCGTCGTAGCTTGCGATAGCCGACTGGATCGATATCGTGATCTTCGTCCTCGCTGCCAGAGTCATCGGGCTCCGTCACACCCGTGCGGATCTCCAGCAATTGGAGCATGCGGTTTGTAGTGCCACCAAACAAAAGCACAGTGAGCACAACCACTGCAAGGATTGTCGTGCGCATGGCTGGTGCGCTGTCGCCCACCAAGCCGGATGACAATGCAAATGCAACAGCGCCCCGAAGTCCAGCCCAGAACAACATCAGCTGATGCGACCGTGGTAGCACTTTCTCGGACTTTCCTAAAGCGCGACAGACCGCATTGATCAACATGGATAAGGGTGCAACGGATACGTAGCGTGCAACGCAGATGATGATCTACGTAGTCTGGTTAGCATGCCTTTCTCCCACCCACCCACCGACACTCACCCCTTCAACTTCCACGCCTCCTTTAAAAGGAAAAAAAAACAACACATCATCTACCGTCGTGGCCAGTATAAACAAAGGTTTGTAGTCGAGCTCAGTCTGCGTAAACAGATTGACACCGAGGTAGATGAAGATAAAATTCTCTGACAGCTGAGAAAGCACTTGGAAGACGTATTTTGTTGCGCGTTTCGTTCGCAGGGACATGTTGTCGTAAGCATAGTGCTTGAGAGTGATACCCGTGAATAAAAGAGTTACAATGCCTAGGATCACCCGCATTCAGTCAATATGTTGCATTGTCCAACAACAACAATGATAATAATCAAAAAGCCCTCTCTCTCTCTCTCCTCTGATGAAAGTTGTTCCACTAACCAGACATTTGCGTGCTATTTGAAAACAGGTAACTGCTGTAAGCCATTAGTGCAATTAAGCAAGTTTCAATACTCGGGTAGCGGAACAGCTCCGAGTACTTTAACATCAATGCGACAGTGACACCGAAGAGCACCCCAATCAACGTGGATGCTGTGAATACGCCCAAAAACGTGCCAACGCCTTTGAAGATGTTGACTACATGAAGCTCTTGACCACGAAACTTGTGCAATGTCCTACGATCTACAATTAACACTCCCCTTTTCTTATTTGATTCGAAGATCCCACACACTCACTCGGAAAGCACAATGGCAACAGCATCGTTCATCAAGGACTCGCCAGAGATGATGGAAAAGAGTTGTGGATCTACGTGTAACTGAGAAAAGATGGCAAGGATGGTGACAGGATCGGTCGCTGAAAGAATTGCTCCGAAAATCATGCTGTCGATGAAGCTGATGTTGATGCCTTCCGGATGGAAATATGCGTACAAAAAAGTCAGCGCCCTGATGAAATAAAAGTTAGTACAATCATGCTGGTATTTCCCGTCTTATTCCCCCCCGCCCTGGTGCCTTACCCGGTGACAAGGGCGGCAATAAAGGTACCGACCATGGCAAATGTCAAGATTGTACCGAAATTGATAAAGAAATTACGCTGTGTACCTATCATGTTTAATATCCCTTACCAAAAAAAAAAAAAGCTGACCGATACGTAAAGAGAGAAGAAAGCTTACCCGTTTCAGCTCGTAGCCAGAGTTCAATATAATGGGTGGTAACAGCAGGTTAAAAAAATATCCCTGCTTGAACTGGACCATGCGTTGAACAATAGTTCCTGGCGTCAACTTGATCCCCAAACCAACAATCATTCCTTTGTTAAAATTTTGTTTAGTAAAGCATCAAGTCGTGAATTGACTTGAAGACAAATTATCTCAAAGCATTTTGTTTTGTTTGAAGAAACATTACCAGCCATGATGGAGATGACTGTTTCGTGTATCGCTCGTATTTTGCGTAGTTGGAGATAATAGCTTGTCCATAAAGCACCAATAAGCAACGATGTTAAAATCAAAAGAGCCCATGAGGAATAGCTTTCCTCTTCCATGGGTTGGTCCTTCAATGGATCATCTTCTGGTAGAGTTCCATTGTTAATGTCGTCCATGCTAACGTTTTCATGGAATTGTTAATAAAGTGAAAGAGAAAGCCAAGCTTTTTTTTGTTTGCCTTTTATCCAGGCACTTTGAAAACCGCTCTTAATCCAAAACGAAGAATCCCCGCGTTTGTTTAATTTTTTTTTATGCAGCAAAAGTGAACAAGCTGAAGGCATGAATTCATTTTGAAAGCGGCCAAAAAAAAAAATAATGTAACTTGATACTTGCTCGCCGTCTAATGCACAGTGCGATTTGCCTTTATACTCCTTCACCAACATCAATAGTAGAGGTAAATAGTAGCTTTTGGTTGCCATGACAATAATTATCATAAGCTTTTTGTTTTCATGGCAACTTATTTGGTTGACATGGTACACATCAACACTTTATGTTCTGTTGATACACAAGGTATCATTGTGTATCTTTGGCAACAGATGCATACGACGTATGTACTATCCGTCAATTAGCTCCTATAGTCAAAAATTTTTCCAAGTTTCCTATCAACGACTCTTGTTGATAACAATAGAAGAGGCCGTTACACCAACTTGAAAAGAAAGAAGGCATGGCTTAAACACAATTTATTCGCATATCATACAACGCGCACACATTGCATGTTTCAGAATCACTCTTTTTCCATAGGCTTATCTGTCTGTACGCGATACTAATCAATCCTAAAAAGCAAGTATAGGGCTCTCACTATATGCATACAACGACATTTCGCTACTTGTCACCTAGTTTGCCCATTTTGAATCATGAAGAAGGGAGAAGGGTCTGTTTGCACGTTTAGTAGATAGAGCGACATGAGTATCATCATTTGGGTGCATGCTGATATAGACCAAAGGAAAACGATGACGGTCAATGATGAAAATGCAAATTTTTTTATTCGGCGGTCCGGAGATTTAGAGTATCTTCCCTTTTGGCTAAAAAGGGCGTTAGGTCCTTCGGGCAATTTATCATTGGCCGGTGGTACCTTTTCAAAAACTTTTCTGGATTGTGTATATGCGAGTCTTGGTTGGATGATGCGGATTACAGCGCTGCTCTCTCTTTTTCTCTCTCGCACTTTTTTTCTTTTCTTTCTTTTCTCAAATTACACAATAACAATGGTGTATCCAGGGGGGCAGCCACCGAGTATTCAGTCGTTTTCATCATACCCACCGCAACAATCACTACAGTACATGGACAACGTCATGTCTAGATTCGGCCACCATATGTCAGCGGACGAACGAACCTCTTTTTCACAATCCATGGTGCCGGTGCTGCAGAGCAGTGCGCCCGCCGGATCTCGCGACCCACAACGCATGGGTGCAACGACAGCTGGCTTGTCAATGCCTTCTAACAACAATGCCGCTACTACTACTACTACCACAAGCAACAATACATTCACGAACGCCACTACTACCACTACCAGTACCTCCGCACATACCATGGTTGCAACAACAATAACAAATCTTGGCACCAACAAAGAACAGCAACAACGACAACAAACGGCGCATATGGAGCTCGACTCTGACGTACAACAACATCAATAAACTCTCCTCTCTTATCGAATGTTTTTTATTTTACATTTTGTGTTTATAAAAATATAACAATAAGAGAGAGGAATAGAAAACGAAAGGAAAAAAGTGACACAACCACCCTCTTCAATTCGGGTTTACCCTTATACGAGCGATGCGTGTGAGAGACCCCCTCTCTCTCCGACCCACAGCATTCAAGCAAAGGGTAATTGCGGGAATATCGATTAGATCAGCCCCAAAAAGAGAAAAAATATCCATCGCTTCAAATGTGGAACGAGTATCGCATTCCTTATCGATGTAGAAACGTGCGACGCCACACTAAATTACATGGTTCAATGATAATCGAACTTGTTTCGTCGTATCCACGCAGCAATACCATAATCACCATCAACCTTTTCAACAATAACTTAACTCCGCCTCCTCGCTTCTACATTTTTTTCTGCAACGCGTTTACAGGCTTCTGCTACATACCACTACAGCTATATATGTTCTTTACGGGCTAACACATGGATCGACATAGTGAGTGTGGTACTACCATATAAACAACGGCTAAACTTTATCCGTAATCACTTATAATTTCTGGACCCAGTAGATATGCAATATATGCATTGACAAAACACTACACTGAGCCGATGCTTGGGAGTCATACATGCATATTGAGGAACATAAGATGACTCATAGAGAGGTTTCCTTTTGACCCGGCACTAAAAATGGCGTAGTCGCTGTGTCAGAGCATACATGTTACGAAACGTTGTACCAAGGTACCTCAAAATACAACATGTAATTTCCCACCCAATGTAAGAGAAAACTTTGATCAACGATTTTTCTTTTTACGTAAAAACATGACCAAGACATTATGTAACAGAAGCTTTACAGGGACGAGATAATGACTATAATGCATCACCATTTGGAGAAGTACATAACTTGCTACCATGGCTTCATGTGCCAACCTACTATGTACTGGCTGATGTCGTTGTTGTTCTTGCTGGTTGTTGCTACTGTTATTGGTACCATTATCGGAGGAAGGTGAAGAAAGCATATTGTCTCGTTGGGGGTAATGGTACAGGACACATATATAAACGGTATGTGCTTCGTGGACAGTCAAGTGGATAAGCGTGTCGTAAGAAGGCTCTTGTTCTTGCTGCTGCAACGAAGAACATGTCGTCGTTGTTGAGTAGGATAATATAGAGGGATTAATGCAACATGGGATATCTGGTATTGAAATCGCCATTCCAGTTTTGGAAGCTTCGCAAAGCCCTGCGCAAAGTCGTTGTACGTGATCGGGATGCACAAATCGCATAATGGCATGTCCACTCCAATGCGTAAACGGATGGTTTTGGCTGTGGCAGTGGACGAGGTCAGTCATTCCGTACGGTGTAAGTCGTAATACGACCCGGATAGCGCGTCGGTGTTCTTCTTCTTCTTCTTCTGCACCAGTAGGCACGGTATGCTGTTTCTTGTGGTGGTGGTCCTTGACAACATTATGGCAATTGTCACCACTGCTCTCAGGCAAAGGCGCCGCCGATGATACCAATGTCTTTACCATGTTGATAGATTATACAATATAAACCGTAGAGAAGCAAGAAATGAAAAAATAAAGTGAAAATGCTCTTTTCGTAGTTTTACATACCGGCCTCCTTCTTTGATAGAAACAACAGCAGCAACCCTCCTTAAAGAGCAGTGATACGGGTCTCCTTGTTCCGAAAGTGGCGTAATTGTATGCTGAGGAGCTACGAGAAAGATAGAGGGGAAGATCTTGCCCTCTCTTGTGTAACAATGGCCAGCTATTTTCATGGTTAAACTCTAGAATAACACTCTTTCGGAAATTATAGTTTATCATAAACAAATTGTATAACTAAAAAAATCAAATATATACCAGAAAGAGGGGGAAAGAGCTGCACGAAAGAAAATCAAAAACATATGTACAATAGATTTACAGATTGAATAGGTGTAGTGTGCATGTGGGGAAATCAATGGAAGAAGAACAAAATATACAATTGGAAAGAATTAGCGAGGCTATGTACACTGAAGAGAGAGAGAGAGAGAGAGAGAGAGAGAGAGAGAGAGACGGAAAAGGGTCACTCCCCTTCACTATTGCTGCTGTTGCTGCTGCTGCTCCATAACATGTTCGATGAGATCCATTTCGAGCAAACGTCCATGCAAGGCGAGATAATCTTTGATGGCCTCCACGTTGACAAACAGATCATATTTGATCAGACCAAGAAAGCTGCGCTCCATCAGGTTCACATCTTTGCTGGAGTAAACGTGATCGGTCATCTCGGCTATGGCCTGACTCGTCAGGGCCGATCCGGCTTCAGACATGAATTTCGATGCTGTTAGGATTGCCGCAAGAAATAATCGGTAAGGTGTGTCGAGATCACCACGCGCATGGCGAGGAAGACTTGTCTTGAGTCGTTGGAGGTAGATCAGCGACACGAGGCATATGCTGGGCGGTAATTGTGATCGTTTAAAGAGGTTCGCAATAAATTCGTCCAGTGGGGGTAAAGTGGCGACGGTGGGTCGTTGTTTTGCTTTCTTGGAGCAAGGCAGTACGGACGTGGCAGTGGTTGTGGTAAAAGCTAAAAGAGAGGGAACATTTGTTATTTCAACTTTGCTCTTTTTTTTTCGTTCTGGTCATTTTGTTGGGTTGGTTTCTGATCTTTACACAGGAGAGCCTCTGGACTTCGCGAACACACTGTTGCTGTGGTAGGACTTTCCATGGTGAATTGATGTGAGAGAGGGGTGTATGGAGAGCAGGATGATTATGCTTATGAGGAAGGGAGGAAGAATGGAGATGACAATGCAAGGGATATGGGAGGGAAGAAGACTTTTTTCTTTTTGACGGAGGGGTGGGTGGTGGTGGAACGGAAGCTCAGGGTAGTAAACGAAAAAAAAGGCGGGGAAAAAAAAAAGAAAAGCCAAGTTTTTATATATTGTATGCGGAGGGAACGGGGGTCCTGTCAATGATATTCAGCAATCCACCAATCAGATTCACCCCGCTTATCGTCAAAGCCGGAGAGGACAACAGAAGAGTGAGCGCAACGATCATCCGTCGTTTGGTTTCATGATATGCCATAACAAGGCAGACGCACTCATGTCCCACCTGCCCCCCCCCCACTCCCAGTTGGTTAGCAACTTTCGGGAGGTCCGGTCGCTCTCTTGCTGATAACAGATTTTTTGTTGCTATAGCAACTGATTCAAAACCATCATCGCAGGTATTAGTAGGCCCTAGCAACATCCATTGAGTCCCGCCCTTGTTGCAAAAAAAATTCCTTTTCTGGAAAAATATCGTAAAAAAAAGACCATTCAAAAAGAGATCCCTTTTGCACCGCAAATCCGACTGCTATGTCATGCGGTTTAGTGTTGTTTCTGGATGAGGGAACCCGTTTTTTTTCGTATATGCTTACTGGAATATTACACAGCACACGATGATAGCTTGAGTTACAGTGGAGATTACATGCACATCAATGAGCAATTCGTCACTTAAAGCTTATTATTAATATCACTGATCGAACCTTGTTTGTTGTTTTTGTTTTGCTTGGCTTGGCTTCCATAACCTCCGCACCGACGATTACTATTTTCGGGAACGAACCAACCACAGTTCGGAATTTGGGAACTCTATCTTGGGTCCTTTTAGCTCGAGTGCCACGGAACAAAAGAGGTTGCTTTCAATAGTAGGCTACAAGATGCAAGTACTGTGGCAAAAAACATAAAGGAAAACCTTACCAAGGTAGTATTACAATCAATGGAATATGTGTACATGGCATATATGGAAATGATATCTCTTATTGTGGGAGAGACAGAGAGAGAGAGAGCGATCTCCTTGACGTTGAAAACCTCCAAACTCTAACATATGGTTTCATTTCAAATACGGGCGAGCACACTTGGGAAAATCTTGTGATTTACTACGGCTTTCACTTTCCAACGTTTCAAAACTGAATGTGTATTAAGAAAGAGGAGGGTGATGACTAGTATTTTTGCTTTCTATGAGTTGTACGGTTTTCTCTCATGAAGTGCTGTTTGATTGATTGATGACAAGCCTAACTACAGTTGTTATTATGTTAAGCGAACAGTATACAGTGGACGTTCATCTCCAGGTTTCCTATTCGCCCACCGCTGTTACTTTTGAGATGAGTCGGTTTAACAATGGTGGCGTTATATTTCTTTCCTCACTTTTATTGCAAAAGATTGCAAAAGAAGAGATTAGGTGAACAAGAACTTTGCTATGTTGTCAGTGCACGCACATGAATCGCTTTTAACTTGAATATATAACAGGTCGGGTCTTGGATCTACCTACAAGAATGCATGTTTTGCCGTGTTTCAATATACCCAGTAGCTGTATTAGAAACCACCATCAACGAGATCAATATGATAACAGACTGTACTTTCAAAAGTATCTGGTGTGTTTCTTTCTTCTTCATTATTCTTTTTCGCATGATTTAAAACAATCCGGCGCCTTGTTCTCATTTGGCACGCACGCACACGGTTACGTAAAAGGAAGCAGCCACCTGGTACTGCTTTATCAAGAAAATTGCACAACAAAGCAAGATACATACATCTACTGCAAAAACCATACTGTTGCTATGTAGACTTTTCAGTTAGCTCCCTAGTAAGCACAGTACTGATGTAACAACGAAAGAACAAGCTTGTCCGAATCCAATTCTGCTATCATCCGTCAGAAAGCATCTGCGACCTTTCTGTTTGAAAAGCGGATTTTTGAACCCGTGGGAAAAATAAGTGCATTAGTGTGGCACCACACATTGGTACATACTTCTTTTTATATGTCACTGAATGGCTTTGGCACGTTGTTTAGGTTATGCTGCAGTAATACAGATACGATCTCACTTGAGAGTGATATCACTTACCGCGTGGGAAAATATATTACCAAAGCACGTCAGCGAGCATTTTGTTATTTCCCATTCAATGAGCCTGTTTGGACATAAACCGGTTTACTCTACGTGACGAATAGATATTGGCAACAAGCATCGATTTAATGTCACTTTTTTTCTCACGGGTTATTGATCTCATTTGACACCATCGGCATTGCCGAAGGCATTAATGATCTAAAATTAGGATCTTGAGCAACAATGAAGCCTACCTTTCTTTTGAGTTAGCCTGTTCTTCTGGACCAATATACAAGCTTTTGCAGGAGACCGAGCATGCACAAAACGTTCACAGTCGTGGTGAATATTCAAAGAGACGCCTACATACGTTTTGGGCAGTAATAAATACATTCCTCTATTCTATTTTCTCAGTATTGTACATGCATATATGGTCATCCATGCGGAGTACATAGACTCGACTCATCAGCAATGGTCGCGCATTGTTTAGGAAAGGCTAATACCAGAGACTGACTACTACTACTAGTAGACTAGTAGTCGCGATTATTAATGGGGAGGGGGGGGTTGAAATTGTCAAATGTGCTTTTATTTGCATTATACACGATAGTATAAATTATTCTACAAATTGGAAGTTATTCAATTCATACAGGAAACGAATGTTGGCTATTTGGAAGCATATGTGCCCACTTTGTTATATCTAACTATCAAGGTTTACAGAAGAGTGAAGGTGCTTGAAAGAGAAAGTCGTTATAACCAACAGAGAAACGTCAATTGGCGAGGAGGTATTATATGTTTCTAATTGGGACGGATCGCGGGAGATGACAATTCATACTGTAGTTGTGTTATAGTTCCTCATCACTGGCTTCCGGGTTACTCGTGGACCCAGCGCATCTACATAAATTATTTTAGTATGTACCGCATATGTAGAACAGGCTAGAGTGCAAGAGTAATAGCATTTAATTTTACTTTTACAGATTGATACTTTCTTTGCAAAGGATTTGTATAGAAGAAAATAAGGGTTTAATGACGACAAGGTCAAACCGTGACAGGCTATACTGTACTATATATGTATGTAGGATAGCTTTACGAAAACCGTAAAAGTAGAGGGTGTACACATTGAGTATAAAAGAAGCATTTTTCCACCAATCAGCATTGTCGTGGTATAGCATGATATTATGTATTCTATGTACCAACAGCTGTCGGTCCACTTGCAATTAATGTGAGAATGAAGAAGACGGTTTCCTTTTTTTTGTTGTTGTCGCTGTTGTATTGTTGACGGTAGTAGTAGTCGATGGTAAGGTAGGTAATATCTCCTGTGTACCGATTCGACGACTGCTTTGACGACACTCTGCTTCCCAATCAATGACGAAGAACAAAATGGCGCCTTCACCAACGCACTTAATGAATCCGGCCATGACAACACCTGACCAGACACCGATTAAGCCCCAACCGTAACTGTATGTCATCCATAGACCAAAGGGCAAGCCAACAGCGTAATAGGAAGACAAATTAAAGGCGGCGACAATCGGCTGTTTGCCTAACGCATTCAATGTAGCCGAAAAAACAGCGCTTAGACCCTAGTAGCAAAAGAAAATACGGCGAGCCAGCGAGATGAGTTTGCCACATATATTTAAAATGAAATGAGATAGTAGATCTCATTTTCCTACTACATACCGTGAATATATGTGATAGTACCGCTACAGGCATTAGCTCTTCGGCTGCTCGAACCACGCCTTGATCCATCGAAAAATGCGTGGCGATCTGATGCTTAAAAAAGTACATCAAAGATGCATTGAACAAGATGGCAATGCAGCCCATCATCACTGATATTGTAAAACACATCTGGATCTTTGCAGGTCTGTTTGCTCCAGCATGATGGCCGATTCGGACAGCGACAGCGCTGGATAGTGCTCTAACAACATCATAACAGCGGTTATTACCCATAGAGCATATATAGTAAGTACGGTGTTAATCAAGAGCCTTCCTGAAAATGTAACCTTACGAGGGAATCATTATGAGTAACGCATTGACTGAAAGAATGATGGACTGCCCCGCTAAACTTGTTTTTCCCAGGGCACCTATTATGTACAGTAATTGGTATGTTCAATTTTGGAGTCATTAGGGGGGGGGCGAGTGGTAGGGGATAGTTTTACATGGTGTAAGCTATTAGATTGACTGTAAAGGAGTAGTACTAGCAGTGATATTACCTGTCAAAAGGGCACAGACCTCAAAAGCCCATTCTGTAGCTACACTGAGCATGCCGGGAATACCTAAGGATATGGATCGTAAGTTTATGATATCAACATGATGATGTGACAAGGGTGGAAGATGATGCTGAACAACAGACATCATACTGTAACTCAGTAGTGATCTGAGGGGCACACGGAAAAATATCACATCGCAGGAAAAAACATACCGAGCTTCAGAAACGGTTCCCAGTGATGAAATGCTTGTACGCGCCAGCCTGGCCAATAGGTGCTCCAGAAATCGGTACCAAACGACAAAAACAACGTATAAATGGCCAAAATTGCGCCATGAAAAAATGCAAAGTGAAATGCGGCGCCAAGGTATCCAAGATCAAGCACTCGAAGAAAAATATAGTTTGAAAGACAATTGAATGGGAAGATGGCCAGAATCATCAGCATGGTGACGCGCATGTGACCTAATACAAATCATTAAAGTTAAATTTTGTTGCCACCCTGGTGATGATGGCAAGGGGTCCCTGTCTCTTTTTCTTATCATCATCATCATCAAGTCTCTGCATCTTAAAAGAGATTACTATAAACTGACCAAGGCTTTGTAAAAATTTGCGAATGGCTGTCGATACAAATATAGGATACACAAGGGGCATACATACATAGATGTAGGACTGTGTAAGGTGTGCCAGATGCTGTTCCTGTCCCATGACGTTGATAAGGATCGACTCTGTGTATATCCTAGACGAATCCGTATGTTATTACCCGAAGGCCACCATATCACTACTGCTATATAGTGTTCCTTCTGGTCTTAAAATTACCATAGTAAGCATATTGGTAATGCTAGGAAGCCCATAATAAGGATACCACGCTGAAGAATGATGCCCAACGTTTTTTGGTCACTCGCACCTGTGAATGCCTGAGCGACCAGGGTATCAATGGCTATATTGGACGGGTCATGTTATGTGTCATCACTGAGTTTAGCTTTATATGATTTCTTACATATTATGCACCATCCACACTACCACTGGCTATATCAATGTTGTCAAAAAGAAGATTTATGATAAATACCGGTCAAGAGTCCATTGCCGAAGGCCAACCCTGCAACTGTCGACCAAAGATTACCAAGGCTTACTACAGCCATCACTATAAATTAAATGGGAAAAAGGGGAAAAACAATTATAATCATGATGATGCTGCCGCTGAAGCTGATGCTCGCATATATAAACCCGAATCATAGTAACCTTCCGATCCTAGGCGCCCGAGAAACCAAACGTCCACCAAACCCATTCCCTTGCCGATGACAAACGTAACAAGCAAAGGCCAAGTGTAGTTTAGAATGGCTTTAGTCTCATCTTTGACGTCTTGCAACAACCAGCAGTTTTCATCTCTCTTAACGAACTGAGTCAAATCGACAGCACTATCGCTCCAAGAAGTGGTAGCAGCTCCACAGCTTCCTTTGAGCAAAGGTTTGCCGTCATATTTCTTTTGGCTCGATAACAAGGTGGTACGTTCGTTGTCATCATTGCCACTGCGATTTCGCGTAAAAATGCTGCGTCCCTGCCGCCAAAATTCGAAAAGTCGCGCTTGAATTTGCATATCAGGAAAGTTGAAAAGAAAAAGTAAGGGAGAAAAAGCAATGAAAACAAACTACATACACAACGTACACATACACACACGAATTGTTCGGTATTTATACCCTTCTGCTTTCCGTCACAATCAAGTAGAACAAAATCTAATAACGGTACTATCTCCTTTCCAAGAAAGAAAAAAAACTTGAAACGCAATTTACGTAAACAATGCATTTCATATTTTTTACCATGTATTAGCTGTTTCTGTATAGCAGGGAGTCGATTCTCTCGTGTCCTTTTTACATATGCAGTCTGGAGATGTTAAATCCACAACAAGAAAAGGGTGCAAAATGCTCGACGATAAAACATTTTAAAAAAAGGAAACAGAAACCAATGATCATCCTACCCTTCCACTTTGAAAAGCGCGCCTCATCGGGGTGCACAAATACTATGTTTTCTATACGTAACACACTGTCATTGCAGGCGGACAGAGCGGATAACAGTAATGCTCTGCGGATAGCTAAGGTTAATTAAGAGTATCGATACTTGAAACGTTGATTCAGCGACTCTCTATTGCCTCCGTTCTATTTTCTCTGTCTAGATCTTGCTATATCATATTTTGTATTTTTTGACCACCGCGTCATCCATCTAAGGCGATGACAATGATGTTGCATCACCATATATCACCGCCATGATGAAGGAAGAAGGGGAAAAGGCAACTTTATTTTGTAAGAAAAGGCGGGGAGGGACGGATTCACAAACAGCTCCGTAACCCAGGCATTCAAGGTATTTGTACCACCACTATCAACAATAGAAATACAAACAATCTTCGTGTATGTACTCACTTCTATTCGTGTATACTGTACAAACAAAGAGCCATCCAACTACAGGATACTTCGGCAGTTTGACCTTGTTGTGACGGCGCGTCAATCATGAACTATGTTGGTGTCACTAAATCCTTAATAAATGCTAATATCATACTAGCTGACAACAATATGTAAAAGATCGTTATACAAGTAGTATGAAGCAGAATGAAGAATACAAAAGGACACATGGAAATAATGAAAACCTGACCATGCTGTAGTTCTCACGCCATGACTAATACATACATCTCTGGGTTGTACGCAGTATGATATCGTTTCTGCATGTGATCGTTTGCTATGCGAATACGGAACATGGTATACTACTTACAGTAAGTGTATGTAGATCTCAAGAAGTGCACAACAAGAGACACTATCATTGGGATATAGGTTTAAATTTATGTCTATTATGGGAATGGACCGGCGCCTATGGGCATGTGGCGCCTATGGGCATGTGGTCACTTCCCAGAGATACAGTTGTGGAGGAGAGATACTAGTATATGAGAATGTGATTGCAATAGGGGAAAAAATGCTAGCGTAGAATAGTGCTATAAATGTGGATGGCTAAGAATATAAAAAGTGTATATGCAGGATATCATAAAGTGTAGTTGAAAGGAAAAAGAGTTATACGTATATATAAGTGTGCATGCAGACATCGAGAATAGCAGCGAGGGTGAGCAAAATTAAAGGAGAAGAAGGTTAATACAATGCTGCTATCCATCATTCTTATTATAAGATAGGACCCACCATGTACTTACATATATTCTAAAACAGCTATAATATTTGCAGATGATACCGTCTGTTTTGTCTTCACTGATGTCGTACTACATGTACATCACACCGGCAAAGAAAAAAGACGATGATTGTATACTGTACCAATGGAAGAACTTGTTCTATCTGTCAACATGCACCACATCTCATCAAATTATCCAACCACACAGCAAAAGAATGATTCACAATAACTGTGCAAGAAATGATGACGAGAATGATCATATTGGTGAGTAATGTAATTGCTTTTCGAATGTGCCGCTTTACTGTATTCTAAACGTACATATACTGTAAAATGGACTGTAGTAATCGACATCGGATGGCTCTTAAAGGTTAACCACAACATCGTCATCAAGTCGCAACCGTCGCATCCACACCAAAGGACATCCATATGTACAGCACATTCAGAATGGCAAGAAAGGAATCAAAGTCATGCACAATAGTCTAGACGCAATTTGTTGACCTGTGCAGCAACAAAGGGTTATATTTTGCCAACTGCCACATCCAATTAATCACACAGTCAGCGAAATAGGGTTATTGAGACAGCAACAGGGCAGCACACGTCTAATTTGAATAACATTACATGAAAAGCGGTATAATAGGAAAGCTGTTATTATATGCAAAGTGTTATTGATTATTTATGTCAGAGCATAGAGCTCTATTAGTTTCAAACAGAAAAAATTGACTATTATATAAACTTCTTACGCATCCCAACAGCCAGTGCAACATGTAATAACCCCTTTAGCTATCACATGAGGACAACAAAGAAGAGTAGTGCAGCAGGTGATGTTTATGATGTAACATTAGTTGGACAGTGATATATGCATCCCACGAGAAAGAAACAAAGGTTTCATTGTATACAGATGAGAGGGTATAGAGGGTGATGATGATGTAAAGCAAATGGGAGTTCCTGTCTTTGGGAAGGGGTATACAAGGCTCATGACGAAAACAAGGAGCCTTATTGTTGTTGTTGTTGTTGTTGTTTGCGATTTGTGTGGACATAATCATGCAGATAATCGGTGACTGCAGTGACCAGGTCATGAAACCTGTCAGAATCGATCTGGTTGAAAGGCCAAGACTCGCGCTTCTCCTGCTCAAACTCGGCCAAATGTGTCAGGTGAACCCGGACCTCGTCAAGGATGGAAACCCAGTCCACCATCCTCAGTCCACGATCTTTGGTCTTTTGCCATAGCTGACTAGGAGCTGTCTTGCGTACGAGATCGTCAAATACACTGACGGCGAGAAAGAAACAAAACAACGTGGTTACTGTACAGAGTGCGAGAATGCTAATCGTCATGTACGATGTGAGCGTAATCACTGTTTGTCGTAGTTCTTGAGGTCGTGATTTGGTGGCTAGTAAGGTTTGGAGCCATGAGCGAATTGAGGGAACAGTTGCTCGTTTGTTGCTGTTTGAAACGGCAGTCGACGATGTGGATGGCGCTGTCATTTTGTGTGCAAAAAGAGCAATTTGATTGAGGCGATTACTTTTATATGCAAATGCGAAAAAAGGTACTGGGAATGAAAGAGAAGGTAACAGTGATAATGATTTTGTTTATTAGAGGTAACAAAATCGATTTGTGTGAGAGAACGGATAATCACGAGGAACCCGAATTGTTTTTAAATTGTTATTTCAAACTGTACATATACATATTACTATCTAGGGCGTCTGTAAGGGAAAAAGGCAAGCATGTACTCTACTAGAACTGTACTGACACAAGGCAAGCGGAGGGTGGGTAAGCAACAGGTGTAAGGGTTGAAAGACAGCGATCACTGCTTCTCCATTAATCCGGCCTTGATCATTTCCTGCACAGCAAGAAGATAGAGCGTATGAGCACATGAAACAACCACACATCATGATCCAACAAAAACAGCAAACGTACCTGCTGCAGGGTAACACCGACAAAAGGTAAAGCCCGTGCCATCACAACACCTGCATTTCGCAATGCGTTTATTTTATCCGGCGCATTTCCCTTGCCCGTGTGCGACACAATAGCACCAGCGTGTCCTAAGAGGTACGCGCCATTAGTCTCTTTGTTTTGCACAGATAGTAGATAGAAACAGCAATGTCAAACCTACCCATACGACGATCAGGAGGAGCGGTCAAGCCAGCAATAAAGGACACCACAGGCTTCGGCTTCTCTCTTGAAAAGTTGTATTGCTTCAAGAATTCTGCAGCCTCTTCTTCAGCACTGCCACCGATCTCGCCAATCATCACGATGCCTATTATGTGCGCAAAGGGTCTTATCAGATGTAAACCCTCTTTCTCTCTCGCGCCCTCCAATCCACTCTCGTGTCACCTTGGCCACAAACACACTCCTCTCGGTCTCACACGCACCTTCGGTTTTGTCATCATCCAAAAAGATTTTCAGCGCATCGATAAAGTTGGTGCCGTTGATAGGATCACCGCCCACGCCCACACACAAGGTTTGGCCCATGCCTAGCTGCGTAAGCTGCTGCACTGCCTCATACGACAAGGTACCGGAACGTGAAACGACGCCAATGTTGCCGGGGCTATAGATACGGTTGGGCATGATGCCGATCTTGCAGCCAGCTAGAGGAGACACAATGCCGGGCGAGTTGGGGCCTACCAAACGCGACTTGTTCTGGCTCAGCAATGCTGCTTTGACGCGTGCCATATCCATGAATGGAATGCCTTCGGTCACCGATACGATCAATGGGATCTCGGCCTCAATGGCTTCCATGAATGCGTCAGCGGCACCAGCAAGGGGGACGTAGACAACCGTGGCATCCGGTCGCAACACCTCAGCTGCCTGTATTTCATTGTTCTCGTTGTCAGAAATGCCTCCTCGGAGCACTCACAACATCATACACAAGCAGGTGTCTCTTCTCCTTATGCCTTACCTCTCGCACGCTGCCGACTACAGGTCTCTCTAAATGTGCTGTTCCAGCCTTGCGCGCAGAGACACTGCCGACAAAATTCGTGCCAAACTTGATAGCTTCGAGCATTTGTGCGGTTCCCTGTACGTTGTTTGGATAGGAGTGACATAAGTGTAAGAACAATGTATTACTATGCTGATGATGATGGTGAATATCACTGCATGTGTACCTGTTTGCCCGTTCCTTGACACATCACACGCGTGTTTGCAGTGAGCTTCAGGTTTTGGATGGTTGACTCGTATCCGGCGTTGACGGTAAAGGTGTTTCGACAGGCAGCTGTTTTGTAACAAAGAGCGTTAGTAAACCGATCTGTGCCCAACCAAAAGCACAATTGAGGATTTTAGCCATACTCGCTGCTGCACTGGTGGCACGCATAGCTGCTGCCGCTGCTGATTTACTGCTAGAACCAATCATGGGAATAACGGATGTTGCTGCGTAAAGAAGTGTAAGAGGGAGCTCCAAGAAGCAGAGGAAAAAAGAAAAAAGAAAATCATGCTCGTCAAAACACTCTATTTATTGCACTTTCTTAATTCGTAAGCAGATCTTTTCTGCACCTATCCGTGTGAACTCTCCCCGCCCCCCCTCCATCTTAACCTCCGCTTATAACAATGAAGCAACAACAAGAACGGATCCTCTTGGCCAACAAGAGGTGTGCAACACACACGCCACCACCGACCAGGCAATCAATCAACCTTCCTTGTTTGGTCAATTTCTGGCGTAATGTGTCCTATGCTTCAAGCGTCGGGACTTCACGGAAGCCGCTCTGGAAAAACGTTCTCTTCCATCTATCCATTTTGCTAATCAAATGAAAAAAAGATGGAGTTAGGGGTATCAATGGCAATTTGCCTTATTTTTATTCTACCGCTGCCTTTTATTTTTGGAGTGCTTCAAAGGAACAGCAAGCGCATGGCCAGTGGTTTTGATATGGTTGAACAGTTGGTTTCGTGTTGAGAAATCCTCATTACAAACGTTGCATAGTAGTTCCTACCATACACACACGCGTTAAAATGCGAGGTTAACAAACTCAGTCCCCTTTTGCATTGCATAGACATCCTTACCGCTGCTGCTGCCTTTTCTTCCTTTTGCTTCTTCTTTTCCTTGCGCTTCTCCCTCTTCATTTTGGCCGTCTCCACTGGTGCTGTTTCCTCGCCGCCATCCGCTTCATCGTTTCCAGCAGGCGTCGCTACTGGTCCTGGTTCTTCTTTCCGTCCGTTCCGTCGCCTCCGTCGCGATTGCTCCAGTTCAAGCGATGCTGTCAGGGCACTTAATTCATCCACATTCTCTCTGGGTTCTGCTTCCTGTTCAATACCAAACCGTGGTGCCTTTTTGCCCTTCTTTTTCTTTTTTGAGGTTTTTGTGCGATTCAGGTCCTCTTGCCCCATGGTGTCACCACCATCATCATCATCATCATCACCTTGCAGTGGCACGTTTGCATCCATATCAGATTCTGGTGCTGCTGTTTCTGGCGTTGTTGTTTCGGTAGCAGTAGCAAAATCAAAGTTTTCCTCTTCCGCCATCATCTCCCGTTTCATCTTTTCCGCCAGTTTCAGATGCTTTCGACTGCTTTCGTGGCTGCTATACTGCTGCTCGCTCTTGTAGAACTTGTCGCAAACAACACAATAGAAATCCGTTTCTTCGGCGCTACCATCCTCGTCGTCATCATCTTCTTCCGCTTCATCCGACATGTATCCCGCAGCTGCCAGGCTACTTTGATCCACTTTGGCCCATTCTTGTTCCTTGTACGCCGCCGCCTGCGCCTGCTGTTCTTCTTTTTCTCGTTGCGCGCGTGCCTTTTGCTCCGCAGCAGCAGTTTCTCTGCGCTGACGTTCCTCTTCTTGATACTTTTTGAAGCGTGGATCACGTTTACGCACAAAGGTTGCTAAGCTCTGTCCATACATAGTTCTGTGTTCGTTACGTTCCATCACACAACCTTCTCTTATATCAATCTTAGGGGACTTACGCGCACAGTATCGTTGTATTCTTTGCGAGCTACTTCCCGGGCCTTTTTGTTCTCTTTTTCCATGGCTCTGCGCACAAATCGATTTGGCGCATCTCTCAACCGCCACTTGTCCATCCATTGAAACGATTTGACACTACTAAAGTTCATCCATGCAGCATAAAAATCGCGCGCATATGCACCATAGCCGCGGTATCCGTCATTGTCGGCAAAAAGCGTATTGGAGTTACCGAACGAAGGGTTTCGGGTATACTCGTCTCCATTTTCAGGAGGATCATAGTTGTAGGCGCTTTCTTCTTCTTCATTAAGCTTGTCAAACAGTTTGCGATATATAGCGAAAAAGCCCTACATCATATACGCGAATCTCATGTTACTAACTTTTCACGTACTCCATCACTGTTGTGATATATGCATATATACCTTGTCATCATCGCCAAATCCTCGAACTTCCGACATGCTAAAGTATCGCATTAAATCTTCGGAAGTGGTACCTGCGCTGCTATCCTTATGAACTGCTGCGTCATCGCCACGTAGAATAGAATCTCTATGACCGTCGTACCTTATTAAAAAATAGTCGTTAATTCAGTTGCCATTGAAACCACTCTCTGGCACATGGTTGAGTGGTAACAGTAGCAGTATTTTTTTTTACCATGCTCGTTCCTGGGCATCGGAAAGTACTTCATAAGCTTCCTGGATCATGGCAAACCGTTCGGTTGCTTCTTGCACCCGATCGCCATTCTTATCTGTTTGTTTGTTTTAAGCGATCCGATCGACTTTCAAAATACATTTAGGTAAAACGAAGAAATCGTTATGTAGAATTTACCAGGATGCCATATTAAAGCCTGCTTTCTATAGGCTTTCTTTAATTCCAGATCAGTTGCTGTGCGTTCAACATTTAGTAGATCATAATAACATATTCTCATTGTTGTATATCTTATTGGTAGTAACGCACATCAGGAAAAAAAAAACTCGAATTATAAAGCGTTTTTACTCCGCCACTGCAATTGCCAAATGCAGACAAACCCAGATGCATGCGTTTTGTACCTGCATTATTCAAACATACGTAACCTCAAAGTTAAAATTAGTGTTGCTCAAACAGTTGCTTCAAGTATAGAGTTTGGATTCGAAGGTGACAAGGAACTGTTGAAGTATTTTTTGAAAACTTTGGACGAAAAACACCTTTCGCAGTCTGCACTCCTCTAGAGTGTGGCAGTAAGCAGAATTCATGCATGAAAATACTTGATATACGAGAAAAAAAGCCTTCGCATATAAGTAAAATGGCATGAGCCACGAATTTCGTATGTCATTACTTTATTATTATGTCGACGATTGCGACATCCTTGGTAAACTAGTCTCCCAGTTTTATCTCAGAATACACGTACAGTTTGCTCGCTCATCTTCACCTTGAATTACTATCAAGTTCTTTGACAGGCTTCATGATTCGCATGTTCCTGAGTAAGGCACTGCGCTAATTCATTGCTTGTTGTTCGGACCCAAGCTCCTCAGCTAAAGCTTGTTTACAAATTCTACGGTACCATTGGCAATATAGTAGAAAGCATTCAGTCACTTCTTTCGAACACTATGTCGGACAAATTAAATTAGCTTATAGGCCATGGAAAACATATAATAGAATAAGTTATACCATGCTTTCGATTTTTTTGGAAACGATAACGATGTAATAAGCATAAGTGATCCTTAAATCTAGTGTCTACACTATCAGCATTGTAAGTGTCATATGTATTGCTGCCCATATAATGAGTCAGCATCATGCGTATCAATAAAGTAGTCAACTGGAATTTCTTTCTTCTTAAATATATAAGTGGAGCCACCAAATAAGCAAAAGAAGAGCGAATTGTATAATATATAGCTAAAATGAAGCAGCGTATGCATCGTATTTATCATTCGCATGATATCCTCGAACCGCCGTAAGATATACGTAACCCCTTTCCATGAAGCACTAAAAAGTTAATGAGTATATTGTAATTAGAACTTCTATCATATTATAGTTATCAATAACGAATGAACAGTGATAACGAATCATGTGCATACAGTATTTTAACAGATACTTTATTTGCACGTTATAGTAGGTGTTGAGTATGATAAAGGTTGTCACTAACCTTATTCGTGCACCCATAAGAAACTCGGAAGAGCTGTCAGAAAACACATTTTTATGTAATTGTTCTATTGGCATAACGCACATCAAAAATGCTTAGTTGCGAATGCCAGTATCGCCCGCAATAAGGGCAATGTTCCACACCACGGCGGTTTCATCGCCCGTGTCCACTCCATGTCGACAGCTTGTTCGATATATTTGTCGAAGTTCTGCAAGCGGAAACATATTGAGGGTGCTGTTGCTGCTGCAGCTGTTGTCATTCGCTCACCCATCGCTGATTAATACCTTGATATATACATATAGTAGTTTCTCATCCAAGAATCTTACTCTAAATAGCTACATTGTTTTCAAGCCAATATATTCCAAGACCACGACTATACATATGAGTTTCGTTTAACCCTTAAATGTACGCGATTCAGTCAAACTTCACATTTAACCAAAATAGCCGAATAGTTAGACAAAGACGAAAGGATACTAGGCGATTTTTAAGAGCGTAGGAGGCGACTAGTTCCGACAAACCTGGCAGACCCCAGTAGCTGTAGCTGTGGCCTCACCAAGTTTAAAGGATGCGTATATGGCTAGCCGATTTACGTAACTGAGCTTGCTGCTGTCATAAACATATCTGCTCCATGCTCACCAGGAAACAGTACTTTAAAGTAACTCTATCATGGCTTAATATACTAGCAGAAAATAAAGTACGAGTTTTATTTAACACCTTGAGTCTGAAGCTTTTTGTGCCTCCGTACTGCTTGCTTCTGTCGCTTCTTTAGAATTTCCCCAATTTCCGGTCGCTTCTCCTTCCAAATAGCCTCATAATCCTCTGAGTCTGTACGCTGGAATGATCCCTTGGGATCATAACCAAAGCAGCTCCTACAAATCAGAAAATATGGTTAATTTTTTTGAACTATTTAGCGTCATACTGTAGCTTCAATAAACATACTTTTTCATTAACGAAGGTTCGCTCGTGTGGAAAAAGAATAATACGCCTAGGCCGACATGTGACTAAAAGCATAAAAAGAATAATCAATAACCATAGCCCACATTGTAGTAGTGTAAGCTGCTATATCCGTCTTTACCTCTTTATTTGGTTTAGAAGCAAAACTCGGTGCGCCGCTGTCATTTTCAGAATCGATACTTGAACCTAGCATGCCTCCAAACGATGGCTCATTGTTTTCTTCAGCACCTGTATCTGCATCGCCTCCAAATAATTTGAACGGCTCAGCTGCAATTATCAATATACAGTTAGTTATAATCAACGAATCATTTATGGATATACAAATACATTGTTGTCTGTTCTGTACCTTCTTGTGCGCCAAACAAAGGCTTCATGTTGACGTTTACTTCAAAATGCTTCTCGGTGGATACAACAGGCATTGCCGTGACTGGTACTGTGTTACCCGGCAGAGGTTCTACATGCAGGTTGTTTAAAAAAAAGTCAACTTTGACATTCTGTTCGATAACCCCATATTTCGAAATATTACCTTCGTCATCCTCTTCATCACCAAGTCCCTTGTCGCTTTCATCTCTCGCTTCCTCAGCAGGTTTCCGCAAGTATTCGTCGGCATCCTCGGCATCAGGATCATAACGTGCACCGGTGCTCCATTGGGTCTCCTTTGGTTTACTATTAAACATGTTAACAAGAAAACGCAAAGTTCTCTCTCATAAGCTTCTCGTCATACACCACACCAATCTAATTTTAACATACAGTTTTTCAACTTTCTCTTCACCAAACATAGCACGAAGAAGATCCATCGATTGGTTTTTCTCATCGGTGAGATTTTTGGATATTTCATCTTCTGGTTCGCCTTCTGACTTGCTACGCTCTTTGGCTTGGGTATCCTTTTCTTCTTCTTCCATGAAATCTTCGCCTAGCTTGAAACGATCGTCACCTTTGAACTTGCTCTGAAGTTCCAACAGTTCGCGTCCTTTCTCGCCTTCCAGAACAGGGTTGATTTTGATTTCTATTTAAAAAAAACGATCAGCACATCAACATTCGTTCTCTCGTTCTCCTGTAACTCCTTCCATATCAGTAGCTTTCATACCGAATTTAGACTCGTCTTCCTCCGAATCCGAGTCAAACATCCATTTAGCGTCTCTAGGTGCAGGTCGTACTTCCTTAGTATCTTTAGTAGACTCGGTTTCAGTCCCCTGTTCCTTTTCATCGTCACTCGCTTCAAAAGTAACGTGGTTTGATCGTTCCTAACCATAGCCAGTCTAATCAGTATTCAGAAAAAAAGAAAGCATGTACGGCAAATCCAGAAAGAATGAAAAATACCTCATTGCCAACACTTGCAAGTGATCGTTGAAGTAATTCCTGTCGTTGTTTTTCCTCTTGATTGCGACGTTCCATCGCAGCCAGCCGTTTATCGTTATCTTTGTTCTATTTAAATTCACCATGTAAGTAAAATCATGGATTATTCGCGTTACTCCAGTCCTCGAAAAAAGCCTGTAAAGATACATACCGTTGATTGCAATAATTCTTCATCTTCATAGATAGGCGCTGCATGATCGTCATTTCTCTCATCTCCATAATACATAGACAAGCGACTGACAGGCTTCACCTTTGCACCAACATCGTAGAGTTTCGTCAAGTTGTTTGAATAGAGCTTTGGATCAAACACCAGTTCGGTACCGTCTGGCTTTTTGAGCCGCATAATGGCGATACCGCGGCCATAGCGTCCCAGCCGCCATCCGCGTTTCTGTTTTGCTACTCTATCCGTAACCAACGTCATGTCCTTTGCCTCGAACACGTTCCGTGATGCCTGTTCAATCCGCTGCCGCTTTTTGTGCTGTTTTTCATCTTTAACCTGTTGTTGTTCTGTTTCTTTTCGTTTGCGCTCTGTGTAATCTGCCTTCGCTTCTTCTAAACGCATCGTTTGCCCTTTCCATTTTGCACCATTATAAAGGGATATGCCTATGCACACAGATAAATTCAATGTGTTATCAACTGTCCTTTTCTATTCTCACTTGCCCACTGAGATACACAAGAAAGAAAAATCGAAACCTACAGCTGGCCCATTGCTTTGGCATTGTTTTGATGTTAAAATGGCCAAATCCACGACAATTCCCTGGTAAAAAATGGAGTGAGTCGATTGTTCAGGGTTAAAATAACTTTTTAAGGCTTGTACAGTCTCACCTTCAATATCTTTGGCAATGGTAATGTTGCTGATCGTGCCATAACGACTGAATCGATCTCGAAGAAGTTGTTCGTTGACAGACGGGAAAAGCCCACCAATGTATATACGCTTCTCTACAAGATCTTTTTATTGCCAAAGCCATCATAATAAGCAACTATGCTATAACATTAAACTCCTTGTAACTTTTTTTTACCTTCACTGGTTGCCATGGAGTATGATTTTGACCAAGCTCAAAAGTTATGCAAGAATAATTTTTTCTGTGGTTCAAAAATAGCCAGTGGAAGAAGTGCTGTGGCTAGTGAACAATCAGCTGACATTTAATCGATTTGCGCAAAATGTGGGTGATATGCTCTTCAGAAATGATATCTGTCATTGACCATTTGTCAATCCCAGCAGCGTGTAGTGGTAGTTTTTAACTTTTTCAGTATTTTTTTCTCCTGCTATTCAGTAAAGTTTTGTCGTTTTAGAAACGCGAAACATTATGAAGAGTGGATCAGCACTGCAAATTCACACTGCGGGAAAATAAGAGGGCGAAAAGGGGTTAGAATGTTAACCGGAAGGAATGGGGTAAACTGGAAAAATCCACCCACTCTACCCTATAATATCCTCTTTTTTTTGACCTGTCGTTGACCAGCATTTCCTTAAACTACCCTTATTTCCTCTGCGTTTTCACCAGTATTACCCGACTTTTACCACTGACTCTCACCCAAATACACCGTTATCAACCGCTATTATACTTTAAATACAAATGTTAAATAATAATGTATATACAGAGCCAGAAGTAATAGTTTACAGTGATCTAGTATCTAGTATGCAGAAGGGTATCAATCCATATCCAGCAAGCAACTACACTTTGCGCGTGAATCCTATATTTGAGGCGTGATCAATTAGTAAGATATACAATAACGCGAGCATCCCTTTAGACCACAGATACTTGCCTAATCGGCTGATTGTTTTCGCGACTTGCGCTTCTTTCCACCTTGCTGTCTACTCTTCTTCTTTCGTTTCTATAAATGACGCCTAACAGCGAAGATACACAACAGAGTATAATGGTAGCCAAGTTTTATATATATTACCCTTGACTCGCTTGTTGTTGTTTCTTGCTGTGTTAATTTTTGTAAACAACCGGGGCGCATGGGCCACTCCAAACATCAGGCGACGTGCTTGATAGGTCTTCTGTTGCCAACAAAATGCCACAGAAGGACGGTCGTCCGAATGTAGCGGGATATGTAAGTATGCATCCTGGAGAATGCACCTCACTATCCACTCCGATGGACGGACCATATGTCGCAAGGTCGGCAGACCCTCCATTTTGAAATGCTCGTATTGGATATAGTCGTTCAATTGTGAGCAATTCAGTACCGCACGAACCTTGTTGTGTTGCCGGAGCGGAAACAGATACGATTGCACATGCATCTGGTGATATGGAATCTCTTCGATGGCTTGTTTGTTCAGTAATAGCTCCTGTATACTGCTTGATCCAGGAGAGCGGCGTTCTCCTGTGACATACGTAAGCGATGGTCCTCGTAGCCAACCATTTTTGGGGGAAAACTGTAAAGGGAATCCGTACTCGGGCTGATATTTGTTTCAATGTCCATGGATCTGGTGTTGAACCCAGGTTTGTTTGTTGACTTGTAGCAGAGCTCCTACTACTGGATATGAGGGCGGTACATAGTGGAACTGGTTGCTGCAGGACCATCAGACGTCGGCAATGCTGAATCCAGGTTCGCCGTGGTTGCGCCATTGCCTGAGTATTGTATTGTTTATCTGTCGGAGGTATTGCTGGCGCCCGCTCCACCTCCGGAGTAGTTTTTCCATTGGGTTTTGGTATACCCACGGAAGCCACCACGGTTGTTGTAGTTGCTGTTGCTCCCGTTCGAGTTGGCATTGACAATGACGCGATGGTGATTCCAGTTGCGGGCTTCGTCATGAACCTTTTGGCAGAACTCGGGGCCAAACAAATCTGCGTCGTGTTCAGCTGAGGTTTCTGTCGTGGAGCAGGCACTAATGAGAGCTTGACTCCAACGCGCTGATTTTGCCAAGGCTTCTCGTCTTTCGATTCAATTGTCTTCAGCTGTGTGGAACCCAAGTGCGATGATGTTCTGAAACTTGCGCGCCATGGGTGCCATGAAGACCTAATCGGCGTGTTCATGTAAGACTGATGTTTCCAAGAAGTGGAGTGTATAACAGGCGGGGCGGAGAGCTTGGTACACTTCTTTTTGAATTTTGGCGAGCTGTCTGTCTCTAGCCTTTGCTTCTCCCTGTAAAGAATGGCTGTAATTCTGCGTCGATATCTGGCGTGCGCAGGAGACCTGCTTCAAGCTCTGGATTTTGCCTAAGCAAGTCTTTGATGGTGATAGAGGCAAGGCGGTTATCGATGCGCGGGTAACCGACGACTTGCTTGACTGATTTGGCGACGGGGTAATGCCCGGCTGCATTGTAATTTTCGCGAGCTGATACGAGAGGTCGATCAAAGCTTTCGTCTTTATCGGGCCTTAATAATAGTGTTGATAAAGCTCAGGTATTTCAAGGTTGTCTACTGGTGATGGTGTTGTTGGTGTCGGTTTGGTCTTCAGTGTTCATGTACGTAGGCGGACTGCCACAAGCTTTGAAAACGGCTAAAGAGACATAGGAATAGCAAATTCTTCTTTAATAACAAGTTTACTACCACATTTAGTATATAAATAAAGGCTGTGGCATGCTTGGAAGCGGCCGATAACATTGGATGACGAGTGACGACGATGGACACTTAAATGACGGCAAATGTGGTATAAGATATATATACGTATGCAGCGTTGTTTTTATTTCGAGATGAGCATATATAAATATGCGATTAGGTGGGATATGTTGCGATAACAAAAAAACGTAACAATTTATTGAGCAAGGTGTTCCTTGATCTTGCCATCGACTTGGCTGGAGTCCTTGTCATCACGGACTTCATCAACCTTTTGGCCGTTCTTGTAGAACAAGAAGGTAGGCAGAATCTGATCAGAAACTTCGTAAAAGATATCCTAGTAATTTTTTTAGCGAAAAAAATGTCAGCTGTTTCGTAAGATTTGGCCAAAAAGTAAACTCCCTTCCCCACCCCCTTCCTCCTTATTCCAGCAAAGCAGATGGTAGCAAACACATACGTGAACCGCATCAGCGTTAACCTTGGCAAAAATGGCATCAGTGTAATCTTGGGACATCCCCTCGACAATTTCAAACATCCCTTGGTCCTCGGTCTGTGGGGTCCACGCGTAGACAATGACCTATCGCACATGAATACTATTGTTTTAGTAGGGGTGGATGTGACACGACTACAGCAAGAACTGCAAAGGAAATGCAATACATACAAGCTTGTCACTCTTGATGAGTTCTCGGAAAGCTTCGACAGATGTGAGGTCTTGGACAGTCATGATGGTTCTGATAAATGAGGAAAAAGTTTGTGGTGAACCACATTAATACACTGCTTAAGATATCAACAATAAGATATTCGGTTAAACATTATAGCACACACGTATGAACACTACGGCATTTCGGCTAAACACTATTGAATAAAATCTCTCACTCAGATGATCCACCTTACGTGAACAGGACAATGAACCTATCAACAGGTACCTCGGCCATTACATCAGCTAACGCCGGTTTCAAAGATGTGCCCGATTAACATAGCGACTTCAATAGAAGTTCTGATACGTCCTTGATCCATCCTCTATCACATAGTTTATCCATTAGTCGGATGAATTGATATCGCCGTCTTAATAGCTAGAATATAAAAGAGCTTTATCTTTTGTTGGAATAAAACATCATCTCAAAGATACTTAATCTTGTCCCTTATTATCTTTATTAAAGCTCTATCATCACATTTTTATCTTTGAAAACCTTGTTTTTTCCTTATATCTTACATCATGTCCTCCGATAACAACCAAGCTACAAACATTAACGAAACCGTTGATCAAGCCAACGTGGTAACTCCAGGAACGGTCGAGGTCTCAAGCAACGATGTTGAAATGGTGGACTCAGAATCGGCGTCCAAAAATGGCACTGAAACTAGCACTGAAACTAGTACTGAAACCATGGCCAGGAACATAATTACACCGAGTACCTACCTGGAACAAAGGAAGCTGACACCGTCTAACATGGGAGCTATCCTCAAGGCACGCTTAGCAAAAGCCACCGAAGAATATTTGCAGGCGCAAGATGCTTCACCAGATGACCTACTAAGCTAAAACAGGCACACAAAGAAGCACTTGATGCATTCAACATCTACCAAGCTACTCAGCAAGCACTCAGCATGTCTGAACAGTTCGAAGATCGAAAGGCAAGCTGCGTGGTCCCAAAAAACCTACCGATACTACAAGTACAAGGAGGCCCTGTCCGAGATCCGACGAAGCCAGTGCACAATTCCGTCTCTGCCTTTATTTCCGCCTTCGAAATCCAATTGCGCAGCCATAGCATTGACCTTGATGGCAATTGGGAACGTCTTTTCTGGTTATGTCTGGATGATAACCAAATGACTTGGTTCCGCCGAGATGTCGCTGACCGTCAATTAAAATGGAAACAAGCCTGTACCGAAATCAAGAAGGAATACGGCAATCCATTCCACACGTATCTCAAACGCCATGAGCTTTTTGTCGCTCGTCCGCAAGCCAATGAAGCGATCCGTGTCTATGCCGAACGATGGATGTCATTAGCACACGAGGCAGGAAGAGCCAGCGGTCGTGACTTGACGTTCGATTTCATTTCGTCGTTGCCACCTTCGATCCGCGAAAAGATCTACCCAGTACTAGCAAGACAGTATGGTGTAGATTGGCCATCTGAAGTCACTGAGGTCGTGCAACTCATAATTTCCACATTGGGTGAATTCGTTGACAAGTTTCAAGACAACGGTAGTTATGCGAGCATCCATGCACCAGGAAAGAAACGTCGCATGGGTAATGAACACCTGTCTTCGTCCTCCTCATCGCCAGCACCAGCTTCTCGCCGTCCTCGTCATTACGGTGATTGTCCTGTCCATCCAAAAGGAAATCACTCGGCGACGGATTGCCACGTTCTCCAGCGCCAGCGGGAAGCAGTACAACAACAAGTCCGCAATAACCGGCAATCAACAGGTTCAGACAACCTATGTCGTTATTGTAAAAAAGTTCCATATGTCTTAGGCCATCGCTGCCAAGAATATTTTGATGCAAAAGGAAAAAAGAAGTCAGGAACGTCGACAACAATGGTGAGCAATCGCTCTGTACACATTTCCTCGTCTCCTTCCTCGTCTTCTTCTACTACACCATCAAAGCGGGATGAAGAAACACTTAATCACATTTCATTGGACGGAATGGATATTACAGGTAATTACATCAACCGCACAACACAAATAAATAACACACTGCAAGCAACAGATGACATTGACTCACTCATTGTTCCTATCACTGTACAGACTAAGCAAGTCTTCGGATTAGTCGACACAGGCGCCAACAAGTCTTTTATCACACCTACATGGTTACACAACATAGAGTCAACATCTGTACTTAAAATCAATAAAAACGCAGTAAAAAATATATCCATTACTTTAGCAGCAAAGGATGTAACAGCCTACCTTTTAGGTTTACTTGAAAATGTTGAACTACAGTACAATGGGAAAACATTCAAACACAATTTTTACATCATGGAATTATCCGGAACAACACCAGTCACCATTGGTCTGGATTTGATGTTTAAACTCGGAATTGGTATTACTGGTTTAGCCACATCATGGGAGCCACTGACACCAAACAATGAGAAACAAATTATTGATTTACCCGAACCTAATAATTCGCCATATGGCACAGAAGAACAAAGGAAACAGTTTTTACAAGCTATCCAACCTTCTCTTGATCGCAATGCACAAATTCCTAAGCGCGCGTTATGTACAATGCCTGAAGCAGTGGTCCGTCTTGACGTTCCAGAAGGTATCGTTTGCCATCGACGTCAGTACCCATTACCAATTGCTTTCAAGGATTTAATTGACGATCAGATCAAAACCTGGTTAGATGAGGGCATTATTGAACCTGCACCTGCTGGCACAGCATGGAATAGTCCCATCACACTAGCACCAAAGAAAGATCCTGTTACAGGTGCATATGATACAAACAAGCGTAGAATCTGTATGGATGTCCGCTTAATCAACCAGCATTTATTACAATGTGAACAACATCCACTTCCATTATTAAGCGATGTTATTGCAGCCATCCAAGGCAATGACAACAGCGGTAATTCAAATCGCACCGTCGTTACTACCTGCCTCGATGTAAAATCTGCTTTCACTTCTTTACCTCTCTATGAACCACATCGAGAACGAACTGCTTTCACAATTGAAGGACACATCCAATATCAGTTCCGAGGAGCTTGCTATGGATTACGTCATCTTTCTTCGGTATTTACTCGTTGTTTAACAGTTCTTCTTAGAGAGATGCCCTTCGTTCGTGCGTTCATTGATGACGTCATTATCTTCTCAAACAGCATAGAAGAACATGCTATCCATGTCGCCGCAGTAATTGACAAATTAACTGAGGTAAATTTCCGCATCAATCATGACAAAGCCGTATATGCACAACGTTGTGTCTACTTACTTGGCCACTGTGTATCCACCGAAGGTGTATCACTGGATAAACGCAAAGTATGCAACATCCAAAATATCCCTACACCTACAACTGGCAAAGCTATAGCTGCCTTCTGTGGTACTATCAATTACATGCGCTCTTACCTACCAAAAGTCTCTGAAGTTATGGCACCTTTAGACCGACTTCGCAATGCCAAATCTTTAAAAGGTTTATGGACACAAAAAGAACAACACAGTTTTGACACGTTAAAGAAAATGCTACTTGAAGCTCCCATCCTGCGCTTTCCCGATTTATCACATCCTTTTCAGGTTGCAACTGACGCTTCACATACCGGAATCGCTGCAGCACTTTTCCAAGTCATAGATGGTGAAACACGTCATATTGCTTTCATGGCTAGAGCACTCTCCAAGTCAGAAAGATCCTATAGCACTACACGACGTGAGCTCAGAGCTATTATATTTGCACTTGACAAATTCCACAAATATTTATATGGCAAACCGTTTAAATTATACACGGATCACAAAGCATTGACCTTCCTCCATACACAAAAAATAGCCAACGCTATGATGATCAGTTGGTTTGACACCATCTTACAATACGACTTTGAAATTATCCACCTACCAGGATTAGATAACATCCTTCCTGATCAATTATCTCGCCTTTTTCACATCGATGAAAAAGAGCTGGAAGGGGGTAGTGCTACGCAAATTCATACAAATAATAACACTGTACAAAATAAGACTCTCACAGTAAACACACAAACAAGTAATAACACTGACAACATAGATGATGACATCTATTTTGAACCACCCGAACATGAAAGACTGGAATTACTCAAAAAAGCACATGCATTTGGTCACTTTGGCGCTGAAGCTATCACAAAAGCACTACACAATGATGGTTTGAAATGGAACAATATGTACAAAGAAGCCGCACACATTGTAAAAAGCTGCCCTGAATGCCAGCGATTCAACATCACCAAGAAAGGTTATAACCCTTTGAGACCTCTTCATGCATTCTATCCGGGTGATCATTGGACAATTGATCTTGCAAGCGGCTTCGGCACAAGCCATCGCGGAAACAATTATCTCTTAGTCATGGTAGACGTATGCACACGTTTTTGTGTTTTACACGCACTTCCTGATAAAACATCAGACACTGTCGTTCAAGCAGTCATCGACACATTTTGCTTAGTGGGCTTTTGCCGTTATCTCAGCAGTGATAATGGTACTGAATTCAAGAACCAACTAATGACTCGTCTTCGAGAAGCCTCTGGATTCGACCAAAGACTTTCTACGCCTTTTCACCCAAGAGCTCAGGGATTGGCTGAAAGATTTGTGCAAACAACTGTTAACATCATCCGCAAGTATACAAAAGGAGCAGTTAGAGACTGGGACTTATATGTCAAACCAGCACAATTAGCCCTTAACAACAAAGTTGCCAATAGACATGGTTCTACACCATTTGCTCTTATGTTCAATAGAACAATGAACGGTTTCAGGGACTATAGCAAAGAACAGATCCCGCGGCCACTCACAGAAGATGAGCTGCAAAACCGCATTGAACAAATGACAAACATTGTCTTTCCTGCAATTTCGGAAAGAGCAAAGGCACTGGATGATATTAAAAAAGGCAAATACAATGCCAAGTTCAGAATCACCGATTATCCCATCGGAAGCACGGTCATGGTCATTGATGAATTACGCAGTAAGAAGATGGATCCAAGATATGAAGGACCATATACTGTAGTACGCAAAACCAAAGGTGGTTCTTATGTCCTTAGAGATGAACAGGGTCTATTAACTTCTCGTAACTACGCACCC